TATATTCATAGCTTTATATAGAATAAAGCAAAAATATAGTCGAACCTAACTGAATGGAACAGACGAACGAACGACGAACAAACGGATGGACAAAATTTATCCTAGGCCAATTAAAGTGACCAAATAGAACAGATAATAGAATATGGGTGCCGTTAGTCGTTGGTTGTTGTTGATGTTGTTGTTATTGTTACTTATGGATGATGATGAGCTATCAGTTTGCGTGTGTAACAATACAAGAATACTTGAATGTGACTACTATTTTTCAAGTATGTTCAAAATAAAACAAAAAAAATACAAGAATTTTTCAGATATAAAAGCACGACAGCAACATCAGCATAAAGCAGCATAAAGAACCAGAAAATCCGGGTGAATGTTAAAAACAGGAATATTTTTTTTCTCGCTCGAACTGTGTAAATCTATCTATCAACTGATGTTGTGTTTATGACTACTAAAGAAAAAAAATGCTTCGATAGGACCAATCTGAATGATTCATTATTATTTCGTTCAGACCAACGTATGTAACGGCAAAGACGAAAAAAAAAGACAAAAAACGGATGCCAGAAGACACCAGAAATTTGATTTGATTTCATACACTTTGAAATGGCTTGCTAGTTGACTAGAATTTTTTTGAACTTGCAACAACCAGTAGCATCTACGGAAACCAATTTCGAATTGAAGTTTTTTTCTGAATTAACATTTTGAATTCACAACGCGATCAGTTTTTTTTCACGGTTCGTCTTAATCATCATCAGTTTTTTTTTATAAATGAATAAATGACCAATTCTCGCAATTTGTATGTGTGTGTGTGTGTGTTTGTGTGTATCCGCCCGTCAATGTCTTGCCAATGGCATGCAATACATACAAACAAACAATGACTGCAGAAAAATCATTCTTTTTTTACCCGGCTCTAGGGTTTGGTCCATCGGTCAGTCATGATGATCAACGAACTATTCGAAACCGAAAATAATATCCTAAAAAACAGGAAAGAAAATAGCCATCAACAACAACAACAATAACAAAAACAGAAATATATAATATGTCCAAACAAAAAAAAAATAACAATAACTGAATAGGCAGAAAAAATATTGAATAAGTTCTGTTATATTTATGTCCATCGGTCGAACGGAATGGTTGGTGGGTCGAGTTACGCTCATGTCAGCTCTTTTGTTATTTTTTTTTTGTGTGTGTGTGTGTGTTTGTGTATTACACAAACATCTTTTCCACCAATATGAATTCTAGCAAATTTCATTCATATTATTCGTGTTCGTTCATTCGTTTTTTTTTTTTTCTATTAAGCTGGGTTGTTCGGTTTATTTTCGCTTGGTTTGTTTTGGCTTTTTTTTTGGTATCATCAACAACATCATCATCATCATCATATTATAATAATCATTAATTAATTATACATCAACATCATTTTTTTCTTTTTATTTTCAATTTTGGTTTGCTTCATTCATTCATCCATTCAGGCAAAAATACCAAAACGAGAAAAAATTCAATTCATAAGACATGTGTGTATTTGTGGGTGGTGGATGGTTATATTATGTTTTTTTTGTATATATGATTTGATGATCATGCAAGCCAATATTTTAATTTCATTTTTTCCATCAAGACTAGAAAAAACTATACTAGATTAACATTGTAAAACCGATTCATTCGGTTCATTCATTCATTCAGCCATAATGATGATGTCCAATCATGATGAAAGATTTTCTTGTCATTTCAATACTTAAAATCATATAAATGGGGGAAAGACAAAACATCATATAGAATCTATACTGATGTAAAAATCCACCCACAACTATTATAGCTCGCTTGATTTTAATAATGATCATGTTGCTGATGAAGGCCTATAAACTTTGGACAGTTTTTCTGTTTGTTAAAATTGTTTGTCCACATAATTGTAGACTATTGATCATATTGTCCAGAACTGATATTCAATACTTTTTTTCTTATATCTGAATCGTAACGTGTAAATTAAATGATGACCATATAAGAAAGAAAAATGAGACAATATTATCATCATCAATATTATTATTAGTAAAAGAGTGAAAACTATCTCACTATCAAAACTCAAGTATTGATGATGTTATAGTATTTTCTCAATTTTTGTATCATTATTAATATTATTGTAGTGTGTTTATAATAAGAAATTATTATTATTGTCTATATGATGAACAACAATAACAATAATGAAAAAAATGTCCAGCCATTTTAGTTAAATACAATTTTTTTTATTGTGCCATGGTTGGTCGATTCCTTTTTGTTGTTTTCTGGATCAATTTTTATTCGGACCATTGCTGATGATGATGATGATGATGATGATGAAGATGAAGATGATAGTATAGCCAACGCTAATTAATGATGCGTTCATTGCCTTTGACTTGATTGAACCAAGGTTGATTGGCTACTGAAATACACACTGGCCATATTGTGAAACTAATAACGGTCAACCTAAAAAATATAAAAAAAAAACAAACCGTTTCCAAATATCCAATTTCTCGTCTAAACTAAATTTTTTTGTTTTTTTTTCACTACACTGGTTCACATGGTGAAAGTTTTTTGTTTTGTTCGTCGACAAACCCCCCAAAAAAAATGATTATCAGTGATTAATGATGAGATTATAACATAGTGAGAGAGAATGAAACAAAAAAGGTCCATCGCTAAGCTACTATTATAATCTTACTAATACTCCTATCTAACTATTATTAGGAAGGGGAGAAAAAAAGAGCTTTCCATTTCATATTATGAACATCGTCATCATCATCATCATCATTATATACCACCAACTTGAAACCAATAATAACTTACAGATATATACAGATACAATGTGACAATTATAATCGTTGAATTTGGTTTGCGTTTGGTTTGATTTTTTTTTTTTTTTTTTTTTGGTACCAAATCACACGAAATATAAACGAATATACTAGACAATTTTTTGTTTTGTTCGCAATGAATCGGAAACATGGAAAAATGAAACAGAATAAAAAACAAGACAAAAGCCTACTATTCCAATTGTTTTTTTTTTGCCGCAGCAACAGCAACAACAACAGCCGTGATAATGTCGACAATTTCCCAGCTATTCTTTTGCATTTCAATTCCATTATTGTAATATGTTGGGATTTTTTTTTTTTGCATCGTATGCAAGTATATGACAAATATCTCTTCAATAATTCAACTTTAAATGACATATGACACATACTATAGTGTCATATAACGAATAGGGTTGGTAGATATAACTGACATAAAATATTGTATAATTGAGATGAATTTTCCTTTCAATATTTGTTTCAATTTTTTTCACGCTCTTATTGTATTTTCATTCTATTTTTTTTTTTTTTTTTTTGCTGTTGACAATAGAATCGAATGAGAAAAAGGAAAAAAATTTTCTTGTAGATTTTTTTTACCGTATACATTATTTTCCATTATTATTAATCAACATTACAAATCATCAACAACATGATGATGATGATAGAGAACAATCATAATAATTTTCAATTTCAATCCATTAATATGATTCATATTAATTCATTTTTTCAAGCAACAAAAAAAAAATACAATCCACCGAATGATTTGATTCGAAAACTAATCGATTCTATTACGGAGATGCGAATCTATTCTTTTATTCTTTTTTTTTTTTTGGTTCATATAACCACATCATCTACTATATAAAACAAATCCCAACCGAGAGGAGTCAGAGAACGAACACAAATATAAACCGGAAATGACTGATGAAACAAACAACACAAGTAAAGAGGAAAAAAAATTATGACAACCACAAACAGTTGACATATATAGAATTTTGATTCAAGTCATTTTCATCATCATCATCATTGACAATAATGTAAATTTTCAATGCACCAAAATGAAAAAAATTATTATTTTCATCAAATGGAAATCGGCAATGAATTTTTTTTTTTTTTTTTTTTTGGGAGTGGGGGCTCAGATGACAAAATTTTCATATTATATTTGGTGAATATCAAAAAAAAAAATACATATATATCCGATTGTAGTAATGCACATATACAGGGATATATTTCATTTATTACTGGTAAGGATAATGTTGTTGTTCTATGAATTATATCATAATATTCAATGAAAAAACTTGTTTTTTGTAAAATAATGGGAAAAAATTGTCATTTTTATCACAAAACGATATGATATTGGAAACGATCTATGAACATTTTTTTTTGGGTGATAATAGACAACGAATAAAAAATTATTTTTTCATTTTTTCCTTCACAATTTGTTATGCTTTCACTTCATCTTTTTTTCATGACTTTCCTTTGTTGACGATGTCGATATATATATATTTTTTTTTAATTTTCTCATTCATTCATTATTCGTTCCGGTTGGACTATGATGATGATTATCATCATAAACAACAACAACAACAACAATAACAATCACCGCCTTTTCATTGGTACTCCTCCGTTTATTAATGATCATCAAAAAAAAAAACAAACCGGATTCAAAATATCCGTGGTATAGCCACAGACTCTAACCAAAATCTTCTTTTACTGACTTTTTTGTTTTGTTCAGTAGACACCCATAAGAATCGATTAAGCATTTAAACATGATCAAATGAGGAGAAAGTGTAGGATAAAAAAAACATGAATGAAGGCTGACTATTATTATTATTATTATTATTTTAGAATAAAGAATCTAAAAAAAAGGAGAATAGACTAATACGTGGGTAACATGATTAATTATAATCAAGACAACGTAAAGAAAAACTTAACATTTGGTGTGAATTAGAGAGAAAAAGAGAAAATGATCCACATAGTATTAGGATCTGAATATTAACAGAAAAACCAAAAGTTCCATTATAACAATAGACACACACACACATAGACACAGTTAATTCGTTTTCATTGCAAACATTCAGAAATACATTGTTGTAGAATTTATTACAAAAAAAAAAAAATTGTTTGGATTTTAATTGGTTGTAGGGAAAAAAAATTTCATTCAATTTTTATCATATTCATTTTTTAGACACTTACCATCATAGATTAAGGCTGAAATGGTATTGACCATATTGATAAATATCACAAATATCAATGACAAAATTAATGTTTTCATTGCCATTGTTGGTCGTGATGATGATGATGATGATGAAATCGATGTACAATTGTTGTTTGAATCTCTTCCTCGCCTATAATGATGATGATGATGAATGATGAGTGATTTTTGTATAATTTTTTTAAGAGATTTTCTTTTTGAATAATCAACACCGTATAGGATAGCGGTTTTTTCATCAATCGACAACAATGATGATGATGATGATGATAATGATGATGGTGATGATTTTGATGATGAATCATTTTTAGTATACTTTACCATTGTATTATTCAGCATTTTAGCATTATTCATAATGATCATCATAAGCGTCTTTGTACAAGTAGTAATAGTAATATCAGTATTATTAATAATACTTGTCATTCTCATCTTTGTCATCATTATCATCATTATCATTATTATTATTATTCGATGATAATAACACTCAAAAACAAGAATAAAGAAAAAAAAACGATGACGACAACATGAAGAATACATACACTATTATTCAATTCGTATTCATTGTTTAATTTTTTCGATCTTTTTCTTTCGTTGATTATATTCGATAAACTTTTTTTATTTGGCCGATCTGAATGAATGGATGAATCCCACTATTGATGAAAAAAAACCATAGAAAAAACCACACACACACACACACACACACGCACACATAAACACACATAAGTACACGAACAAACAATAAAAAGGATGATGATATTTAATGATGGTAATAATGATCAGAATGAATGAAGAGAGTGAATGTAGTTAATCAATAACAGCATCAAAAAGAAATAGAAAATTGGATATCAAGAATTGGTCACACGATCATGATGATGATGAAAGCTGGAACTATGGACGGACCTTACTGTTCTATATAATATATATTTATGGGTGGATGAAAGAATAAAAAAAACGAATTTTATCATTTATTTGAAAAAGTATCAAATAACAACAATAACAACAACAACAACAACAAAAAACAAAGTTGAAAAAAATCCAAAAAAAAAGTTTTTGAATATATGTTGAACTTTTGAGTGTATTATTTGCCAATTTAAATGTCAAAATAATAATAATAAAAACAAAAGTAGAAATGAAAAGAAAATTTAATGTAAATAAAATGGAACATATTCATTCATCTATGGCCATTTGATTATAATGGCAAAAAAGAATTTTTTTTTTTTTGTTGTTACAATAAACACATTTTTGTCGTTTTTCGAACCTCATTATTAGCTTGACAATTGTTGTCACCAGCGTATTTGACTAAATAAGTGGCCATTGAGTAGCACCTATCTCAAAAAAGAACGAGAATAAGAATCTTAGCCAGACAATAAATGAAATGAAAAAAAACAGCAGAAAAAAATGATAACAACAAAAACCTTGTGAATGGCGGTAACTAACAAGTTCGAATTTATCATTATTGTTAATTTTGGATAGAAAAAGAATATTGGTTGTCCTAATAAAGATAATATGATCTAGGATCAAACTTCCTTGATTCTAGATGATGACGATGAAGCGGCATTGATTGTACATTTTATTCAATCTTCACGAGTATATGATGTCAATTATATTCGCAATAATGATGATCATCCTGATTATAGAATAAGTGATCATTTTTTGGGATTTCCATCACACACACACACACACACAAAAAAAAATAAGCTTCATCAAAAAACAAAGAGAAAAAAACTTTGAAAAATCTCAAATTACATTCATATAATAATCATGTTTGATAGAATTTCAAGTAAGCTGTTTTTCAGAAAAAATAGGAACATAATTTATCTATTTTATTTGATGGACCAATTTTAAAGATTTTTTTTTTCATTGTTGTACAATTTTTTTTATGTGATCCACCAGCCAATAAAAAAGAAATGCCAAAAATCAAATAAACTTGATTATTTTTGAAATGTGAATAAGTATCAATCAAACAACTACGAAAATACAATAGCAACGAAAACATTGTATACAATTATCAAATAAGTTTCCGATTTTATATCTAAATCTTTCCATCTATGCTGGGCCATAATCGTTATTATTATTATCATCAACTTGAATCTTATTAATATAATAATGTTATTTTATCGACAAAAAAAGAGAAAAAATTTTTATTCTGTTCAACTGGGTGGTATTCTGTCTGTCAACCATAGAAAACAACAACAACGAATAAGAAAAAAAAACTTTAATAGCAATTGAAGCTACGAATTGAAGAACTCATATGAATTGTAGATAAAGTTTAGATATAAAAAAAAAAATAAGAAATACTATGTTTTATATAGAATATTCAAGAGATAGTGTGATATGAATTTGAATGAATGTCGACAGATAAACGATGATAACAAACAATAACAACAACAAACACGACATCAACATTATCATCATCATCAAAGTCATGCTGGTTAAGCATACACTATACATTACAAGCTATGGTTGAATGGTAAGATTCTTAAATTTTTGGACGGATGGATGAATTGTATTCATGGATCGTTTGACTTGGCTGTTTGAGGTTTTCTATGTAAAATAAATATATGATAATATCAGCAGCATACAAGTTAAAAAGATAGAAAGAGACAATTCTATAAAAATTCTCAAATTCTTCTAGTTGATATTCACGAAAATATAGAAAAAATATTCTTTGCAAGGATCCTATGGATAATGATTATGATGGTAATGTAATGAATAAATCATGACAATCATAATCTGTAGCGATAATGACTGGTCATTTTTTTTTTATATGGGTTAGAGTGATTCATTGGATGGATAAACTATTTTCTACAGCGACTATAACGTTTTTAAGAAATTCTCTAAACATTGTATAAAATGGGGAATCTCTAATTCATTTTTAAATCCATAAAATCATTATACCTGAATTGGAAAAAATTAATGTGCCGCGAAACAATTCTGTTGTATGGCAAAATGATAAAAGTTTAAGGCTATGGAACATAAAAACATACACTACACACACTGAGAGAAAAAAAAAGTGGGGATGATTGATATGGCAGCAACGCGAAGCAAAAAAATTCTTGACATGAACATAGAAACACAGAAATTCTTACAATCAAAATACAGGTTAAAAAAGGTAAATTTTTTTCAAATTTAATGGCAATAATAATAATAAAATATATGTCTAATATGAAAAATATTTTACCGGTTAAAATTACAATAAATAAGAATAATTCTATAAGATTCTTGTGGCCATCTTATGTGTTTATAGATATTTGATACCTGTGATAGCCAATGCCTGGAATTTGTTTTTTGGTAATGAATCAAAATTCACTCAAAATTTTACCATTAAATTGGTAAAATTATTTTGGTCAATTTAACATTTAAATCAATGAATTTGAAATCTTTTCAAAATTCTTCATCCAATATTTGATTGATGACTATGGTATTATGAGAAAAAAATTGAATTAGTATCGATCCATATTGATCGCAAATCAATCGGGTATTGGAGTGGGAGAAATCATCGAATAAAATCTGAAAATATCGAACACAACAACGATGATGAACGAAAACAAGTCGGTTATTATTCTTATATACTTATTATTATTTATGCCAACGGGACAAATCATATTTAATAATTCAAAGAATTTAATTCAATTTAATTCAGTTCACATTGTATATAATATCGCACGATGCATTTTCATTTTATTATTATTATTATTTTTATTCTCACTTTTCTTTTTCTTTTTTTTCGCGCCTAATATATATAAAAATAGGAAATAAGAAAAAAGAAATAAAATAAAATAAAATCATTCTCGATCAACAACAACAACAACAATCACAAAAATCAAACACCCGTTTTGATTTTTTTTTCATTCTCTCCTCCTCTACTCAATAGTATAGAAAAAAAGCTTGAAAGTTGTTGTTGTTGTTGTCAAAAAAAGACGACAAAATGTTGGAAAAGGCAGCAATGAAAGATCAAGCAGAATAACCGATCGTCGGCACCAATTTTGATGTGATTTTTTTTTGCCTACTACATTCTTAGGTTCCATTTCATAGTTTATAAGCGTGTATAATAATATATAATATATATAATGTGTGTTTGACGGCAACAACGGCGGCTAGACACATGGAAATCGACATTGGTGAATTTTTTTTTGCAAAATGAAAAAAAAGATTGAATAAATGAATGAATGAATGAATGGAAACTAACCATCATCAAGCACGCATCAATGGCCAACAAATACACACACACAAACACGAACATGAAAAGTTCTAACTGAAATAAAAATCATTTAGAATTGAAAAGAACTTTATATTATTATATTAAACGAAAATGAATAAAATTGTTAACTATAGTAGTGATAGTGTTCCATAATAAAAACAACGCCGACAACATTCAACGGATGAATAACAAAATTGAATGAATGAATGAATGAATGGATGGATGGATGGATGTGGAAAAAAATGTCTAATGACAGATGAATTTCATTGATTGATAAATGATTCTTGCTGTTGTTTTTTTTTTTGTATTCTTGTACCACATTAGATTGTCCCTCTTTTCTTCTTGAACAGTTCAATTAGATATAAGCATACAAATCAAAGATTTAAATTTGTGTTTATATATGGGTTGGTTGGTGGTAGAATATGGATCGTAAAGTATAAGAAAAATGAAAATTTTGAAAATGACAAAACAGCCAGAAAAAAAAGATTAATTTGATACATACAGAAATCAATTGTATGTTATATAACGGAAAGAGTGGGAAAGAAAAAGAGTTTGAATGTATAGAATTGTCGTAATTGAATCCTACAATTCAAATGTTGAAAAAATGAATTTTTGGTTTTACTTGCATCAAAAACAAACACCACAAAAACACACATCGGTCAAAGAAAGGAAAAAAAGTAAAGCTAGTATAAACGAATTTTAGTTTTTTTTTTGGGGGTGGATCAATTTTCTTACTGATTCTAAATATTGTATTTAAGAAGGCCAATATATATATAGCCAATTTGATTGGAAATTTTTTCCTATCCAATAGGGTATTGGCGATTGTCGTTGGTTGATGGTGGTGGTGGTGGTGGTGGTAGAAAAAAAAAGTGAAATGATTTATATATTTGAAACAAAACAAATTTTTTTATTTATTTATTGCATTTTTTTTCACTTTCATAGATTCGATGATTTATTATCTTCAAATCTTTTATTCGACGACGATCATGATGATGATGATGATGATGATGATGGTCATTTACTATGGAATAAAGTGAAAAAAAACTATTTTTCTTCAAATTCAATAGTTATTGTTGTTGTTGCCGTCGTTGTTTGAAAGAATGGCAAAAAAAAAATCAATTTCCATTGAAAATCCATCGTCCATCAATTGAATCAGAATAGAATTTCAACAACAACGCATCTTGCTAAGCAAAATGAATTTTATTTTATTTTATTTTATACACACCCCCACATACATAAGAAAGATATTGCAAATGTTTTTTTTTATCGTCACTGTTGACGATGATGATGATGATGATGATGATGATGATGAGAAGAAATTTTGTAAAATTTAACGATTTGTAAAAGTGAAAAAAAATTTCTAGTTATTTAATTAACGTTCAAAACGATGTTGTTGATGATGATGAAAATACGGATTCAGGAACAACATATTTACAAAATAAATGCCAACAAATTTTTTTTTTTTTTTTTTTTTTTGAAATAGAAAATGCTAAACACAACTGGTTGACAGAAAATGTTGAACAAGATTTATAACAACCAAACGTAAAATTCTTTGCGCCCATCGTTGTTGATATTTTCCATCTTCAACAAACACACACACACACACACATTCATTCGAATATAAGACAAAGCATAGAAGAAAAAAAAAATTTCCAACTTATAATTCACCTTGTAATATTTTGTTGTCAACCATAAACATTATATATCTTGACACCACACATTATATACGAGAGAGAAGAAAAAAAAACAAATTCACAAAATTTGATTTTGATCAATGAATAAAAATTCTTCACAAATATGCAAATATACATAAATATTACAACATTAAATTTTATATATGAATATTTATTTGGAAAAAAAAATTTCGATGTTTATGTTTTCGTGTGTGTATGTTCCTGTGTGAATGCGCGTCCGATCAGTTGGTAAGTTACACGACAACTGCAATTGCCGGGATAGTTTAACCATACCGAAAACCGTATCCGTGTTCGTTGTTCATGATTCCGTATTCGCCGTTGTTTCGGTTGCATATACTACTATCATATTCGCTTGAACATAGAGAATCCAACCAAACATTGTACAACAGACGACCATTTTTACAGGAACTGTATGAATTTTTTTTTCTATTCCAGCTAGAAATATAAATGTAGAAGCATATAATGATGATAATGGATAAAAAAAACGGATCTAAAATTGATGCTGCTGCTGGGCCAATATCTGAATGGAGTGGTATAGTTGGTGATGGTATAATTGACAATGATTCTTAATCAATCTATCATAGTTCATTTGAATTTGAATTTATTCGACACTGAAAGACCTTTTTTTGTAATATTTTAGTATCAAAGGATTTGAGATCATCATATTTTTCATCAAAATCTATAAACATTATCAAATAGTCCATTACTTTCATGGCTATATTTTTTTCATGTGAGTTTTACTAAACACATACAATTATCCATGATTTATTTTTTGTCATTTTCATTTCCATTTTCATATTGTTTCGAAGTTTAATGGTCATTATATTAATCTGATAATGATGATTTTCAAAGAATTGGCTTAAAATCATTATTATCATCATCATCATCATCAAAATGAAGGGGACAAAGTAATGCTAGAAAAATTCGAGTGAATAAAAAATGAAGCTTATATCATTTTTAGTATCGTGTGAAACAAAGAAACACACACACACACGCAATGGAACAAATACTCGACAGTGATGATAATTAGATATTTTTTTTTCAGTTGATGGTAATAATTACGACATTCCAAAAAGTAGTTGTAAAATTTATTTCCGCATTGTTCACCATACAAAAGATAGCTATTTGTCTATAATAATGGCATCATCATAATTGTCGTATATATATCACACGGTAAAACATTCTCTGTATCACCAAAATGTAGTGATGTAATTTATCTAATTTATTTAACGGGATTCATTTCATTATTATTATCAAGTTTTTTTTCCATTCACATTCGCTCATTATTATTCGTGAAAGTAAAAAAAAAAATTCATTCCCATTCCAAATTCTTGACAACAACACAGAACAGAACATTGTTGTTGTTATTATTATATAATAATATTTTCAATGATGTTATACATCTGATTCTCGTCATTTGATTCACATCAGATCTAAAACGAGAAAAAAATATCATCATTTTCACCATCATTGCTGTTGGTGCAAGTGTGTGTGTGTGTGTGTGTTGTCATTTGAATTACACGAATTTCTATATTTTTATCTTTTGTGGTTTTTTTTGCATTCTATAGATTTTTTTTCAAACAATTTTTTTTTTGATTGTTTGAATGTACAACTATCATGCTATTATAATAGCATTGCTTTTGTTCTTTGCATTTTTCCTCTAAAATACCTATCTATCTATAATGTTTTTTTTGTGTCTTTTGGAAACGTCGTCCCATCAAAATTGTCGAATATCAATAATAATGTGTGCTGTAAACAATGTATATATACATGTCAAATTCATACCTGGATTTTTTTTTCTTCTCATTCTCATTTTATTTTCTTGCAATCGCTGTCATTGTCACCTCTATACTAAAAAAATCCAACTAAAACATTACATTTAGATGTCATTTAAATACATGCATGTGAAAATGATACATTCAATTCCGACATTTTGTGGCCCTTTTTCCCGTAACTAATGAAACTGAATTATATGAACTCATATCTCTCAACATTGCATGATAAATAATAATTTCAAAATGGAAGCGAATTTTCCGATCGATTTGATTTTTTATTCAAGAATTTTGAATACGTACATTATGAATGTAGATTTCATAAATGCCGAATGCCAGCGTGAATTCTTTATTCAGTACAAACAATGTTGACCAAGACAATGATGAATTTAGTTTTTATTTTCAAATAAAATCGAGTGAAAATGTTTTTCTGAATTACAAAAAGTTCGGTTCTAATTTTCCATACTTTAAGCTAATAAATAATTGATTATACTAGAATTTTATAAAATGAATGTTGATAACAATTCTGATCAAAATGAGGTGAGTCTTGATGTCTTATTTTAATCATTAAATGTATTTAAAATTTTGAATTTTGATAGTCATTGGAAGCACCTGAAGATGATGATTTTGGTGATTTCGAAGGAGCAGAAGATGAAGCTCCAGAAGCTGTACAAGCAATGATTGGTGGTCCAAATTGGGTTTATCCTGGTGAGTTTTTCGTTAACTCATATTTTTCACTGTTAAAATAATTTCTTTTATTATATAGATCTTGTAAGAATACAATCATCAAATAACAATACTCAAAACGATATAAACAATCCTGAACTTAATAATTTCAACAATCAAAATCGACCAAGCTCACATCGAATATTGGATCCTCCTGATGTTTCTTTACTCACAAATATTTCAAATTCTCATTGCTCGAAACCACAACAAACATTAGATCTTTGTAGTTCATTAGGATCATCATCGGCTAGTGCTTCGAAATTGATATTCAATACTGCAAATAATTATGTATCACCAAACAAAAGCTGTACTGGTCCAACTAGTGTATCGTCACCATCGTCTGGATCATCATCATCATCAATGGCTGTAACAAATATGTCCGGCCTAATCCTAAGCAATTCATCAAATTCATCCTCTCCTAGTTTGTCTAATAATAATAAAGGTAACAGCTTGAACCATCCTATTCCATCAACATCGAATGGTATTATTTCATCATCCACATCAGTGTTTGGTCTGAATCAACAACTGGCACAAATGGAACAACGAATACGTTCGCTTCAGACGGAAAAACGTTTACTACAAGAACAGCTTTGTGAACGCGATAATCGAATCAATGATTTGCAAAGAATTGCTCATCAACAACATCAATCTGGTTTAGAACAAAACAGCAATGGGAGATTATTAGAAGAAACGATTGGTCGACGTATCGATTCTGCACTCGAACGTATTGAAAGCAATTTGGAAACATCAATTACCGATCTACTAAATCATGTGGAAAGATTGGAGAGAAAAGTGGATAGTAACAATTCGTCTGGATCGTTGATAAACGGTATGGTCATTGATAATGGTGGTGGAGAATCATCACATCATGAGTCATGTCTTCAACTATTTCAACAATTGAAACATGAACAGCAACAAGAACGACGAGAATATATGAAAACATTGTCGAACATTTTATCTCATGCATTACAAGAGCTAAACAATACATTCAAACAGTAATTTATTATTTTCAAAGACAAAAAATTTATTTTATTTGTAAATATTATTTTGTACATCATTCTTTGATCACCTTTTTCATGAAATATGAATTTGTAAATTTGTTTTCCACTACGAAAAAAAAATCGAATAAATATATCAGATTAATTACCAGTCGACCTCAAAAGATTCACTTGATTTTGAACTATGATTCGAATGATCAACAACGTTCGAATTGTTCTTGGCCATCATGATCATTCCGTTTGAATTTGAATTCGAACTGGTTTTGGGTTCAACACCGCCATTTATCCTATTATTATTGGTATCATTTTCAAGTTTAGATGAAACACTTGCTATAGCAATTTGAGAAGGCTGTGTGACATTTTGAAATTTCAGTGATGATGAAAATATTGAATCTGACCCTTTAACAATATTTGATGTTTTTTCTGGAGATCGCGAAATACCAGTAGCAATCGAATCAATCTTGTTTAATTTTTTTGAAGAAGTTTCTAATTCGGATGCAATGAGCAATTCTTCATATAGGGTTCGATGTACTAATGGTGAGTTTTGATGGTGGTTTTGGTCAGATCGATCTAATGAAGCATTTTCTGGTGGGTTGAAACGATTTTCAAACTGATTATGATGGTGATCATTCAAATTATCACCGCTTACATCATTATTGTCATCTATGATCGATGAAACGTCGGGTAATTTATTATTGGACATTTTTTCATAGATTTTATCTATAATTTTACGCACAAATTCATCCGAAGATGATTGTCCTAATTTTTTCGGTGAATTATTCTGGCTCTCATAGTCATCTTTTTCCGTTTCGAATGATTTGTAAAATGTCGATTGTTCGTGCTGTTTTTCATTATTTTCTGCTGTACTACATGACGATAAACGATCTTCTACCTCTTCTGCTTCTTCATAGTCATCATGAAGAATATGTACATCACCACTCCTATGAAGAATTCCGTATTTGCTATGGTTATTATCATATTCAAGATCATTCTCATTATCATTGCATAATCTACATCCTCTAACATGTGAATAGCGATTCTGAGGTTTATGGAATCCATCCATTGAAATTGAACGTTGATGATGATATGATGAACGATGATGATTCAATGTCGCAGATGATGTAGGAACATGATATAACGAATGTCCTCGATGGTGGCTTATTTGATGTTGATGATTATTGCCATTTGAAAACGATACTGATGGTCGAAATTGATTAAAAGTTTGCGTTGTACTAGAAAAATCGTTGTTCCTAAAAAATTAATATGGAAATCAAAAAATAATTCCTTTGTTTTAGATAAATACTCACAATTTAGCGAGATGATCCTTAATGAACGCTTGCAAACGTTTTACTTGACCGTTTGCTGCTTCATATTTAGAAGAGAATTCTTCTTGATCAGCCTGAAATTTTTGCTTGAGCAACACCGATTCTTGTTCTGCTTTTCGTAAATCTCTTTTTAAACAAATAATTTTCTGATCATTCGAACGCTGTTCTCGTTCCCATCGCTCTCGATCGCGTTCTAGTTCTTGATTTTTACTTTCTAAACTTTCTTTAAGAATTTGAAGTTCATTTTTGAATGCTCGATTTTCAAATTTAGTTATCTGATAATCTTCCATACTATCGACTTTTTCCTTTAGCACTTCATTTTCCTTCTTTGTTATTTCCAATTCTTTACGATATTTTGCCAATTCCATATCGCTCATACGTTTGCTATCAATTTTTTCTTTGACAATCTTCACTTGTTCATGTAATCGAGCTTCAACTTCTTTAACTCGTTCTTCTTTTTTGATCAGATTACTTTTATCAATCTCTAGCTCGTTGAATTTTTTTCTCAATTTTTCAATTTCGAATTTCATCTCTGCTTTGATTCGTTCACCAACAATTTCATTGATCATCTGTTCACGTCGCATTAATTCATTAGTTTTCTGGTTGAAATCTTCAACACGTGATTTAAGCTCTTCTTCACCTAAACGTAATTTTCGTTCACGTGCATCCAATTCGATACGTAATTGTTTATCCCAATCTTCTAATTTTCTTTGATCACTTTGAAGCTTTTCACGTTGTCTTTCTAGCTCTCTTTTCTGTAATTCTTTTTCAATTTCAAATTCATAACGAATTTGTCGTTCCCAATTGGCTATTGATGATATTCGATCCATAGATCGATGAAACAATGGTTTCATTCCTTGATCATCAGTATCATCTAAATTTTGATCGTCGTCACCTTGATGACACCCGGTTTCTTCATCGCTATAATATTGTTCAGGTTTATTATTCAATTTTGTACTACTTTTTGAATGAATAATTCCATTGGAAATTTGTTTACGTCGAGTTGCTATGGCCGATTTCGGTCGTATCATTCGTTTTTTTGTGGCAGGATTCTTTCGAAAATGTTTACCCATGCTAATTTCATTATTCAATGTCGGTGTCATATGATCGATTTTGGCTACAATTGGATTCCCTGTTTTTGCATCTTGTTGTTCGAATTCATCGGCTTTTAACCGAACAAAATCATCAACTATTTCACGACTCATTTTCATATAACGTGCTAATGATGTTGTACGGAATGTAATGGCATGATGATGATGATGTTTATTGAAATTTCGAAGTGAATGGAGAAATTCGCGATCGTTATGGTGATATATTGATGTTGGCCGATCTTCTATGTTTTCTCTTTGTTTGGACAATGAATCTAAATCCAATAATGATGAATATCGTTCAGGTTTCTTTTTAGTATTAGTATTGTATGAAATAATTTTTTTCAATTGCTTATCATTTAAATTTTGATCACTATTTTGAGCAAAAGAATTTGGTTTGGCACTTCTTGTCGCAGATTTGTTGGCCGATTTTCTGGTATTCCAAATATGACCAAAAAGAGGATTACGAATATTTGGTCTAGCGACTGGTGGCGCCATAGATTTTCGGTCCATATTGATTTCGTACTATTATTTAGAAATTTACAATTAATAATTCAATCAAAATAAAATCTGATCATTTCTTACTTTGTCAAAAATTAGCCACGTTCATTGCACATGTTAAAGAAGACATTCCATGTATGAATAATGAAAAAAATTATGATGACAAATCTTTTTATTTGAAAAAAATATAAATGCAAGAACCTACCGGGCTATATATACTGGTAGTGTGTATACCAATTCGGTATGATTCACTCGAATAAATGTAACCAATGGCAACCGAAAAACTCTACCGCCAAGTTTGTAATAGTTAATTTAGAATTTTTGTATTTAAAATTTAAAAAATTATCACAATTTAAATTTGTACTGAAATTTGTAATGAAAAAATACGATGTTTTTAACGATTTTGGCACAAAATTATTTTTGAAGAATTTTGGATGAACAAGTGAAAAAATTTTAACTGTAAAATTATTTTCCCAAAAAAAACATTCGTTGTCGTCTTCTTTTTTTTCAGTTGTCATTCATCGTCCAAACAACCGATGGCCAAGACCAAAGTTTGAGGATTAAATTCAACAGGTAGGCAGGAGCAAACCTGAAAACGAGCAGCCACTACAACTAACACGACAACGACCACCAATTTGATTGTTGCTCATAATAATAATAATAAAGTCGATGGCGACGAAGAACGACTGGAATCTATCGTCGTCGATAAAGAAATTGTGTATTTGTGTTCTGTATATTAACTTTTGAGTGTGTTGCAAGACTAGTTTCTTCGCATATCTTTCTTATGACGTTCAATGTCAATGTCTTGTGGTCTTGTATAGGTAGTCATTTCATTTGTTGGTTCATAATTTAGAATGGTAAAGGCCGCGATAATTTCTGAAACACTGAAAAACGTTAATACATATTATACTAATCATTTAATATAGAAATGATTAGACAAATAGCTGAAATAACGATCCAGAATAGCTTAATAGCTATTATCAGTAAAGATGTCCAAAGATCAACGATTCAAGTTTTTTTTTCATGTATGGTTTCAAAAAATAATGAAACTAAATTTCGATAAAATGAAAAAAAAATACTAAATTTACTTACAAGCATTTAATTGTCAAGAAAAGACAAAACAATTAGAGTACAAAAATATTAAGAATTTCTTTATCCGTTTTTGGTCACGCCATCTTTGAACGATACTTAACATGTTTTCTGAAACATGTGACTCAAAATTGTTTTAATTTTTTTTTTTTTGAATTTATCTTTATCAACTTCAATACATCATCATGGAAGAATATGATAGTTTGGAAATTTTCTGCGATACAATGTTACACAGATATTATGATCTGTTGATTGATCATCATCAATTTATTGTCGAATCAATAATGCCCATAACGTATGTTCATTTTAAGAATGAATTGATTTGGTTGGAAATTCTCAAAAATCGTGAAATTCGTCAAGCTTTAACATCAATGTTTCGTAATTACCAGAAAGATGAAGAAAATTTTGTCGAAATTAAAGGAGCTAAACAACTGATCGATAGAACTGGGAAGCTTTTGGTCGGAGCCATATCATGTTTGCAGCTTTATGTCATTGATAATTTTCTATTTCATATCGATCGAAGTCAGAAGAAATCCTACGATGATTGTCTAGAGTTTGTCATAGATTTTTTCAATCTCGAAAGTAAAAACGGAGATATTCATTGTATTGAATATTCTCTTGATATTGATGGTGAAACTATTTCTCCATTGGCAAGAAATGTTGAATTATTGAAAATATGTCGACTTGTATTCGAATTTTTGAATCGAAAATTCAATACCTTCTTTCAAAATCATCCTGATGAACAATTGTACTTTATTTTATGGTCAATGCGTTCGGCCATTATCCATCAATTATCACTTTCATCTTCAACTGGGAAGCTTTATGATGAAATCCTCGATTATTCGAACACAATAGAATCGATTCTTGCATCAAATGAAAAAATAGGCCGTTCATTCAAAATGAACTTGTTTACCGAATTGGTCAATATATTTACAGCTTTTGGCGATCAAGAAAATTCGAAAAAATTCATGTCGTTGGCTAAAACCCATTCCGATATTTCATTCAATTTGATTGGTCGACTTGGAATGCGAACTCAATTTCAAACAAAACCAGTTTCACAATTGATGGTCAATCTCAAACGATTATCAGACGATCATAACAAAGAACAGCAGAATAGTGAAGTTAAAATCACGATAGCTATGCCATTTAATGAACCTTTGGAGGATAATACGCTTCTGCAAGAAGTAAAATTCATTAATGAAGAAACATCTCAATCCAAACAAATCGTCAATTTAAAGCCTATTGAACAATCGTTAATGGTCACTTGGATCAAATTTCAACAACGATTTGGATCATCAACCGATGAACTTTTACGTGAAGAATTGTTGACCTTCATTTATTTCCTTCTGCAACATTGTGACCATTGGATTATGCAGTTTATTCTATTGGAAATGCGAAGTCTTCAAGAACGTTCGATGCGTAGACGGGTGGAACGTTCATTGAAACAGCTTCAAACCCTCTACGAAACAATACGTTACCCCAATGAAAAATTTTTTCCCGAACAAGTATTTCAGCGAATACGATATTTTTATTCGACAATTTCAAATCCATTCTGGAGAATAGAAAAGCATTATGCAGATCTATTATTTGCTCTGGGTGTCTACAAATCAGCTTTGGATGTCTATCTTCGATTACTAAACTGGCGTGAAATGATCGAATGCTATAGAAAGATTGGCTTGCTGCATAAAGCCGAGGAAATAATTCGTGAAAAATTGACCGAAAATCATAACCAACCTGACATGCATTGTTTATTGGGCGAAATAACCGGAGATCTTGATTGTTTCCATTATTCATGGAAAATATCGAATAATCAATATGCTCGAGCACCGAAATTGCTTGGTCTACATTATTTTAATATTAAAGATTATGATAATGCTTTGGAATATTTTCGAAAATCAATTGATGTCAATTCCATGCAAGCCGATGTTTGGTATCGTATGGGTTATATTGGTTTAATTCAGGAAGATTGGAATCTTTCTGTCATGGCTTATAGAAAAGTACTGCAATTCGATACTGATTCATTTGAAGCGTGGAATAATCTGTCCAAAGCTTATATCAAACTCGGGGATAAAGAACGAGCAATGAAAACATTACAAGAAGCCATTAAATGTAATTTTGAACAATGGAAAATTTGGGAAAACTATATCGCCGTTTGTGCCGATCTTGGCGAAATTTGGGAAATCATTCATGCATGGCATCGATTAATAGACATCAAAGGAACATATTTAGATGATCAAGTAGCTGAAATACTCGTCAAATGTCTTCAAGAACATTCAAATGATCAACGATTAATTTCGAAATCCTTAGAACTATTCGGACGTATAACGAGTACGTCACCTGGAACGGCAAAAATCTGGAATCTATATGCCCGATTGTTACTAATGGCAAATCGTGACCGAGATGATGTGATGAAAATTGAACAATGTTTGCAAAAATCACAACGTCAAATATTGCTGAGTGATTGGGAGAAAGATGTCTACAAGATTATTGAAGTTTTGAGCCATTTTGAAGATGTAGCCGTGAATATTTTAGAATTTATTAAAAAATATCCACCAAAACTTCGCACAACATTAGGTTCATTCCGACTGTCGCTAAACTCTATTGTGGGGCAAGTAAACAAAACGAGATCAGATTTACCTATAACAGAACCATCAACATTGGAAAAATTAAACGCAAAATTCGACGCAATCTTACATATACAGAATCAAGTCATGGATACTTTGAATAAGTGAATCATAATAATCAATATTAATTCTTGTTGGATTTAATTTTTTTTTAATAATTGAATTTTTCAATAATAATTACATTTTTCGATTTATCGAATTTTTTTAATTTTAAATCTAACATTGCTTTATTTGATGGAAAAAATGACGATTACAAAGCAGCCGCACCTGAAATAATTTCAATCAATTCCCTGGTAATGACAGCTTGACGTGTTCGATTGAATGTCAACGTAAGCTTCTGGATCATTTCGCCAGCATTCTTGGATGCATTGTCCATAGCCGTCATACGGGATGATTGTTCGCTACAGGCATTTTCTTTCATTGCATAGAAAATCAAGCTGGCCAATGAATATTCATAATAGGATCGAATGACATCTTCATCCAAACTGTCGTATACACTAATCTTCGGCGACAAATTAATGGAACCTTGGCTAAACACAGGAATCTCAGTAGTATTGTAGGATACGACAGATTTAAATTGATTGTAGATGATTATACCACGGTCAAATTCATAGTTAGAGTTCAATATTTGTGAGGCAACCTCTCGAGCATCACCGAATTGTGGTGGTCGTTTACCAAAATCGTTAAACAACATCAAAATGTTGTTAGCAAATTGTCTTGCCAACATAGCTTTAGCTTTGTCGCCAACACAGACTATCTGGATCTTGTCTGCGTCCGATTCATGAGCCATGATTTGTCGCACTTTTTTGGCTACCGATGAATGAACAGCGCCACAAAGGCCACGATCAGATGCGATGGCGACAATTAGTGTACCAGGTTTGGTTCCTTTTTCTTTGTCTTCTTCGGTGACTAAATCACTTCGTTCATAAAATTGAAGAGTGCCTGATCCAAAAACTCGAGCATTTTTCAGATCTCGTTCGGCTCGTGCATATTTGGCGGCGGAAACCATCTTCATGGATTGTGTAATTTTTCGAATGTTGGTAACAGACTTGAGACGAACACGAATATCTTTAAGCGTAGCCATACCACGGCTTTGATTGGTCGCGGTGGCCAATGAAACCAAAACCGGGGCTGCATTATTGAGCGATGAACGGAGTGCAAGCATGTTGAGCCAATTTATCTGAAAATTGAAAACAAAAATAAAAATTAAAATTTTCGAACCGATAAGAGGTAGAATAAAAATTACAATTTGATGGCCAAAAAACCTATTATTAAAAAACCGAATTTAGATATAACAAACATACACACACGAATAGGTTACATCGACAATGCTGCGACAGCTGAAGGTGAAAAGCACATATTCAATTTCTACCTTCACAGACTTGATGTGTATAAATTGAAACATGTGGTTCGCATAGCAAACACAAGATGGCTCTTCAACGGGGATTATTCTGGAATAAATTCTGGATTTTCAATATTATATTGGAATACGAAATATATAGCATTGATTTTTTCACATTTTGCTTGCTACTATTATTTCTGGCGTCTGACGAACACTTTATTTTCAACTGACAAAGTTTGCACATACAAGCTAGTGTTCCAAAAGCAAAAGAATTGAAATTATTCATACAATGACCAGAATTCGTTTCATTCAGTTAGCTGGTTAGTGTTAGTCAGTCATTCCATTTTCATTTGTGTCAGTATCCTTTGAATGAACGGACGGTTCATCGGTTAGTCGGGCATTTTGGTGCAATGTGTTGACGCCTGACGGACTAGGCCATTCAGGCAATCGGGTATCTGGGTTTTTTGTTTTTGTTATGATTCGATTCGACGACGACAAACGTCCTTATCCATTATTATTATCATCATCATCATAATCAATGGTAAGTTTTATCTGGTCATATTGTTTTTGAACGTGTGTTAATATAAATTGGTTGGAAAATTTATCGTTAAATTTAATTGAAAATCTTCTTCATGGTATACAAGTTTCAATAAACTTATCATAATTTTAGTTTGTTTAAAATAAGTAGACGATTTCACTGTTCGTAGGCCTCATACATATGATGATGATATTGAATGAATGATAAGCTTAAGGCTATTTTTTAGATCTAGATTACTCACAGAAAGCAAAGAAAAGAGATCTAAAGCCTTGGGAATCATATAAAACCACAAATAAAGAGAGCAAATGTTTTTATGCAATGATTTTACCGTCAATTACGACAACCATGGATTGAACCGGCACCAATCGGACGCGACTCCAGTTTCGAATTCTGAACCTTTGCCTTTGGAGATATGTTGACCATTTATCGATCGCCGTTTTGAGAGCAGTCGCCTCTTTTCATTAGTGGCATAACGACTTTTGGATAATCTGTGAATTTTTTGAAAATATTCAACAACGTATCGTATTCCATTGTCATCGACTCTGTTAAAATAATGCCCGCCATAGCTTTATCACTCTGCATCAGTGCAAAATCAACCAAACCGTACGGCTTGATCGGTTATTCGAACCCACAGGCCGTGATGACAATAATAATACTTTTTAAATCTTCAAATGCCATTGATGATTGTTTTTCCACTGAAACCGATTCTTTGGGGCCCAACAATGTCATACAAATCGAACACTTTTTCAGCATAATTTGGGAACCAATGAACGATAAGAATTAACCAAACCAAGAAATGATCTGAGATCTTTTCTACATTTCTCGAACTGGAAATCGTATAAATACATTTAGAAAAAAAATGACTGAATGAATGAATGAATGATGTATCAATGACCAACTCTATAAAGTTGAGAAAAAATATTCTATTATTATAATCACATAGGAGTAACCCTTCTGATTCAGTCGGATATTCAATTTGCCATCATAATCATTTTGTGTGTGTTTGTGTATGCGTGTGTGTGTGTGTTTTTTTTTAAATTATCACCATCGTCGATTCGGAACATTCCATATTTTAGTATTTTTGTATATAAATTATTTTCTCAGGAAAAAAATCCCTTTTTTGATTATATACCGTCGACTCTTTTATCATCATTATACATGATTATTAGTGGATTATGCAAATTAATATTTACTATACATTGATTCTAAAACTTCCTCTTTTATCTATGAGAATAATCGCCATCATTGACAAAAAAAAAAAAAAAAAAAATGGAAAATGTTTTGTCCTCTGTCATCATCATCCTCATTCTGAAAAGAATGCAAATGCGACAAGATGAAAAAAGATTTTGAATTCTATGCATGAATGAATTCATCAGATCACGTCCATAATATAAACATAGTGATGATCATGGTCAACCATCATCACCACGACGACGATGACAACAACCAGGTTTCAAAGTGAAGAAAAAAAAACTTGATTAAATGTAAAAGAACAAAGAGCAAAAAAAAAATCAGACTCGCTCTCAATAAATTCCTAGTCATCATTATGAGAGCATCTCTGATGGCGGCAGCGGCCTCAGAATGTGTGAATGAATGACTTGAGACAATTTTATGTAATGTATAAAAAAAAATTCACACAAAAAGAATGAATAAAACGAAAGCCAAAATGTTATCGTTCAAGTCAAAATGCCATTCACTGAAAATGGTCGAAATCGACACGATGTGCTATCATAATAATACAACATTCCATTCAATACAATATGCAAGATTCAATTCGAATACCAACAGCAGAAGCAGCATTCATATGTGTATGATATACAGATTGCCGAATGAAGCCTGTTGCCATGATGAAAACCTGCCTCATGTTGTTATCGTTGTTGTTGTTGTTGTTGTTGTTGTCGTCTAACAACAACTTGTTGGACACAGACGATCATAACAACAACAGCACAGACTTTGTAATGGAACGAATGACGATCATATCGAGTTTTGAGTTCTTCGTGAATGTCTGTTTTGTGTATATGCTTTTGTGTTGTTGTGAGTAGAATTGAATTGGAAATATTGCAATTTTTTTTATTTGGCCATGGCCAAAATATGTTTGTTTCCATCTGTTTATTGTGTGTATGTATGTGTATGATTTGACCACCCCTTATGTGATTTTGATAATTCATGCTGTGGTCATGGGGTTTTTTCCATTATTGTAGAAAACGGGTTAAACGTTTGGAAAACGTTCCCAAAAAAACCAAGTTTATAATGGATGAATGTTCAGAATTCTAATGTTTAAATCAATCGATGGATCATAAATGAAAATGATTTCATCATTCATCATCGACAACGTGATATTGATATTCGGATTTTCCCCAACATTGTGACCACAAAGAAAGAACAGTGTTTTTTTTTTGTTCAATGTTCATTTTCCCCATCATGCGATGTATATGATTTGATAGATATTATCAATGAATAATGGAATCTTAACCCAAAGTGATAATAATGGTGAGTTGATGATTTCTAGTTGTTTTTTTCCTAATAATTGGTTAATTATGTGTCAATCAATTGTATCAATCGTATGGAAAATGATCCTATCAATACATACGATTGATATGTGAAAATATTTGCAGACACTATTTACCATTTGATGTGTATGGATTCTCAACAACAACAACAACAAAAATCAGTTTGATTTGTGTTATATAAACTTAAAATAGATATATTCTCATTTTTGTTTATATATTTTTTTTAAAAAACTCAATAGTATTGAAAAAGCCGAAATTCAAAACAATAAAATCTCAATTCCATATCGCCTGGCAGTACTAAGCTTTATTCGATTAATATCATCATTATCATATATTGATATAATTGTTTATATATGTAAATGGTGTGGGAACAAACAAAATGATTTCATCGAATGAGAAATATTTTGTGAAGATTTTTTAATTTCAAAAAAAATTTTTTTTTATAACAATAACAATTATTATGATATTTCGACATCACTATAATCATCATTTTGTTTATAACACAATAGTGCATTGTAATCTCATTGATGATTCATTGATTTTATTGTCAAATTGATCGAATCGAAAATGAAATATACGTATATAGAAAAGAAAGTTTAGAAAAAAAATAAATTATCATGCGAAATAGACGGCATATAAATTCAGTCGATTATTTTGTTATTTATGTGATTCTCTTCTCATTTTTATGATTTATCCATCCATTCCATCTATTCATCATTTCATTCACAAAAAAAGTATTCATTTAGGATTATTATTATTATTTTTTTTATGTTTTTATTGGAAAATTATAATGAAAAAAAACCGAAAAATGATTGACAACATCATTATCATAATATAGTTGAATTTTTGAATAGACCAACAAGCATAAAATAACGACGACAAATTATATTCAGTATATACTGTATACAGCAACAATATACCATATTTAATATTGTGATCCTATCCACCGATTTTTTTTTTCGTTTCACATTCTGTTTTGAATGAAATCAAAAAACAAGTCATCGAACCGTCAATATCAGCAGCAGCAGCAACAGAAGCATTTGCTTGCCAAAGAAACATTAGATAACAATAGAAACAATAAAATGGCAACACAAACGATTGCATTATCGACATCATCTCAATCAAAATTAACTACTTCTAACCAACGTAATCATCGTATAACTGTTCCGTCAGAAACAGATCGACACCGTAAGGATAACATTAGCAGTAGTAATAATAGTACTGCTAGTACTAGTCCAATTACCTCAACAACCGGAAGTCCGATAACTCATCCGACATCCACATCACCATCATCCGGTAAACAAACACAGCAACAACAACAACAACAATCAAACATAAATGAGAATATGGCATCAAATATGGTCATCGATTCTCCGATACATCATCAACATAGTAATAGTAGTTGCAGTAATGGACAGCTTCCACATCCAAATCGTTTACAGCATCATCGACGAAGTCATAGTCAAATTGTTATCGCTTCATCGAATAGTCAACCAGTTAATTGTGGTTCAGCAGCAGCAGAGATCTCAAAAATTCGACTAAATGGTAAGTAATAAACAATTTTTTCCGATTCTTTATCGGTAATGATTAGGCATTAAGCATAAAGGCTATCTTATCATATATGAGGAAATTCTTTTTGTTTAATGATAATTACAACTTTAAGGGCGGAAATTCTACGCATTTAATAATCAACATGGCCCTAATAGACGTCATGAATGATTTTCTTTTTGATGATTTTTTCGATTTCCTATAGCTAGTTTAAATACTGTACACCAGCAAATTGTTATTGTATGTACCTAAACCGAATATTTTTTTTTTTTTGAAAACGCATGAATAACCATTGTATGCATAATTTTTATATCATAATTAAAAATCAACGAATCATATCTATTCGGATTAGTTACGGAAATAATTGTCCCCTATATCGGCCAAGAGTAAATTGACCGATAAATGTACAATGAATTGAATTCAAATTGATTAATTATAAAAATCATATATCAATTTTCCATGACTAACGAAACTTTTTTTTTTTTTTCTTTTTCCCTTTTTTTAAAATTCTCCATTAAAACAGTGTTTTGTGCCAAAAATCTGGTCAAAAGGGACTTTTTCAGTAAGTACCACATACATCATATCATATTATTAATAATGAATTTCAAATGAATTCAAAAATAGTTGCTGTACATTATATTGTTTTGATAAAAATTGTGTTGATTATATGTTATGTAATAGGGAAAAATATAGTTTAGAAATGATAAATTATGATTATTGTAGCTCATAGAATGATAATCAAGTGGAGCAAGTTGCTAGAATTTTTTTTTATTTTATTTTATTCTATTTTTCACTTTTTTCATTTTATTCTATTTTTTTAATTAATTTTTATAAAAATTGGAAATAACAAGACGTTGAATTGTAACGATGTTAAACTACTGTTTTTCAAAATTGACATAAACAGGGTACTGTTATTTTTCATTTTCGTTTTAACATTAAAATTGCCATTAATCTATATATATTTTTTTTTTTTTTTTTTTTTTGGTGAATAGTTGATGTTATCATTGATGCGAATAAGAATGAAAATTTATTTTCATTTGAATTATGTCAAAATAGATAACAGTAGTCAATTCTTATTGGTTTATGTGTGTAGTTGTGTCTATAAAAGAATAAAACGATAATTTTTTTTTTTTTATTGATATTCGAATCAGGAACCATTCTTAATGTGAAAAAAGTTCATCATTGATTATGATGGTTGCAATTATCATTACAACAATTGGCCATCATCATCATCATCATCATAATCGATGATCCGTTTATTGAATTTTATTCGGATGACAGTGATGATTAGAACCGACTAGGCTCAATACATTGATATTTTGGTTGAAGATGGCTATAGTTTGGTTAACAATTTTCCAACAAGTTCCATGATGATGGCTGCTTTGATCAACGATCTTTTTGAGTTTTAGTTTTATGATAGTCGAATTGTCATCATTAATCGATGTAATACTGCACTTGATTGTCATCATTCAGTAGACGATTTATTTTATTGTTCAAATTTATTTCTCCAACTCTATGATGATCGTACACATATAATGATGATGTAAATAAATGAAACGAAACAATTTGTTGACTTGCGATTTTTCATCTATAGATTTCTTTCCGTTTTTTTTCATAGATTCAGTTTAAAAAAAATGGATAAAATAAAGAAATGTCTGTTCAAATCCTTTTGGCTTTTACAATAACTTTTCATCCATATGAAATTTATTCGAATCATCAGTGATTTTTCAAACGAATTGGTTGGTTGACGCTGTGCTTTTTTATCATCAACCATACAATTTCGAATTTAAATTTCTAGATTTTCGTATTTTCCCATTTCCATCATCATACCTTTGTATTGCATTGCAATCATGATGATGATGGCGGTTGGACGATTTTTGTTGTTGTTTGTGATTGCAAAACACATGTATAAAAAAATAAACAATTTAGCTTTTGGTTAAGAAGTGAGGTTAATTGGAAACCTCAATTGAACTTTTAATTATTATTTTTGTATTATGACAATTTAACAATTTATGATTGAAATTATTAAAGTTTTTTTCTATATAATGATATAATAATAATGATCATTATATATCATATACATTGAAATATCCAAATAGATTTAGTTTCGATGTCATCATCATGTCGGAAACATTTATTCTTTCTATGTGCAAAAGGTAAAGACGATTATCAACTGGAAAAATGAATAAAAGAAAAATGAGTTCCCTTTCATCTTTATTTTATTTATCATATGGAATTCTTTTCTCGTTTATCATCATCATCATCATCATCATTCACAATTTCGGTCGACCATTTCCGAGTAATTCATTCCTAATGTGATTAATAATAAAAACATATTCTCAGGGAAATGAGAGATGAAATTATTTTTTTTTGTTCACTCAATAATTTCATTGCCATTTTCATGATGCTAATGGCCCCTATCGTAATGACATTTTTTTCGTATTTTATTTTTCGGTCACATGTCATGGATTTTTTTTTTGTTCGCTTCACTGATCACTGAAGTACTTTTTATTTATAATGATGATGATGATTATGGTCTCTGTTATAACCATCTGCCATTTTATTGAATTTAATGATAATCTTTGTATGCATTCGAACAATTCTTGAATTGTGTCTTTAATAATAGTAGTAATAATAATAGTGATAACCTTTGTCATTAAAATTCAATGTTTGCATCTTTTTTACAGGTCTACCGGATCCATTCTGCAAGATTACTGTGGATGCTTGTCCATCGAATGCAATCACCGGTAATCAATGTCATACAACTGATATGTGTAAAGATACTCTTAGCCCAAAATGGAACAAAAATTATGATCTGTAAGAATAATTGGTGAGAATTTTGTCATTTTTTTTTAATTTTTGCTATTAATCATAGATATTTAACGAAAAATGATTCATTAACAATATCCATTTGGAATCAAAAGAAAATACACAAAAAACATGGTGCCGGTTTTCTTGGATGTGTTAAAATCATGCCAAATCTTATACAAAGTCTTAAGGATGCTGGATGTAAGTATGAATGAATCTAAAGTATGACATGTTGCTTGCATTGGGATTTATCGAAACAAAACTAAATGTTCGGATTTTGTTTTTTTTTCATTTTTGAGCATTTTATCTTCTATCAATCAACCAACCAATCAATGAAAAATGTTCAGTAGTACATTTTATAATAGCATCCCTATTATTAGTGGAAATATTATATTCAATGCATGTATGGTTATTTTTTTCTAGGCACGAAATCCAATTGGTTATGTCGCCACACCTGTTGAATATTTTTCTTGTTTTTCAAAATTAACTTGATAGCAAAGTATATATGAAAATATCAGCATCAAGAGAATAATTTAGCTGTCGAATTGAACTTCTGTTCAAACAAATGTTTTTATGTGTATGCGTGTTTTCTGTGTGTGAGTTTTTACTTTTGATTTTTTTCCAAACGTAATTTTCTGATTTAATTGATTAGAGTTGGTGTGTTAAGTTTCGATTAGAAAACCAGATAATTACTAGTTATTCAGATATCCTTTCTTGTTTGTTTTTTAAGAATTTTGTCGGGATTACAAATGATGCAGATGAGCTTGAAAATATTAACTTATACTGATAGGATTTAGCTAGAAACTTCATTCTTTGTTCTTCATTGGCTAATTTGATTATCAAAATAACGAGATGTTATTTCTTCACTCTTACCTGTTACTTTGTCCTTCATTGATCGAATGAATTAATTATTGAAAACTTTTTCTTAATTTGTTTGAAACAACTATATTGCTTACTTATATTTATTTTAAATGTAGAAGACACTGCCAATAAGGCACACTTGTTTCATATGAGAAATATATTGCTTATTCTTGTCATTAATTTTCAAGATCAAACAAAAAAAACAAGGAAAAAGATTGAATCTTAGTGAAGATGTACAACTTACCTATCGTTCTTTTTTTCGAATTTCTGTAAATTATTCCTGATATATTGAATGATAAACTAATGTTATTGTTATCTGTGGTATAAAAATCACGAAAGAACACTTTTTATGTTATTGATACTTATGATAATAATCATTGTCCTTTGTAATGATAACTTTCGTATAGATTTCGATCAATGTATTGGTCACGTTTTCCTTTTTCTTTGTTCATTCTTAGTATTCATGTTTATCATCATGATGATGATTTATCAATTCACCCGGTTTGAACCAACAAAACCGGACTGATTGTTTGTCACAAATCATAATTAAAATATACATATGTCCGCAATTGAAATTTTTATATTTGTTTTTTCCCTTATTCATTCATTTGAATTTGTTTGCCTGTTTGATCTCGTTCCCGTTTTTCATTGTAAAATAAATCATCTCCACAATATTAATAGAGTTTGGTTTGAACTAGTTTTTTTTTTTGTGGGATAACTGTATCTTTAGTTCATTCATTTTTTTTATTATCACTCACAATACACCGCCTACAATATCACACATACACAAAATCAAATCTATCAAATATCTATCGTGTTTCACGCACGCATCATCACGGCACATTTGGTGGTTTTTCCAAATGATGGCCACCAATTTTTTTCGTAGGTTGAACATATATCTATCAGCAATGATAATCGTTATTTTTCAAGCTCTTTTCATATTTTTATTTGTTTTTTCTTTAATTTAGATCAACGTCTTGATTTGCACAAATTTCGTGAAGAAGATCCAGATATAATCAAAGGTCAACTTGTGATTAGTATGATTTCTCGTGATACGGCAACGACGACAAATTCGACAGCCAATAATAATAATTCATCACGGCACAATAATGTCACCATTGCAAATGGCGGTAATCATCATCATTCACATAGGAATAGTGCCATATTGCAGAATATGGTTGTAACCACATCATCTCCTACAACGACTACAACAACAGCATCCGATAATCGTGCCAATAATAATTCTAATAATCAAGATGCTATTGTACGATCTCGAAACTATGTTGAAGGTGTTGATGATCTACCTGATGGTTGGACAGAATGTCGTACATCGAATGGTCGTTTATATTATATAAATCATGTTTTACGCACTACACAATGGGAAAGACCAACTCTGCCGGCTGCATTAACTGTTTCTAATTCTCAAACACCTAGCCGTCCAGCTTCTCGTTCGGTTTCACGTCACCAACATCAACATCTTCATCTACATCATAATCATCAACAACAACAAAGTTCATTGGATTCGACCAATACTGTTTCATCAGTGAATTCATCTCCCATCAGTCAATCAACGGGTCCACAGCAACAAAGAAATAATCATCAACGTCGTTCTACTCGCCACCGAAATTATCTTGCCCGTAATCAATTGCATGAAGCTGTGATGACCGCATTGAATGCTGCGAACAATAATAACAATAATTGTCTCATTTCTAATTCGGAAGTAGCAATTATTGATAACAATGATAATAACAACAGGACTAGCTCTCCACCGCCGATGCCCGTTGGCTACGAAATGAGAACAACACCTCAGGGTCAGGTTTACTTTTATCAAATTGATTCCGGAAACAGTACATGGACAGATCCACGAGTCCCAAGAGAATTAATCAATATGGACATTAATCTTGACGAATTGGTTGGACCGTTAGGATGTGGCTGGGAAGTCAGACATACGACTGGTGGTCGCCGTTATTATGTTGATCATAGAAATCGAACAACACAATTCACTGATCCACGTTTGGTCTCGCATTCTCAAATGATAATAAATCTTATAAAATCGTTTAGCAAAAACTCACAAACATCAAACAATCAACCACAACAACCACAATCGAATGGTAGCTCTACTAATCATCATTCGAATCACGACCATAACAATAGCAACACCAAAATTAAACGTACGGCAAACGCCAATACGGCTGCCGATGATAATCTACAAAATCTCAAAAATGGAATCTCAAGTCTACCAATTAGTCAGCAACAAAAACGTAGAAATCTTGTACAGAAAATGAGCTTGCTAAGGCAAGAATTACAAACATTTCAACCACAATCTGGTCATTGTCGAATTGAAGTATCTCGTGATGATATATTTGAAGATTCATATCGTGTCATTTTAAAATTAAGGCCAAAAGATTTACGTAAACGATTGATGATAAAATTTAAAGATGAAGAAGGTAAAATCTTTAAATTTCGTTAAATTTCGTTAAATTGGTTAAATTTTTTTAGGTCTTGATTATGGCGGTATTGCTCGTGAATGGCTTTATATGCTTTCGCATGAAATGTTGAACCCTTATTATGGTTTATTCCAATATACGCGAGATGATATTTACACTCTTCAGATAAATCCTGATTCATCCATCAATCCGGTAATGTCTATATGCTTGCATTACTTGATTATCTTGATCTAATCCAATCATATATAATTCTAATTTCAATAATTTACAGGACCATCTTTCATATTTCCATTTTGTTGGACGTGTAATGGGTATCGCTGTTTTCCATGGACATTATATCGATGGTGGTTTTACTTTACCGTTCTATAAGATGCTACTGAACAAACCGATCACCCTTGATGATATTGAATCAGTTGATCCTGAACTTTATCGTAGTTTACGATGGATGCTGTAAGTGTCACGTCGAAATAACTCTAGCTATAGTAATTAACGTTTCAAACTAATTATATAACAATTTTCTTAAATTTCATTCCATTTCATCTAATGAAAAGTGAAAATGATATAACCACTGTAGTGGATATGACTTTTTCGGTCAATCACGATTCATTTGGGCAGATTCAAGTAAAAGAATTAAAGCCAAATGGAAAAGATATTATCGTTACGGAAAAGAATAAAAAAGAATATGTACAGATGTATGTCAATTTTCGGTTTACTCATGGAATTGAACAACAATTTCGAGCCTTACAAAAAGGATTCTGTGAATTAGTACCGCAACATTTACTTGGCAATTTCGATGAAAAAGAATTGGAATTAGTCATTGGAGGATTGGGCAAAATCGATTTGGTCGATTGGAAACAGCATACTCGGCTAAAACATTGTTCACCGGAATCTAATATTGTTCAATGGTTTTGGCAAGCTGTCGATTCATTCTGTGAAGAGCGGCGTGCTCGTTTATTACAATTTGTTACTGGCAGTTCGAGAGTTCCATTACAAGGTTTGTGTTCCTCTGTAAAACGTGATGAAGTGTCAAAATTAATGTTATTGTATGTATTCTAACAGGCTTTAAAGCATTACAAGGATCAACCGGAGCTGCAGCCCCTAGATTATTTACAATACATTTGATTGATGCCGATACGGAAAATCTACCCAAAGCTCATACCTGTTTCAATCGAATCGACATTCCGCCCTATGAAAATTATGAAAAATTATTCGAAAAATTAACGCAAGCAATTGAAGAGACTTGTGGATTTGCAGTCGAATAGATTGATACTATATCCTTGTAAATTTCAAATTTCTGATGTATTTTAAAGCAAATTAATAGTATTTGGATGTTTGTGCCTCTAATTATAGTCATCAATTTCATTATCATCAAGATGTCCTTTGGCAAAAGAGCTTCCTGCATTGCTCATCTCAATTCAAAAATGAAACAAAAAAATATGTTCATCATCATTGAAAATTTGCTGTGATATATGAAAACAGCAATTCCTTTTCAGAACTTATTGTGGTCATTATAGCATCTTACCACATTCATTCATGAGTACAACAACAACCCAGTCATCATCATCACTGTCAAACTTTACAAAATTTTTTGGAAGAATTTTTTTCGCATACATATTATTAGGGAATTTATTATTCATTTGTAAATAATTTTCGAAATAAAATTTTCTCTCAATTACATTTTCATTCATCAATAACATTTGCAACCGAATCGGCCATTATGCCTAGATAACTTGGCCATCTTTGATATTTGTACTCTTTGATTGGAATCTGTTTCTGTTTTATTTTATCGAAACATTTAAGATTTACTCGATGGACAGTCATTGAACCCATCTCACGAATCCAATCATTCATTTTGACTGGATCATCATCCATCGTCATTGTCGTCGTTTGATCATCAACCGTTTTCTTGGAACAGATTTCATTGATTGCCGCTTCGTATGCGTCATGATCATAGTTCATTTGTTTAAATGGTGAATTATCATTTATCAATCGTAATTCTTTTTCTTGTGCTAAATAACTTTGAACACAAGTTCTCATTGCATCGGACATTAAACGTACGTTTGAAGATGGAGGAAATGAATATGTTGCAAATATAATATCGATTGAGCCATCAACCGGTAATTGATCATTTTCGGAATATGATTTCAATGATGGCGCTAAGGTGCCAGTCGATATGACTCGTTGAATAGAATCACCATTATGAAGACCAACATGTTTTTTCGTCGTCGTTGCTGTTGCTGCTGTGATTGCAAACTCGAATCATCAATACCGACATCAGGTTCATTTTGTGACCATTTTTTATATTTTTTAAACATATCCAATGTGTTTTGACCAGCAAAATCATTTTCATATCGACCATATGACTGTGCAACAGGTAAATTATCATAATTATTCATTTGTCGTCCGTCGTTGACGTTTGTAACAGTTGCCCAATTTTCATATGATGATGGGATATTTGATTGTGTGGCAACAGCTTGTTTGTTTCGATACCATTCATAGCTGATTTCGGTATAATTCACTTTCTCGATAATCGGTTCATCGGTGCGAGAATCATAAATCTTTTCCAAATTATTTGGTGGGGTTAGAGACAAAAATTGTGTGTATTGTTTTGCCTTATCGCCATACCTAATACGGCAAAAATCTGCTCGTGATGTTTCATGTACTGTCACATCAGGTCTTAGCTGAAAAGGATCGTTATTGATGATTTCATCTGTGATATTCCCGCTTAACGAAGAATTGGTGCACGAAGAATACCAGAACAAAAACATATCATTTCTAGCCAAAGTTGAAACCGTTAATGGAGATGATTGAGTCCCTATAGACATTCTTATTGGATTCTTAAGCAAAGATTTTCCATTACGTCCATCAAGAATATGAAATTCAGTGTAATAATAAATAGGAAAACCTGGACCGAATTGATAAATGACACCAAAATCAGGTACATCATCTTCATTGAAATAGCCGATCGAAGGAGTGCTTCATTAATAAAAAATAACATTAATAAAAAATCAGAATAATTTTCACCGAATAATTACCTATAGGTTTCCGATCCAGGAAGTTCGTGTTTCCAAATCTGTTCGAAGGTAAAACCGTCAAATGCAAATATGGTGGAATTAAAATTGGCAAGAATGATGTCGAGAACATCATCACCATTTATATCAATCAAAACTGGTGGTGCAATAACACCTTTGCAACAATCCTGATAGATGGCTCGTGAATTATGTTCAATCTGTCCGTTAAGTAAGGCTTCTAATCCAACAACGTATAAACCACCAGGATGTGTTTCACCACCGGTTCCATAAAGTATTAGCGAAGTTCCATCAGGATGTACTAATAATTGTGGTGAGTAATAGCTTTCGGCATTATTTGGAACATAACTCCACTTCAGTATTTGACCAGTTTTTCCAGAAATAACAATCAAACGAGCAACATTTCGTACTCGTTGATTTGGTTTGCGCAAAGGATCGCCTCCATGCATGACGACAATTTCTGGAACATTATCGCTATCAATATCTTTGGGTATTATTAATGGAGTGTAAAAATTGGAAGTTTCTGAAACAGGCTCTCCATAATTTGAAGTGATACTCCAGAAAATTCGGCCAGTTCGACCATCGAATGCAAAAAGAGAAGCCATTCTGCCACCAATTATGCAATCTTTAATTCCGTCATTGTTAAGATCACCATTACAATTCGAAGCAAACATTTCATGAGGTGTGTACTGTGCCCAAATTGGTTCACCATTTATTCCATTCAATGCCATAACTCCACCTCCACATCCTACTGTTTTACTTTTTTCCTGTGTCTGATTGAAATATATTTGGCACAACGTATCATCATAATAAGCTGCATCGATTCCGGTTCCAAACGGCACGATTATATCAAGATATGTATCATTGTTTACATCGACCAAACGTAATGCCGATTCAATGGTCAACATTGGAAAATTTTGTTGCCACACTGATTTGGTAACGATATGATCACATTTAATACTTTTATCTTTGTTACTAATGATGGATGAAAACGGCTGTATACCAAAAGCTGAACGTATAATATCTGGCAGATTTTTTGCATTGAATAGCAAAAACAACATAAATGCTACACAAAACAAAATACTGATACAATGTTTCAAGAAACGACGAACACGAAGCAATCGATGACGGCGTGAAGGTTTAAAGATTTTAATCTTACCGATGGTTATGGGCGGCGGTGTGTTCAATGAATGTTTTGATCTAGATGATGAAGACGATGATATTTCGTCATCATCATCATCGATTGAGTTTGATTTGCCATTACATTCAAACTTGACCGATTTCTTTTTTTTATTATTAGATGATTTTGTCGTGAATTTAAGTTTTGATTCTTTAATTAATGGTGTTTTATGCTGTTCATCTTCATCTTCATCCAGATCAATTTCACAATCATCATCAAGACTTTCGTCGGTGGACAATAATAATTTTCTAGTACCACTTGATGGGGCCGGTTTTGTAGTTGCCAGAATATTTCTTTGTTCTTCCTTATCTTTTTTAGCCATTATCGATAGTGATAATTATTGATAATTATTATTTATCATCTTCGTCATTATTAGATTACTGTTATTTTTAGCTTCTATCAACAATCTAATAGTTTTTTCAGACCTCTATATAGCGTTTACAATTTTTCATTGTATCATCAAACATTTATTTTACATCTGAGCTGCGTAAGAATCATTGGCTCCTTGTTGGAACAAGGAACGCTGGACAGACTCAAACCGATAGAATAGAACGAATAAAGCCGCCACCAATCGTTTAAATATTGACAAGCATCGATAACGTCGTTCATTACTCGGCATTTGTTTTTTTTCTGGTGTCAGGAAAAATTTTTTGATATTTATCAATCATGACCAACATTCTCATCATTGTAACTGGCTCGGTAGCGGCAATTAAACTCCCGATTCTAGTTAAAAAATTACAAGAAAAATGTTTGGCTAATGGCCATTTGTTTCAAATTCGTATAGTTTTGACTGAGCCAAGCTTACATTTTTTTAAACTTGTTGAAGTTGAAAATTTACTACCAGCTGGTTCTATTTATCGAGATGCCGATGAATGGACAACATGGACCAAAATGGGTGACCCTGTACTTCATATTGAATTAAGAAATTGGGCCGATATCGGCGTGATTGCTCCATTGGACGCCAACACAATGGGAAAATTATCTAACGGAATCTGTGATAATCTCGCTTCTTGTGTAGTACGTGCTTGGGATATAAACAAAAAACTATTATATGCACCGGCCATGAACGCTCATATGTGGACTCATCGAATAACGGAAAAATGTATCAGAGTCTTAAACGATTTAGGCTATATTCAAATTGGACCGATTTGTAAGAAACTAGCTTGTGGTGATTTTGGAATGGGAGCCATGGCAGAAGTCGATCAAATTGTAGCAAAAATTATGGAATTTGTCAGATAAAAATGAGTTTTATTTATACATCAATAATTGGCCAGTCTTTGAAAATGGAAAGATTTTTTTGTGTTAAACTCCAATCCTTTTGATACTTTTCAGAATTAATGTTTTTTATATTAAATTTGACCATTAATTGTTCAAGATTTTGTCTTAAATAAAAATCACAAACTCTTGACGTACCCAAAATATTGGGGAAGGTTTTCCTTTTTGCTGCTCCTAATCGTCGGCCGTTAGCTAATATTTCGGTTTTTAAATTTGTTTTTCTATCACAGCTCATCCAGGCTACGATCGAGCTTCCACAAGGAATATTGTTTCGCACAAATTCAGGATGTCTGAATTGTTGAGCAAAATGTATATGACAAAACTGAGAAAATTGAAAATCGCCGATTAAATCATTCGAAATTTTGGAATATTCATTTGGAATTGTTATTAGATAATCTTTGATCGAATCTAATTCTTCCATTGTTTCCCTGTATTCGGTCTCGCAATTACCAATCACAATATGATTGAAAGTTATTGGTTTACCAATGATGTCTAAAATTCGAGATCCTTGCAGGCCAAAAATTCGCCATTTAGCAATTTTATGCACACAGGCAGCTTTTGGACAAAATTCTCCACGCCCTGGTTTACGGTTGACACAGATTTTTCGGTTCTTCGAATCATGAAGAGGATCGCCTTTCCAGCGGCTAAACGAACCACAAGGAAATTGGCTAACAAACAGGCAATAATGACGCCCACGTATCACTGGAATATAAAATTTTTTAAAAATTTAAAAATGTATAAAATTTCATTGAATAAAGCAACCTTCATCGTAGAATTGATCTAGCTTTTTATTATCATCTATCCAATCATTGATCACTTCATTTAGGTAACATTTAAATGCTCTTTTCAACAATGGTTCAGCATGACAATCAACAATATCTTCATCACGATATGGAACATTTTTCGGAAAACATTTGGTACCAGTTGTCAAACAGACTACAGTTGGTGAGCTTTTGTCGCGAAATTCTACCAATCCAGCAATAATCGTATATTCATTTTTTCTGGGATTCGGTTTACCCGATTTTCCTATAAAAATTTAGAAATTAAAATCAGAACTTTAAAATTAGTTTGATTTACCCAATCTATTATATGAATCATAACAAAGCGAAGCAATGACATTCGGATCGATTTCTGGTTCATTATCTGTTGGATCGTATTCATCATCATCCAGTCTAATTCGTTTATTGGCCATAATATTCGTATGATTCAGATTGTTTTGGTTCGAACAATGCACGTCTTATGCGAACATTGCCAATTTGAAAATCGAGTTACGAAATTCTGTATAACTTAATTTTCAATTTCAGTAGTTGTATTGTTGATGACTATCGTCCAAATTCTTTCATGCATCGTTTGAATCTATTTCAATGTTTATTATTCAGGAAAAAAATGAGTTGACATTTTGCTAGTCAGTCACAATATTGCTAAATATAAATATGTTTGTTGTTGATGATAATTAAGAAATCCAAAAATTAAAACAGGTGTATTAATTCTAATATTTCTCTTTTGCGAATGTCAAATTATCACTACACTTTCCTTCACTTTCTATAATTCGGAATTTTTTCTTATTCTTCTCATATATGAGAACAAAATATGTCCACCTTCTAGATGCAGAATAAAATCCGCTCATATATTCACATATGTAAGCATGTTATTTATATCTTCAAACAATCGGCATTCTTAAATTTGTGTGCATCTATCCTAATAACCGGCAATAAGCCAACGAAATTAAATGCAATTTTATGTATCTAAGGGTATCTATAAGAATGGCTGTGTTATTTGTGCTAAAACCACCACCACCATCATTGTTAAATTTTTTTGTGAAAATGTCATAAAGACATTTTGTTTGAGTGAGTAAAATTTAACTTGTATATCGATAAATCTGTATTTCATAATACTAAAATCGTCCAGAAAACTGAGCTCAATATTTAGAAGAAAAAAAACTTGAAGCGAAGTTTGAACTCATAAATCCAAACTATATCACCAACGACAACGACAAAATCTATTTATTTTCATCGCCATTATTATTTATCGTGTTCATAACACTTGTTTTCGTTTAAATATGAATCTGACTCTACTCACAAATATTTGCTGCCAACACAATCAAAGCTTGCATTGATAAATGAATGGTATACCAATGTTTGGTATTGTAGTGGTTACCCATCACCTCCACCGACTATCATATAAAAGATAAAAAAAAAACCATACGGCTATTGCACTGTATTCAAACAGAAAAAATTTAAAAAACAGTTTTTTTTGGCCAACTACAGCATTTCATTCTAATCACATTATCATTGACCACATTGTCTTAACAAAAACAACCACACATTAGACAAAACAAGTAGACGGATCGTCGTCGCCGTTGGCCCTTGAATTCCAACAAAATATATAAAAAACAAGTAAAAAAAAAGAAAAAATTTCTTGTTTCGCCGGTCATCATTATTATCAAAGAATATATCTTGACAGTTTATGATCAGACAAGTGGTCATCGTCTCGCAGCAAGTGGCATAGTTGTTGAATTTTTTTTTTTGATCATTTATTCGTTTGTAGACCTGCAAAAGACATTCCACGTTTGCCGATTTAAAATTATTTTTTTTCTTTCTTCGTCTGATATCTGTTGATTACTTTATGATTTTTCGACCAACTAAAGTTTTAAACAAGTGCAAATATCCGAATATTTACAAATATACACATAGTTTGATAGAGTCAAGTTTGAATGTGAAAGTTTTGTTTCAAATTTGTTTTTTCATGACAACAATATCAAACATCAACATTATTGACAACAAAAAAAAATTATTTGTGATGATAATAATATTGCCGTTGTTTTGATCTGACATTGAATTTCGATTATCATTATTTTCATGAATTATTAGTAGAAATTGTGATGATAAGATTGATGAAAATAATTCGCACGAATGCTAAACATTTATTATAATCAACAATAATAATCTATTCGAATATTTGGCCATACCATCGAAAAAAAGGTATATTAATCAATTACATTAGGGTCTAATGTGTCATTTATATTACCCCACTAAAGAAATGCCTCATTTTTAAATCGGTTTATTTTTTGTTTGACAACAGCAGGAAAACAACATTTCAGGCCGATATTTGTGTTCGATTATAATTTTTGAATAGATAATTTCGTATCACAATGAACGATTCATCATCCACGTTGATTGTCGATCCCCAGTCAACGGCATTATCATCATCATCGCCATCATTTTCTAATAATCAAAAAATGGAAAATATTTCTTCAACATTAGAGCAACCATCATTGTCAACCATCGATGGTGAATTATCATCACCAATATTTTCAATGTCTCCAGCATTGCTAATGTTTTCTAGTCAAGATATCTGTAACGATTATTCTAACACCGCTAATAGCATTTCATCAATGAATTGATAATTCCGATCGTAACAAGAAATTTTCTTTTTCATCCAGTACATCTGTTTCAGATTCTGGTACTGAATCTATTGTGGATGAAGATTTTGCTCGTGAAAAGATATTGAATTATTTTGTACAAGATAATTCAAAAACAGTGCATTTAGCACGTAGAAGAATGACCGGCATCTGTCATTCGACACCATTGAAAAGCCGTGATAACCTTGATGATGATGATGATGAAAAAGAAGAATTTAGTCCTTCTGATAGTGACCATGAAAGTGAATCAACACTTTCCAACTGTAAATCACCCTCATCATCATATTCATTATCGCCTGTCGATAATTTTGATGGCACACCGCGATCAAATGATACAATTTTGGATCTGAATACCGTATGTGTTGCTTTGAATAAAAAGCTTCGTGAAGAGAAAGAGAAACATGATAATCATGATTCCAAGAGAAGTGATATTATAAATGATGGCAGCTTAGACGACATTACAGCTGAAGAAATTCATGACAACAATCAAAATGATCGTCGAAATTCAACTCTGGTACGATCAACTTCGTTAAAAACTGGTAAAACTCCGCCAGGAACGCCTGGCAGTAAGAAAATTGTACGATTTGCTGATGCTATGGGTCTTGATTTGGCATCTATACGCCATATTGTTGATGATGTTCCATATATGCCGCCATTGGCTGCATTCAAATCATTACAGCTTGATGATGAAGATCGTGATTGGTTGTTGCAGAATCGATCTATTCATCCACCAACGTTCAACATGAATAATCGTCCAATTGCTAAGACGGATGAAATGCTTGCAACCATGCGAATGCTTTTTCCTCAACCAATTTCTGATCCAGTTCATTTCATGGAACGCGTCCGTACAAATAAAATTTGTCTTGAAAATTGTTTGCTCAGCGGCCCTACAGGTTCCAATCATATTTTCACCATCAATTGTATTGTTCGTGTACTGAACGTATGTTTTCAAAAACAAGTCATTTTACGATACACTACAAATGAATGGCTTACGTGGACAGAAATTCCTGGAACTTATGTACCAAATTCTAATGATGGTTTTAGTGATAAATTCTCAGTCAATTTTGAATTGGCAGTGAATTCAAATGGCCATCAGACAATGATGCCCGGACAACGATTAATGTTTGCCATTCGTTATCTAACTGAAAATCTAACTGAATTTTGGGACAATAATGTCGGAATGAACTATTCTTTTATTTATCAACGATGTTGAAATTCAATCTACTTCACTAATTTTGTACATGTTATTGGTATTAATTCTATTCCTTTTTCTTGTCTTATATATGCATGTTTTTTCGAACTTGAACCATGAACAGGAATTTTGATCTAATATTGCCAGCCGTTTTTTCCTTTAATTTATATCAGTCAAACTGTCTATCCGTCTTTCTTCAAGTGATTTTATCCCGCTTGATTTGTTTATATTTTACCTAATGAATTACATTTGAGTTAAATTGATTAAATAATTAATCATGAGTATATGGTCATTGATGTTCTAGTCCTTGAAATTACCTTTACATGGAAACAATCCTGTGAACCAGTCAAAAAAAAAAATACTTTGGATTTTGACTTTTGTTTCAATCATGATTTTACAATCATTGTAATAAATAATCAATTCATTCGAAATAAGTAGATGTTCAATCACAAATCAAATGAATGAATTTTGCCTAAACGCAATTACATTTCTGTCATTTTCCTGGAAATTTGTCATTCAATCATCAACAACGAATGATAATCTTGTTTTCAACATTAAAGAAAACATTTTATTCTCATAAACATTGTGAAATTTTTATCATTTTCACTTTGATCAATTTTAATCATTAAATGAAGATTGTCACAGCTGATGCATGGAATGATTGCTATGTCAATCGATAATGAGATTGATTTATTAGGAAAAAGCGTGCAAACAAATTTGTAGATTGATTTAGAAAAACATGATACTTATCAACAAATTGAATATTATTTGAATTTCCGGAAAATAATCGTCACATTTTACTTGAAAAATAAATAGTAAAATTGTAATGTAATTTAAAAAAAAAATTTCATATGCCCAATGGAAGATGGAAAAGAGCTTCCATCTTGTTACAACAATTGCAATGAACATCCACGGCCATTAATTTAGCTAGCCGGTCAATCAGCTATCTGAGCTATCAACAAGTTTTACAACTTTGAATGTCCAGCCTGCAGCTTGACGTATAAGCAGCATCAGTATTTTATTTTATTATTATTTGTTGCTGTTTTTTACACTTTGAAGTCATGTGTAGATGGAAATATGAATGAATGAATGAAATCGAATTAACATTCACCACTATCATACGTCATCATATATATCTTGTTTAAGTAATAATAAATTTATTTATTTTTATTGAAAGCAAAAGTGATATTAAAAAGAAAAATTTATGGATTTTTCATCATTTTCAGTGCATCAATCAATCGTTGTCAAGAATGAAGGTCTAAATAAAATCAGCAACGACGATTAATGACGTAAAATTTTAATGTAAATAATGGCTGATAATGAAATCTGATTCTTTTATGATTTTCACTGTTCATAATAATGCTGTCCATAGCATCATCATCTATGGATGAAAATTCATTGGTACTCCGAACACAGGATCCAATAAAATCTAGTCATTATTCCATACGAAGATTGATTATATGGATCACATTATTCGTCGCTATTGCGCTTTTTTACATGATGGCAAATTGTCCAAATACAAACCATTTATTTTCTCATAATGATGATCAACATTATCTTGTGGGTGAATTGACAAAAAGCCATATGCAAAAGAAGAAATTATGTCCTATTTTTGGACATGTCCATGGACTTTTACCATCGTTGATGGTAAAACCATTGAAGAATGTTTCACGATCATACACAGTTCAACAGTTGACCGAAGAAAAACTGCAAAGATTATTCAAGGTAAACATTTTGTTTATTGATTGTACACGCTTTTAATTCTATTCAATTTTTTAACGATAAGATTGCAAAACATTATATGAACAAAAAACAATTGATGAATTGCACTGACAAACAATTCTACCATAGTCACCGTGAGGCATACATAAAACGTCGAGCACGATTGAATCGTGTATGTAATTCTTATGGATTCTTGGATAGAATTTTCAACACATGGCATTTATCAACAAATCGTCGTCGGTTTATGTCGACTCATCGATATCATCACTACGAACATGACGATGGAAGCAATAAAACAATATCCGATAAATATAAATATTGTAGCACGCGTACATGTCCACTTTTAGTTAATGACAATCATCGACTTGTAACGTGTTTTGTACAGAAAATTGCTTCGACTACTATCAAACGATTGTATTTATACTTGAGAAATCAGAATCTATCTGCCATCGATTCAAATGATACGATTAATCAATCATCAATTGAACCGGTGGATAATTTATCCAACTTTCATTTTAAATCAAATGATCAATTGTATCGAATATCGCCGACATTTCTTGTACATTCACGTGAAGCACAATATTATAAGGCCATATTTGTTCGACATCCATTCGTACGAGTTGTATCAGCATTCAAAGACAAAGCTGAACGACAACCAGAAGAAGAACAGTATTTTTACGAACGATATTGGAATCCGTTACTGGATAAGCTACATGGAAAACAACATGATCCTACTCTTCGAGTAACATTCAAAGAATTTGTTGATGAACTTTTATTGCCAACGGATCCATATCAATATGATGAACATTGGGCACCTATTTGGACACGATGTGAACCATGTCTTGTGCATTATGATTTTATTGGAAAACTTGAAACAAGCGAAGAAGATTTTCGTAATTTTAAATCCCGTGTAAATGGCAAATTAATTAATGTTACTGTATGGGAGAATCTAAATGAACAATTTAGTTCACCAATCAAAAACAATGCTTCATCTTTATTGTTGAAAAAATGTCAACGACAACGATTAAAATATGCTGAAACTATTCGTTATTTATCACAGCTATCATCCAAATCATTGATTGAACTATATAAACGATATTATTTAGATTTCGAATTATTTGGCTATACAATGGATGAATTATTCGAATTGATAACCAATTGAAATTATTTTTATTCATTCTACCAAAAAAAGTTTTTCCCTGTGATATATTTGATAAAATAATTATTTTAAAACAAAAAAAAAATCTATATTTCTATCTATTTTATTTATCTATTTTCGTTAGAAAAAAAATAAAATCGATAATAAATGGACTTGAGCATTCGACCAATGTAGTCAAGTCAACTTTTCCATCGTTCCGTTTATCAGAGACAAAATGGTAAAGGCAAAAGAAAAAAACAAAGTCGACACCATCACCATTATCATAAGAGGTCAAATCTTTAACGAAAAGAAAAAAAATTCTTTTAGTGCGAATGTGTCATCAGTCAAATAAGCCAACGACATGAGCAAACATACTTACACAAACACACACACACACATGGCAACCATACGATATTTTGTTTTTCTATTTGGCCAATATATATCTAAAACTATAGTTGTAAACATTCTTTGCTTTTATAAAAATGGACAAATATTTACATCACTGATCAGCCAGTCACTGTATGGTTTTTTTTGAGTGATCATTTGTCTGACAAATCTATGTGACCACCGGATGGCAAAATAATCATTATTTTTGCTAAAAAAATTAAAATTAAAAATCAAATAATGCTGTCAACTTCCATAAACCACAACGGTTTATTAAAAATAGCTGATTTTTGTTGTTGTTGTCAACTGTCGGACCTTCTATATTGGTGAGTATCATCTCATGTATACTATACATTGTTTAGGTTTATTTGCATTCATATTGAATGATTTTTGTTTTTTGATTTGACATATTTAATATCATCAACATTCGAATATTTGATATGAAAATTTATTTCAATGATTAAATTGACAAAAAACAAACAAGATCAATCAAATGGTGATAGAAATCCTGTCAATAAAAATTTGTTTTGATCATCAATGATTTTTGATTGTTCAACGATTGATTTAGATGGTAGGGGACAGAATATCGCGTGTTCATCGCATGATAGAAATAATCAACTAAGAAAATCATGCCTTTTCATCATACGATTTTTTTTTGATCTGTTTTCTTTATTGATTATTTGGATTTGACGACAATGAACAATGCATTTTTGTTTGTTAGGTTAAAATGTTGATAAAATTATTCATTGTTGACATTTGGCATCAAAATCAAAACATCCATAAATCCATAAAATAAAAGAAATAGACAAAAATATATGAACAATTTACAAACAAAAAAAAAATCACCAGTTTATGATGGTTCGAGGGCAATTATTTTTCAACAATACTGCCACCACTATCATAATCATCATTACAGTGAATCAATTTTTTTTTCTTCTGATTGCATAACCACCCGATTATCATCAACATTTTACCACATCTAATAATTACGCTGTCTGCATGCATGCATTTCATCTTGGGATCTGTCGAGATATTTTCGTCGTCGTCATCGTCCTCGCTGTCTGCATGCATGCATTTCATCTTGGGATCTGTCGAGATATTTTCGTCGTCGTCATCGTCCTCGTTGTTTGATGCATGCCCGTTTTAGTTTTTTTTCTTGTTGTTGATCGGATTCGAATGTTGCCTAGCATGTCGACTACATCCTACATCATCATCATTCACATCATTACTAACCCACAGAGTGTTTGCCAGGAATTTTTATTTCTACAACAAAATAATTGTATGCCAAACTAAGAAAAATTTTTTCATGAATGATTTTTTTATTCATTTTTTTAGGTTTGATTCATCAAGACTGATGAATGTGATTTAATCGAATTATCAAATTTGAAAAAATTTAAAAGTTTAAATTCATTTCAAAGTTTAAGAACTGTGATAAATATATGAATGTTGATGATTGTTCATTAATTTCAACATAATAATCAACAAAATTCCATAAACTGAAGGAAATTGAAGCAAAAAATGACTACACCATTATTATCGATGAGCCACAGGAGCAATTGGTGTCATTCAGCAGTAGTATCAGCAGCTGCAACAACATCGTTCAATACCGGAAATGTATCATTCAAAGGGCGGACGTCAAATCACCATAATGGAAATTTTGTCATGCCATCTACGTTTGCTAAATCAACATCAACTATGTCTTTACCTTCGACAGCAATATTCTTGCAAAAAATCGGATGTTCAATGTCATTGCCTATCCTGTATTCCGATAAAATGACCCCGACAAATGACAATTTAAATGATAATTCGACCACTAATGAGGATAGTGATTCCCTATTGGCAAGTTCATTACCGAACCTAAAATTTTTTGATCAAAAATTCCAAGAAATTTCACAACGTTTAGATTCGATTGATTTATATAAAGATAAAAATGAATTTGTTGAGCCATTAAAAAACGAAACTATCACAAATGATAATGAGATAATGGATCAACAAGGACAAGAAAATCTTCCAAAAATTCTCGCGTCGATTCGTTGGATATACAAACGACGGCGATCATCAACTGAACTAGATTTGGCAATCGTTGAAAAATATCTGACTGATAAAGATAAATCTATAGTTTCAGATGAATCAAATGAAACGACAATTGAAGATGACCTGGCTCGATTAAAGATTGAAATGACTAAATCAAACAATATAAATTCCATGGATATATCAACGTCATCATTAGATGATGAAAAATGGAATCGACGTGGTGAACGGAAAAATAGTTCCATGGTACCGATATTGCCTGATTTAGAATTAATCTCTAAACTTCGTGAAGGTGATAACGATGCTGTCTATCATGATCATCTTCAACGCCCAAATTACATTCACAATGATCAATTTGACGAAACAACACTGAATAATGTGGATAAACTGGAAACAAGTTTGTCGAATGTTGATGATCTTAAAAATGATAATATCGCTGATGTATATGATGAAAGCGAGTCAGATCAAAACGAAAAGACATCAAATCTAAATCAATATAGAACAACATTGTTCAAATCAGGTAAGAGCATTTTTTTCTTCATCGTGGTTAATCCAAACAAGGAAATCGATTGAAATAGAATATTTAGTGGTGTTTTTTTTTAATTTGAGGATTAAAAAAAAGTCAGTGCTTGGCGGTTTATTTTTTGGTTATTCAACTTTCTCAGTGTCATAAATAAACACGGACAGTGTTCCTGGAAAGATTAGTTGTAATCATCATTTTCTATATGTTTCCAAAGAAAAGAAGAAAAAAAAGTTAGACAAATTTTTCAATGATTATTGATATTTATAACTTATTGTGCGTGTGTGTTTGTAGATTTTTTATCAATTTTTTTGCTTTCATTTGAGATAAAAAAAATCACAATTTACGGGTTTTTTTTGTGCGCCTCTCTTATTTTTGATTGATCAATTGATGATAAATTCATCATTTAACACACACGCATTGACCTAATGATTCCAGTATTATTTTTCTTTCCATCATTCATTCAGTTTATCTGTCATCGACCAAACAGAAATAGAAAACAAAACTTTCTTGATAGTTTTCAATTTGAATTTAGCTTTGCATAAATGATAACAATTTTGAAGGTTGAATTTTTCTCATCATAAACATTTAAGAGATCATATGATAATCATTGTTGACAATGAGAATAATTGATAATGAATGAATGAATGAAGATTGCATCTATCTATAGCATTAAATTAGCAGCTTTTTAAAACAATATAAAACTTGCTATAATTAGCTCTCAATCTGATTCTTTTCATTCAAATATTTGATATTTTGCAATGCTGTATATTTTAGAATTCGAGCAACTTAATTTCTTCAAAGTTCTATCTTAGGTATCAAAAAAAAACTCATCTCCATCTAGTTTCTGACCGTGAAATTAATCCGTGAGAGAAATTAGGTTACTATTTCAGTGATGATTTTTTCAATGTTTTGATGAAATATTTATTCACCACTCATAAAGGAAATCTGAATGAATAATAATTCAATTGATTGATGGAAATTTTGTTTTCGTGAGACCCTGTAACATCATCATCAAATCTATTTTGAGGAATCTGGTAATCATTTTTTTTCTAAAAAGTTATCTGTCACATGAAAACAAAATCAATCAAATATTTTTTTTGAAATAATTATCAATGAACTGCCTGTTGATTACACTTATAACCAATTATATATAAATGGTATGGTATTTATTGGTTTATTGGATGTCAAGAGTTTTTATTGAAATGATTCATATTTATTTATAATCATGTTTTGTCAGAATTATGAAATCAATACTATTTCTTCGCCGTCATCACATTCGATGACGACAGCCGCTAATTTTTTTACCACCACTTCTAAAAATCTTTGTCATGTCAAAGCAATCGATTTTCAGCTATTTTTTTGTGGTAGTTGGACAAGCAATTATTTTTATGAACCAATTATTTTAATAACCAGATTCTAATTTTGTTTTTTCATTATAATTTGGATTTTTTTAAAATAAAAGGTACAAACAAAAAACAAGAAACGGCAGCCGCGTGGCTAGCAGCTGCAACTCAACAATTATCCGATCAGATCAATCAGTTAAATAATCGAAAACAGAAAAATGAACAATCGGCTTATACAGAATCGCTCGATGTTGATGTTTCAAAGCCTAATCGAAAGAAAAAAACATCCATTCTTCGAACGAAATCTTTAAGCATTCATTATGAAAAGAAAAATGTTCGTTTTGCCGATACTCTTGGTCATTCATTGGAAAATGTTCGTTATTTTATGCTAACGCCACAGATACCACCACGTCGATATTCATCATACACACCTCCTTTAAATAATGAATGGAATAGTGACAGTTGGCATGGAACAGGAGACAATATGAAAACAAATTCCATGCAAAATAATACACGATTCTCATCAATACCATCAATGAAACGTGATTACTTAAACAATACGATGAATCTCAATCCTCGATACGAACTTGTCATTGCTAATTTTACAATACCATCGTTGAGTCTAGATTTTAGTCGACGTTTATTTGAACGAAAAGTTATTTTGCATTCATTGACAATGGCCGAAACGACTGTTTATGGAAATGTATCAGTCGAAAATGTTCATTTTGTTAAAAAAGTATTTGTCCGATATACGTTCGATGAATGGAAAACGTTTATTGAACGTGAAGCAACCTATATGCCTGGCTCGCATGATGGCCATACAGATAAATTTTCATTTGTCATCTATGCTCGACCACAGGATTTTAATCTCAATCATTATCATTATCATTCATCACCATTCTATCATCAAATTAAACCATCAAACAAAAGCAATAACGAACATTCTCACCATAATGAATCGATAACGAAAATGTTTTTCGCCATCCGTTTTACAACCGGCGATGGACAAGAATTTTGGGATAATAATGATGGCCTTAATTATCAATTGGATCTTAAACCGTTCTGAATTCACGAATTTCTAAATTATTTTTTCTCATCAATCGTAATTGATATGGAAAAAATTGCCAATAATTTAAATCGTTTTAATTATGACTTTTATTTTTTAATTTTTTTTCACTTTCATCATCTGTGATCAATTTTATTCTCGATTTTTGTGTTAAATTGTAATTTTTTAAAACTACGTAAACTGTATATCACACACACACACACGGAATAAATTTTATAGCCATAAATATTTAAAAAAATAAGAAAATTGATTTTTTCTTTGTTTTAAGCGGTCCCATTTTTTACATTAAAAATTGAATTTTACAAAAAAATTTCATTCAACAATTTGTTTTACTTCCGTACATTTACTCACATTTGATACACAATTTTACAAATAATTACTAACCAATACTCATTTTCAAAACATTCTACAATCGATTACGATCAGATAAATCTTCGATCCAATCACGAAAGAATCGAGTGCTTGAAAAGTAATCGAACAATCTTAATGAATGATCAGGAAGTGTCACCAAAGCGCTCATGGATGCAATACCCACCACTAAACGTTTAGAAACATCTTTAAAATTTCGTACATTTATGACTGTGCATACTAATGGACCGCCAAAGTCGCCTCCAATAAATCCTTTAAATTTTTCATCCTTATTTGTAACTCGTTTATGACCAGCACAAAGATTTGATTTTAGATCAAAAGTTGCATCAAAATATCGACAATAGCGTGAATTTAATAATGGCAAATGAAAACGTTTCAGTATTCCGGTTCTATGTGTGGTGTTATCATAACGATTAGGACCATATCCATAGAAAAAACAGTGATTCATATATACATCGGTGTAATCCACTTCGCTATATTCTTTACAATATGGACGATAATGTGAGATATATGGAAGTGGCGTTTCAGCTACAATAGGTGTTGTCAAGTTTATTGGTTTGTCCAATTGTATCAAAGCCAAATTATATTTATACGGATCAGTAGTCGTATATTTTCCATGAACCTGTATGGAAGAATTTATAAAAAAAAATAAAAATTATATAGATTGTTTAATTCTTTCATTATTGTACAGTAATCGATCAACCTTATGATTGATAATTCTCCTAGCCAAAAAATTTCCATTATTATTTACAGCAAAGTTACGCCATTTTTCTAATGGATTCAAATCAAAAATGACATAGAAATGACTAGGATTTTTCGCAATATGTTGTACTCTAAATAGCAATAAATAAAAGTAAAAATATGAAATTATTAATGTTAAAATGATTGTATTTATACTTACAAACAAACTGCTGTTGTTAGAATATAATTAGGGCTAATGACAGTGGCAGTACAGTGCACTTTTAATTGGTTTGAGAGTGCTACATCCTTATAATCGCAACATGGTCCTACATAAACAATAGCAGCGACAAAATTAGCTTCCAGACGGTTTTCAAGATTATTGGCTCCAAAAACATTTCGTTTTCGGCCACCAATATTTTCGAAATCTTGATCTCTTCTCAATGATGAAGACTGAAAACGCTTATTATTGGCAGCTTGAATTGAATCAATAACAATAACGAGCATAAGAATCGACACAAAATAAAAAATGTTGAACCAATTCATCATTCAGGAAATAGAAAAAAAAACTCACTTCAACACAAAAAATACTAAATCATGATTTTGTTTATGCTTTTAAATACCAAATTAAATTATAAAATGTTCGATGTATGCGACGGAATTCGTAATCTTATTTATTATACAAAACAATTAAAAAATGAAAATTGCTCCATATCAGAATGTTATTTAGTGGCCCTGAAAAGGACCGTTTATAATTAATAAAGTTTATTTGCTTGATGTATATTTGGTGACGGCTTTGGTTCCTTCGGATACGGCATGCTTGGCCAATTCACCAGGTAACAAAAGTCGGACAGCCGTTTGAACTTCTCTCGATGTAATGGTTGTTCGTTTGTTATAATGAGACAAACGAGATGATTCGGCAGCAATTCTTTCGAAGATGTCGTTCACAAACGAGTTCATGATTGACATGGCTTTCGATGAAATACCGGTGTCCGGGTGGACTTGCTTCAACACCTTATAGATGTAGATCGAGAAAGATTCCTTCCTGCGACGACGGTGTTTCTTCTTCTTGTCCGTAGCACGAACAGATTTTTGGGCTTTGCCGGATTTTTTGACAGCTTTACCAGTGCTTGGTGGGGCCATTGTTGCAGATTCGTTGTTGAAGTTCAAATTGTTGATCGAAAAAACCAAACAAACAGAATAATGATTTTTTCTGTCAAAGTTCGACTTATATACGATTCTAAGTGGTGTACGCAGCACGAGCCAATCACGTTTCAAAAAAGGAGGAGCTAAAAAATTTGGCGCGTTTTTGCTACGTACACCACTTTTCAGAGTATTTAAGCTAAATCATTGCAATACATTTCTAACATTCGAAATTTTTTTTTGTTTTGCTATTCATTTGCTCATTTACCTCAAATCAAATATACAATGTCTGGACGTGGTAAAGGCGGTAAAGTCAAGACCAAAGCCAAATCTCGTTCATCCCGAGCTGGTCTTCAATTTCCGGTTGGTCGTATCCATCGTTTGTTGCGTAAAGGAAATTATGCTGAACGTGTTGGCGCTGGTGCTCCAGTCTACCTTGCTGCCGTTCTCGAATATTTGGCCGCCGAAGTTCTGGAATTGGCCGGTAATGCAGCCCGTGATAACAAGAAAACCCGTATCATTCCTCGACATTTACAATTGGCCATCCGTAATGATGAAGAATTGAACAAATTGTTGAGTGGTGTGACCATCGCCCAAGGTGGTGTGTTGCCCAACATTCAAGCCGTATTGTTGCCGAAGAAAACCGAAAAAACTGCTTAATTTTAAATTTCAATCATTTTTCATATAAAAACGGTCCTTTTTAGGGCCACTAAATAATTGCGAATAAGAAATGAGCTTGTATTGTAAGCGATTTCCTGAGTTCTTATCATATATGTGTAAATAAATTTTTTTTCTAAAATATTAATTTTTCCTAAATTGTGTAAATTAAAAAAAAAATCGAATAAAAAGAATTGAAGTTAATGTTGCAAATTCAATGTTCTAGTCAAATATAAATGGCATCACCCATAATGAGTATAATCGATATGTGATTCAAATTTGCCGCCAATAATCGATGAGTCAAAATTTTCGCGCCATTTTTTCCAAACCCTGCCCATTCAATGTGTAGAACATAGAAGCCCAACACAGCAATTGAGTATAAATTGAACCTGAATCAAACTAAAGCGGTTATCATTTGCATTTGTTTGTCATTCTGTTCATTTCAAGCAATCAATTTCTAAAAGTCATTATCATGGCTCGTACCAAACAAACTGCACGTAAATCGACTGGTGGCAAAGCTCCACGTAAACAATTGGCCACAAAAGCTGCCCGAAAATCGGCTCCAGCTACTGGTGGTGTTAAAAAACCACATCGTTATCGTCCGGGTACCGTCGCTCTTCGTGAGATTCGTCGTTACCAGAAATCAACTGAATTGTTGATCCGTAAATTGCCATTCCAACGATTAGTCCGTGAAATTGCACAAGATTTCAAAACCGATCTTCGTTTCCAATCTTCAGCTGTAATGGCATTGCAAGAAGCTTCGGAGGCTTATCTCGTTGGTTTATTCGAAGACACAAACTTGTGTGCTATCCATGCAAAACGTGTAACTATTATGCCTAAAGATATCCAATTGGCTCGACGAATTCGTGGCGAACGGGCTTAAATTCATCACTTTTCATTTTATTCTAATCCATCATTCATATACAAACGGTCCTTTTTAGGACCACATTTTTATCCAATTGAGATTCGAGTTTTTTTTAATCTTTATTTATCATTTTGTCATTTGAATAATAAAATAAAATCATTTAAATTTCTTAACATCATCAGAAGTCTGCTATTGTGAATTTAGAAAATGAGTTTATTTGAAAAAAGTTTACCATGTGAATTGAATGAGTCAAAGATAATGAAAATAGAAACCGATTTCTCGAGTTTATTTCAATGTATAAACGAAACATGATCTCAAACAACTTTTAGTTCGAGATGGTTATAAAAAAAAATTTCTATAAATTCCAGTTTGATTTATTCACTTATTTAGAAAGTTTATCGAAAGAAAAAAAACCGTTTTTTTTTGTCATGGCAGACCACGCCAGATTTTATTTTGTTTTGGTAGTAGTTTTTTTTTGGCGCAAACTTTGATAAAAATCAATTATTCCTTTTGAGTATTACAAAAAAAACAACCTTTGCTATCACCATGTAGTTTTCGCGCGAAAATCGACACCGTTTTGACATGCGCTACGAAAAGACTGAGTTCACTCGAGCTCTACTCTACGAGTATATAAATTCCAAAAATTGGCAATCCAATCTTCACTCGCTATCTTTTGTATTTCGTGGTAACTTCAATTTTTTTTTTGACAAATTCTCGATTAATCATGTCTGGTCGTGGTAAAGGTGGTAAAGGTCTTGGAAAAGGTGGCGCTAAACGTCATCGTAAAGTTCTTCGTGATAATATCCAAGGTATCACAAAACCAGCTATCCGTCGTTTGGCTCGTCGTGGTGGTGTAAAACGTATTTCCGGATTGATATATGAAGAAACACGTGGCGTATTAAAAGTTTTTCTTGAAAACGTCATCCGCGATGCTGTCACTTATACCGAGCATGCTAAACGTAAAACCGTCACTGCCATGGATGTTGTTTATGCATTGAAACGTCAAGGACGTACCTTGTATGGTTTTGGCGGTTAAAACATTTATTGTTTTTTCAACATTATCCCAACCTAGTTATAAATACCTCATACGAAAAACGGTCCTTTTCAGGGCCACCAATAATTTACTTGAGAATTAAGAGCTATTTTTTGAAATTGATTTATTCTGTAATCTAATGATGATGCAATAAAAACTTTGTTGAAGTTGAATTCAGTTTTTGTTATTCGATTTATGGTAAAATTCTGAATCTATGATTATTTTGGTTCGATGAAATTCGATCTATCAATCATAGAGACCAAATATTCAAATAGTCCAAAAATTTTCATGGTTCAATTGAAGTTGACTTTCCTATTATTAAACTTGTTTTGTGAATATCTTTTTGGTTCAGATATTTTCTTAAAATGGCCGCTTAATTTTTCGAAATTTGTTTGCAAAGCGCGCCAAAATTGAAGCTCCGCCTTCATCACTCACGGATCTCGTTCTCGATTTGAGCAAAAGGTATAAATATACTTTGTTTACAAATTCTTGGCACAAATTTTCAATTTTATGTTTTGTTATTTTCTTGTCCATCCACAATGACAGAAGTTGAAGTTGCTCAAACTCAAGCTACGGCTGGTCAATCAAAAAAAACGAAAACTAGTAAACCGAAAGTTTCGAAAGACAAAAAGCCAAAAGCTAAACCGAATCATCCACCCGTTTCATCGATGGTTAAAGATGCTATCAAAGAGCTAAAAGAACGAAATGGTTCATCACTTCAAGCAATCAAAAAATACATCCAATCTCATTACACTGTCGACATTGAAAAGATTACACCGTTTGTTCGTAAATATTTGAAATCTGGCGTAACTAAAGGTGAACTGATTCAGGCAAAAGGTAAAGGCGCAAGTGGCTCGTTTAAATTAAACAAAGCAGCTAAAAGTGAATCTGGGGAAAAAAAGCCGAAAAAACTGGCCAAACCTAAATCACCTAAACCAAAACCATCATCATCAAAGCCGAAAACTGTGAAGGTAGTTAAATCAAGCAAACCATCAAGCGAAAAAAAGGAAAAATCAACAAAAAAAGAAAAATCAGCTACACCGAAAAAAGCCAAACTAGCCGTAAGTAAACCTAAATCGGCCGGAAAGAAAGCAAAAAAACCGACAGCAAAATCATCGAAATCACCGAAAAAAGTTGCATCGAAAAAACCATCGACGCCTAAAAAGGCTAAAAAATAAAAATTTTTCATTTATTTCATAATTTTTTTTCATCCATTAAACGGCTCTTTTCAGAGCCACATTTGATTTCGAAAGAGAACAATTCAAAATTGTTTTTTCATTAAAATTGAATTTAATAAATGTACATTTTGTATTCGTGGAATCGTTGCTACTATATAGCCATCGAATACCAAACATTGAATCCAATGGATAAAATAGTCAATGATGATAAATACAGCCAGATATTGTACCAATGCCCATTTGATTAGATACCAGAATCCAGTGTAGTATCGAAATAATTGATCATGATAATAGATGGTTACATCTAATCGGAATGGATGTTTAGTTCGCGTGTTAAGTATTGATTGATATGGTTGCCAGTGTTGATAGTCGACATTCATTTGAGTAAAATCTTTGATCACAAAAAAAAACAATAAATAAAATTTTTCAATATGTATAGACAGTACTTACATTTTCGAAGCGAATATCTTAGTAGAATGTCTTCAAGGTGAATTTTTTTATCCGAAGGAATAATGCTTTGATTGAATCGAAATTCATAACCACGATGATTGAATGGTTTTCGTTGTACAAATTCTAGATGACCTTCAATGCGTACGTATTGTCCACCAATACGATCGTTAATGTTTAAATCAGCCAATGATTCCATTTCTAGCTGTATACGTTCCGATAAACGATATTGAAAAAATGTTAATAAACGAAATCCAACAACATGGGTTCGATTCAAATCCACCGGAATATCAAGTATTAATTTTAATTCATCATATCGATTATCATTATCGTAATCGTATTCATACTGTACAATATTAATCGGAATCAAATATTTATCGTCATCAAGAATTCGATTTATCGCATCGATTGTACTGAATCCAATGATATGTTCTTCTTGATTAGCTATGGTTTTAACATTGAGTAATAGGATTAAATCTTTTCTGAAATCAATATCTGGCATTTCACGATATTCCGATTCTTTAATCCAGAATGAATCAGTTCTCCATACGATCATTAATGGTAATATAAAACGAATCAATGTTATGATGATAAAAAATATTGTTGCTTCGGATAATAACCGACTATTATAATGAATATACAGAGGTTTAACAAATAAATTCATCTTTTGTACTTTATTCTTGAAGAAAATGACACAAAGAATAGAAATTCGTTTGACTCGAATCAATATAAACATTAGAAAAATCAAAAAGTCCATTATTCCTGTAACCATGGATACCATTTATGAATAACAAAATTCCAACAGCAGAAGTCGCTTTGAGCAACATCTAACTAATAGTTTGATTATGAATATATTCTGGTTGATAGAAATCCAACACATTAGTTGGATGATTTTTATACAATTCATTGAACAAGTAAACACGAGTAATGTTCCCCAGTCCATGTGATCATTTTTGGACAACTGAATTTTATTCAACAGGTTGGGCATGATTTGAAATTCGAATCGTCGTTGTGAGCCACAATTTTCACATTTCGGTACATCCGTAATGCGGTTACGATTTGAAATCCATAGGATACGATCAAAGGATTGTTTGCTTAATAAATTTTGCTGTTGCCAATAAGAATCATAACGGATAATTTCACCACGACGTATAGCTTGCCGAAAACGATCAAAAGTTTGCTGTTCCTGTTCATTACATTCATCTTCGGGTAAATATTGTTCAATATTTTCATTTTGGCATGATGGTTGATTTTGGTGGACATAGTCCTGATATTTTTTCATTTCCATCTCACTAACATCATCTTGATCATCAGGTTGGTTTTCTGTTTCATCCGCTTCATCAATAATTATTTCATATTCTAAATAATTAAATAGAAATGTGTCATCGGAGTGTTTTTAAAAAAATAAAGTTAATAAGCAAACCTGGAAAAACAAGATTTTCATATCTAACATTATTTGAATCATTTGTTTCTTGATCGTTTTGCTGACATTTATCTTTATGGCCACCTTTTTTCCAATGTACAATCTGATGCTCTCGAGAACAATAAGAAATTTTTAGACATTGTGAACAACGCTTGTTGGCATGTATGCCACAAATTGGACATAATGATTGACCAAATTTCAGTGGATTGGGATTATAATCAACACTGTCTTTGTCATAATCTGGTGGATCATGTGAATAGAATTGATTCGTCCGTGGTAACTGACATCGAAAGACGAGAAATTGATTCGAACATTGTTCTTGTCGTCCACAACCGAAAACAAATAATTGTCGATGAAATGCTTGTTCATTCGATTCGATCGGTGCATACAATTGTAAAATGAAACGCATTGTTTTCTGACATTTTCGACAATTTAATTGATCATAACCAAGAATTGGATTCAATACCAAAAATGATGGATGACCACCGATTTTTGATGGAAAATATTTTGATTTTGATAGCCATTCATTTGTGAATGGTTCAGCAAAACCAAGATCAATACTTTTTGATAGTGACATTGATCAATCAATACGATTTATTCTGAAAAAAATTATAAAATTATTAAACATGTGCTCAATTCTTTAAAGAATGCTACGATGCTGTCATCTGTTGGCAAAATAAGTTTTTTTTTGTTATAAATATTTTTGTTATTATATCTCTTTTCAGTTTTTATAATTTTACTATTTGATTTGGTTATTCAATATATTTTGAAATAATAATTATGAACCATTGGGATCTAAATTTTAAAAATTTAATCATATTTCATCATGATATCACAATATTTTTCATACTTGGAGGATGAAACGAAAATTCGATGTTCAAAATTCGTAGCAGTGTAAATATTGACATTCACTTTGCGAATAATAATTTTTTTTTCTTTCATTCCCTATCTAGTCGATTGGGTAAATTTTATTCTGGGCGTTCTGGTCAGCATTATGTTTCATTTTTTTTCTCATTGTTCCTGATTGAATAGTTTCAATTCAATTCAATATATCCATGACTGGCTGATATTTTTTTTTAATGTCATAACGATTTTAAATGTCGATAATAATAATATTGCTCCATACACACATACATTCATTCAAATTCGAATTTGGAAAGAAAATTTACATGTCAATAGTGTGAACAAAATTGCTCTAACCGCCGTTATCTTTTCTCTTTTTCTATTGAATAAAAAATCAAATTTCATATTTTATCATTCAATGTGTATGTTCCAACAGAGAAAGAATATGTAATCATTCAACAGTAAACCGAGAAAGAAAAAATATTTTCAGAATCCAAAAAGCAAATTCCACACACACACACACACACACACACACACACACACTCACATTCATAAGCTAGTTATTCAGTAGACCGAAAATTTTCAAACCAAATTTCGGACACATTCTGTTTACAATAATTGCACGATGTCCAATACACACACGAATGGCATTTTGAATTTCAATCCAATTTTCCAGGGAACAAATATTTTTTCATCATTTTTTTTAAACATTTTATTTTCTGTTTGATTCACACTATAGCCTTTTATTGTATTTATTATGTCAATGGTATGAGAATCATCAACAGCATCAGCAGCAGCAAACAAAAAAAAACGAGAATCAAAAATTGTCATTCGAGGAAAAAACGAGTGTAATAATCATTTTCATTTCATTCTTGTTTTATTTAACTGTCTATTTTCAGGATTCGTATCGGAAAAGAAAAATTCTTCAATAGACAAATAGTCTGCCAATTTAATCGATGTGTATGATTATGATGGTATACAATCATATATCGGTCCTGGTAAATGATGAAAAAGAAATCGAAATCGATCGTATTTGGAATCTCATTTCAAGATATTTTTTTGTTGCTGTTTTTGTTGTCTATTCGTTTTTTTTTCAATGCAGGAATATAATTATTGTTCACGCCGGATAGTCTATCTATACTTCAATGATACATTATTGGTTGTTATTATTCTGGGGCTATGACGATGATGATCCATTTCCAATAATCAAAATGCCATTCCAGCCATTAAGCATTTATTTGATTGGAAACCAAGCCTAGACACATTCATATGGTAGCCGTATGGTATATATATATTCTATAATAATGTATGTAATTGACATTTACTTTTTTTTGTTTTTTTTTGTATCTCTTAAAAAAATGATCATATGAACATAAATATATGCTTTCATTCAATGAACACAAAATGTTGTTGTTGTTGTTGTTTTATTTTTCAATGAACGATTTATAAAAGAAATGAAATTCATCATCATCATCATCATCATTGAATGATTGATTGACATGATCAAATAAAGGAATAATGTTTGTTAATTTTCTTTGGTAACAAAAAAAATGACACATTCATTCATTTTTTTTTTTTTTTTTTTTGGTCCGAAAAATAAAAATCCAAGAAAATAATGTATGGACTTAAACAAAAAAAAAATTGTCAACCCATAAAAATGCCTTCGGCGATATCTCCGTCATTTTTGTTGTTGATTCAATTATATTTTAGTTACATTTTATGAGATTGAAAAAAAAATTATTTCATTTTTTCATCATTATCACTCGGTCCAATTCGTTGTTATTCATCATCATCATCATCATTTTTTTTCTCACTTAGTTTATGTTTGTTGGTTAGTGTTGTTGTCACAAACATACATTTTTTTCCATTCGTTCCATTCTAAAGAATTGATGGAAAATTTCATTTTTTTTCTTTCGAGAATTTTCGAGATAGAACCGACAATTCATAGGAATTTTATGTTATTTTTGCTGCTGTTTTTGTTGTTGTTGTTGTTGTCCTTGTTGTTGACTTTCGATGGATGACTTTCTATGCATGCTTATAACAAGGTTTATTCTTGTTTTTTTCCATGATTTATCTAATGAATTGCCCATTATTCAAATGTCATTGTATAGTGGTGATGATAATTAATAACATGTAACACAGTTTTTCCACAAACGATTTGTTTTGAAGTGAAAAATTTTATTTTCTATAACAATTTTTTTAATTTTTGTTTCAATTGTCATCATTAAATTGCGGAGTAAGCCGGTAACCAAAAATAACAAAAATAACAAAATTAATGAAAATTTTTAACAACAAATTTTTTTTAGCCTCTTACCCAAAAATTGTTTTCAATTTTCGATCCAATTTTCATTTATTTGTTAGGAAAATGAAAATTTATAATGACAATTATAATAACAAGTGATTGTAAACTAATCTTTAAAAGGAAAGAAAACACAAACACAACAATATTTGGAATATTTTCAATTAGGTCATTGTATATTCTATTTTTTTAGCAATAATTCTCATGTTTCATCAACAAGAAGAAAAAAAATACACATATTTTCTAATAGATCAAGAGACAATTTTTTTCCAGTTCATTCTATACAAAACATATATAATAACTTGACATAGACATCGAAATACACTAATAATAATAATAATTTGTAATTTTATGTGTCTGTGCTTGGTATATTTGAAGCTGTCCGGATTCTTTTTCTCTTTTCATAATAACAATAATGATGATGGGTTTTCATTTTCTATCTTCGAATTCACAGCTTTTTTTCTCATTATTCTTAACATATATTCTACAATATTCATTATAATTATTTTTCTTCATCATCATCATCATCATAACTAACCATCATTTTCATCTTTATTTTCATTTTTCATTTTTTTTTGCTCATAATGAATCAATGAATCTAAGAAAATGAGTTGAGAGAAACAAAACAAAAAAATCTTCTGTGGTTATTTTCCGTCGATTACCATCATCATCATCATCATCATCATCATCAGAATAATAATAATAATCATCATCATTCAAAGAATAATGATCATGATTATTATAATGATAACTAATTATAATTATAATAATTGAAAAATAATGTTTCACTCATTCATTCATTCTCGGTAACAAAAAAAATGAGCATTACCATCAAAATAAGTTCTGCATTGGGCCATGTTATTTTATTTTTTTCTTTTCGTTTACATTGAAAAATATACATTTTCTTTTTTTTCTGATATTTGTGATAATTCATTCATTTTATTCTTGGAATCTATAGCATTGCATTTTTTTTACCCACTCATACATTTACTTCATTACTACTTAATATGATGAGAAAATATATTCTATGGAAATGAAATCTAAATACTAAAGATGATGATGATGATGATGATGATGAGAAATGGAAAAAAAACTGTATGGAATTCTAATTTTTTTTTTTTCATTCAAATCAATTTTTAGAATCGTTCCTTTTTTCCATTTCTTTTCATCATCATCGATGAAATGTAATGTATCTTTATGGTCTTGTTATGAATAATAATTAATGGCCGTTATGTATTAATTTTTACATTTATATTTCCGGAATCTAGTGCATAAAAACAAATTTATTAATTGAACATTATTATTGAACATGTCAGATGTATATATTCAATTTCTATTTCTACTCATAATGTTCTTACATTTCATAATAATGTATTTCCGTTTTATTTTCTTCTACTTCTTCTTGTTTTTCTTCTTCATTTACTTCATTGATTTTTACAAGTCCTTTTTCATAATTCTTTTTTTATGCTTCAATCAAATAAAACTTACTTAGATTTGCATCAACAATATGACAGAATTTTCAGCCATCCAAACTTAATGGTTGGAAAAAAGTCCATTTATCAATTTCTGTTTGTTTGTTCAGGTGCAAATTCAGTATTTTCACCACTTATGGCTGATGCTATTTGATGTTCATATATATCCAATATATATATTCGGATTTTCGATCCATAAAATTTATCGATTCATTTTTTTCTGTGCCATCGTATGGAGAAAAAAAGCGACAGGCACTTTATTAAATCAAAATCATCATTCTTTAGAATTCATTATCATTATATTGAGATGCAAACTATTTTTTTTTAATAAGAAAAAACTAATGATACGCAATTTTTTTTCTTTTTCTGCTTAAAAATCATGTGAAGAGAAAAAAACTGAGAAAACTAGTGAAAACTAAAACCTGAACAATTAACCTGGATTACTTGCAAACATACGATATGTTCATAAAATGAATATAATCGAATAGGTGACCTGTTCTTTATTAGGTATTATATATTCTTTTACATTAATCATTCATGATTTATAAACCTTTTCAGTCAGCACAAATATAATTGTCTAAAAAAAATGATCCAATAAAATCATTTTTCAACTATCGACCAAAGAATATAAAATTAGAAAAATCTTCAAATTACGCATGATTCCCTATCAACACAAAAGAATATATTTGTTGAAAAGGTATAGGTATTTCTATAGATAGAATCCTATGATTTGCGCATGTGGATTTTTTTTTCTCATTTCGAATGTTTATGATGGTAACGGATTTTAAAAAAAGTGTTCATTCATGACGACGACGACGACGACGGCAGCGGCGGCTACAACCATCACATTTCACCACTACCACACCATATACAAAAAAAACCACCATTTGACGATTATTGTCGACGTTGTTATTACTACCGTCATTTACAATCAAATCAGTCAGCCAAACAAAATTGGCAGCCCAATCAACCAACCAACCAACCAACCAACCATCATCATATCGTCGTGAGATGACAAAAAATTGTATCAATAGTAAATGAACTAAATTATTTTAAATGGTATTAACGTCATGTTTTGACATTTTTGCGTCTGATCATCAAAAAATGTTTGTCGGTTGATCAGATTTATATACATTTTGATGATACATTGAGGTGATATTTCCGTTCTCAGAGTGAAATTCTCATCAACAATTTTTCATCACTATTTAGAATTTTCTCTCTCTATCTGTATCTCGCTGGTGCAGCAAAACAGTTGACGTAGAACGATTTTTATAATTATCATTCGTTTTTGTTTATTATTCATCCGTAATTTCAATTGGTAAGTTTACGATTTAAAATTATTTTTAAAAAAATTATTTTCATCATTGAATGTCGTTTGATTTTAATTTGTTTTTGATTCTATATGCTATTTCTACGCAAATAAAATTAGAAAATCAGTATAAAAAACCAGTAAAAGTAAATGAATTTCTTTTCCGAACATTGACGTTGGTCGACGTCCACTGGGGTTCAATGTTCAGTATTGACACTATTGCAAATCTGATGTGTGTGTGTGTGTGTGTGTGGGTATTGATGGATGTGAATGTAAAACAATTCAGGTGTATTTATTGCGTTGTTAAGTTACAAAGAAAAAAAAGAAAGAGTTAAAAATAGCATCTTCTTTTGTTTTAATCAAGTTCAGTTACCTAACATTGGGGATGAAAGAAAAAACTTTGGCTCTCATAGTGTAGCTTGTTTATTTCAAGAAAAGCTATTGTACTTATCCTCTGTATACATTTAATGATGTTGAAACCATACGAACGAATGAATGAATGAATAAAAAATCTTGATTCTATTGTATGTTGAGAAAAAAAAACATTGGTAGCTTGGTAAGTTTTTTTGTTCGGTTCATTTCAGTAAAGTTCGGTCGTTTGGCTACTTTTTTCTCATCATCATCATCATACTGGCTGGCTAGCATCTTTTTGTTGATGTGGAGAAAAACGTTTTTTTTCATATTTATATGTAAAGATAATTATCATAATCAACAATAAATTTATGGAATCAGACCGATACAATGGAAGAGAAAAAAAGGTTAATGACAAATTTATTTACAGCAACTACATTAACATACAGTTGTTGGAGAATCGTTTCGATTCCAAAAATAACTTAATGATGATGAGGTAATCCGTTAATACATATTATGGACCGGTCGACAAGTTTTTTTTCCTCATTGTACGTATGTATGTATGTATGGTCAGCTTTGTCTTGTCTCAATTTTTTCCGTTTTCTATAATCATCATCGTCATCATCATTGCTCGATTTCCTGTTTTTTAAATAAACAGTAGAAAAATAAAAGAGATGAAAAAAAACGATTTTTTCCTTTTATCGTTCCGTTCTTTTTGTTTAGTTTCAGTAATTTCATTCATTTATTTATTTAGTGCAAACACACAGCCACCCACACATACACAAACAAACTAGTGATGATTTGACAGTCTTGATGATTATGTCCGTGGTAGTTATTATTCTGGTTTTTTTTTGACCATAGGGCCAACAGTAGACAGATTTGAAAAAAATTGTCCGAAAAAACGACTTTCATTATAATAATCATAATTATGATTGCTTCCAATTTCTGCATGTTCTGTTTATCCAAATGTTCTTTACTTTACACAACAACAAAAAATGTAATGAGAATTTTACCACTTGTCCTAGTGTTACATTTGTTTTTTAAATAATTTTTATCTTGTTTAGTTTTGTTAGAATCAAATGATGATGATGATGATGTGGGGTTCATGACATTTCATGAATCGTTGTGTACGCTAGAATGGTGATAAGAATTAATCTTTTTTTTCAGAGAAAAAAAATTATCATAGATTTCTATTCTATTGTGAATTGTAACCAGATGTTTTGAATCGATTATTCTATTGTCTTTCTGTTTGTTGTTAGATGGATGGATGAATAAATTGTCTTCATTGTCAAATTGATGATTGAATTCAATTCCAATTCCAATATATATATAAATTAATTTGTTAAAACTTTCCAATTTCAAATCAATTTTATTTTGGATATTTATTCACATTATTTCAATAGGTTTCAAGATGAATTTTTTTTTTTTTTATTATTGTTCTTCCTGTTTCTATTTTTACGACTGTTTCATGTATAATTTAGCCTGTTTAATGAAATTTAAGTTTTGAATAGGGAATTCTCTTTCTATTTCTTCTTTTATACCCTATTCATTCACAATAGACTGTGAAATAGATATATTGTGTAAATATAAAACTCAACTATAAGCTGAAAACTCAGTCAGATTTCTTTGTTTCCGATTCCATTTCATTCTATTCATTATTTGTATTTTATTTTTAATTTTAATTTTATTCATACAATGAATTTGAATTTAAATTTAAATTTGAATACTGATGATGATTATGCTGATCATTACAGACATTGCATTGAATCGAATAATCAAAAGAATTAGAAATAGAAAGAAAGAATAAACTTGAAAAGACTATGTTTGTACACAGAATTCATTTAAAGTTTCTTTTTCCATCTTTTTTCTACCCTAAAAATTAAACACAATGCTATTTTAGAAGAACAAAAAAAATTAACATTGACATGGATTTTTTTTTTGCTGGCCAATGAAGTAATATTTGGATTTTTTTCTTCCAAAACAAATATCATCCAACAAAACCAAAAACCTAATTATAACAGTTTGTATGGAGTGAAAGATGAGTAAATTCATCATTCGCCAAAACCTATCATTTCATTTTTTTTTCTGTCATGAATTATTATATATATTTAGCCTTTTGAAATCTCAAATATTTTTTTTTCTCCTTTTCGTTCGTTCATTCACCACCATCATCATCATCATCATCATCACTATATTATTTTCAAACATAATTGAATTTAAAGAGAATCTTTTATTTCATTCAATAGATCAAATTTCAATTGACGATAATGTAATAGCTTCAGTGATGGCGATTCAATTATTTTCTGTTTCACTTTATTCATTCGATCAAATATTATTATGGTATACAGGTGATGACTCTCTTTTTTTTTCATTTCAGCTGTTATGGAAAATTTTCAAAGACCCATGAAAAAGTTTTTTTCATTTTTGTTCATTTAATGACTATATTCTATTCATTTTGGTTCAAGAATCAATTGCCTTGTTTGTTTTTATTCTTCAATGAATAATAGAACCTACGTTTCTTTTGAATGTCATCCGTATAATATTCTTTTTTTTTTGTTACTGATTTTTTTCTCTTCTCATAACTATGATATTGATTTTTCGAATTCATTTATTCAGTTGTTGGTGTTTTTTTTTGTTTTGGTTTGGTTTTTTTGCTTTATTTGGTTGTCCCAATTTTTTCGATTTGTTACCTTGGCCACCGCAAACTGATAGAGATCAGAATATATACATATGATTGTCACAAATAATTTATGTACGTGGATACACTATTAATTGCTGTTTTTGTTTTTTTTGTTGTCCCTCTGGTATCGCCATAGATTTGTAGGTTTTTCTCAGGAAAACAAATTCAATGACATGACATTTTTTTCCGATTATTGTGATCGTAAACGAAAATTCGTATTCATGATTTGAATTTACTTGACATTATTCACCTAATATATTTGAATATGTAATACGATAGATCAGATTCTTTTGTGACTATTCTTCCAAAGTTCATTTAATTCATAAACTGAATCGAGAATGGTGATAATAATAAAAGCTGATATTGCAATGAAAATTTTTATAAATACATTCAGTTGGGAAAAAACAATGATTAATTACGGACACCATTATTTCTTGATTCTATTTTATCAAATAATCACATGACTGGTTTCCTGACTATCAGAATTTTTTTTCTTTTTTCGTTACCGGATAGCACGAATGCAAATTCTGTATGGTACACCAAAATCTGATGCATTTACTTTGATATTTTTTTGCTTTTATCATCCTTTTTTTGTTATTATTCAATCGAATCATTTCACGATTGAACTACAATTTTACATGTATCATGGTAGTTGATAAGCATTTGTTAGGTGTGTCCCTCGTGACTAATTTTACAGGTCTTCTTTGCTCTTAGGTTATTATTTTTTTAGCACAAAAGCCATAACAAAATCATTGATTGATTAAAATCAAACCAGAGTGAATTGAAGCAAATCAGATAGCAGACTATATAATTCATTTTTTTTTTTTTTGTTTTGGAATAATAATCAACAAAAAAACCTAATCAGGCAACCAAACAACAGCAAAGAAAAAAAATATTCTTGGTGTCTAGAATAAAATAAAAAAGAATGAAGAAAACATTTAATCATTACAGGAAACGTGTATGTTGACTCTCTATGTTGAACACTTCTTTTATCTTTGTCTAAGTAATTATAATGACGATGATGACGACAGCTTTTTAATTAATTGCTAGCCATTCTTGGACTCAGTTTGAGTAAACAGTATCTGGGTCGTTTTAACTTCTGTTATTGTAGTCTAGTCGAATAGTTTAATTTAGCGAATTACTTTGATCCATTCGAACACTATCGGCTCACAAATGAAAAAAATAGCCGGACAGCCGTTATTTTTATTACTTTATTTGTTCTATGAGCAAATGAAAAAAAGGTTGAATGAGATGATTATAATAATGCACAAACCACATCATTTCTATCGGTGCCAAATGATTAAATATTTGTCCAAATTATAAAAATGAATATTTACCATTATGATTACTGTCCACAATTCATTGAATAACTCTGAAAAATTTCATTAACAATACCGGAAAATTTAATTCTATCGGAAAATAAAGAGAGAAAATGAATTATATTCTAACCTTCGAAATGAATTTAAATGTTTCCAATGATCCTAATTTGGTCAACCCATGCATTTGTATAAGTTGATTAATTTACACAAGTTGTTGCCAGAAAAGAAAAGCATAATAGAAGAAAAAAAAACAAGTGAACTAAACAAAAAAAAAAAGAATAATCTAATGGTGATTGTCGGTCATATGATAATGCAATTTTTTTTTATCACATGATTGTTAGCAAAATGAGGTTAATGCAAATCAAATTTATTTACTGGTCAATAATGATGAATATTCCGAAAAAAACTAGATTTCAATTCAATAATACGATTATGGAATTTATTTTGAAAGTGAGACCTACGATTTTAGAGACGAATTTGAAATCAGAATCATTCTTATCAGTTGATAAATGACTAGACGAATAAAGAATAATGTTTTCTTATCCTATTTAAAAAAAATAAAATCAGAAAAAAAACGTTAGTTATATGTTGAAACAAGAAAAAAAAGATGTGTATAAATCGTGATTAAATAAATGAATGGAAAAAAACAAGGTCGGAATTTGTGTATATTAAAATTTCTGGAAATCCCTGGATGAGCTTAATTTTTTTTTGGACCATTCTCGATTCAATTATTTCATTTCTTTTTTTCCGTTTTTTCCATCTTACATTGATTTCATTGGAATCTTATAATATTAATAAATAAACAAGCTTGATAGGAAATAAAAGGAAATACAGAGATATTCAAGTTAATATATCACAAGCAAATACATCAGATACAATAAGATTTCATGATCCAAAAATAGATCATTCGATCGATTGTGGCCAAAATTGTAATAACCCGGTGTTTAATTTTCTTCATTCGTTTACTATTTTATCCCGTACGGTATAATCACGACAAAAATCCCTCCGAATGATGATACTGTTTTTTACGGATCATTTAATGCAGATTATGTTATATTAAAGTTGTCAAAAAAAATGGAATCATTTATCCATCCATTTGCTATCGATAATCAATTTCACACATTTTTTTTTTGATTGTAAATACAGATGATGATGATAACTTTTTTTTTGTATTGATTTTCTTTTTGTTCAATACAAAAAAAATCATACACAGTTCACTTGCCAATCACAATGAATCAATTGCATTCAAACATTGATTTGTGAGGTAATGTTTATATCTGCGCAACTACCATCAAATTGATCTAATTGGTCACTTTTTATTTGTGTTCTATTTTTTTGTTGTTGTTGTTTTGTTTATAATGATAATAATGATCAATGATGATCGATGCGTTTTTTTTCTCTTTAATAATCATCATCATTCTCGTGTGTTTAATTATTATTTGTATTTTCTTTCTGCAATAAATGATTAATCTTGTTCAGCAATAATGATAATAATAAACAACAACAACAACAACACCAACAAGCTGTCGTTTTGATCATTAGTCTATTTGATAAACTATTTTTTTTTTCTTCAACTAATATTGGAAATTTTATCTCATATCAACATCGATTGAAAGAATCCTGGATCGATGATGATCAATGATCACAAATGATGATGATGGTGATGGAAACTTTATTTGATAGAAATGATAGCAAAAAAAAAAAAACTTGAAGGGGCTAGTGTTGTATGTTTGTGAATTGCCTAAAGCAGAAGCTTCCCCGAAAAAAATGATTCTAAAATGTTTGACTCTCTCTTTCTTTCCGTTTCTTTTGGCTTTATTTTGTTGTTACATTTGATTTCTATCAATACAGTTTCGTAACATTGTTTTTCTCTTCATTTCTGCTTTGTCTGTATATTTTAGTTTGTATTTATTGTGTGAGTTTTAAATTAAAAATTACACTTATTATTTGGACATGTGATCAATTGGATTTTTTTTACTTTTGATCAAAAGTTTCATCTTTTTTTGTTCTTCTGGAATAGAATACAGAATAACAAAAACGTAACGTTACAAAGTAACGTTATTCGGAAACTTTTAAAATTTGAAAAATTCAATGACCTGTTATCATCAATAATAATTAATAAATCATTTTATCATTTGAAATATCACTGACTGATGATGATGTGATTGAACCTTTTCAAACATCACCATCATCAGCAATGATATATTTATTTTTTAAAGTCCATATATTTATGATTAGAGTATACAATTATATAATAAGATATCATTGACATCATATCGTATCACATGTAATGATAATAAAACTACGTATATCTTCATTGCAATGAAGTTTAATTTGAATCAAATAAATTTGTCCGGGAAATAAAATATTGTTCATTGTCATTCTATAAATGTGTGTGTGTGTGTGTGTGTAAATATTTATAAATGATTTAAAAGATGTGATGTGTGGGTGGACCATTTCTGGTTTATAGAATTTTTTATCTTCATAATCAATTCAAAAATATATAGTTGATGTTGTTGTTATCGTCGTCAGTTGATCATAGCATTTTCATCTAAATTCTATTGAATCATTTTAAATTCTAAAACGTATTTTTATTTCTTTGTTCTTAATTAATTTATTCTTACTATCAATGTGATAATATAATATAACTGGTTCATACATTTTGGATGAATTACCGAATCATTATCATAATCGTTATCGTGGTCGTTGTTTTATATTTGAAATACAACCAGGTTTATCTGACAAGAATTTTGTTCCGTTGATGATTTGTTTTAATTTTTTTTCTCTCTCTTCTTCAAACGATAAGATATAAACGATTCTTTGTGTGTGTGTGTTTGTGTTAGTAACATCTGTGGTTATATTTAATGTGTGTGTGTGTGTGTTTGTTTGTTAGTTTGGGTGTTGAAATTTTGATTTTACGAGGTATGTATGAAATATAACAGTTTTTTTTCTTTAACTATGTCTCTGCATGGTAACTTATTATTATTATTATATCTTCATATAATTTATCATCATTTAAAAAAGCAGCAGGCAAAAAAAAAATTTCGCACAAAGTAATCGGCCAGAAAAAAAGTTGAAAAGAAAAAAAAATTTAAAATTTGTTCGTTTTTTTCCATAAAATCATCGTATCATTATTGCGGGATAAGTTTTTTTTCAGCTTTGCTGTTTTTTTTTTTTTTTTGTAAAACACATGAATCTTAAATTTCATTTTTGCCTCCATTTTTATATACTATATATCGATACATTGCTTATCTGATTAAATGGACCGATTTTTTTTCTACTTTTCCTTCGTCTCCATTTATCGGCCCAATGGCATAAATTTTGGTTGATGCCGTTTTTTTTACAGCAATAGTTAATTGGATAAAATATATACAATCAATAAATAAAGATAACTGTAGAATTTAGTGGGTGTAAATTTTTCTCGTTCTATCTAACTTGAAAAAAAAATTATTTATTAATAATAAATGATGTGAACGAACCAAAAAAAAACTTTGGAATCTAGATTCCTTGAATGTTATGTTTATGTATGATCCAGTTGATCCAGTTGATGTATGAAAACATGAATATAGAATTTTAGATTCATTGAGCCCAGATCCTGTAAAGAAATAGAATGTAAGTGAATTTTTATCCAAGAATTTTTTTTGCGAATATAAACTCAAATTTTTGCTTCGCTATCTTCCGTTGATATCATATTGTGTTTATCTATACATTTGTGTATGTGAAATACAAAAGTACTAACAAATAACATTTAATAACGATCATCGACGAAACAGTGTCAGTTTCATCAATGGATGTTATCTAACAAATTTTTTCTCTTATTCATCATCATCACCATTATCATAACATTGATAGACATCTATTGGTTTTAAGTTCGCTTTGTAAATTTTTTCCGGAATTTTATTTTTTTTTTGGCCACCAGATTTTCCATTTTTATTGTAGTTATTATTATTGTTGAATTTCAATTTTTTTTCAATATATAAACGATAAATATATCGCCATACATATGGATAGGTACGGCTCAGTAATTCGAATGATTTTTCCTCTTGACTCGATTTTAGATTATTGTGAAATTTTTTTTTTTTTTTTTTTTTGAAAAATTTTCATTATTTATGTTGCAACAACAACTGTTATTTGATGCTTTATAATAAAAAAATAAATTCAAACACAACATATGTGTCTGTGTGCATGGCAATGTGAAAATTTAAAACGATAAAGTCATTTTCAGAATATTTTCATAATTTTCATTTTTTGTTTTTCAATTCAAATGCATTCATGCACACATAGTTGAATAGTTAATTTTATTCAGTTCTTCTTTCACTCTCTTTTTGTTTATAATAATGGATAAAATGAAAAACATATTAACTCCTCTCTTGTTTTTAAATATTTTTTCCTTGGGGACATCAACACCACTATTATTATCATCGCCACCGTTTTCCGGCTTACTTTCGAATTCATATCTGCACATTTATGTTGTAAAAAATACAACAAATGGATTTTAAGATTGAAGAATATAACGACTAAATAAAATTCCAATGATCTACAAATTTTTACAATCATAATGTTATCATTAAATTGTTTTTCATCATCCTCATCGGATTCATCCGAACAATCAAATGGTGCTATTGGTCATCATCATCATCATCATCACTATCATAATCAAATACAACACCAGCATTCCAATAATCGTTTCTCTGTATTCCAAAGTTTTTGCGGCTCATTTTCATCACAATTAACAAATCTATTTGTTGGTTGTTGCCGTTGTTGTTGTTGTTGTTTTTGTGTTTGTTCTAATAAAAGTGACAAAAACAGGAAACGCCGATTTTCATTCAACCGTGATCGTCGTCTTAGCTTTCCTACTGATCTTCAGCAGCAACAGCCACATAATCATAATCATAACTCTCATACATCGGCGATTGTCAACAATGTTATCGTTGAAAAATCAATCAAAGATGAACTGTCGCCTAACATATCCGGTCAAGAGATGGCTAGTATTGTCACAGTGCCTACAATTAATAATGTTGAACAACATGATTTTACTGACGAAGCAATCAACAATGATGGCCATGATGAAAAAGGCCATAATAATTTCGATTCTCGTTCATTAAATCGTTTATTCTTTATTGAATTTTTTCGCCGTAGACAAAAAAATCATAACAAAGATGATAAAAGAATATCTGATACGAATGTTATTTATCATAACAACGGCAATAAAACAGACGCTGATTGTCCAGTTAGTTATGGGCATCAATATCCTATTCAACATTCACTATCATCATTACCATCATCATCAAAGCAACCATTGATATTGCAACAATTATCAATATCATCGCTTGATAACAATTCGGCATTAGCTACTGAAAACTCTTTCAACTGTGATGTAATTTCATCCGCAACGACAATGAATCTCGAGCTTTTTGAATCAAAAAATTTACATGATAAACATAATAATAAAAATAATGATAATGAAATAGAAGATGATGACGATGATGATGATAATGATGTTATATTCAATCAACCGATAGTGCCTTCACATTCCGGTCATCATAATCAATTTCAACTGAAACAACAACAACAACAACAACAACAACAATCAACATCATCACCATCGAAATCTTTATTAATGACTTCATTGTTTAAATCAACAAAAAAATCTGTGGTACATAGCGTTGGTTCAAATCCAATCAACAATCAACGTGATAAACAAATACGAATAGACATATCATCAAAACGTTTGATGCGTGAAATAGGTGATTTAATGCGTCGTCGTCAAAATCAACAATTGACGGCCAATTTTACAATAGAATTAGTCAATGATTCTCTATATGAATGGTATATTAAAATCTATGAGTTTGATAAAGAATCACAGGTAAGTTTTTTCTTTGTTTTTTCCTTCATTATTTGATATTTTGAAAGAAAAATTCCGTTGAATTTTTTGTCCTAATTATTATAGGACCTGTTTCGAATGTCACTTTTGTAAGATAATACCGATTTTTACCATGAAACTTGTGCCACTTTTTTGTATTATCATCATAATGATAGGCAGAATTTTGTTACCAATTTCATAGACCCACACCATACATTACAGAAAAAGTTTGATTTTTTTTTTACCAAATTCAAAAGTACAAATATGTTTGTATTTGTCTGTGCTTTTGATCATAAAAATCCTCTTGTTGAATGGATGATTGAATGAATGAGAGAAAAATTTATTCTTTAATGATGATGATGATGATGATGATTATCATCATGCAATTCGATACTTTTAGTTTGCATTTTTACCAACTATATAGAGAAATTCTCATGAGTATCATTTTTATATATTTCATTATTATCATTACCATTATTATTATTTGACTATTTCCGGTAAAGCATGATGATGAGTTTCAGAGTTTTTATTTTTCCATTTTTTGTTGTTGTTGTTGTTGTGTTTCATGGTATAGAAATTCCATTATGGGAAGAAAATCTATATGAAAGAATATAAAAGAAATAATGATACATGAATAAATAAAACGAATGACCGAATTGTCATATTGTTATGACCACGATCATTAAGGCCAAATCATCATCATCATCATGATCATTGTTTTTTTTTTTTCAACCATTCAATGATAATAACAATGATCCAAGATAGGCACATACAAAAGTTATCTTTATCAAATATATTCCTTCGAGAATTGGAAATATGTTTTTAGCCGCGTGCTTATTGGCCGATAATTTGTTATCAATTCTATAGTTTCATTTTCAATTCATCATCATCATCATCATCATTATTATTATTATGCCGATAAAAAATGAATTTTTCACTTTCCAGAAGTGCATGAAATAAATGTAGTGAAAGAATTCAATGCGATTTTCATTTATTCATTCTTTCATCAATCAATTCATAGTTTCATGGTCGAATTGATTCTTTTTGTTTCTTGTCCATCTGTTTATTTTTTTTCTGTCTTTAATGAAACATTTTTTTCTCTCTTTTAACTTGGAAAAATATAGGATACAATAGTTTTTCGTTTTGTTATTTTGACTTTTGTGAATATTTATTACAATTATTTGCTAATAGATATGGCATTATTCTTTTTTTTTATGTGAATTGTCAACTTTACAAATGTCCTTAGTCCAAGTATAAAAATGAACATTTCATTTTATCCCATTTCATTTATCGGTCAGTCGGGTTTTTGCTCGATTTGTCACCTAAATACAGATGCTCATATTATATATTCTATGTTTTTTTTATGTTGTAACCAAATCACGTTCTTAGCTTGGTTCCGATAACTATTATAATAATGATAATGGCCAAAAGCTTGATGCTATTATAGTAGCTTGTGTATAAGAATTTTGTTTGTTTTTAGTAAACCAAAGGTTTCCTACATTATATGTAAATTAAGCACTTCACAAGTTTTTTGGTTTGTGTTTGTAAAGTTATTTTTTTTTGTGGATATCAAATTTGCATATCAACAAAAAAGCTGTTGCCAATGGCCATCATCATTGGTGACAATGACGAATGAACGCATATACGCACATATGGATTTTACTCATTCATCATCTTGAATTTATTCTTTTGATATCACCATATACCATACCATATTTATTTTGCTAGCATAATTTTCTCATTATTTTTTTTTTTTTTTGTTTAATATTCTAGATTTATTTGGATATGCAACAATATCAAATTCAATTCGTACAATTACATGCCTTATTTCCTGAAGCATATCCATTTGAACCTCCATTTATACGTGTTGTTACACCATATATTGAACGAGGTAAATTGAATTGAATTCTGTATATTTGATTTTTAAAATTTGTATTTTAATATTATAATAATTTTTTATTAAAAAAATACTCAGGCTATGTTATGGAAGGAGGTGCAATATGTAAGTTTCATATTACTTATTTTCGTATCTTTGAAACTTGACTAATGATGATGATGATGTTTATTAATAGGTCTAGAATTGTTAACAAAAACTGGTTGGACTAGTGCCTATACAATGGAATCGGTAATCATACAACTAATGGCATCATTTGTAAAAGGACAAGCAACAATCAAGGCAACAAAAGATGTAAACAAATGTTTTACAAAAAAATCCGCCATCAATTCATTTAGGTAAGCGATAAATTGGTGGATATCCCAGATACAATTATGTGAATAAACATTGAAATTTTATTCATTCAAATTCAAAATAAATATATTTTTTTTTGATAGGCACATTGTTCGTATTCATGATAAACATGGATGGGTGGACACTCCTCTTTTTGAAGGATGAAAAACATGATGACTTGGCCGAATTAACTTTTTTTTCTCATTGTCATTGAATCATCAAGCCAGACAGGGGTGGAAATGATTTTCAATTAAATCAGCTTCATTACGAATCCACTATTCAATTTGAAATGGAATGGAATAACTTTGATATTATACATGAACCAAATCAATATTTTGCATCAATCATGAATGGAAAAACAAACAAACAAACAAACAAAAAAAACTGTAGAATTAATTGAAAACTGAAATTTAAAAAATTTTGATAACTTCATAAACAAAATGTTATGATTCATAAAATATTCATATTGTTATCAGTCATATTGTATAACTGTCATTTGCATGTAATCAAATATTCAAGTAAATTATATATGACTATATTGTTTATTGCAAATTTATATATCCCATTCGATGAAATTCAATCAAATTGAAAGCTTAATAAAAATGGAATAACAAAAGACAATGGCCAGTAAAAAAAAATGAATAAATTTTTTTGTTGTTGTTGTTATTGTGTCTTGTAATAAAATCATTCAAATTCGTATAATTTGGTTTGGTGAGTCTATTGTGAATAAATTGAATATTTTTGCTTCTGTTATGTTTATATGGATGTACATTATTGATTTTTTATCTCTTTTCAAGGACAATGTTCATGTATGAATCAAAGAATATGATCAAATTCATTACGATAAAGAAAATTTCATCATACACATTTAACTCAATTATGAAAAATAGAGAAAGTTTGTCAATTTTTATATTCACTGTTCAAAAATTGGAACTTTTATTCTAACCAAATTCATGAATAGCAATCAATTCGTATATATTTTCTCCCTGATTGTTATATGGATAATATTGTGATGAAATTAATTGCAAACAAAAATAAATTGAATACGACTTTGGATTCGTATTATTGTTGTTTATTATAATGAAGTTGGAATATTTAACAACAGCAACGATGAAAAAAAAAATTTTTGAAAAATCAGCAAAATTCACCTTTTCTTTTTGAATTATCAAGGCCCAAATAGAAAGTTTTCTTGCTGATTCACAAAATCAGTCAGTCATTCTATAGTAAATGATAACACGAATCAACAAATACAAAAAAAAATAATCATGTTTGTCTCTCTTGAGAGTGTACAAACGAGCAAATAAATGTTTTCAATTGGAATAAAAAAAACAGTCTCCCACTTTCATGATTCGTTGATTCAATTGTTATTTGGTTATATGATGTTTCTCGATAAACAAAAGAAAACAGACTGAAACAATTTAGTTACGATATGCAAGATAAAAATGTTAATTATAAGCTAGAAGCTGATTTCTCATTTTTTATGCATAGTTTACATTCACATCAGCTAAATCGACTAATTGAATAGCAATGATTTCATTGAATGAAAACCACCAAATATTAGATGATGTCCATGTGGAGAAAAAATTCCAATACCAATTACTGTATATTCAGTCAAAAGGATCAAAGAATTGTCGAATAATAAAATGTTTAAGCAATAATGAAGAAAAATTGAGAAAAAAAAGATACAAAGATTGAAAAAACACCCATACATCATAACTGTGAAATGCCTAGAAGTGAAAAAAAGCGAAAAGAAGATTAAACTAAATAGAATGAAAATTCCATTTTTTCTACACTATTTATTGGCAACATAATATTATTGACATCGTTGGTCGGTTGATCATAAGAACTCATGACAACCTTATAGTGTGATTGAATCTATGATAAAAACATGATTCGAAGCAATGAAGAGGGTAGCAATTTATTTTTGGGCTTAGGTATAGTAGCCCCTAATTCAACAACAACCGATGATGTTACAGCGCACCAAAAAAAATCGGATAATCAAGGATGTATTTGATTGTGTTGATGGTGATGATGATGATGATGAAATTTGATTGTTTTGACAAGCTATGAAGCCCCGAAGGAGCCTAACTAGAATGTTACGTTCGTACGTGTGTGTGTATATGAATCTTGGAAAATAAAATCAAAAAAAAAAAAAAGTTCGCTTCACTTCCTTGAATTTATTTTGAGATTGAAGAAGATTTCCAATTATCCATGCACCATCATTTCAGCAAGTCAAGACCTGATTATTTGATGATGATGCTGAAAATGATAATGACAAAAAAACCTTTGGGGGCTTTTGTGTCTTGAAAAAAATTCCATCATCTGAATCTTTGTGATTTTTATTATTTTCCATTGATTTATTTTGATTTTTCAGGTATTCAAAAAACACCAAAAACAAATTCACATCAATTTGTTCATATAATTATGAGATTAATTGCATGAGAATTCTATTGAGAATTTTATAGTAAAATTAATAATAAAGTTTTGTATATGTTTGTTGTTGATTTTTTCCAATGACAATTTAATCTAGAACAAATTACATTTTTTTGTATATTATGATTTGAGAGATGAATTAACTTTGTGTGTGTGTGTGTGTGTAGCTATTATAAGTTTAGTTCTGATGATAAAGTTTTTGATAAATATGGAAACCACTCAAGAGAATTAAAAATTAGAAAAAAACAGAAAAAAATTCATGATTTCTTGGTGGCCAATGTCGCAACTTGTTTTTATGAAAGAATTTTCTGATTAGAACTGTCAATGTGATGATGTTTGCTGAATCAATAAAAACATCATACATCATTTGTACACTATTCATAAAATAATAGCGATAAAACTAACAGATTTCTTCTCATTCACACTTTTCCCAATTGAAATGTCATGACTTGATTCGTAAGATTCATTTTTTGTATGATATATAATGAGAAATTATTTTCATTATTTTAATATGTCAAACAGTCTATATTTGAAGTTGATATTGTAGATAAGAAATAATTGAAATATATCAGATAATAAGTTTTTTTTTTGCTATGCATATCAAAGTCCGATAAAGTTCTTATTGTCATCATCATTGTTGTTTTGTTTACTGAATTTGATCGTTCTATAATTTTATGATTGATAGACTTTGAATACTTATTGTTGTTCATTTTTATATATATTCTTTATGCATGTCATTTATTCAGCGAAAAGCTTTCATTATTAATTAAATATACATTGAGCTTGTTGGATTATCCAAAACTTTGCTGTATAGTGAAATTTTCATTTCGATGTTATTTTTTTTTCTACAGAAAATAATGTTTATATATATTTTCATGGATCTGAAATTCAGTTCTATGATTTTGTCATTTTTTATCAATGAATAATTGATATAACTTTGTAATAACTGAGAATAATTTATCGAACAATTTTTCACAGACATTTTAGTGATGATAATTTGAGAAAAAATTGTCAATTTACAATTTTTTTTTCTAGGCCAGTATTATTTTTTTTGCCTTGTTTATTGTTCATTGTATGATGAATGTTATTCAATAAGATTTTTTTTATATTAAATCTTTATACATTTTTTTTACAAAATTTTTAAACCTGGTGTGTATATTCCGAGAAAAAAAAACCATTTTTATTCCATCATCTAAGAGTTTTTGTTGGTCTATTTCAATCATTCCATATAACTTTCATTTTTAAATCGTTTTTGATTCGTATTGAGATATCAAAATACCATTTATACGCCACACACACAAACACACACATACCTACGCGATTTCAGATTGAGGCAATAATTCAAAAATGAAAGATTTTTTTTTTTTTTGTTGATTTGCACTTCTATTTTATTTCTATAATAAGCAACAAAAACATACGTATATGTAACAATTCCTCGAAGGGATTCGTGTTCAAGAAAATAAAATTTGTAGTTTCTTTTTGATTCTTAGAATTTGTGTGTGTGTGTTTGTGTACAAGTGTGAAACAGAAAATGAGCCCTTATTGTGTTTTTCAGGATTCTTATGGTTGAATAATGACCAAGAAGAATATTTAGAAGTGAACAAGTAAAAGAAATTCGTTTTTATTCATTTTTTTTGCCAGAAAATAAAATCATCGTTGATAACTATGTATCACAATTGATTAGAAACGTGAACAAAATTTACAATCAATTTCATTACACATACGTACATTGATGACGAAAAATATTTCGAGTATTTCAGAACAACAATAGAATAAAATTAATGCCTCAAACAATTTATATAATACAGATGAGAGTTGAAATTCTTCAATCCAAACTGTTCACCTGGTTTTATTATTTTGTAGATTGAAATCGTGAACATTCTGTTTGCTGATGAAACCTCTAAGATTCTTTCCACTCATTGATGTGTAAAAGAATTAGATATGTTTTTGTTTCGATTCTACATTAACCAGCATAAATTCCTCATGATGCTTCTAGATTCTTCATCATTAACATCATAAATTAGTCTCGGTCCACCGCCATCATCATTATTGGGGATAACAAAATTTAATTAGGATCAAAGCCAGAAAAGACTTTATCAATCAAATGGTAGTGTAGAGGGATGTTTATCAGTGAATATTTCTTTATAAAACATTCACTATCATGAAGCGATCAAATAAATAATTTGAACAAAAAGAAAAAAAGACGTGAGATATTCCCATTGGTGAACATAAATCGACGGTGCGTGTGCAAGTTTGATTTTGAAAAGTAAATTTATTTCTATAAAGAAACAAAACAAAAAAAAAATTTGACCCGTATAACATTCATTTATGTATTTATATGATAACAATGATGAAAATCATCATCATCATCAATATGGTGGTCAAATTCAAGATGCTTGTTGAAAAAAAAACTAGAGTCTAGATGCTATTCTTGTATTCATATGGCTGATTTAGATGATGGCAGTATTAATTTTATTGGAATTGGAGTCATGAACAAAACTATGATGATATCATATTTGTTCCTTCAAAATGGCTGTATAATGATATTCAATACTTCCTGATTCTTTATTCGAATCTTATTTACCGATTGGCCGTAATTGTTTTTGTTTTTCATTTATTTGTTTGTTGATTACAGATTGAATTGGAAATCTAATAGAATTTTTTTTTGTTTGTTTGTCAGCTTTTATTACGATATTTTTCAATTACGACTATAGTTCTAGCTAAAAATGAACAACTATAGATTAGAAATGGGAAATTGCTTCGTTTTACATTTAAAATCTTATATGTAAAAGAAGAAATCAGTTAATGTTTTTGCAGCAGCCACGATATTGTAAAGTAAATACTTTTTCTATTCGCTAATAATTCCATCAATTCTAAATCAAAATCCTGATTTTTAGCTCCCACATTTTATCCTGATAAAATGTTTTCCTTTTAGAATCATGAATTTTCAATGCGTTGGCAAGTCATTTACTCGAGTATAAGTAGAAACATGTTTGTTCCGGAATAGTGATTTGTTGGTTTTTACTCTATATATCCTTTTCAATTTTATTCAAGTTTCTTTCATCACAAGTTATTCTTTATCAAGTTTTATTGTATTGACAGTTCTGTAATTTTATCTTTTTTCTTTCTTCTTCACATTTGATACATATAGGATAGATATTTGAAAATATCTTCACAGAATTTGTCAAATACAATTACGATTTATATCGAATCCAAAAGAATTCAAAGAAAAATATCGTATATTTCTTATGGCTTTATGTTTATATATTTTGTTGTGTTGAATGGTCATTTTTTCGGCCATTATTAGTTGCTTTGTTTTTTTTATTTCAATATTTCAAACAACAAGATGATGGTAAAAAAACAAAGAAAATCTATAAATCTATAGTAATAACAAAAATCAAAATAATAATAATGTTCCGAAAAAGAATCTTTCTATCACTTTTATTTTATATTTATAGAAAAGATTGAATCAGATCAAACATTGGAATTGAAGGAGAATGTTCTCATCGTCGTCGTTTTCGTCATTTTTTTAATGTTGAAGAATTTCGTTGAGTTCTTTTAATCCGCTATCAATTATTTGCAACGAAAATAACAATAACAATCGAATGAGATCTAAATCTTATATATGATATAATTATTAATAATTTATTCTCACTATGTTATGTATTGCCAAAAAAAATCGAGCCAAAAGCAATTTATTACTAAAATAAATGATGAATTCATAGGTAGAAAAAATTCATCTTTGGCCGAACACGAAATATAGAGTGAAGGATATAGAAAAATGGAACCACTCCCAAAAATACGAATTGATCTATTCGATCGTCAGTGGGCCCATCTGATCCGATTATTATCATCAACATGAACGAAGATATATTTGAACAGAATAAAAAACAACGCCTGTTAGTCCAAGGAAATTCTTTGATAAAATTTTTTTTTGCAAAAATCTGAAAAGTCAGTCTTTTAGTTGAAAATTTTATCCAAATAATGAATATAATGTGATATAGTAGCAATAAAAATCAAATATCGGTTATTGTTTGCCAATGACGTAATTCTTTTACATGTCCATTCCTGAAATTCTGATCTAAAAAATCAATTTTTTATAATGTTTGTTTTGAATATTCGACACAGACAACTAACATACTGAAAATTATGAATGGTAATTGTGTTGATTGAAATAAAAAAAGAAAAAAAAATCAAATTCAAAATGAAGTTAAATTTTCTTTACCAAAAAAAAATCCAAACAGTAGTAGCGGCCAGTCAAATGAAAAACTGATCCATAAAAAATTGAGAGAATATAACTTATTATTCTTTTCTATGGTATAATAATAGCGAATATTCAATCAAAGAATGGTCTCTTCTTTTTCATTTTTCTCATTCCAACGAAATCCGAACAAAGAATAATTCAGTATTTTGAATTCAAATTATTCTGCCTTTTTATTATCCGTTTGATAAATATTTGTGCATGATACAAATGATTAAAAAGAATAAGAAATTTTTCTTCGTATTATTAAATCGGAAATTCAAATCACGACGACATACAACAAATTCAGAACGAATTCCAGAAAATACATTAATGTTTGTCCTTACTAGAAATAATATTAAACTTGTATATTTCCACATTGCACTTTGAATTGAAACCGATTTTCAAATCGAATCAGAAGGTTAATCATTCTTTTTATGTGCCATCGTTTTTGTTTGTTCTTCACTCACATCAGCCAAAGATTGATCACCAAATTGAGCTACAATCATTCGGTTACGATCGATCGGATAAAGCCTGTAGGTTTTAAGAGTTAATTCTGATTATATATAATTAAAAAATGATTCTTACCATCGTTGATAAAGATAAATTAAAAAAATGATATCATCACGAAATGTTGCCAAACGATGACTGGTTGGTACGGAAGGTATAAGAAAGGCAAAAAAATCATCAATGAATGTATTGAACGCTTTGTACATGAATGCACGCCAAGGTAAATGAGCCACAGATTTAAGTTTATAGTTTATAAACAATTGTGGTAACATCGAGATGAAACCGAAACAATAAGCACCGTTGACTGCGGATTGAATAGCCCATGAATAAAGAGATTTATGTTTGATATAAAGAATTGAATAAATGGCTCCACCCCCAAGCAAAGGTGGTAGGATATAATAGTTAAGAATTTTCAACGTCCAACTATCTAATTCGATAGTTTTTGTTTCCATATTGGTAGGTCGATAATCAGCTTTACGTATCAATCGTAAACCTTTAAATTCAATGTGTGCAAGCTTCTTCATTTTCCACAATTCAATCACGGTTGCAATCATCGATGGAATGGTTATCAATTTACTGGATTCTTGATCCATTAGATATAATGTAATTAAGAATTGTGATATGAAACGCCATAATATTGAATTGAATGATAATCCTTCCATTGTTTCACGATGGCGCCAAAATTGTATATCATTTTTGAAGGCCAAAAAATCAAACAAAGCCTAAGGAAAATAATATTAGAAAGTGTTTCAATATTTGAAAATTCTTACATGAAAGGAAACGATCAGAATAGTTAACAATAAAAAACTGCCATTTGTTTCAAAAAATATTCCTTTTGCGTCCTCGATTTCTCGTTCACCGAATCCCATTTTTTTCATGGTTTCAAACGCTTTTTCAATCAATAAACTCAAACGAAGTCTTCCCATTGGAAGTGGTTCATAAATGACCTCCAATGGCATATTAACAGGTGGTTTGTTTTCTTTTGGTAATTGCTGTAAATCTAGTAAACGCTGACGGGCATCACTTATGACGATAATGGGTAAATATCGATCTTTGCTATCCAATTGAAACAGATATAGCATTTCATAAGGCAAAGCAGATTTGAATAGAGAAAATGGTCCCTGTAATCCATTTACAATGACTTTTGATCGCCAATGTGTCACAGGACGTTTTGAATCTTTGGTTGATTGAGTCGTTTTTAGATTATCTGATCTCAAAAGATTGAATATATTTTCGGTGGGGACAAGATAACGTGTCAATGGTGCAACAAATATTACAGTGTGTTTCGATTGTATGATATTAGTGGTCACTTGATATGAACTCATCAATTTGGTTAGGATGACATGTTGATATAAAGAACCATTATTCAATGTTTTAGGTGGGAGTTCAATTTGAAAATTTCTACATTTTGGAAAATCATAATTATTCATAAGCATATATCCAATACTTCAATACTTACAATTGAAATGGTTCGGCTAAATTAAAAGATACATTATGATGATAACAATCTAAATTCGTATCAATCACAGCAATGATAGTCTCGGATTCTATTGAAGTGCATAGGAATAACTGAAATACATCAGTTGATTTAAAAGCTGGATTCAGACATTTTTTAACGTCTTTGTCCAGGCATTCTGATGGATATAAGAAAGTGTAAAAAATATATGTTGAATAGATGATATAACCGAGGAATAAATAGACAAAGATTGATGTGCATGATAATGGTCTCATGATTGAAATGACGTTCCAACCTAGAAATTGACAAATGCATCAAAATTAAAGTTGATTTGTCAACGTAACAATAATCACAACAGTATTCATTATTCACAATAAACTAAGAATGTTTACAGGAAATTCCATTTTTGTTGGGTAATTTTCCGAAAAGTTCGCGAACATATGTGTTCATTTAAGGTTATTTGTGTTGCAAAATTCTTGAGCATTTTGAATCATTTTCAAATTACTGGTTGGTTTTCGTCAGTTTGAGAAAAAATTTTTTCTATTCATCTAAAATGGCTAACACACGTTTTACGATCGTCAACGATGATAGGGATCAGATTCTGATTTCTAAATCGTTGAGAGATAAGATGACTCGACAGAAGCAACAGCAAAATCTCACCAGTTCATCAACAAATGCAGATATTCCGATTAAAACACCGGTCACTGAACCAATCAAACCCAATACGAATACATTCACAGCCAGTAGTGATCCATCTCGAGGTGTTTCATATCCAACTATCTATCCTGAACTTCCATCATTGCCAACACACGATGCTCAACAAAATGTTCACAATCAAACGTTAGATGAATTTGAAAAACTTACTCATAATAAACCACAGCAGCCTTATCCGAACTTCAATCCAGGATTTGATCCAAACTTTTTGTTGCTCGAGCTTCGTGGTGAATATGAACGTAAACTACAGCATTATCAGATGATGTGGCGTAAGAATCTTGAAGAAATGGACCGATTAAACAAGGATTTGATGCATAAAAATCGTCAATTAATGGCCACCGAAGTGAAACGAATTGATGATATTGTTTTGAAAAAACATTTCGATGGAACTGTACTTGACAAAAAAGATGGACCGCGAGAGCAGCCGTGTAAAGAAGTGGAAGAAAAATTGATTCGTTGTTACGAAATAAATGGAAAAAAATCTCTTCTCTGCAGCCAATATGTCCGAGAATTTTCTCATTGTATTAATGAGGCTCGCCTTAAAATGCTTTTACAAAAATAATAATTATTCTTATTTTTGTCAGATTTAGTTATCTGTAAGATTATTGTTAATTTTCAAGATTCAAGAAAATATTTATAAAACTGATTATAATTTTAGTCAAAAAAAATACAAATAAATCTTAGTGCGACATCTAGTGTATGAGTTTCGAATTGAGTTTTTTGAAATTTTTTTTTGTCCAAAAAAAACGAATGATTATTTTTATCAAATTAATTTGTAAATGTTTTTTTCATCCAATAAATTCTTGGCTAAATTTTGATCCAATAACTGAAGAAAATCAAATTAAGAATGATGGAATTATTACGAAACCAGAAAGAATTTATGTCATCCATGGAAGCTTCAAATTTTTGACGCTTATATATATATTTTTTTTTTTTTTGATGATCAAAATTGATTTTATAATGAGGTGTTGATGATGATCATACTTAAATAACATTATTATATAACATTCTTATTCGATAACCTGTCAATTTTATGTCAATTTTTTTCCATTTCGTAAATGCTACTTCCTGATGTCAACATTTTTTTCTAACAAAAAAAATCCAGACCTCTAAATTTACACCCTCGTATTATTCTGATATCTAATTTCTTGTTATTTTTTTTAGAAATATATAAATAAAAAAAAATACTGACAATGTATGTAGCACAATACATAACATGACACGAATTCCAACGAATCAACTTGAACAATGAAGTAACAAAAGTTTTTTTAAACTAAACAAAACAAAAACAGCTATTACATCACAAACACTACACTAATCTTGATTATATTCTTGCCATCAAAAGCAACAATAACAACAATAAAAAAAAATGAAAACAACATGAAAATGAAAAGAAGAAAAAAATCTGCAAATCTTTGATGATGAGAATCATCCGATTCGAACAAAATTATATGGAAAGTGAGACAAGCTTACAATTTTGTTGTTGTTGCTAAATTCTTTCATTTCTCATGGCTATTGTTTTTTTATATATATCTGATTAGTGTGCATCTGTTGTTTGCCCACTCACACCTATTATTTATATCTAATGTATTGTCTTTTGGTTGATTATATCCGATTTTGGATCATACTTTCCAGTGTTTTGTCGCTGCATTTTTCTGTTTAATATAGATAATAATGTTGTTGTTGTTAGCCGATATTCATGTTTCATGCACCCAATGTTTTAAATTAGAAAAAAAAATCAAAGTTTCTACTTTTTTTTCGGCCATATACATTGTTTTGTATTCAATAATTTTGCATTTGTGTCCATGTGTGGTTGTTAAGAGTATACGCATGAGAATTCTGTGTCAACAACAAGATAAGCAAAAAAAAACAAAAATTTTATATTTATCTCATTCTTTGTGAATATTTTGAATATTTCATTGGTATTTTGAAATTTTATTCCAGTATTCTGGTTTAAATTTTGTATTCTTATTCTTTATATGCTGAGTATAAGTCGCATTTTTAAATGAACAGAAAATTTCTATAGAGATGCTTTTTTTGCATGTTTTTTTTATGTTTATCATTGTAGGTAAATGTTGAAATAAACTATGTTTCGTCGTAAAAGAAAAAGTTTTTCCATTTTATCCACTTTATATTCATTCATACATGAAACTGAATTTATTTCATTGCTTTCCATGAATTTGGCACGCACACATACTACCATAATCATCCTGAAATTAGTACGATAAGATGTTAAAACTGTATATGAATTGGAAAAAAAGTCGAGCCAAATCGGTATTTGTTAGAATATTCTTATACCTTAAGTTTTGTAGAAGTTTTTGGACTGTTCAAACAATATGATGATGTATTCCAAATTGTTTTTGTGTGGGTAGACGGCAATAAATCAAACTTTTTTGGTTCACTGAGGCAAACATCGATGTTGTTCTAGTAGTTTTGATCAAACAAACATTTACAAACCATTAGTAACTATTTTATGGCAAAATTATCTTTTTTTTGCTGCGAAACTATTTTCAAAGAAATTCTAAAAAATTGATTACCAACACGATTTTTTTTCGCCTTTACCATTATTAAAAATTAATCGACTATTCAATTACAAAATGGGAAATAAATTACAAAATATAAACACCAACAAACAAAAGTATGTTATTTTTGACCATTTAATTAATCAAGGAAAATTTGTAAAATTTAGGATGATTTTCTGAAAAAATAATGGATAGATGGAATGTTTATGGGAAAATTATTTGATGGTATTAGGACCGGTTTCGTTGTATTAAGATGTTTTCTGTAAATGATCATCGAAACTACCAGAACAAATCCATCAAACTAAGCGATTTGAGTGCATTTTCGATGAGATTATCACAGAATTGATTGACGATGGAGACAATATTATTGGTGTATTGTTCCGAATTGGCTGCCATCGTATGTACAGTTTTCAATGCATAAGCATCGAAACTTTTATTTAATGGAAATGGTATGCCACGAGTTCTGGCCTCGACACCATCCATGGACACAAGTCGTAAGATTTTAATTTTGGCCGACATTGTATGATCGATGGCCATCTCAACATATACAATACATTTTTCGATGAATATTCGTAAATGTTTATCACGCATCATAAAGCGAGCAATTTTGGCAGAAAATAATATCTCTACCAATATATCGCTGAATAATATATTCGATGCGAGTATGATCTGGGTGAATTCATCGGCTGATTTGATCAATTTCGAATCACCAATTCGTTCGAAATTTGATGTACCATATAGTTGACCTGATTCCATTCGAAATGAAGCTAAATGAGGAAAAAAAAACATAAAATTCAATCCGAAAATCAAATTTCATTCAAATCAGAATACAACTAATCATAATTTCATAAACTTACCGAAGGAAGTCAGGCGAAACTTTTTGCCAATTTCAAACGGAAACGGTTCCATTTGTTTGGTGTAATTTTCTCGAATATAATCTAATAAACGATCCACCACCGGATTCGCTGTTATACTCGTTCCAGTGCTAGAATATTCCTGGCTAGTGGATATAGATGTGCAGGAACTGCCTTGTCTCGACAATCGTCGTTCGGTCATCCGTGCTTGATATTGTTGTTTGAAACGGCGACGACGTAAACTTCCACTTGATGTTCCATGATTAGCAATGATTGAACTAGCTGAATTAGATTTGACAGCCAATTTAGGGTGGCCACCTGATGTCTGTGAATATTTTTTTGGTCTCGGTGCAGGAAAACTATTCTGTCGATTTGAATAGGCCAAATTTGGTTGGTGTTGAGGATGATGATTTGTGACAGCAGGGACCGGTGATTGATTTCGACCAATTTTGCTACCCATACGTTGATGATGTACAGGCGTTGCAATGGGCGTACTTGTGGCTGTAACCGGTGCGGAATTTGTACTCGAATTTGAATTCGAAGAATCATTACGTTGGAATCGTTGATGGCGATTAAATATGTTTCCCAAGGTGATCTTGTCCTTGACCCATTGGATATTCATTATTTCGTTTTTATTCGATAACGTAGTTGTTATTATAGTTTGCATTAGTTTCAAATCAAGAATTCAAAACAGCAACAGCTAAAAGAATTTACAAAAATGGAATGTAATGGATGTTATAACTTGTCAAACACAGAGAACAATAGCTGCAGAGAATGAAAATAAAAGATGAGAGAAAATGAAAAGGAAAAAAAAAAGAGAGAAAAAGTTGTGTGCAATTTGTGAATCATTCAATTCATTCATTCTAACAATGAATGCTAGACTAATAATAAAAAGCTCTTTCCAGAATGCTCGGATTGTTGTCATGTAAAAAGCGTGAATAGAATAATAGTTAATGGTACTTTATTTCAAACATGATGAAGTAATCTAGAATCGTTTTTATCCAAACACAATTTTGCAGAATGGGCATCAAATAATGAAAAAAAACAGACCAACACGTTCCCATTATAATGCGAACAAACTAATTAAAATCGAATTATGCTTTTTCATACGAAACCATTTAGATAAAACAACAAAAATAATGATCTGTATAAAAAAACATGATCAAGTATTTCTGATTCGTGTATTATTTTGAATTTCTTAAGATTAAACACACACACATACACACAAAGCATTATAATGAGTAAAACAATATAATGACCTAGAAGACCATTTAGAAGACAAACTTGAGAATAGACAATGAACAAAAAGAAAAATTGATCGTTTCATATTTATTGATTTGCTGAATGAGTGAAATTCAATGATGACACTGATAAAAATAATGAATACAACTGATGATTTGATATATTTTATAAATTTATCATAATATGGCCTTACATTAGAACCACAATATAAAAGTCCGAAAAAAAGAATAAAGTGTAATGAAAAAAAGGAAAATTCACGGCATATGAATTCATTGGAACACACAAGGTTTTGTTGTTGTTGTTGTTGTTGTTCGAATACAGAATAATGAATCTATTCAAGCTTTTCTAAAAATCTGTCGAGATTTTTTCTCATGAAAAAAGCTCTTATACTTCATAAATCATAGGGAATTTTATCCTATGGAAAGTAATATTTTCTTATTTTCTTTCAGATAGCCATATTGGTTACAGAACATTCAGACAAATAAAAACGAACGACATGTTGTTTAAGTTTGTTGAACAAATTAAGCCCATCTTCAAGGCATTGGTACAATGACTGAACAACCAGATATATTTATGTGAGTTTGTGTTTAGATTCCATTTATAAAGAATCTTCCAATCAATTTTGAAAAAAACATTTTTTGTGTCTTATTGAAAGCATTTTTTTCTGATTCATTTTTTTTGTTCTTATAGCTCATTTGTGACGAAGAATACAACATTTATTTTAAGAGATATTATAAAATAAGAATGAATAGGAAACCTAACCATAGGAGAAAATAAAGTAATGATGAATCCGATTTTAGATTAAATAAAATATATATACAAATGAACAAATGGAAAGGCAATGGTTCGTTTCGGATTTTGTTTCATTAGATTATACATATAAGATAATTGTTGGTTTTTCTTCTTGTTTGATTATTTCATCCAAGCGGTTTCAGATGATGTAATCGAATAACAATCCTGTTACGTAAAACCAAGGATGCGTGCTGTCGTTATGGTTTTTTTTTCTTTATTTCTTCTCCTGTTTTGCGAAATCAACATTCATTTGCTTTGCGAAAAAAAAAATATGTTGATTCTACTGACAAACTAATCCGATTCATATTCCAGTTTGTCCTCCAACTTTCATCATTATCATCATCATCATCATCATCGTTCTGATCAACAACAACAACAACTAATGTTGAAAACATCATTATTTTACTGTTAAGGGCACAAGTTTTTCAAACGGAATTTGCTTTTTCTTTTTTTTTTTTTTTTGGTTCTTTTTGCTTTATCACTTATATTTTTTCTCCATCATTACTTAGGAATTTTCAGCTGCAATTGAAGAATTTTTCTAAAGATGTGGAAAAAAAACTAAAATAAAATTTGTCCGATTGAATGCTATTTTTTCCGAATTTGTTTCGTCAGAAAAATAGATCGATCAATCGATTCGGATAGATTCAAGATTTCAATCGATCACTTAAGATATGATATATTGATCCGTATTATTTTTGATTCTATCAGATTGAATTGTTTTCGCTCAATCCATATCAAATGATTTCAATGTCAGTATCATTGTTATAACATTCAATGATATATTTGATAAATTTGATATCTGTCATGATCTTGAATTTTTTTCTTTTTTTTTTTGATTTCAGAAATCTTTTTTTTTTGAATCCATTATTCCAAGATTTTTATCCAATTACTTGATTTGTCTTGAATTCTATTTCTGGATTTGATTAAATTATAACAATGATATCAGTTAGGATCTCTACATTTAAAACTGGTTGATTTTTTTATCTTATACAAAAAAACATTGTTCCCAAGGAAAAAAAGTTGGTAATTATTTAAATTGCCAACTTTCATTTTTTTTCTAATTTGTTAATTATAATTCAACATTACAACATTACATGTTGATCATAATTATGAACAAAAAAAAAGTAAAATGAATAGATTTTTACATTTGTAAAATACAAAATGTTTTTTTTTCACTATAACATGAAACATATTTAGACATAATTTACAACATTGAAATAATCATTATCATCACGGTGATGTAAACGGAGAATTTATTCATAAAATGATTTATGACATTCTTTTTTTTTTGCTTTTCTATACACTGTAATGTTCATTCTTTTGAGCTTTTATTCTTCATACTATCTGATTTGATTGCACCGACATACACACACCATAAACACATAATAATACACACATCTGTGTAATGTCAAACAAAAAATATTTTCCATGAACAGAAAATTTTTCACCTGGTTTCACCAGTTATTTTGCCAGGCATCCATCCGTTTCATATTGATCGAATTTTTGCATGATGAAATGATGTTTTTGTTTTTAACGATGTTCAATAGAATTTGATGGAAAGTAAAAAAAAAATCCGAGAAAAACAATTTCCAATTCAATGAGCTAGTAATGTGCAATGTAGTTTAATAAAAAAAAACTTCCAATGAATAGAAACAGAATAATTGTTCCGTAAATTATAAAAAAAACTTTAACGTTGAGAATTAAAACAAATGTTTTGTCTATACATTAATCGATGAAAATTTTTTTCGTAAAAATCAATGAAAACATTATTGTCATTGTTTGACAAAAAAAAATTGTAAAAAAATTTTCGGCTTTATAAATTGTTATATCAAATAATAATGATGATGTTTGAAAGTTGACAAACTTTCATTTCTACAATGTACCAAAGAAAAAAAAATGTGTCGACCATGTATAAAATACATTTGTTTTTTTTTTCTTTTCAATTTGCTTAAATTGAATATATTTTTCATTTCATTTTTTTTCTCCACTTTTGCTTGCTATATATTTGTTTATGACACAAAAAAAACCATATATCTGAACTCTGTGAATGCCAGATATTTTTGTTTCCCCCCACCAATGAATAAAGATAGTTTCATGATGGATTTTATTTGTAAATATTCATTGTACATTGTGAAGGCAAATAAATGTGCACCACATTTCTATTGTGTGTGTGTGTGTGTACATGTGTATTATGAAATATGAATAAATAAATTCATATTTGCTCAAGAATTGAAAGTCAACCAGTAATACGAATATATTATACAACTAATATCACCATTTATGCAGTGTTTTTTTTCAGTATAATTTGTTCGATTACTTGATTATTTGTCATCTGATCCAAATAGATTGATGATAATGATAATGATTATTGAATCATACAAATAAATCAACAACATGTTTGTTCGTACAGAAAAAACAAAGAAAAAAACAACTAATAAACAATGAGCTAAACAAATATATATTCATTTTGTCTAGTAGTAGTATTTGAATGTTGAAATTTGAATCCATCTACAAACCAAATTGACAAATGCAGTTTTGGAAAATTTCAATTTCAAAGATAATGATGATGATGATTATGTTAGAAAATAAGTTTGAAATCACGTAAAGAGAATAAAGTAATAATAATACAACATTGACAGTAAGTTTTCACTTAATTTTGATTTTTTTTCCATATTCTATGTTTGATCATAGAAAGAGAAAGGAAAAAAAATTATTCATGCGTATTTATATTTACATTATGATTTGATTTCTATTCATCATAACGATGATGATGATGATGATGATCAATGATGAGCCGATAAGTACATAATGCATCCCTTATGATTTCCAGGGAAAACTGAATAACAAGAATCGAAATAAGATGATGTTGAAAAAACTTTTTTATTATTATAATTTTTTTCTTATAATCATCAATAATTCGAAAAGTTTTTTATCGATACATTTTTTTGAAGGTTGTTTGAATATATACCAATGGAAACAATCATGTACATGTTGATGTATAATAATCAATGTTAATTCATTTGTATTCTGAATACTTTTTTATTAATGATTTACGTGTCTAATCATGAATTATCTTTTAAAAAGTGAATCACCTCTTTTTTTCATTCAAAAGACAATTATTTTTATTGTTATTTTGTGTGTGGTTGTCGATTGATTGAATGTATTATTTCGTTGGAACAACCAAAAAAAAAAATTACATTCTTTTCACTGGAAAAAAAATTTCATCCGTTTTTTTAACATTCTTTTTCTACGTCACTCCATTGGTTTAATTACTTTTTTCTTGTAACTATACTAGATTCGAGTGGTAATTCATTATATTCAATTATGATTCGATGTGTGAACCACTGTTTATAACAAAAAAAAATCATTACATTCAATGAAAATTGAGTGAAATTGCAACAACAACAACAAAAATTCATTGAAGTGAAGCCAACTTTTATTCTTTTTCTATCAAAAAATAAATTATTGATAGCCATACGTCATCATCATCATCATCATCATAACCATCGTCATAATCGACTTTAAGAGCATTTATTTTCCATTCATTTTGATTTCTAAGATTTTCAATGATTATTATAATATGAATGAAATGAAAAAAGTTCCAGAATATAAATATAATTCTTATTAGTAGTAACATAGAAGAAAAAGGATTTTCAATAAAACCTGAAACGAAAGAATAGATGAAAGTTTTTTGTATTATTGAATTATTATTATTATTGTTGTTGTTGTTGTTGTTCTTGTTGTTATTGTTTTTGCAAACTTTTTTTTTATTATCCTATCTGAAAAATGACATCAAATTAAATATTGTTACCACAGTTGTTGTTGTTATCGTTGTTGTTGTTATTGTTATTGTTCACTACTCTTCATTATTTTATTTTCTCAATGTTTTTTCCCATTTCATTTGAATATTGAAATGAAAAACTCGGTTTTTGATTGTTTTTGTATATAAATTTCTGCCGTATATTCATACTATTTGTGTACGTAACCAGATTCTGATTAGTATATTTGCTTCATAGTGCGTTTGCACACAACAAACATCAAAATTTTGTTCTCAAATTTTTTTCGTTTGTACTTGAAAAAGAATTGAATTGAAAAGAATTCATTTTCAGATTCTTCAATCAAGAAGCGTTTTTTTAATTAAATTCTATTTATCATCCACCGAATGTGTTTCTTGTTGATAAACAAGCTATGAATAATTTAGATACAAACATGTAAACATCATTATGATTGTGAAACTTGAAATTAAAGATTTTCAAAAGAAAATTTCAAGAAACTTGAAACTTTTTCATACTAATTCTTTTGAAATTTTTAATTGAAAGAAATTTCTACATTATCAAGAGAGAAAAGTTAATTTGCAGCTTGATCTTGAATTTTTTTTCGCAAACTTTTTTTTTAGCTACAAAAATTCTAATGAATCAAACATACAACGTTGAATCCTTGTTATCAAAGTTGATGTCCAGTATTTTTTTCATCAGTTTTTGTTTATATTACATCATACTAATTATTGTATCTATTTACAATTTTTGTCTTATTCTTACAAAGCCAATTAATTCTTTATCCGAAATTCCTGTGAATGTACTGTCTATTTATTGACTAAACGAGAACGAATACTTTATAGAAAGAAAACTTTTCATATGATGAGATAATTTTTTCTTGAAATTACTTTCTATCCGAAATAATTTGATCTAAGAACTGATCACTTGGATATAAAAGAAGTCTATTTAATTTTGATGTTAAATTTGGCAGTATAATCAATCATTGGAAATTGATAAAAAATTTGATTTATTTTTTTAAATTTGTCATCAATTCATGTATAATAAAGATAAATGATCAAAAATAAGTCATTCTATTGATTAAAAAAACGAAATTTTCAACAATGTAAAAAGCAAGAGAACAAAAAAAAAATTCTAAAAGCCAATAACAAATGAGTTTGAATTCAGTTTGAATTGCTATCCACCACACCATTGTTTTTTTCCTCTCCATCACTGTTCAAATCAAGTTATTCTGGGAACTGTCAGAATTCAAATAATGGCCAAAAGTTTGAAAAATTACTGGAAAAAAATTATTGTTTCAGTTTGCCGGTTTGAATCGATCTAAAGCATAACAAAAATGGCTGATTTATGATCCATTTTTTTTATTGTATCGTTATCCAACTCTTAGATTGTGATTAGACTGTGATTATTAATGATGGTGATTATTATGATATAAATGGCCAGAATTTTGTTGCTCATAAAAATATTATTGAATAATATGATATGCATAATTCAATGAAAATAAAAATTTAAATTTAAAAATATAACACAAGCATGCATTCATGCATACATAATCATATTATGCATTTGACATGGACAAAATAAAATGTTCGGAAAAAATATTTGACTTACTTTTTTTGCACTTTTGAATTTATATATTCAATGATGATTCAATATCATTGAGAGAATCATTTTCATTTCATTTGGCTATCATTAGTTATTATGGGATAATTTCCAATTTAGACAATTTAGACGCACACACACGCACGCACGCACGTCGAATAGAATATTTGATGCATACATACGAAATAACATGATGTACGTTTGGTTTTTATTTTTGGTTTAGTTCAATTGGATTCAGGGTCTTACTACTAATAATAACAAATGAGTAGCAATCATTTTAAGAATAAAATCGTTTTTTTTTGTTTTGTTTGTTGTTTTTTTTTGTTGTTGCCAAAAATAGACAAAACAAACACAATACATCCATAGATCTTGCAAAACGACCATATGTCCATTAATGGATTATACGAGTTATGGTTAATTTTGTGTTATCATTATCATTTTGCACCATCAAAAAAAAAAAAAAAAAATGAGTAGCAATATTATTTATGACAATTTTTACATTGGATAACTTTTCAAACAGTGAATAGAATTGATTCAGCAAATTCAATCTGGAATTAATCGAAATTTCAATATGAAATAGGAATTTTGTTTTTTGTATTTTTTTTTGGCGCGTCAATTCTCAAATATATATTATACAAATGACGATGACGATGACGATGATGACAACATATTAACATGCTAAAAAATAGAAACATACAGAACGTATAGATAACATTATGACCAAGGCCATTAAAATAAATTTCTTCACATAGAGATCCTTGAATCATATATTCTGCATGAACACACTTGCTTGCTCACCACACACACACACACACACACACACACACACACACAAACATACAAAACGCCAAGTTGATCAAGAATAACAGTGTGTGTATGTGTGATTATATGACCAACAAACATCGAATTTATATACGCCAATGTCGATGTTCATAGCCGAATCCATTTTGGTTTGATTCTGCGTTCTAAAGTAATTTTCTAAATAATAATTTTCTGTTCCAGACTATTATTCACTATCATTATACATCTGGTATCTGTCTGCATTCTGGGTGCGTGAGATTTAGAATTTATATAACAATATAGCGAATAAATAAAAAGATCCTGGATCACTCATCATCATCATACACATACAATTATTGTGTAATATTTTTTTTTACCCACCTTTTACTCACTTACAAGAAAAAATACAATAGGAATATCGAATAGTTTGTAGAGTCCTAGAAAAAAAAATAGACAACAACAATATTAATGAAAACAAAAATCAATATTAAAAGTTGAATGACAAAAAAAAATTTTCAAAAAAATCACGAATCTCAATGATTACTTAAAGGCACATTGAACATCCGTGTGTAAGTCGATATATCCTTGACTCTAAAAACATCAAACATACAGATAAAAGTTTTTGTCATTTCCGTCATTTTATTTTCATTAAAAAAAATCCAATTAATTTCCGATGATGATGGCCATTTTGAATAAAAATCGCAATGGTGATAAAAATTATGAATAAATGAATGAGTGAAAAGAAATTTTCAAAATAACAAAAAAAAAAAAAAAAAAAAAAATTCAGGCAATTTAGAATTTTTTTTTTGATAAAAAAGAGAGAAAAAAAATTCTGCTGAATTTACAACAAACTTATGGATTGTAAAAAAAAAGTTCAACATGTCAACATATCAAATACATCGATGTCAATGTGAAATAAAATAAAAGAATGGAAAAAAAACTGGTGGCAATTAGCCTCCGGTGGATTGAATGAAAAACAAAAATTTTTTTTAAATTCTCCGATCATAATGTCAATTTCTTCAAAATAATGTGAATAAAGTGAAAAAACTGGACTTTTTTCAAATACAGTGGTACCTCGATTAACGATTACTATGTTAATCTATTTAAGGGTCGACGATAGCCTGCCCTGGAATGAATTGTTATTGTGAACCAGAGAATCAATGTATTTTATTCATTTTATTTCATTTCATTTCACTAGCAGCCACAAAATTTCATTTATTCTGTTTTTTTTGTTGGTTCCTGTTATCCTTTATTTTGTTTTCCTATTCGAAATAAAATATATCTTCCATATATTATTGTAGTTCATATCCAGGCAAATATCACCGCCGAGCAAACAAACAAGCCAACCAGAATGTAAAAAATCTCCGTCTACAGTGGCAATATTATGACAAAGGTTATAACCATATTTTTTTTCTCATGGTTTCTAACCATCGTTGGATGGTGATGAATGGAATATTCAATTTAGTTTTTTTTTCATTTCCTTCTCCAAGAATCAAGGAAAAGAAAATATTAACTGAAGGAAAAGAAAAAAAAAACCAACCAATCCTGAAATGTTTTTCTTTCTTTCTGGTTTTTTTTTTTTGGTTGCATTTCTTTTCTACCTTGTTGTTTGCACCATAAATTACGACCAAACCCATTTCGTCAAACATTTCATTTCTGTTTTGGGATGATGTTTTACATATATTATCTCTGGTTGGTTGGAAACCAATTTTTGTTCCACTATCACATTTGTTTTTTTTTTTTCATTTATTAGGTTTATACAAAATTGAAATTTGGTAGTTACAATGATCAAGTGCATATAATGGTGTCAACTTAAAATAAAAATGAGTGGCAATTAATTTCTTTTTTCTTATATATATCCACTAAATTGATGTATGTCTTTAAAATCGATCCAAAAACTTTTTTTTATAACATTCAGAAAGTTACTTTTGGTGATGATTAAATAAATTAGTTTGTTTCTATTTGAAAAAAATAAATGATAATAATACACCCACACACGCAAAGACATCAACCAAAATGGCTGTTCAAATTCAGTTTCAAAAGCAATAATGTTCCTTTGGTGAATAAATCATTAAGAAAGAAAAAAAATTAAACTTCATTTTGATTCGAATCTACAAAAGAATCATTCTTTTTAAATAGGCTGACAAACAAATTATAAAATTATTCCATGAAATTCTAGAATGAAAAAATAAATTCAAACTAATTTTTTTTTGTTTATTCACTATTGAAATTGAAATTTGTCCCTCTGGGTTTCGTTTTTCTTTTTTTTTCATTCTATGAAAACAAACAAAATTTCTGCTTGTGAATGTCACTTCATTTTTTGATTGAAAATGAATTATTTTTTGTTTTGTTTCAATATTCAATGTTATTGCAACAGTTTTTTTATATAGAATTTCAATATAGAATTTTATTTCAAATTTTTTTTTTCCTATCGGCAATATTTCAAAACATTTTCTTCTTTTCAATATTCAATTACTGTATTCAATGAAATTACATAACCAATTACTAATACTATTACATGAGATGTAATATATATTAAAATTAAGTTAGGATTCAAAAAATAAAAAATCAAAATCGTGAAAAAATATGGTTAACTGATCTATGTGCATGTGTGTGTGTGATGTGAATTATCAAATATGAAAAAAAAGTTAAAACACACAAGTCAGGGATATTTATTTTCTTATATTGCCATTCATTCATGATTTGAATAATGTTGAATAATGAAACTATAGGATATAACGGTGAAAATTTGATTCGTTTTGTAATCATGAAACACTAGTTTCGTCATATACTTGTATTAGGTTCAAATCGTTTTTTTGTTCTAGTTTCATATTTCATTTCGTTTCGTTTTTTTTTGTTGGATTCCAACTCTAGTGATCCTCTTGATTTTTGTTATTATTTTCAGGAATTATATTTACTCTTCCTTTTTTACAAGAATTTTCATTTCATCTCTTCAGATTATAATTTTGATTTTTTTTTCACTCATGAAAATGGTGAAATTGAATTGGAACTGTATTAAAGTATATATAGGTAGAAGGGTCTTTCAATAAATGTTGAAAATTATCAATCATAATTATACTTTTTCAACCTCAGTTTATAATCATGTTAACCTGTATTCTCTTGTCTATGAGTTTTTTTTTGGTGTACAAACTACTTGAAATTTGTATTAATGGTTAATATTTGTTTTGCCAGTATTTTTGATCACACATACAACAAAAAAAACACTTGAAATATACCACATTTTTTAATTCTACAGTTTTAACAAGAATGACAAAAAAAAAAAACAAAGACGCCATGAGTTTTTGTTTTACTATAGTATTTGAAAAAGACCTGTACAGGCTGCTTCAGGGTTTCCGTCCAGACTCTGAAATAAATAGATAAGTTGTGTTGAGATGACATAATAAAATGGAAAAAAAACAGTGATCAGAATTTACTTTTATGTTTTTTTTCAGTTTATTTATTTTATCATCATCATTCTCATGGTGCACCAAATTCACCACCATAAATCGAATGTTAACATTTTGTTGTATGTATTTGTTATTCTTATTCTTTTTATACTTTTACAATGGTATTTTCAAACGATAAAACGTTCATAGCATCCAAAAAAAAAAAAAAAAAATAAAAAATAAACGTGATGAGCTTTTTTCCCTATCATCATCGGTCTTGGTTTAGTTCAGTATTGTGCCGTGTCCAAAAAAATGGCTGCCCATAATTGCATTATCTTTTTTATATGTACAATAAAGTATGGTTTAAACATAATAAACGAAAAACTGGATATTGCAATTTAAGTTTGCTGTAGTCATTATTATTCACGTTGTTTCATTTAGGATACAAAGGTTTATTTTGGATTCCAGTATCTGTTCATCTATTATCTATTGTTGATTACGATGATGATGATGATGATGTTCATCTTCTTAATTGTCATTGGCAATTTATCTTTGTGTACACTTCAGAATTGGATATAATGAGCTTTTTGTGTAGGTTTGTTTATCGCTTTTTTCGAGGTTATTTTTTTTTTTTTTCTCGCTACCAACCAGATTATTTCACTTTGTCTTTAATGTATAATCTCATTATAAAGTAATGAATGATATTGATACAATGATTAGAATAAATTCGATTATCAACATGGTTCATGAGATTTATGGATTATATGCTTAATTTCTTTGACTGTAATTAATGAAATATCTGGTTGAAACGACAAATCACTATTGTGATAAATAAATGATTAAAATAAAATACAATGATTTATTATTATTAGAAAGAAAAATAACATTGAAACACCTTTTTTGGATCGTTAATCATCATGACGAAATTTAATCAGATGAACACAATCACTTTTTTTCATATGCTTCAAAACAATCATGAAACAAAGTAAATTTCGAATGAAAAACAAAAATAATAAATTCGTTTAGGCATTCCAACAATTCTTGAAACATTCAAATAATCTTTTATTATGTGGAAAATAGATGCCATATTTCTGGCGAAATTTTTCCAAAATGCCAAAGTTTTGCATTTCTTTTTATTCGAAACAAATCGATTGAGAAAAAAAAAAATAACTCAAACACCCATATGGATAACAAAATCAACAATTCAATAATGTATCAATAGTAAGTAGTTGCAATGCAAATCGTTACTGGGAAAAAAATTGATTTACAAATGATCAAAGTCACAAGCAGCACATATACCGACAAATGAATTCCTTGAATTCAATTCATTCAATGAGAAACCGAATAGGTTTATTTTTCTTGCTTGGTGTTGCATTCAAATTGGTTTCTACAATGAAAGACTGTGAAAAAAAAGAAAAGAAAAAGAGTTTCTAATGAATCACTTATCATCATTATCGAACGTTCTTCTATCATTCATCTTCAATCCAGAATAATTCAACATACAGAATAATGAAAGCGATATAATTTATGAAAATTCTTTTCGATATAGTATTGCATAATCTAATGTTGAAATATGGCTATCATTATGCTGTCATCATCATTATCATCATCATAATTATATTTCATTATATTCATTTTTTTCTGCAACTATCATTGAGCTTTTGTTTCATTTATACCGTCTATCGATGAATTTGAATATTATTTTGTTATTGCATACGATAATGATACACATTGCTTTATTTATTTCATTTACATAATGAAAATAATCATTATCATCATAATAATGATGATGATGATTGAAAATGAATTTTACTCATCTGATCCCAACCGTGTTATTGTACTGTTTATTGTCATTATAAATGACAGTCCTTTTATTCATATACATACATAGAAAATCAAAGCAAATAAAAGTTGAATTTGAAAGAAAAACAAAATATTTTTGATAAAAAAATTTCGATGAATTAGATGACAAGATTTCACCAAAAAATGGCCGTCTATATACGCATCATTGGTTTCAATTCATGATAAATCATGGTATATGGGCGGGTAATTTTGTGAAGAAAATGTCCAATCTAATGTCATTGTTGAAAGAAATCTGATTTTTTCAATAGATTGTTTTTTTTTTGTTCAGCAAAATCGATGACGGCAGCCGTCAATTCGGCCTTGGAACTTATTAAATTGGACATGAGGATTGTTTTTTTTTGCGATCCGGGAATTTCAGCGAAGTATTGAAACAAACATTGACAAGTGTAAATTCATTTTAGTAGATGGCGTTTGATAATTATTATTCTATAACACATGTGATCACGAAACGAATAAAATTTGTAACAATGTTCAATTATTCTAGATTATTCAAATTATCCCGGTTCATTTGGCAATTACGTCCCGTCACTAATTCATGTGGAAATAATTATAAACAATTGACGGAGGCTGCAAGTTTTGTGGCCATTCATCTTCGAAATAAACAATTGCTTCGAGTTTCTGGGCCTGGATCGTTCATCTATCTTCAATCATTGTTGACAAATGATATGAGAAAATTATTATCAGCCAACCATGCCGAACAATTTTCATCACTAGATCATCACAATAAATTGATGCCAGTAATTTATTCGTTCATATTGTCAGCCGTTGGTAAGGTTCTATGCGATTTATTTGTCTATCGAGGACGATACATTGTTGCAGATTGTAATGGTTACGATGGTGATGGCGAATTTATTTTAGAAGTAGACAAAGGTCTTGCTACAGCAGTCAAACGATTATTGCTTGGTTATAATGTAAATAAGAATATCAAAGTTGAATTAGCTAATGATTTTAATCTATGGGCCATACTGCCAGCATCATTGTTGGACAAACACCAATCTATCTACAATATTGATCAAACACTTAGCCCTATTGATTCGGACGATTTAAAATTAGTAGCCGATCCACGAATCGGTTACGAACATTTTGGTTATCGTTTCCTAACCAGATTAGGTGGCTCTCGTTTGGAAGACCTAGGCCCATACATAAAATGTCAATCGAATCATGAACGAATTCGATTGATTGAAGGCCGAATAGCTGACTATATTGGGCTTAAATATCAACTTGGTTTAGCAGAAGGTCAAAATGATATTCGTTCTGGTCATTATTTTCCATTTGAAATGAATGGTGATTTTATCAACGCAATATCATTGAATAAAGGTCTGTATACATCCGAAGAGAAAACGATAAAAATCTACTCCACCCAGCCGATTAAACAACGTGTATTTCCCATCGAATTCTTATGCTCAAATCACATATTGCGACAAAAATCACCTGCTCCACGCACTCTGATTTATTCAACTAATGAAAGGCGAAAAGTTGGCCAATTACATCGAAGAATCGGAAGATTCGGAATAGCTTCATTAGCGATTCCTCTCGCGAACAACAATATTCCTCGAGACATTGTCACTCAAGACCTGTATCACATTGATACCAATTTGAAACTTCGTGCATCAATCCCTAAATGGTGGCCCAAAAATTTTGATCAAATATATTTGAATGCACCAAAATACCCGGAATGTTTATTCAATTTTGATAGTCAAAATTCTCATGTACGAATAACTTAAATTCAGAATAAAAACTCAAATAAAATAATTGTATAAAATGAAATAAAAAAAGTAAGTCTGAAATCTGATTTTATCGAAATAATTGAATTTGGTTCAAAATCAGTAGTGCTAACACATTTGACCAAATGTTTTGATTGTTCAGCCCAACTTCGCACAATGAATGGGAATCCACCATCAATGTTCAAACAAGCAGCCCCGTAATTTCCGTGAATATCCAATACCACGATTCCTACTTGGGCTTTAGGATATTTTCGAATGATTCGCCCAAGTGCGGCATTAGCAGCTTGAATTGGATCCATACCATTACGAAGATTTTCAACAGCTTGATAACTGGACAAGAAACGCATTATAATGTCACCATCACCTGTAGCAGCGGCTCCTCCTACATCTTGATCGACATATGAACCAGCTCCAGGGATCGGACTATCACCAACTCGACCCGGAATTTTATGATTCATACCGTTAGTAGATGTTCCAGATGCTATTCTACCTTGGCGATCGATTGCTACAGCACCAATTGTATCATGATTGTTGCGATCAACAATTTTATAGAGGAATTTATTGTCATGATGAAATTCATTTAAATCTTGAGGTTTATATGGTCCACAATAGTTCCGAGGATTTGGGTGAACATTTTTCCAATAATTTGGCTGACAACCACGCGTTTTCCATTTTTCGAATTGATCAATAGACCAATCAGATGAAAGACTTTCCTTAGAGAATCCCATTGCAATGGCAAAATCTGTCGCCTGATCTCCCACCAACATCGTATGCGATGAATGTTCCATAACAGCTTTGGCGACCGAGATCCCATTTTTCACTTGACGTAAAGCAGCCACTGAACCAATTCGATGTGTGACACCATCCATTATCATCGCATCTAAAGTTGTTTCTCCATTTTCATCCGGACTACCGCCCCAACCTACGGTATGATCACATTGAAGGTATTCACATTTAGAACATGCGGCTACAATTGCATTCAATGACGATTCATTTTTCTCTAACAATGACCAACCTGTTATGGAAAAAAAATTCAAAAAAAACGATGTTTCGTAAACATTTTCGCGATAATTATTCTGGAGAATTTTCTCTCGTTTAAATTTTGGAAAATACGATATTCGGTGACTCAATTTTAGTTACCCGCTTCGTTGGCCTGATCGAATGCCCAAGTGTTGATTATAATTGGAATATGGCCAGCATTGTCTATATTGTCACCGAAATATTCACAAATGCATGGTTCTATCAAAATCATCAATGTCAAAGAAAATGACCATTTTCTATTTTTTCTACTTGTTTCCATGTTGTAAACTTTAATAACATAACATTGATGATTGATGATTATTTGTCGTCTTTACATTTATTATCGTGCCATCACATCATTCTAAATTTCAAGAGGATGGTTATTATTGTTTTACAATCGACAAGTTGATATCATTTTAAAACATAAACATAAAAAATGCCACAATCATTTTGACTAAATTATTGGCAAATAAAACTATCGATCCTAACTCCATCTTCACATGGCCAATTTAAACATTTAGAGCCTAAATTTTAGGCTTTGTCATAATAATAATCATCAATGAATGAAATGAATTTCTTTTGCTGGACAACAAGAATTTCACGAATGAACTTTTATACCTTACGAAACTATCGCCAATTAACCAAAAGTCTAAACAAAGCTAATAAATTATCCTTCAACAATGATAAAAAGAATACCACCGAAACTTTTGATAAATTAAAAAGTACTCTTAGAACATTCACAGTGACTGTTGCGACCACATGGTGCATCACTCGTTTCTTTGCCGAACCTATTTTATTACAAGGCCCATCAATGGAACCAACAATATTAAATAATGATATTATCATTGCCGAAAAATATAACACAGCATTTCATCGAAATGATTATAAGAGGTAGAGCTCTTGCATTGGAAATTTTAATTTTTTTTAATAACATTTTATTGATTGAATAGAGGTGATATAGTCGTGGTTCGATCGCCAATGAATCCACATCAATTTATCTGTAAACGAATTGTTGCCTTGCCAGGTGATATGATCAGTCAACGTTATCATTTTAGTAGCTATCGACAGACAGTGCAGAAAGGTCATGTTTGGCTTATGGGTGATAATAAAACCAATTCCACCGATTCTCGAGAATTTGGAGCTCTACCTATGGGACTTATAATTGGTCGTGTAATTTATAGAATTTGGCCTTTGAATCGAATGGGAAATTTGAATACAAATCAACATGATGAATTGAGCAATAAAAATAATTTTTAGTGAACAAGTTTTTCAATTAATAATGCATTTTATTTGTTAAAAATGTCAGACATAAAAAATTATTTATTGGGCCGGTTTCATGCCACGTCCATAACCAGTTCGCTATATTCGAAAAAAAAAAATTTTACAATATAGGACAATTTCACCTTAATAAAACTTACATATCCTTCATTTTGACGATAAGATTCTCGGCCACCAGCACCGCCTCTTGCTGGAGCATCTTCAACTACAATTAACAAAATTTAAGAAATGAAATGCTTTAAAAGTTTTAATGAATAATGAATTTCATACGTTTATCGCGTGTACGAGCATCAGGTTTAACGGTACGTTTCAGTGTTGCTGGTACAATTTCTGGTGGCAAATGTAAGTATTCACGAAGATAATTGATACCCTCGTTAGTCAAATACCAATAATAATGTCGCCAGCTAAATTGTTCTTTGACGTAACCACGGCTTTTCAACGATTGTAGTGCTCGAATAACGTGTAAATTTGGAACTTTAGTAAGAGCTGGATGTGCCTTTCGAAAATGGAAATCCTTTTCTGCAACCATGACACCCTCTTTGAATAAATATTCATAAATAGCAATTCGGTCCTTTTTGGGCATCAACATTTTCGATCGTTTTACGTGTGGAAAGTTGTTGCTGCAATAGCCTATTATGTATAAAACAATAAGAATAAGCTCTAGAAACGATTAATTTGATAAAACGGCAAAACTTACCAGAAGAAATCAAAAAAAGATCAAAAAAAATCGAAAAAAACAAAAAATTTAGCGAAATCCAACAACGTGTGTTGACAATCAACGTGAAAAGGAAATGAACTGGCTGTAGAACTCGTGCTCGTTTATCCCTTCATGAAAGATGTAACGTGAATTTTAAATTTAATGTCTATGAACATAGATAACTCAGTTTATTCATTTCCTGTTATAATAGTCAAGTTTTATAGATTATCATTTTCATATTAATCGCCAAAAAATTGGAAATTTGAGATGAATTTGAGAAATTTGAGAATCCTTTTCCTTATTGTAAAAATCATAAAAACATTTTTATACGCTGCATAGTGATCGTATGTATAAACTAGCAAGTTTTACGGTCAACAATGATATGTTTGAATTGTCGAGCTATATGTTGACTTGCCAATCGAGGAAAAAATGATTCAGCTTTAGATGAATTTTATCATTTCAATATATTATAACCAAAGATAAAATTATATATTGATGATGGTGGCCATCCTCTGAGGAAAAATTTTAAAAAAAAAAAAAAAAAAAATTTCTATCTCTATTTTTCTCTAGTGAGTATATTTAATTTTAAATCGTGATCTTTTTAAAAATCTATATATACATCCTGGTTCCTTGATTTAAACGGGAATGATATTTTTCCTTTTGAAATTTGAGATAGGTTCAAAAACAATTGAAAAATACCCTCTTGATATTTGATAAAGGTTCATTCAATTTTGATCATTCGTTTCGTTCAAATCAATATTTCATTTTGTCCACTTGGATTATTTTAATTTTAGTGTTTAATTTACTCCAAAATGCAATATATGGACGAATTATGTTTTGGTAAATTTTAATTTCGATTAATTTATTGACAACAATATGACAATTGTTTGAACGGAGAATAAAGTGTTTACGAAAAAGAGAGAAAAAAATCGACAATTTTTTCTTCATTCCCAAGGCAAACTGCTATTCAACAAAAAGATTGTTTTCATGTGATGAAAATTTATTTCTTTGCATGTCAGATTTGAATTACATTTTGGTTATATTGTTATGTGTAGCCGCAATAATAAGTAAAAAATGATGTGTTGATGTTTTCTCTCTCTTTTTTTTTCTCATACTCAATTCATTCATCAATGATGATCGATTTTGCGATATTTTTTTACTACTATTACTGCTGCTGTTTTTATCGTTTCCTTGGAGACATTTTTATTTCCAAACTATACAAGATAGCTTACATGTGACTCAGAAAATCGAACGATTGACAAACATGATCATCATTCTCATAATTGAATAGCCACAATGTCAATTAATATTCATAATAAAATTTATTACAAAATTTTTCTATTTTCAGCCTGGGTGCTTGCAACATTTTACATCTCACATCTAGTAGCCGAAGCCCGTCAAACGCAAAAATCGGGTGATATGGCATTGGATGTAAGTGAAGTTTAAAATCATCAATATAATAATAATTCAAGTTCATAATCAATACTTTTTTTAGAATCATACAACCATACCGGTGATGATGACCGGCGCTGCCATATTGGCAACGACCGTTTATTTCATTTATCAATTCTGGATACGTAACAAAGCATCTGGACCAAAGTTGTTGGAAAATCCCAAAGAAAAATATTCAGTGGCTTTAACAGAACGAGAAGAAATCTCACATGATACTCGTAGATTTAGATTCAGTCTACCGACTAGTGATCATATACTCGGTCTTCCAATCGGTCAACATGTATACATGTCGACTACATTGAATGGAAAATATATTTCACGTTCATATACACCGGTGACCAGCGATGATGATTTGGGTTATGTTGATTTTGTCATCAAAGTCTATTTTGCAAATGTCCATCCAAAATTTCCCGAAGGCGGTAAATTATCTCAATATTTGAATAACATGAAAATCGGTGATAAAATTAATATTGCGGGGCCAAACGGAAATTTGATATACAAAGGAATGGGAAAATTCTCAATCAAAGAAGGCTATGGTTCACCATTTACACAACGAAACTATTTAAAAGTTGGAATGATTGCTGGCGGTACTGGCATCACTCCGATGTTGCAGATCATTCGACATGTATTTAAAGATCCCAAAGATAAATTACAAATATGGCTTTTGTATGCTAACCAAACAGAAAAGGATATTTTACTACGAAAAGAATTGGAAGAAGTTTGCGAAAAAAATTCTGATCGTCTGAATCTCTGGTATACATTGGATCGACCTTCAGAAGGTTGGCAATATAGGTTAGTTTTTTTGATTTTGTTAAAATTCAAAAAAAAATTTATTTTTTATAATTTTGTTTCCATTAGTACTGGCTTTATAAATGATGAAATGATATCGAAACATTTACCACCACCCAGTGAAGATACATTAATTCTTATGTGTGGTCCACCACCAATGATTAAACATGCTTGTTTGCCAAATCTTGATAAACTTGGATACTCAGAAAAACATAGATTCGCCTATTAATTTACAAACCAAGAATCTTTAATAAAATCATATAAAACATTTAGAAAAATAAATGATGAGTTATTTTATTTTAAAAAATGCAAATGAATCAATTTGAATCTAAAAGTAATTTCTATGTTTAAATTCAAATAAGCAAATCTGAGGAAAAAATCCAAATTTGATAATTATCAATAATACGTTCACTTGATCACGTTTTGATTATAATCACTCTTATGGTTGCCATGAGAAATTTTATAAATTTCTATTGTTCTGTACATTCTTCCATTTATTTTCTAAAATTTAAATCATTTCGTTTCCATTAGTACCGCGGCTCTATAAATGATGAAATGATATCGAAACATTTACCACCACCCAATGAAGATACATTAATTCTTATGTGTGGTCCGCCACCAATGATCAAACATGTGTTTGTTTGCCAAATCTCGATAAACTTGGTTATATTCAGTCAAACATAGATTTATTTACTAAGTTATTTTAAAAATTTGTTTGAAAAAACAGCTTGAATTCGAATAATATTTACATAATAATTATTATCAAAATTATTGCATCCAAAATAACAATCGAAATTTCGTGATTCAGGAAAAAATTATGTTTGGTTTATGTTTCATTATATCCAATAAACCAACAACATAAATATTGTGACTAAAATCGTCCATGTTGAATTTCTAGATGATGATCCATTGCACCATTGATCGAATTCGCAAAAACAATATGTTGTATTTATGAATGAACTTTTCTTTAAATCTAATTCACCGATTGCATTGTCAACATGAACCGCTCGTTTAGGATTTTGTGCTGCCGATCGACATCCTTCAAAGCGATCGGCCGGTACATCATCACGTAATGACATAACATTTGATAGGCAATCACGTGTAACTCGTATATCGGCTCCATCTTGTTCAATAATTTTAATACATTTATCATCCGATTCTGGACAGGTGATTGATGAATAGATCCACCAGCTAACCTGTTCCAGTGTACAGCCCGGTGTGGTTGATACACAAGAATAGCAAAACAATGATGATACTAATCCAATGAAAAATGACAAATGTTTAACAATTTATCATTATGGAACTTTATCTATCTATACAATAATTATGTAAACTAAATTTACCTTGATGAACTTGAAAAATGATGAGTGACAAGATTGATGCCCAAACTATGGTCAACAAACTAGAATTCATTTTGAATAATAATGATGATGATGATGAATGATGTAACATTATTTTCATGATCGCTTGGTTGATTTTGATTTTATTTGAACAGATTTTCAAATCTTGTAGTGTATCGATTATTGTCCTATTCGATGGTGACACTGCAAAGATCACATTAGTTTCGGTCACTCTTAATCGATATAGAAGAAATTCGGGTGTGTTGGGGATTTTTTTTTCGTTTTTGGTTAACGTGAATAATAATAGTAATAATATAATAGTAATCACTGTGTCGTCGGTATGGTAACAATTATGAAATATATAGATTTACGAATGTTCTATTATGAGATTGGGATAAATTTTTTTTCCATTTCAAACAATTTGAATGTGTACAAATGCGGAAATATAGAGTTGTCAAACGTTTGTTCATTAGTCTTTATTCGTTTCGGTTCGTTCAATATGTTTGTTTGATGTTCAAATTGAATGTGTGTGTGTGTGTGTGTTTTGATTGACATTTGAATTTTTTTTTTATTTAACGGTGACGAATCTTCTAATGATTAATACTGTTGTTGTTAATTTTTATAATAAATGATGACAATGATATTTCAATTCTGAATTCAATGATGACGATGACAGTTTGAATCGTACTATATTGGATTTATCCATACACACACACACACAAAACGATAGAATTCATTAGTCAAAATTGAAAGTTTTTTCCTTTTGTATATAACAGGTATAAAATCGATACGCCCAGAAAAAGAACAAGTTTTTCCTTAATGATGATGATGATGATGATGATAAATTCTCGTTTCAAAATACACAAACAAAACCCATTAAGAAATTTAATTTAAATTCATTCGATATGTTACGATTTATATCAAATACAATTCATTTTATTATAGATTGATGATAAACTTTCATAATCCTTATAGTATATTTTTTTCGGTCTCATTCACCTTACTTGTTGATTGTGTTGTTTCACTCATTCACGAAGATTGTTCATTTGTTCGATCCACATCATGAGTCATTATCATCATCAACATCATTTCAAAAGAAAAGAAATAAACAAACGAATGAATGAATGAATTGAATAAGGTAGAAAAAAGTAGTCGTTCAAGTCGTATAATTTCAGAAATGAATCGACCAATCGTGGATAGACTATTCACACAAGTAGCCACGAAGAGATGGAAAGAGAGAGAGAGAAACAAAAACCATTATTTTGAAACAAGTCAACTCGAGAGAGCGAGAGATGTGATGCGTGTGAAAGGTGAAATGCCAACATCATCATAATCATGAATTACATTGAACTATGCCATTCAAATACCATCCAATCTACAAAAAAAATCTAATATTCAACCAACCAGAAACAATAACAACAACAACAACAAAAATTCAGTGGAATGTTCAATGAACCATTATATCATGGTATATTATTTCAGTGCACAAGGTGTTAAGATTTGGATAATTATTTGTTAAATAGTACACGACACATTCAATCCTATGTATGATAATATATTTAGGTTAGAACTATCCTTTCATATTTAATCTTTATGAATTCGAGTTTATTGGGTTAGTCAGTCGGTTGATGGTTGCAAAGGCAAAAATAAACATCAAGACCTGTTCGAAAGCTAAAACTTGTAATAATTTTTCAAGCAGATTTTTTAAACAAGAAAAAACCGAGAAATCGAAATGACAAGTCACATAGACAAACGGTGTTATTATTAATTATTAAAAAAATGAAATACATGTTTGATATTTCAACTTCAATGTTCGAATGGCCAAACAGACAAACAAGAAAAAAAGTGCGAAGAAGAACATTGAAGATGCGGCCATAATGATAAGAAGGTTTATGGTTTTCTTTGAAAAATTTTTTAGATTTACATATAATATAAAAACATTCAGAAAACAGCACATCTAAATAACAATTTGAATGAAAATATATTTTCATGTATAAATGATTTTCGTTTTATTCTGTTTAAAAATATCTATAATAAGATAAAGTCAATTTTGATGGACAGCAAACTGCAATAAAATCTACGTGAAGAATTTAAAGTGTATATAAGCAATTTGGTTATAAATTCTTGGTGGAACTGGAAATGGTAGATTTTTATAGTTTCGGTCACTTTCAATAGAGAGTGTATAATGTGTACAATTTGTAGTCCGCACTAGAGGTAGATCCAAGATTTACCTTTGGGAAGGTCTGAGAATGCCGAGCATGTAAATTTATTTTACTGCTTCTGAATCTTGGTGATTCACTTCGTAATTCGGAGTGCAAGTCGAGAGCAACAGTTATGAATACTTCCATTTTATTATGCAGGAGATGGTTTCCATTTGGATTCCTGATGCTTTATAAATGGTTGTATTCAGTGAAATGATTTGCGGCTAGCTAATGAATAACAGTACGATGTGCGGAATGGCTAATTAATGTGTTAGCCATAACTGAATTCAGACTACTCACGGGTTGTACACTCTTAATTTTTTCGAAAATTGAATGTTAAACGATCGGTATTGGAAAGAATGTTATCATCTTCACTCAGGTCGTTTATGATGCCCAGAAAATTTCGTACCTGTTCGACATTTCGTTCACGAATCGATTGGCAAATGAATTTTCCACCAATCTCGACAATGGGATTGATACGTAAGAAATGTGCTGCAATGAGTAGATCATAAAGATCTGCTCGATTTTGCCATCCATTCGTCTGATCCTCATCACCGGCTATATCGGCCAAAAATCGTCGATCCCAATACGATGGTAATTCTTCAAGTTTTCTTGTACGTCTAGCATATTCATCTTCTTCTGAATCTTCGAAATTATTATCATCCAATTTCGGATCATCACAATGATATTCACACCATCGTATAATGTTTTTCATTGTATTCACGTTGCATGCTGTATGATTAATCAATGGAATTGTTGGACAATTAGCACTATCGATGTTGGTTGAATTTTCCACTTCCACATCAAAAGCCTTTTGATCAATCAAATCAATTAGATCACCAAGATAACCGGATAGCCTAGCTGCACGTCTAGTCATAGGTAACATAACATTTTCATCGCCAAATGGTTGAATATAAATCAACCTATTGTCGATTGATTGATCGGCCATTATAGATTGTCGTTTTGTTTGCGATTGTTCTGGCAAATTATTAGATCCGTTCATTCTGTGATGGTTTTGATTGTTAACTTTATTGAATTATTTTATGAAAATCGGCTAAATATATTCAAAACAACAAAAACAGCAGGAGCTACAAATATGATCAAGAATATAAAAGGAAAATGTGAATTTTAGCATCAATGATTCCTACTTGGTGGGCTAAATATAGAAATTCTGCAATTTAAAATTTGATTATCAACAGTTCTATATGATTTTACATTTTCTATATAACAATCGATTCTATCGATTGTGAATAGAAACCAATTTTTTTTATTTCAGTCCATCCAACAATATTGTAATCAATTCTTTGTTTTCAAAACAATTTTAGCTGACTCAATCTAATTCTTCATTTTGGATCATTCATCAATCAATACATCTTTTGATTTATAATAATAATAAAAAAACCCTTAAAACACAATCAATTGGAATAAAATGGAATTGGCTCGAATGTCTAATCAAGATCGTCTCAAACTATGTCGTCGTTATTTTTACATTGGATTTTTTGGTCTACCTTTTTTATGGATGATTAACACTGTTTGGTTTGGTATGTTTATATTCAAATATGATACCTATCAGGAACAAAGACGACAACAACAACAGCGATCGAATAGAACGAATCGTCAAACGATAAATCCACAACAACAGACATCACCACAAGAACCAATGATTGTAAATTCTCCTGAACAATCAAATACATCGACACAAGATGATCGATCTGCACGAAACCAAGAAACAACTAAACATCTACTACAAATACGTTCATTAGTCATTTATTCATTCTGTGGATCATTAATTTGGATCGTATCTATTCTTGCCTGGATCATTACATTCCAATTGAAACGAGCAGAATGGGGTGAATGGGGCGATGAAATTTCATTCAATATTCCAAGAGGAATACCATGAATATCTGTCTAACAATTCCAGATTTATTTCAACTTTAATTTTTTATATATGAATCTTTGATGAAATTTTGATTGTTTATATTTCATGAGTTATAAAATTACCATCCGATCTTAATGCCTTGTTGAATTCATGAATTAATGATTGATTCGCGAATTTTATAGATTAAAATTTTTCTTGGACCGGCAACCGATCAAATTAACGATTCGGTAATTCGACCATGGCGACATCTATCGACCAATGATTAGATTATTTATGTTACTTTCATGAATATATACACGGGGAGTTGTTGTTGGCGTTGATGTTGATTATGAGATTTGACGTCCAATATATTCGATGATGATGATGATGATGAGGGTTGAGAAGTAGTAGTGGCGTCGATCTAGGAGTTTGGCCAAGACAACTACAACCACCGTGTCTATTCGCCCATCTTTGTCTGTTTATTTGTGTCGGTAAAAAAAAGTCGCCCCTTTTTCCAACATTTCAGCTTCTGATGTAAATGGTTTAGTTTTTTTTCGATTCAACACACATTCGTCGATATCAAGACAAATGTTTTTTTGTGCTTGTATATTTTTGTGAAAGCAAGTTTTTGAATCTTCATTAGGATCGAAACGATTGAACATCCAAAATAAACAGCACATACAATCAACTTATCGTTTGATGGCCACAGCTACACAATAACTTCATGAGCAATTTAATTATGCCCGATGTTTGATAATTTTTTGCATTGAAACAAAAATAACAACAAATCGAATGTTCACATCAATTCATCGACAATTGATTCGATTGAAAAAGCAAGAAAGAATTTGGAATTCATACCGATAAATTTCAAGTATAGATTAGTTTTATTCTGCTTCATTATGTTTGTATAATATTGTTTGTTGATTCATGAATTAAATAGACTTTTCTCTTGTTTTGTTCTCAATTTTTCTTTCACAAATACCTTCTCATAGTTGATGACATTTTAAACAAAAGATTGAAAAATGCCACAAAATCAACAACGTTCACCGTCGACCGATGAACAACAAGAAAGATTGCTTGACGAATCATTGAGCATCGTCAAATTACAATCATTTCATATGAAATGCTGTCTAGATAAAGGTAAACTAATGGAAGCTTTGAAACATGCATCAAATATGCTATCCGAATTACGTACATCGGCTTTAGGCCCAAAATCCTATTATGAATTATTTATGGCCGTCACCGATCAATTACGACATCTTGAAATGTATCTTGTTGATGAATTTCAACGTGATCATAAAGTTTATGAGCTTTATGAATTGGTACAATATGCTGGATCAATTATACCACGCTTATACTTACTTATTTCGGTTGGTCTTGTTTATATGAAAACATCACCACATTGTCGCCGTGAGATACTCAAAGATCTGGTTGAAATGTGTCGAGGTTTGTGCTGTTGAATCTTTAAACAGTCTTATTTTTTAATTTTAAACATTCTTTTATATTAGGTGTACAACATCCTCTTCGTGGATTGTTTTTGCGAAATTTCCTTCTGATGACATGTCGTCATGTTCTCCCCGACCAACCAGCTGAAAATTTAGGAAATTATGAAGATAATAGAAAAGTAATGCTAATGAATCATGATGGACAACAACAGCAAACACAATTTGTCAGTTCAACATTGACCAATGCAATCACACAGCAACAAAATGTTGATAATAAGGTTGCCGATACAGCTACCGTCATGGATTCAATCGATTTTGTATTGACTAATTTTGCTGAAATGAATAAACTTTGGGTTCGTATGCAGCATTTGGGTCATACTCGTGAACGTGAACGTCGAGAACAAGAACGGCTCGAACTTCGGCTATTAGTCGGTACGAATCTTGTTCGTCTATCACAATTGGAATCTGTCAATGTAGAAATGTATTCTCGTGTCGTGTTGCCTGGCATTCTTGAGCAGGTGGTTTCTTGTAAAGATGCTATCGCTCAAGAATACCTAATGGAATCGTTGATTCAAGTTTTTCCCGATGAATTCCACTTATCAACGTTGAATCCATTTCTTAATTCATGTGCACAATTGGCTCCTGATGTAAAAGTCAAAAAGATCATTATTGCATTGATCGATAGGTTGGCCCAATCACACGATGTTCCGTTGCCGGAAGATTTGTTTGACACATTCAGTAAACAAATCAGTAATATAATTGCCAATCGACCGACTATTGCCATCGAAGATATTATCAGCATGTATAGTTCGTTGATTAATTTTTCATTGAAAAAAATGGCCGACTCAGCCAAACGCGAAGAGGCAATCAATTCGGTCCTTGGATCGACGCTGAAAGCTATTCAAGACATGAATGTTGTGACCATAAATATGCGATCAAACCTAGGCAAAGAAATGTGTCGATTTTTAAAGATGCCATTCAATCTGGGCAATTCTAATTCCACTTATCTTTCCAACGATACTGATGGTTCAACAAAAAACAAGGAGGAATATGGACTCATCAAAATGAGCCTCAAGTTAACCAACTACAAAAATCTGGTCAAAGAAACCACTGATATAGAGCTCCATAAGCAGATCATTTTGACACTTATCAATGCTACTCTTGAAAATTACAGTGAAGATTATCTAAGGCCAGAAGATCGTCTAACGTCGTCAGAAATACAAACCTTTTTAACCGAACTATGTGGACCATTGGTGAATGGAACGAATCAGGTGATTGTGGTAAATAATTCTAAATCGTCGCCTCAAAAACAACCACAACCTGATGTTCCAGTCGATGATCAAGACGAAGAATTCATCGATGAACAGTTGTTATTATCAAGGTTTATCCACTTTCTTTTATTGCCTCAATGTATTGATGCTGGTGAAACATCCATACAAAACGGCCAAACAGGTGGCAATGAAAATGGTGGTGAATGTTTAAATGACATTGATGATTCTCGATCGTCATCATCATCACAATTACTTGACACCACTTATCTGACATTGGGTTCGATCAAAAAAATTCTTGCCACTGGTGGTTCAAGCCGTATTCGATATACATACCCATCATTAGTTTTTGAAGCTCTACAATTATCATTGCGGTGAGATATCATCATTTCTTATGTCTAAAATTTATAACTTATTATTTTTTCTCTAGATACAAGAAAATAAAAGATACAGATGATAAATGGATTAAAAAATGTCAGAAAATCTATCAATTTGTCAATCAACTTATCGTTACATTGTTGAAGGAAGGAAACTGTCCGGAATTATGTCTTCGTTTATTTCTTGAAGCAGCATTGAATGCTGCTAAATCGGAAATTGGTGATTTCGAATCAATTAGCTATGAATTCATTAGTCAAGCGTTTTCCATTTATGAAGAAGAGATATCAGATTCTAAGGAGCAGACCCTATGTTTGCTGTTGATCATTGCAACTGTTAAGAACATTAAATTCGATAATATTGAAAATTTTACTCCACTTCGAAATCAATGTTGCCTTAATTGCGGTATGTATTTTGAATCATGTATCTATTCCATCAACTTGATTTGTAATTATGCTTTCGCTTTTGAGCAGGTAAACTAGTGAAAAAGAGCGATCAATGTCGGGCATTATTAACGGCTAGCATATTATTCGTCACCAAAGACGGAACACTTGAACCCGAAATATTGAAATGTTTCCGTAAATGTTTAAAAATCGCCAGCAGCGTTTTGGATATTGCCCTACAATTACAATTGTACGTTGAAATCCTGTCACATCTTACCCTGTATGTTCGATATAAGAATGAAGACATTGACGAAATTATATGTTCGTTGATCAAACAAATCAATGAAAAAAATAACGATACTCCATTATCCGAATTGGCCAACAAACAATTTCAAAATTCGCTTGTTTTTTTTCGCAAGTCCGGTATGAATATAGGGGCCGAATGAATACAGAATTCCACTCTCTTTCTCAATGATCACAATCAATTCTCATTGTTTTTATAAGAACACAGCTTTTTTCTCTCAATCAATCAATTTCGCAATCATCGAAATTATTATTTAGCTATCATTTTTATTTCAATATTTTTCAAATTGATTTTTCTATCAATCAAATCCATATATAGCCGTCGTATGTTGGGATATTATCCTATGAAATTGTCTTATTTTTCCTTCTACGTCCAATTAATCGATTATTGTCAGAAAATTCTTCCCTTTAAATGATGAAAAAATATTTATTTTTTTTCCTGGAACCATCAACGATCATTTGAGTTTGGTATCTTGATCTTGATTTTAATTTATTCAACCTGAATTCGAAACCATTTGTCCTTTTCGATTCGATCAAATGGTGTTCGTTTGGTTACATCAGTGCGTAACAAGCCATAAAACCATTGTTTAGCTTCGGCGGATAAATTTATTCTCGATTGTATCATTGTCCTTATCTCTGAATCTAGTTCTTTGGATGGTCTTTTGTAATTGTATGGGTAAGTTCTTGTACCTGCATAGAATAATGTCGCTCCATATGACCAAACATCAGCTGAAATTGGATTGAATTCTTCACTGTCGGTTCCATAAGTTTCAGGTGCATGAAAATTTGCTTCGAATCGCCTGCACAATGGTCGACAACGTTGATGTAAAGTAGTTTGTGTTTGAATATCATGATAAATAATTGTATCGCGAAAACTACCCAATTTAGCGATGATTTTATCACCATCTGGATCTCCTGTTAATAAAATATGTTTTGGAGAAATACTTCGATGACACAATCCAATCGACCCCAAAAAATCCATTCCATTGTAAATATTTTGTGCCCATCCGATCAATTGTAATTCTGGTACATAAAGATTACTACTACGAACATATTCCAACAAGTTTCCATGAATGGCAAACTCTTGAAACAAGGCAATACGATGATTTGTATCATAGTAAATACCCCATGTAGATATTAGCCATGGGTTACGTTTACCTAAATGTTTTAATAATCGTAGAAATTTACATTTATGTGGATCAATTTGAGAAGCCGGTTCGAATATTCTAGCCATTAATGGATAATGATAATGATCACAATGATTTGCAAGGTAAATCATAGAATAACTACCAGCAAAAATGATTTCTTCAACATTAATTATATATTGGTCAAATGATTTCTCTTCAATGGGCAATGATGGCGAACTGCTTTCGATGAGTAGCGTGATCTCGGTTTTCAAGATATTTTGTAACATTGTGACAACTTTAGAATCAGGTCCCGATTCTTGAGATTCGTGATAATAAGGCATGTTCAAATAGCTCAACAACAAACAATTCAATTTTATAATTCGTAGGGAATTTTATTTGGAAAAATCGGAAAATAATTAATTGCGATTTGCGTAGTGGTGGTGGTGGTGGTGGTCGTGATTAAAAAAGGCTTTACAGAACAAACAATTTTATTATGACTAAAATTGATTAAATGACTGAGTTTAAATGGACCGTTCGCCTAGAATCCTCGATTTTTTTGTGCAGCAACAAATTCGGGATAATCGATGAAACCATCATTATTTTTGTCATCCATCTGAAGAATCGGATCAATCATCTGTTCCAATTCGGTATCGGTGAATATTTTCGTCGTTCCATGTGGCGATGCATTCTTTCCCAAATGACGACTTTCTTCGACTTGAAACAAGTTGAAAAACAAGGTTAAATAAAGCCTGACATGAAATCACTTACCATGCCAATGAATCAATGATTTGATCAATTCGCTACCATCTAACATGTTATTATTATCATTATCATGCATTTTGAAATAATGAAACTGCAACTCTTCTTCACTCATTTTGCTTACATCCTGATCGCTTAATGCTTCATGTAAATGTTCCTATTAAGAATTCAAAATAAAATTTTCAATATAAAATGAGTAAATAAATTCGAATGTCACACCTTCAAATGTTCCTTATCATGAATTCGACTATCATCATGCAGAACATTTTGACCGGCTTGGGGTACTTGCTGATAATGTGGTATCTGACCGGGTGTTTGATAAACTACTTGTTGTTGTTGTTGTTGCTGCTGCTGCTGTATTGGAATTTGTTGTTGTTGATACTGTTGTTGAGGGGGAGGTTGTTGATGATAAACTTGTTGATGTTGTTGGACCGGTATTCCTGAAGATTATTCATGAAATATTTATGTGATAATTGGTGAAATTAATAGCAAACACTCACCATATTGAGGTTGATTGTAATGAGCTATGTTGTAAGGCAATTTGAAAAGTAATATTAACGATAAAACAATTGTATAAGATAGCATTAATACTGAATTGTTCATCATTCTTTTATTTTACGGAATGTATTCCTTGGATTGAAAGCTGAAATATAATAGATGGACAACCGAAATTCTTGAGTATAAAAAAAAAATTTTGAACTTAAATTCGGAAAGAGTGTTTATTTTTTTTAGACAATCATTATAACAAATTATCAATTAGTAAAATTAAATCATGGAAATCATGAAAAAACATTTAAAAGAATTAATTCGATTCGATTGTCGTTAACACTTCATCGATCAAACTTGACGTGGCTTCTCTATTTTACAATTCTAGACACAACAAAGTGAAAATAGATTGCTATAAGGAAAATTTTTCTCTTCACATGTTCACAATATTTAACCTTTTCCCAATTGAAATCCGATTCTTTGGATCCGAAATTTATCCTGTTTCGTCATAATGTTACCCATTCTTATTGTCCGTGTAACAAATCGATTGATTTCCGGAAGAATTTCTACCGCACCAAGAAATCGAACCACATTTGATTTGATTTCCAATCAACAACGTTGTATTCATGTGACTACTATTGGTGAGATTTTATGTTTAATTAATCTCTTTTTATTGAACATGTATTTATTTCCTTTAGATAAAGCATATTCGACGACGACAAAAGTTGTAAAACAACAAAGTTATCATCAACGATATGTCAATTATGCACCGGTGCTATATGAATGGTCGCAGAAATTAAATTCAGGTCAATTAACTATGGACTCGTTGTTAGCCTCTCAACAATTTCAACGAGTATCTGAAAGTATTTGTGATACAATCCGCCATTCGGATACAAATATTTTAAATATGTTAAAATCACTTATAATTATGAATCTGGATCCTAACCTTAGAATCGTAAGTTATGTCGAAAAATTCATTCGTTATTGTAAAAAAAATAATTTATTCAAAATCAAGGTTCGATTTCTAGAGGATGAACTGTTGTATAAAATTCAATATAGTTATGAGTTTAAATTATTAAATGCTACCATGACTTTGTATCATTGCCTAAAAGATACTACACCAAAACGATCGTTAATTTTCGACACATTAATTCGAACGATCGGCGAAAAGTTGGACGAGTCAAAAGCTTCGATGCTTGATCTAGTACACATGACAAAATTCACTCGATACTTTATGCCCGAAATAATGATTAAAATTGAAGATCAACTAATGAGATACCTTGATTCGGACGAAGAGATTCCATTGGATAATCTATGCTATTTATTGGTATTGCTATCTCGTCATAATCGTCGCAATAAAAATCTAATCCGATCGGTCGTTGCAAAATTATTAAAATACCGTTCCGAAGAGATTTACACTATGCCTCCGCATCTTATCCATATGATATCATCATTGAAACGACTAAATTTTCCGGAAATTAATCTGTTGGAAAAATGTTCGGATATTTTAGTTAATTTTAAATTTTTGGAAAATCTTAGCGAGTCATCTAAAAGAGATTTCACTGTGGCGATTTCGAATTTTAATTTTTCATATCCTAAATTGAATGATTATTACCTACAAACATTGAAAGATAATCCAGATATTTTCAAACATCAAGATTTAATAACATTGACCATCACGCTAGCACGACTAAATTATCAACGCGATGATTTTGTTGATATAATTATGGACCATATTGTTCCGAAAATTTCCGCTGAAAATTGCGCATCCCGGTATCAATGGTTTAATTTTGTTCATTCACTTATGCTACTACGGTGTGCAACTGTTGATCACGTGAAATCTATTTTAAGAAATCAATTTTACGTTGAAATGGAACAAGAAGAACTGGAGTTGCATCTGAAGAATCTGAAAGAAAGACAGGCAAAAAATTCACAACAAGGTGAAAACGATGTTTCATCGGAAAATGAAAAATTGGATCCAGTATCTGAAGATTTAACTGCTAATTCAGGCCATGAAATTTATCGTATGATGAATATTCGTCGAAAATATTGCGTTCTCAATGGAATGATTTCATTGCAAAGTGATTCTCGAATTATCGATCCAAACACTCACCAATCAATGGGGAAAATTCCAATTCAAACGTTTTTCGACAATGAAGAAGATATGGAAAATTTCAAAACTTATATTAAAACATTCGATTTGGATATAATTAAACGATCTAAAGATCTACAGGAATTTCGGAAAAAAATAATACAAACTTTTGACGCATTTGCTCCAAGCAAAGATAAATACATGCTCGTGGATGTCAAAACACCCTTTGGTTACACCATCGGTAAAGCTCAATGTTCAACTTTCAACTTTTTTTTTCTAAACTTCCAATTATTACAGATGCAGAGTTGCTAGTTGATCTGGAAGGAAAACCACAAATTATTGATAGGCCAAAAATTTCATCCGCTGATTCCAAAATGAAAGACATTCATCGAAAGTAAGTTTTGGTGGTATATATTTACTCATTTATTTATGGTAATTTTCTTTCCCATTTTTCTAGTGTGGCTCTTGTGTGCATTGGATTCAATGAAACATTATTGGATGATAATAGCCGATTCATTGGACCAAAAGACGTCGAATTATCTTTACTAACATCACTTGGATATGTAGTCATACCCATTCATCAAAATTCACTTCCACAATCGGTCACTTCATTGAATCGCGTTAAATTTTTGCAAAATTTAATTAATTCTCATATAAAAAGCGATAATAATAATAATGATGATGATGATGATCATTGAAAAATCAATCAAAAATCAAAAATTGTAAATATATTAACGATTTTTGTAAAAAAAACAATTATCTTTTTTAGATGCATCAAAAAAGAATATAAAAAAATTTCAAGTCATGATTGAATTTTATCTATAGATTGTTTATTTTATTTTTTGATCTTCAAACTCTTCCAAGATCTAATATATTTAAATCCAAATTTTTGAATTATTATTACATAGCGTTAAAATCTTTAATTAACATATAATTAAATTAGCATTGATTGATTTTAGCATCATTTAACATCGATGTGAAGAATATACATCTATTTTGTCGAGAATTCAAAGTGTACTTTTATGAAATAAAATTCGAATTTCCAGATTGTTTATGCATGGTACATTGCCACTATGCTGCCGGTGAAGAGTAGTAACTATTTTATGGACCACTACTACAACACTGTTAGGGTGAACCATCGTGTTTTTTTTTGTTGTCTTGGCGAGTTTAGTTGTTCATTGAATTTAATCGCAAAATTGTGCTTGATCGTTGAATTTTCTTGAAATATGAATTAATCTATTTGAAAGTAAGATATTATTGCATTGGTAGAAAAAAGATTTGACAGATAAAGTTGTATATGTACAGAGTATTTTACCTTTATCCGTTAACATCGACCAGCCAATAGTTAAATGTTTTTTTGAAATTGTTTCATGTGAATTGGTTCGAATTTGGAATTGTGAAAATTATTTGTTTCGATCGGTTCGTATTTAATCATAATTGTTGAATTGTATACAATTCTATCACTATTTGTATAAAAATGCTAACATAATTTATTGCTATACAGGCTGTTAGTCGTCATCAACAATGGCTGATGAGCGATCACGACCGAATCTAGGCGTTACTGAGCCAATATCTTTGTCTATGCCTAAAGAATCGGATATTGAGGCTACAAAAGCGCTAGAAGATTGCCTAAGAAAATATCAGCTAGTAGAAAGTGAAGAAGAATTAAACAAACGTTGCCTTATATTGAGCCAATTGAATAAAACACTAAAAGAATGGGTTAAAGAAATTTCGGCACGAAAATTACCTCAACATATGGCCGATCAAATGAATGGAAAGATTTTTACCTTTGGCTCATATCGTTTGGGTGTCCATACCAGAGGTGATTTACTCTAAGATTTGATAAATGACTTTATTTATTTTTTTTTCATTGTGATGAATAGATGCCGATATCGATACATTGATTGTCGTTCCTCGTCATATTGAACGTGTTGATTTTTTTGCCACTTTTCCAAATCACCTCAAAAAGATATCGAAATGTGAATATGTTCGATCTGTGGAAGAAGCTTTTGTACCCGTCATGAAAACTAAAATCGATGGTATTGAACTGGATATTCTTTTTTCACGGTTGGCATTAAAAAATATATCAGAAGTTCAAGATCTTCGTGATGCAACATTGTTGAAAAATTTAGATGAAAAAAGTGTCCGTTCATTGAATGGTTGTCGTGTGACGGATGATATTTTACTTTTAGTTCCCAATCATGAATCATTTCGTCTTGCTTTAAGAGCTGTAAAATTCTGGGCCAAGCGTCGTGGTATTTATTCGAATGTTCTTGGTTATTTGGGTGGTGTATCCTGGGCTATGCTAGTTGCTAGAACCTGTCAACTTTATCCTAACGCTAGTGCATCAACATTGTTGCAGAAATTCTTTTTAGTATTTAGACAATGGCCTTGGCCAAAACCTGTATTGTTGAGATTCAATTCTGATGATTTTGTTAACCTGGGATTTCCTGTTTGGGATCCAAGAGAGAATGCCAGTGATCGTTTTCATTTGATGCCCATCATTACACCATCATATCCTCAGCAAAATTCTACGTTTAATGTTACCAATTCTACGCGTGAAATTTTGAAAGAAGAATTCTATCATGCATCATCCGTGGCAGATGAAATTATAACTGGCAATTGGCCATGGGATAGCCTATTCGAGCCAGTAGCATTTTTCCAGAAATATCGACATTACATTGCAATTATAGTGAGCACACAAGCAGAATGGACAGGACTAGTGGAATCAAAAATTCGTATTTTAGTACAAAATCTTGAACGACATCGGCCAATAGAAATCGCTCATGTTTTTCCAAAATCCTTTAATCGTAAAATTCCTGATTCGGATGAATCATCGGCTATTAAATCATCCGAAATTGAAAATGAATCGGTAAATACAAATAATGGGAACAATATGAAAAATGATCAAAACAACAGCAGAAATGATGTAAATATGGATAAAATTTCCTGTCCAAATAATGAAAGTGAAAAAACAACGAATGATGATAATTCGGGGTTCGATAAGAAATTGGGCAATGGTAATGATTCCTCTAATCAAAATGGTAATTTGTCGGTAACAACTGCCACTTCGACCACCACAGCCAGTACAGATATGCAAGATCAAGAAGATTCGAACAAAAACGATTCGAAAATGAAAGAGCAGAAAATCTGGTTTATTGGATTGCGATTTCGTAAGAATGAAGAATCAAATGTCGATCTCACACAGGATACTAGAATTTTTGTTGAAACAAGTAAGAAAGTATAGTCTATTTTTTTAATTTTTCATTCATCTAATAATAATAATTATAGTTTTAAATGCAGCTGTGACATTCTTTACCGACGATATGCTTATTGATATCAAACATGTTAAAAAACGGGATCTTATCCACTATTTGCCACCTGAAGAGGCGAACACAATTACCATTTCGAAAAAATCTAAATCGTCATCGAATCTTGGTTCGACACCGAATAGTGAGAAGGTACATAATCACATCAATCGGACAACACGATCTTCATCGGACAGTAGTTGTCAATCAATGAAAATATTGATTAAAATCTAGCCTATTCATATTTTAAAACAAAAATTAAATCTTCGATTTTTTTCGCTTTTTCATTTCTGTATAATTAGAAAAAAAGAAAAATTGAACATAATAATCACAATGAAGAAATGGGCGACAGCAGCGGAGGTGATACATCGGCCAACACTTTGAAAGCTAATAAGAACGAAGATTCATCTGTTGATATTCGTAAGATTCGACGAAATACATCATCTTCTGATCCAGAATCGGCAACATCTGTTGCTGCAACGACTAGCGCTTGATAAAAAAAATGGGTTCATAATCCATATATATAAATATTCTGTAATTAATATTCTATTATAGCTCATTGAAGAATCAACTTTAAAAAAATTAATACCCAAAGAACAAACATATTAACGAATTTTTCATGTAAATATTATCATTAATCATTTTTTGGTAAGAATTATTCATTTCAATTGTTTCGGTCAATTCTAATGTTTGTTGCCTTTTTTTATTCAAGTAATTGAGATTTAGTTTTAGCAAAATAACAATAATTATTATTACTCATCATCAATCCACAAACACGAAAAATAGAAAAAAAAATCAAATTCATTCAAATACATCAGGTATGGATTTTTATGAACATTTTAATTATTTTATTCAAATTTTTCCATTCCATAGGTAAAACAACAATATGCACGATATCACATTACTCACATCTTTAGTTTTAATTAAAAAGTCATTCCACTTGTTCAAATTGGGTAAATGCACTGAACTGTATGCTATCAAAAAAAAAAAAAAAAAAAAATTCTTACTTTTGAAATATTCATCCTAATCATTAATTCACAATTCGATTCTAAGAAATTTAATTATTATTATGTAAATAATTTTTTTATTTGGAAAATAAAAGGATTTTTTTCAAATTAATTCAACAGCAAATTTGTTTATATGTGACAAATATGGTCAACAGAATTTTGGTAAGAATTTGGTCATGTTTGTCAACCGATTTGATAGTTTCAAATGCTTGTTCCAAATTTTTCTCTTCGAAACGTACTTTGCCAATTAGTACCGTTTGTAAAATCTTGTCATAGTCATCATTGAGTAAATTCGGTTCGATTGACACATGTTGAATATATCCTTTTTCTATGGTTATTTTCATTTGATATTCCATTGATCGATCGGAGAACAATTTAGAACAAATAGTGAATTTAGGTGTACTACCGAATACCCATTCCCAAGACTGAAACTTTGAACGAATATCATCGATAACAGGACCAAATCGTTCAGAATCGATTTGATCTAAATAATGAACAAATGAAATTCTATCTTTGTTGGCAGTGTAATATTTTGAATAATTTTTTGATATGGCTTGTATCAATGATTTCATTGTCATTGATTGATGCAATGATTTTAAATTTATTGTGGACGATGGAACACTTTTTGTAGCATTCGAATATACGTTCATTAACGGTTGTAGACGTAATGCATTTCGGAGATTGCTTTTATCAACATCTACCAATAATGTACAATGATGATAAGAGTTATGATCATTCAATTTGGATGCAGTGCCGGAAATTTTTTCTCCACCATCACAAATGACTAGATCTTTTCGTGGAGAAATGTTAGCATCAATTCGGAAATTATCACTTAGGACATCTCTAATGAATTGGAGATTTCTGCTACGATCATAAAATTTTCTCGATGTAATAAAAGAAATGTTCAGATTGTTCATGTCATGATAAACAGTGCCTCCACCACTATTACGACGGGCCACATCAATTCCATTCTGACGGCAATAATCTATTGATGCTTCTAACCAAACATTCTGATGACGACCAACAACTACGGCCGGTCGATTATACCACAGTAATAAAATTTGTTCATTATTCACTGAGAAATCATAATTTTGAAATAACCATTCCTCTAGAGCTAGGTTGGCATAAATATCATCCACAGTCGATACAATTACCGAACCGGATTGTAGTAATGATTTAATCCATGGTGTTATCAATTCATGATTTGTTCTATTCTTAGAGTTGACATTGATACTGCTACTAAAATGTTGTAATCCATGTTTTTTTCCAATTGTTAATGAGATTTCTTTAAAATCTGTTTTAGATTTTCGACAATATTCCTGAATTTAAGCGGTATCAAAAAAAAAATTATTTTAAAATATTTTCTACATTCATTTTTTTACATTTTTCATAAATTAAACTTACGGCCAAACGAATCAATCGTTGTTTCATTTTGTTCCATAACTATTGCTACTTGATCGTGTATTTCTATTCACGTGATTAATGTGTTAATAGTCGAATGAATGATAATTGAATGACGAAATAACTTTTCAACTGCGCATCAAAGTAGCACACAAATATAATATAAAAGATGCAATGGAGACACGTTTGCGACTCATTTTCATTTTAATATTTCATTTACTGCAGTAATTATTGTCCGTTAAATCAAGAATGAAAAGAATTAGAAAAAATTCCAACGTAATTATAAATATTACTACTATATCTGTATCGCGATAAAAATTGAATCAAATTTTGAGTAAAAATTCTCATTTCTTATAAATAATTCTGGTAAGTTTCAATATTTTTGATATATTTATAGAAAATAGAAAAAAAATTCTTGCATTTGTGATCGATTGTTTGCCCTTGATGTTAGTGCCGAGATGGTTGAAAATGTCTTTTCCCATTTCAATATTTTTCTGCCCTTAACATTTATTTTTTTTCATCCAATTAGTATAGACAATTTTTTTTTAATTATAAAAATTTATCAATTATATTACACCCACATATATACATGCTGTTTTATATGCGGGCAGAAATAATCATAGATAGATAGATGTATCAAATCTAAATGATGTACTCATTTTCGAAACATTTACATTAAAAGTTCCTTTTCCCTTCAAAAAGTGCAGTCTAGTGATTTGACGTACCGATCTGTTTTTTTTTGTTTTTTTTTTGATATAAACTATTACATTAATTAAATTTTGTCGTTTACTCATCCTAATTATACATTCTATTTTTATTTTTTGTTTGTCAAACAGCTATGCAAATGACTTGATGTTCCAGAAACCACAAAAATGATTTGATACTGTGTTTGAACATTCTATAATGTTAAATTGGTTTTCGAATTTTTCAACAACTTCATATAAAGACAATTTGATTATTTTGAAAATTTCATTAGTGTTTAACATTGATTTTGTGATTTATCAAAGATATAAAATTACACAAAGTGACAATAATCATGATGAAGTTTCATTCAATTTTTGTAGATTTTCATTTTACAACCACATTGCATCACGATGGCTCAATGATTTTGAACAAATTTTTTCTTTCACTCATTTGCATGATCATCTCTATTTGTGTTTATTTTTCTGTTTTCTCCGTTTCGGTTTGCCCGATGAATTAATTATGAAAATGGCGCCATTTAGCGCACAACAACAACAATTTCATTTAGTCAATTCTACAATTTTCATACTCTCATCATTGAAAAGTTCAACATCAACAAATATTGATTCTTATCCAAATTTTTGTTTGAAACATCCAATACACGTGGCAAAAGCCAATTCATATTGGCCATTCATTGTTTATTGTTTTACTAAACCATCATCAACACCATTATCGAAAACATTATTTACTTCATTTGTGTTCACATTATTTTTAATTCATATATATCATAGTTTAAATTATCCAATTTCTGATAATCGCAATTCAAATCCATATTATTCTCATCAATTAAATATACAACATTCAAATATCGGAGATTTACATCAACAACAATCGATTATTAACAAACATTTTCTAATAGAAGCTGATCATTTACAGTGGTCAAAATTGATACCGAATAAGTTTTATCGAAATCTAACCGATAACAATTGGTTTAATTCTACTAAAACAGTTATTTTTCCCTGTTTTATTGGCTGAATAATCGGTTACATTTGCCTTAATCTAGGTATGCAAAAAAAAATAATTTTTTTTTATTTACATACTCTAATTCTATTGTTTAGTTTTATTCAATTTCAAAGTCAAGACACAATGGATTCTATTTGTATGACTCCAAATATTCGAAAGGACAGAATCAATATGAAAGAAACTTCAAGCTCTGTGATTGGTAATATTGATACTGCAAGATTCGATTCATTGAAAGGTTCCCGTGATAATTCTTCATCTCTGTTACTTTCTTGGCTCTGTCGTAATAATACATTATCACTTGTTAATCAACCGTTTGCAATATTCCATAAATTGAAAAACTTTTTTAGCTTCAACTTTTCTGATATCAACATCGAGATGGAAAATATGGAACTCAAATATTCCACTTCTTGTCCCGCTGACATTACTAAACCTTCACAATTTTCATTTTTCTATTATATCAATCATCCAGAAGATTTTCCAGAATCTATTCAAAATTTCACACAGTTTCAAAATAACAAAACATCTCATAAAAACCAAATTTGTACTTCGGTTCTTATGAAAAATTGCAATATCAATCCTATCGAAATAAATCTGCTTGAAACACCTTTATTCATGAAAAGCACGACTAAGATTTCAATGGATCCTATGACAGAACTTCACAAATTTCTACAAATGAATCAAAAAATTGAACAAAAGATTAAGTGTCATAAAAAGACATCATCTTTGAAAGGTTTTGAAACGGATCAAATCGAACCAATGTTTCCTGCATTGATCAATTTAACATTACCATTCAAGGATATAAAACGAAGCCTAAGTTTCTCATCATTGGATGATATTAAACACTTGCCATATGATTTGTATGCAAGAGTTATGGATATATTTATTAAAAACCATATTGATGAAAAGGTTGCCGATGAAAAGGCCATGCTAAAAATCCAAACAATGAGTATGAATGGTTTTAACGATAATTTATTTACAACGGTAAAATCAGACCCACTAAATTCGGCCATCGACATCAATTGTGAAAAAAAGAAAAAACGTAGAAAAAATCAAAAACGCAGGAATCGCAAAAAGAAAAATCGTGATAAATGTAAATCGTTTTTAATCGATGAAAAAAAATTGGCTAATGATGAAATTAATGGTGGACCCGAACCTGAATCTGTAAATACACAAAGTCTTGTCGAACCACCATTGAAAACAAACATAACAAAATCTGCATACGAAAAAAAGGATTGCTTTATAAGTAAATTTTTTTCGTTTCCATGCAACTATGAATCTGGTAATGAAATTTCGGAACCACCCTCTGTTGATTGGGATGATGAAGAATACGAAAACGATGATGTTTCCATTAACGGTAGTTTAGAGAAAGAATTTGCTGGAAACGGTCTATTCTTCTCTAATCTTGTATCTAAGGAGCCACGAAAAAAACACTGCGGAATTGAACTTTCTGCCAAAGATTTCCTATTCGATTCACCCACTAATAATGATTTTGATGATGAAAACATTTGGGTTGAAACACCAGAAGAGCGGGAATTTCGTGAAAAAATTCAGGCCATGGTTGCAAAAGCAAATGAAGAATGGGATGCCATTTCTTTACCATCGGATTGTAATGATAATGATGTTGGCGTATTTCAAATGGAAATCAAAAGCCCGCAAATCACACGTCATGTTCATTTCGTTGAAGAGCCTGCCATCTGGCTTATCCCTGATTTGGAAGATTAATTCTTTTTTTGCTTAATTTTTTTTATCTATATTTTATTCTTTATAAAATGATTACTGTTATTCAAGTTGACAAATAAAAATTAAATGATTTTCACAGAATTAAAATAAATGAATTATTAAACGATATTTTCGCTTTATATTTTTTGAAATCCTTATGAATAGAAATTCATGTGGTAATCACGTTGTTCGATTTCATTTAGAGCTTTGTCTTTCGAACGATGACACACCAATTTCCTTCGTCATAATAGCTTTTTTCGATTCGAATCGAATATCTAGTTTCTTTTTGGGCAACCATATTAACTAAATTTTCTAATTCTTCACGTTGAAAAACGTGATAGAATCGAAAAAACTTCTCCGATAATTCTGATTGTTTGTCGTTAGTTATTTTTTTAGTCCAAGGAACTAATATGTCTTGTTCACGAAATTCTGTTCGATTCTGATGTATGGACAATGTACCTTGAAACGAGGTATTTTCATCGTCTTGTTCCATATTTATCACCGTCTCGGTTGTTTTCAAATATTTGGATGCTGAACCTTCATGTTTTTGTTCGAATGCCCAAACATAGATCAATGCAAGGCCATCAATTGCCAAAAGATTCAAAATGGCATGAATCGCTCTAACACGTCGTTGTTCAGTAACCATGTGATGAATAACTGCAATACTAATGATAGCATCAAATACTTGTTCACGTATAGTTTGATCAACATAGAGACAATTATCCAAAAATGTTTCCAAATTACGTTGATGACAAATTTTGAGCAGATTGATCGAACGATCAGTTCCGATGGTCACAATGGATGGATTGACTGAAAGAAAGCGGCCATTTCCACATCCAACATCTAGGACAAAAGATCCAGCTGGTAATGATTCGAGGAAATTAACAACTTGTGGCCAGCATTTGTATCGTGTTGTGCTGAAATGATCAGCTATTTGATCATAGGTTCGATGAACGAAATCCGTTTCTAATTTTCGCGGATTAGATATCTGGAAACCAGCAACCTCATCATTTTCATTTTGTTTAATACATTCATCACATTGACATTGATCAGTCACAGGTCTAGTTTTTCTGAATGTTAATGAATAACGTTCGGAACGAGGTTGAAATGAAAGACGTTTTCGTTTGATGGGAAAATTATTATTGAATGGAACCAAATCAATTTTAGTTTTAGTAATACCATGGTTCCAATTGTATCTAGCTTCTTCCTGCATTATCATCAATGATCGAGGTGGTAGTATTGTCGATGCCCGTTGTTTGATATTATCATCATCATTTCGCCTTTTCCATGACATAACTACGGAGGATCCTATGCTAAGTGATATAATCCATTCAGTGCACATGGAATGTGTATCACAATGAAACGGAATATGATCACTTTTTTCTCCTGCATAACGGTTTATCGTCAATTGATCAGGCTTTTCTGGTACAAATTCTAAAAAAAGTTCACAAATTAAATCGAATTCTCGTGGAATCTCCGGACTTATAACTTGTCTAGAATCATTAATAATCAAATTTTGTTCGTAATCGAAAGCATAACCAAAATGGATGGCTTCACGATTTTTCAGTCGAGATATTTTATTCTCTTTAGTGGCGATTTCAAAGTATGTCTTGACCTTTAAAAATAAATAGTTGAAAGAAATAGGAAAAAATTACTGAGAATAAATAACTTACAAAATTCATAAAAATCGATTCTTTCGATTCATCTAGAAAATCATCAATGATTTTCAATCCGTTTGGCTTATTTTCCTCGCTGAATAAATCGAAAATCTGATCAACAGTAGACTGGTATTTTTGTATCGCTAATTCCAGCAATTTATTCGGTATAACTATGAAATTTAAATTATAATCTTTGAATTTCTCATCAAAATTCAGCCTATAAATCTGATGACATATATCTTCATTGGCTGGTTTTAGGATTAAAAACTTTTTATTTGGCATAACAAAATAATCCTCGAATAAATCTGGAATTCTTTTATCATTATTTATTTTTTCATTTATCAGTTCCAAAATTTCCGTTGTTGTGAGAAAAATTTGATTATCTCGATTATCGACAAGCAAAGTTCGATCGGATTCAACACTATCATCAATGATTAATTCTGAATCTTCGAAAAAATATTGTCGAATGATGGTGGAGATGACTTTTTTCTCCTTTTTCTTCATTCGTGAAAATTGTTTATTATTGATTTTATAATAATAGTTTGAAGAATTCATCTTTTTAATGATTGCCGTAAATTCGTAAATAAATGCAAACACGTGCATCGGCGATAAACATGTATAAAAACAGACAATCACATAGGACGTATTGCATAAATTGTAAATAATCTGATTAATTTTTATATATTGAAAATTTGCAAACCAAAAAAGAATATATTAATTTCACTCATATACAAACAAATTTGATGATATTTCTAGAATTTAATCGCGATAGCAAAAGAATCGAACTGACTTATCTGTGATTGCTATTGATTTCAATTATTTTAGTAATCAGATTATAGATTTTTGTTCAGTATTAATCCCTGCAGATTAATAAAATGGATTTCAATAAGGATTAATTGCATTAAATTAAATTAAATTAAATTAAATTTGGAAAATTAGTGACTGTTGATCAGATCAATAGTTTGAATTTACGAATCATCGTCAAATCGGGACTCATGCACAAAATACATGCCGATGTGAAATATTTAATGCATGTGTGTTGGTGTATATGTGTGTGTGTTGTTCATATGACACATGCCAAGTGCCAAGTGGCAGCATTTATAAACACACGGCGATTTATCCATATGAGCCAAATGATCATCATGAATTCGAAGGAATAATCCAGCTCCACTTTTGACAATTTATTTTTCGTCTACTTAAATTGGGTCTAGTTTTTTTTTTATTTATTCTTAATTTTTGGCAATTATTATATTTGATCTCGTTGTTAATTGAACTCAGTATTTATCAGCAAAGTTTTTCATTTTAATCACATCAACATCAAATAATCGAGAAATTGGTGAAATGTTTTTTTTGTCACAAATTTTTCTAAACTTCTTCCATATTTTATCTTCACATTGATGAAATAAGCATTTCTAGTGCCTTGGTTTTCATTCAGTTTTATGATCAACCATCGATTCAGAAAAAAAATCAATCAATTTACGTCATATTGAGGTTAGTTAATTTCCATTGTACTTTTAATTGTTTTATAGATTTAGTCAAAATATGATTTCATTATATTGTTGACGATATTCATTTATATCGTTTATCATTTTGTCAATTTTTTTTGACGTTATTTTGATAAAATGAATATGAAATCATAATGCGTTTTGTAGCGTTGATTCTCAATGTGATTGGCATTTTAAAATTTTAGCTGCAATGAATGATTTCACAAAATTAAATTTTCATTTTACTCGAATCGACATTGACAATGATGATGTTGGTTGGTCAGCTTGTTGATTGGCAGAAAAAACCCCCAAGTTCAATTATGATGTCCCATTGGACATCTTATTTTCTAGTGTTTAACCTATCTGTTTTGGCTATTTGGGATTTGTATTTTCCTCTTTCATCATCAATTATTTGATGATTATAACACTAGTCATTTCTCTTTCATTCATTCATTCACTCTCTCATTATCTTTCTCTCTTGATATCTATCCATCCACATCCATCTCTCATTTTTTCGAATTAAAAACTTTTATTATATCCCTTCAACAAGTGGTTTTTTGTATTATTTCGTTAGGACCATTATCGTGTAGTCCATGTCTTTACTTCTTCGCTTATATGTACTCAAGTTCATGTATATTTGATTGTATATGTGTGTGTATGTATTTCCTGTGTAATTTGTCGTCGTCGTCGTCGTCGTTTTCATTTTCGTCATCCATTGCTGTATGACGCTTGACGCTGCTACTGCTGACGGCAACGATAAAATTTTTTTTTCTTTAAAATATATATTTTCTCTCGACTGATCTGAACAGGCAAGAAAAAAAATTAGCAGGCAAAAATATCGTAAAACATTGTCTATTTGACCATCGAAATCACGTTCATTGCATTATGTTTTGTGAACATCGATCATAACCAACCATACAAGTCGATCAATAAAGAAAAAAAATGTTTTGGTATTAATTTGTCTGATGATTTGATCAACATCGATTGTATGAATCTTGTGTTCAAATATATTTGTTTGTGAATGAGTGTTAAAACAATCACAAAGTGTCAAAAAAAAAATTGAAAAAACAGCAATTTTTTTTTGCTTTTTCAGTTTTAAAATTGGAGAAAAATTATTTTAAAAAAACCTACAACCTTGATGATTAGATTGTTTAGATTGATTGTTTCGGCATTTCGTTCAAATCATAATCACGGCGATTATCGATTGCCACCATCATTATCTGACGACGACGACAACGACGATTCATTTGACCATTCGGTCGGTGAATCATCATCTCTATTACAATATAATATTAATTCATGTTCAAATATTATTGTTGATGTTGATGATATAAAAAAAACGATACCGATATATGCGGCTGTCGACAGCGATAACAAAATCGAAAATTCAATAATAAATTCAAATTTTAGTCAAATAACTAACGATAATTTTGATAAAAAAATGTCATCCAATGATCATCATCATCATAATAATAATCACAATAATCACCAAAATTCAGATTCATCAAACAGGTAAAATGAATGAAAAAAAACCATTTAGAATTACAACCGCTTGGTTTTTTAGATTTTTTCTTTTGAATATCAAGAAAAAATTCATCAATTTTTTTTAAATTTGTTACAAGTTTATTTTTTTTTTATAAAAAAAGCTTAACCTTGTGATTGTAAATCGATCGGTTTTATTTTTATTTTTTTTTTCGCTATCATGTTTGACAAGTTTTCATTAATTCAAATTCATTATGGACATCTTCGAATGAATGAGTTAAAATATCGTTGTATACTCAATGTGAAATTTTCTATGCAATCGGTTTCTAAATTGATTCCAACTGTTAAAATGGTAAATTTATTTTTTCAACATTCTCATATATATTTAATCATTTGGTTTACGATTTTTTTTCCCACATTTCAATGCCCAATTCTATCAATGAGATAGAGAAAAAGATGAAATTTAATTATCTTTCGATTTGTTTTTGATCGAAGAAAAAAAGTTTTATCCTTGTGAAACAAACAAATGTACATGATTTTTTTTCCCATTGATTCAAGTTCAATGCTATGTTATCGATATATTTTTGTTTATGGGACAGGAAATTTTCCAATATTTATACATCATTGAATTTATCTACCTAAAAAAATGTTTGTTTTTCTTTTTTTTCTTTTTTTTTGTTTTGTTTAAAAGATGAGAAACCTGTTTTCAACTCTTGATATGTTAATGAATGGATAGCATAAATTTTTCATTATTTTTTACTTTTACTTTTTATATTATACTTTTATAATTATAAATATTGATCAGATCAGATTGTTCATTTGAAGAATTGTTTCAATTAATATGAGAATTTCTAACCCCTTTGTCATTTTCATTTTGACTACCTACCAGTATTCAATTAATTCGTTTTAAAAATTGCTTATTATTATTAGATAATCATATCAAATTGAATAATATTTATATTATCATGAATCACGTCAGTGTTGGCTGATGATCATCATTTTGTTGATAATATAACATTCGATATTTTTTTCTCTTCATATATATATAAGATTTAAATGACAAAAAAAAATTGTCGCACGATTCAATTGAAAAATCACGCGTTCGTTTGCATGATGATTTGATAAATAATAATAAGATTATAAATAGAAAAAAATATATTTACCTCATGACAAACGTTGCTTCACTTAAAAACTGTGGATATTTTTTTTTTTTTTTCTCTTTCGCTCAACGCGTGGCTTATTAGCTCATTCTCGTGTGATTCTTCTATAAAATTGCATACATTAATATTGTTTCAAAATCATGGATTTAATTTTCCAATATTGTTGTCATTCAGACTTGTTCAAGTTTCATCGACAATCATACACAAACTATTCGTTCTCTCTCTCTCTCTTCTCTGTCTCAAGGCATTATAATACCGGTCTAGATTTTTTTTTTTTTTTATTGTATTTACATTCATAGCTATCACTTATTTACTTACGTGACATTTTTCTTCATTCATCTCCATTTTCTTTTAAGACAAAATTTTTCCCTATTCCCATGTGTGTTCATTGGCCTGTATATAATTGACCACGAATCCTTGAATGAGTGTTAGCGGAAAAAACGGTAAGATTTCTCGATATCTGGTATAGATTTATACGTGTTTACAACATATCAGGATTTTATCCATAAACTGTCTTGATCAATATTGATGGTCAATCATTAATATATTTTTATTTGAAATTCAAGAAATATTGTAATGTTTCAATTATAATTCTTTGTCATTTTTCTTGTAATATATCCAACCTTGTAGTTTTTTTTCTTATTGTCAAAATTAAAAAACTCGTGATATTTTTTTAAAAAAAATTTAAGATGAATCGTAGTATTCAAACCATGTGTGTTATTATGTACATATTCCGTTTTGATGATGTAATATTAGATAATTCATTTTCAATGCGTTAATCGATATTGTATTTTTACTATGCATAAAGAGCAACGCAAAAAAAAAATCTTGTTGCCCCTATATATATATATTGCTACTTCTTAATGGTTAGTTAGTTGATTAGTTGATTTGTCTCTTTTTCATTTTTTTTTTCTTCAGTGCCCAGAAAAGATGAATGTAATCCTCCTGTACGCTTGGCTCCTGTTTTCTTTTTTTGTGCAAAAGAAAGAAAAAATATCTATCTTTATCTTAGTGTTAGATTGCTTCTTCTTTCTATGATCATGATGATGATTATTATTATTATATGAACCACCAGTTTCATCTTTAGGTACGTTGGTTATATTGATTTCTTCGTTGTGAAAAAAAACAAGTCCATCTAAACTTAAATGAAAATAAATAAAATGATGACGATCGCTCAAGTGTTTCTATTTGATTTTTATATTTCTTTTATAATTGATTTCTCATTCTACGAATTTTTTCACTGTTTCTATTGTCATCATTGATTGATATTCTAAGTGATATCTTCAAAATTTATTCAATATTCTGTTATGATTTTCGATTCAAACATATGATTTGTTGTTTAAATGAAATAAAAATCGTGTTCATCATTGAATTTTGAAGGGTGAAATTTTTCTTTATCATTTTCAATTGTTGATTTTATGAAAAGATTATAGATGTGGTTATGAATATGTAGTGTGTAGTGCGTGATGCGTACATGTAGGTGCTATTTTTTTCCTCATTCATCAAGTTTACGATATATGATTTTTTTGTGTCAATAAATAGTTTATATTCATTCATTTTTGAATTTTTTTTTGCATCATGTATTGATCGATTTTGTTCATTGTCTTTTTTTTCTATTCAAATTCATATATATTTTAAAAAACAGTTTACCAGTTTTATTTATCGACTTTTTTCTCTCATTTTTTTCAAATAATTAATTGTTGATTTTTTTATTTGTGAAAAATTTTTGTCACCTTAGTGAATCTCAACTAAATCAGCAACATCTAAACGACAACGACACCATTTTGGATAGCACCACTTTTAAAGAGAATAATCAGAAAAACTATACGAAACCAATATTTACGATCGATCAGGCACCCGATGATAGTGATTCGTCATCTTCCGATGAAGAAGATTTTAAAAAATCCAATCCAAACAACAAAGACGACATTTTAAATCATTTAAGGGCATCGAATATACTGCTGGATGCGCTTTGCCCCACAGGAACCAGTGATACAGGACAAAGTTGTTTGTCAACAACAATGGACACTAAACGTTTCAATAGGCAAACAAGACAATTACGACAATCAATGTCAGGCATACATCTGTCAAGTCAGGATCGTGCCGACAAGCAGGATTTTACGATCGCAACACCAGAAGAATTCATCAAACGTTTTGGTGGTACACGTGTGATCAATAAGGTATTAATTGCCAACAATGGCATTGCTGCCGTTAAATGTATGCGTTCCATACGCCGTTGGTCATATGAGATCTTTCGCAATGAACGAGCCATTCGTTTTGTTGTCATGGTAATGTACTGCATTGATACTTGTTTCGATAGAGTTTAATGTGGTTTTCATTTTTTGCGTTAATTTTAAGGTCACACCTGAGGATCTCAAAGCAAATGCTGAATACATCAAGATGGCTGATCAATATGTTCCAGTACCAGGTGGAACTAACAATAACAATTATGCTAATGTCGAATTAATAGTCGACATAGCTAAACGAATGAATGTACAAGGTGTTTGGGCTGGATGGGGACATGCATCGGAATATCCTCGATTACCTGAGTTGCTTACGAAAGCTAATATCACATTCATGGGTCCGCCTTGTAATGCTATGTGGGCACTTGGTGATAAAATAGCATCATCAATTGTAGCTCAAACTGCTCAGGTTCCAACCTTAGCATGGTCTGGTTCCGGATTAACTTGTCCCGGATGGAAAGAAGGAAAAACATTCAAATTACCGCCCGATCTTTATCAAAAAGGTTGTGTGACTGATGTGAATGAAGGGTTGATCGCAGCACAGAAAATTGGATTTCCAGTTATGATCAAAGCTTCAGAAGGTGGTGGCGGTAAAGGTATACGAAAAAGTGAATCTCCCGATGATTTTCCACAAATGTTTCGTCAAGTGCAAAATGAAGTTCCTGGAAGTCCAATATTTGTGATGAAATTGGCAACCTGTGCTCGACATTTAGAAGTGCAATTATTGGCTGATCATTATGGTAATGCCATCTCATTATTTGGTCGTGATTGTTCAATCCAACGTCGGCATCAAAAAATTATAGAAGAAGCACCCTGTATCATTGCCGATGAAAGTACATTCCAAGAGATGGAAAAAGCAGCCGTTCGTTTGGCTAAAATGGTTGGTTATGCTAGCACTGGTACTGTTGAATATCTTTACGATCCACAAAACAAAAAATTCTACTTTCTTGAACTGAATCCTCGGCTTCAGGTCGAACATCCTTGTACGGAAATGGTTGCCGATGTCAATTTACCTGCCTGTCAACTACAAATTGCTATGGGTCTTAAGCTGAATAGAATTAAAGAAATTCGTTTACTTTATGGTGAATCACCTTGGGGTGATTCTGCAATTGATTTCGACAATCATGTTCGAAATAGACCATGGGGACATGTAATCGCTGCACGAATCACATCAGAAAATCCAGATGAAGGTTTTAAACCTTCCAGTGGTACCGTTCAAGAATTGAATTTCAAGAGTTCGAAAAATGTCTGGGGCTATTTTTCCGTGGGTGCTCTCGGTGGATTGCATGAATTTGCTGATTCACAATTTGGTCACTGTTTTTCATGGGGTGAAGATCGCGAAGAAGCACGAGAGAATATGGTTTTAGCCTTGAAAGAACTTTCCATTCGTGGTGATTTTCGAACAACTGTTGAATATCTTATCACTCTATTAGAAACGGAAGATTTTCAAAGAAATAATTTCAATACTGGCTGGTTGGACAAATTGATTGCTGAACGCGTTCAATCGGGCAAACCAAAAACTTCATTAGCATTGATTTGTGGTTGCATTCACGTTGTTGATTCTAAAATGGTGTCAAATTGGCAACATTTTCAAAATTCCTTACAAAAAGGACAAATTTTACCGGCAAATACGTTGACAAACAATGAAGATGTTGAATTAATCTATGAAGGAAAAAAATACGTTGTAAAAGTCACCAAATCTGGTCCAAATTCATATTTTTTAATCATGAATGGAACTTATAAAGAAATTGAGGTGCATCGTATGTCCGATTCAGGACTGTTATTGTCTATCGATCATTCATCATATACTACTTATATGAAAGAAGAAGTGGAAAGATATCGAATTGTTATAGGTAATCAGACCTGTGTGTTTGAAAAAGAAAATGATCCTACTATTCTTCGATCACCATCCACTGGTAAATTATTGCAATTTCTAATTGAAGATGGATCGCACGTCAATGCTGGCCAAGCGTACGCTGAAATTGAAGTCATGAAAATGGTGATGACATTGACAACACAAGAATCTGGAATCCTACAACATGTCAAACGTTCAGGTGCAGTCCTCGAAGCTGGTTCTATTTTGGCTAGATTAGAGTTAGATGATCCAAGTCGTGTACACCGTGCAGAACTTTATACAAAAGGTTTCGATGTTTTGGATGAAGAATGTGAAAATGATTCAGGTGTTTCTGGTGCCTCCTCTACAGCATCAACAAATGATTCTCATGGAGCGCCTGTTGAGCCTAAATTAAATGTTACCTTTCAACAGGCCAAAACGCATTTGGGCAATGTTCTTTCTGGTTATGTATTATCAGAACCATATTTTAGTAATTTTATGACACATTATGTCGAAACATTTATGGATTGTTTACGTGACCCTCGTTTGCCGCTATTAGAACTTCAAGATATAATCGCTTCAACTTCCGGACGGATTCCACCCCAAGTGGAGAAATCGATCAGGAAATTGCTGAACAATTATTCCAGCAATATTACGGCTATTTTAGCTGCATTCCCTTCACAGCAGATTGCCTCTGTTATTGATTCGTATGCCGCTACATTGCAAAAACGTTCCGATCGTGATGTTTTCTTCTTGAATACACAAGGTATTGTGCAATTGGTACAACGATATCGGAACGGAATCCGAGGTCGAATGCGTTCCTGTGTGCAGGATTTGATTCGTAATTATATCGAAGTCGAACAACATTTCCAGCTAGGCCACTACGATAAATGTGTCTCGGGAATGCGAGAAAAATATAAGGATGAAGGCATGCAAAAAGTCGTTCAAATCATCTTTTCACATTTGGCTGTTGGTCGTAAAAATCAGCTGATCATTAAACTTATTGATCACCTTTGTGGTAGAGAACCAGGCATAACAGATGAACTAAGTTCGATATTAAATGCATTGACTTTATTGAACAAATCGGAAAATTCTAAAGTCGCTCTTCGAGCGAGACAAGTATTGATATCGGCACATCAACCACCTTATGCCTTACGTCATAATCAAATGGAATCAATATTTTTATCTGCTATCGACATCTATTCACATGAATTTGAACCGAACGTACTGAATAAATTGATCATCAGTGAAACTTCAATATTTGATGTGTTACATCAATTTTTCTATCATCCGAACAGTGTTGTTCGTCGTGCTGCACAGGAAGTTTATGTACGTCGTGCATACATTTCTTACGAAATGATATCGTTGCAACATTCAGTCATTGGTGCTGGTGGATCGAATCAATTGCCTATCGGAAGCACTACGTTAGGATCGGCTTCAGATAGCCTTTACACAGCTAAAGGATTATATGGAAGCCCGAGTTCTTTGTCCGGTGGTCCAGGGTCCATATCTGTCACTGGAAATCGTGACCAATCGATACCTTGTGCTGTGTATCATTTTTTATTGCCTCATTCCCATCCATCGACAACCGCCAATCAACTATCATCATCAGCTTCATCGTCAAATCTTCAAGCAACCGCTTCAGCATTTACCGGAGTTGATGATGTCCTTTATTTTAATCATAACAATTATCGGGTCGGTTTGATCGCCTCTTTTATTAATGTGGAACAATTGGAAGCTAATTTTTCTGAAATGCTCAACATTATTCATCGAGTTGATGATGAACTAAATGGATCGGATAGTGTTTGGTCAGTTGTTAACGGTGATGTCAATGCATCATCAGCCAATTCTTTGAATGAACAATCATTGGCTAAGCGTTCAGTCAGTTCTTCATTGTTAGAAGAACCTGAAGCAATCTACATAATGAATATTACGATAAAATGTGAAGGGCAGGATGATGCTACATTGACCAAACAATTCGAAGAATTTTGTCAAAAACGTTGTTCAGAGCTCGAAAAACATTCCATACGTCGTGTTACTTTTGTTGTATGTGATAGATATCGTTTTCCACGTTATTTTACATTTCGTTACCGTGATGGCTATACTGAGGATAAAATTTATAGACATTTAGAACCGGCATTAGCTTTTCAACTTGAAATTAATCGTCTCAGAAATTATGATTTGGAAGCTGTGCCCACAGCCAGTCAAAACAAAATGCATTTATATCTGGGAAAAGCAAAAGCCCGAGCACCTGGTCAACAGGTTACGGATTTTCGATTTTTTGTTCGAACCATAATTCGTCATTCCGATTTGATCACCAAGGAAGCTAGTTATGAATTTCTACAAAATGAAGGTATATACTCACTATTTTTTAAATTTTTAACATATTTTTTTAATAATTTAATCATAGGTGAACGCCTCTTGCTCGAAGCAATGGATGAATTGGAAGTTGCTTTTACTCATCATTTGGCACCCAAAACCGATTGCAATCACATCTTTTTGAATTTCGTACCTAAAGTAACAATGGAACCTGCCAAAGTACCATACGTATGTTTGATTTGATAATTTATTCTTTCATAGGTTTTATCATAAATCTACTATTATTGTATGTAATATTTCTAATAGATTGCTGAAAATGTTCGCAATATGGTGATGCGATACGGACCACGACTATGGAAGCTTCGTGTTTTGCAAGCCGAAATTCGAATGATTATTCGACCTTCGCCCAATTCCAAATGTACTCCAATCCGTTTATTGCTGGCCAATGAATCTGGCTATTATTTAGATATGCATCTTTATAAAGAAGTTTTGGACACAATGTCTGGAACGATGAAATTTGAAGCATGGCCAGGAACTGGAAAACCTGGCCATTTACACGATCTTCCTATTTCGACACCATATATGACAAAAGATTATCTTCAATTGAAACGATTTCAAGCTCAATCAAATGGAACTACTTATATCTATGATTTTCCAGATATGTTTCAGGCAGCTTTGATCAAAATCTGGGAAGAATATCTTGAAATGCATCCAGAAATGCAAATGCCAGCTCAAGTAATGCAATGCATGGAACTAGTCATCGAATCGGCCAATCCAACACGATTAGTCGAAATGAGACGAGTACCGGGCGAGAATGAATGTGGAATGGTTGCTTGGAGAATCACTATATTCACCCCCGAATATCCTGATGGTCGTGATATTATTGTTATTGGTAATGATATAACTCATTTATTGGGTGTTTTCGGACCAAAAGAAGATATGCTCTTTCAGAAAGCTTCGGAAAGAGCGCGATCATTAAAGATTCCCCGTATTTATCTATCGGCCAATTCGGGTGCTCGAATCGGTCTGGCTGAAGAAGTTAAAAATGCTTTTCAAGTAAAATTTTTCGTAAATTTATTTTGCCAATTTACTAACAGATTAATGTTCATTATTAATAGATTGCGTGGTTTGATGACAAAGATCCAGACAAAGGCTTTAACTATATTTATTTGACGCCTGAACAATATAAAAGATTGGCCGATTCTGTAAAGTGTGAGCTAATTGTTGAAAATGGTGAAACACGATACAAAATTACCGATATTATTGGCGCTCAAGACGGCTTAAGCGTGGAAAATCTTAAATACGCTGGCATGATTGCTGGAGAATCTTCTCAAGCCTACAATGAAATTGTAACCATAACAATGGTAACCTGTCGGGCCATAGGTATTGGCTCCTATTTGGCTCGTCTTTCTCAACGAGTTATTCAAATCGAAAATTCACATATCATTTTAACTGGTGCTAGTGCTTTGAACAAATTATTGGGTCGTGAAGTATATACTTCTAATAATCAACTAGGCAAGTTGCAATTTGACATGAAAATGGACATAATTTGAATTTTTATTATCAATATATAATATATATAGGTGGCATACAAATCATGTATGCCAACGGAGTCTCTCATGTTACCGCTCAAGATGATCTGGAAGGAGTGTCAACTATTTTGCGATGGTTATCCTACATACCGGATCGTCGCTATCGACCATTACCAATTTTGGAATCAATTGATCCTATAGAACGTGAAGTTACATTCACTCCTTCACCTTCGCCTTATGATCCGAGATGGATGTTGTCTGGACGAGAAAACAATCAAGGTATATGGGAAGATGGTTTTTTTGATCGAGGAACTTGGCATGAAATTATGTCCGGTTGGGCCTTGACCGTCGTCACTGGTCGAGCCCGTCTTGGGGGTATTCCAGTTGGTGTGATTGCTGTCGAAACTCGAGCTGTTGAACTGATTATTCCAGCTGATCCCGCTAATTTGGATTCCGAAACTAAAGTCGTATCGCAAGCTGGACAAGTTTGGTTTCCGGATTCTTCCTACAAAACAGCACAAGCTATACAGGATTTCAATCGGGAAGATTTACCTTTGATCATTTTCGCAAATTGGAGAGGCTTTTCTGGTGGTATGAAAGACATGTATGATCAAGTGGTGAAATTCGGAGCTTACATTGTCGATGCTTTACATCAATATAATCAACCGATTATCGTTTATATTCCTCCATATGGCGAACTTCGTGGTGGAGCTTGGGCTGTTCTTGGTAAGTCATCAGATTCTATTTGCTAATTTTAATGGCTAATGAAAAACATTTTAAGATGCTACGATTAATCCAAAACATATGGAAATGTATGCTGATACTGATAGCCGTGGCGGTGTACTTGAACCCGAAGGTACCGTCGAAATTCGTTTCCGACAAAAAGATTTGATCAAGACCATGCTTCGTTGTGATCCCGAATGTAAACGATTGAGCAGTAAGTTATATCATTTCATTTGATAATTTTAATTCTAAATGAGTAATACGTTTTTTTTCATAGAACTGATGAACGAAACTACATCGCTTGAACAAAAAACTAGTATTGAAAATGAACTTAAGGAACGTGAGCAAATGTTGATGAGCATGTATCATCAAGTAGCTTTATCATTCGCCGATCTTCATGATACTCCTGTGCGAATGTTTGAAAAGAATTGCATCACCGAAGTAGTTCCATGGCGTACATCCAGACAATATTTTTATTGGGTATTGAAGCGACGACTTTGTGAGAATCGAGTAAAGAATGAAATTCAACGAGTTATACTGAACAAGAATGATGCTGAGGCAAGTTCTATGATTCGTCGTTGGTTTGTCGAGCACACAGGACAACATAATGTAAGTTTCTTAATTTCAAGTGATGATTAATCAATGTTAATCATGTTATAATGATGATCGTTTGGATTAATGGATGCTTATTTTCTAAAACAGCAACATCAATGGGAAGACAACAGAATTGTGGCTCAATGGCTCGAATCACAATTGAAAGCTCCATCTCAAGTTTTGGACAATATTCGTTGCATACAACGAGATGCTTTGACCAGACAAATTCAAGGGTAAAGATTATTGATAATTAATTATTGAAATCGATTATAATTCTCATTTAAACTGCAGTCTATACAAGGATTTTCCTTCTGCAACGTTTGACGCTTTAGTGCAACTGATACATTCAGGCATGACACAACAACAACGTTCGGATCTATTATCTGCCCTAGTCTCATTAGAAAGTGAAGATGAAAATATTACCAATGCAACTGCATCTCAACAAACTGTCTGCGATTCAGGGGCTACATCCGATTGTGGTGGCACTACAACTGATTCAACCCCAGGCAGTGGAAACAGTTCGGTAAAAAGTGAAATAGCTGTAATTCCCAGCAATACTAATGAAACATCATCGAACATCACTAATACTTCAACCAGTTGAGTCGTAATGTTCAGCAAAAACGCTGATAAAGGCTCTGTTAACGATGATGAACCTGAATCTAAATGGAAAAAATGTGCCTTTTGTTTTTGTTGTTTTTAAAATCTTCTTTTTCAATCTTCATCTGTTGGTCATTGATGTTATTAGATTATAATTTATTTGTCTGCAATGACTTGTATATATTATATCCAAACAGACTGGCTCATTCAATCATAATAATCGGTTTATGTTTACTCATCCAGGAGCAATTTTATAGGAATTTTAAATTTAAAAATGTAATATGGATTTAAGAATTAAAAAATCAGTGTGCCTTTTGGAAATAAATTGGTCTTTTTCTATTTTCCTTAGTTCTTTTTTTTGAAACTAATTTTGATACGATTTGAATATGAATCGTTGTATCACACAATTTGATCAAACGCTCATCATGATGCATTCTTATCAAATTTTAAATAAATTTTGAATTCGCACCATCTGTTGAAAGGATAAAGTAAGTTTAGAATTTTTAAATTTTTCTTCTGACTTACAAATGATAATAACATTAATGATGTCGCGTTAGAATGATCGACATGTGATTAGAAAATGAATTCAAATGAAAAAATTTCTTTGAAAAGATAATGATCAATTCTAAAAGTAGAAAAAAACAAACTATTTTTAGTTTCGCGTAAATCTGTAATTGTTTACATACACCAATTTTGATCAAATAATTTTAATTCAGCCAACAGGCAAATCGATCAGATTCAGGGTTGTAATATAAGCGAATTTTTTATTTGGGCTGAACAATAATAAATGGAATTAATTATATTCATATCGTGGAAAATCTGATGGCCATCAACATTTAAGAAGTAGCACCACCCGATCATCTACGATTGATTTTTTTTCATCGTACATTTATTTGAACTATATTTAACTGAGAAAAGCTATTTTCAAAGAAAATGGACCGCAAGTTTGTAATGGAAACAACCAATTATGATATTGATAAACTAGATTCCAATGCCAACAAATTATCCAAAATGGTCGATCCAAATCTGAATTGGAAAGATTGTCTATTGTCTTTAACTGACGTGGTCTCTCAATATCTATTCACATTGTGTTCTCTTTTTTTGACACATGATTTTAAGTGCAAAAACGAAATAAACACGTCATGATTGTAGTTTTTATAATAGGAAACGTTCGTAAAAAACAAGAAATTAAAATTGATCAAATTGTTTTCATTGGGAAATACGCCTGCATTGTCCTAGTCATCATCATCATTATACCAACCGTTAGCAACGTTTGATTTCTTTCTGTACATAATAATACAATAGAATTCAATTCAGTGACATTTTTGTTATGGCATTAAAAGTCCATTCGTCCAGTATAAAAGCCAAACGCAAATCATGAAATAAATCCATCAAGCAAACAATTATACAACCGCAATGTTGTGAATTGAATTATTATATTTATTGAATTATTGTTTATGTATTTAAGCACAATTCTTGTTGAGTCATTGCTCAGATTTTCTTTTATTTTATTCTTATTAAAATTTGTTTATTTTGTGTTTATCCTTTTATTTGTAATACGCAATTCAGCTAAAAATTTATAAAAATTCATAACGAAACGAAAATGAAATTCATCATCGCTTTCGCTGCTTTTTTGGCCGTTGCCACCGCCATTCCAACGCATATGGCCCCAGCAATGCATATGGCTCCAGCAATGCATATGGCTCCAGCAATGCACATGATGGCTCCAGCCGCTGTCACTTACCAATCAACCCATCGAAGTAAATTTAAGCTAGATTTTTGTCTTATAATTTTACCTTATCAATTTTATAATATTCTAGGTTTGATTCCAGTTAAAACTATGGTTCATTCGACGATGCATGCTGATGCACGCTGCTCCAATGATGCACGCTGCTCCAATGATGCATGGTGCTTCAATGATGCATGGTGCTCCAATGATGCATGGAGCCATGTATGGCCATGGAATGATGCATTAAATTGAACCAATTTAAATGCTTATATTAATATCACATCATCCATCATTATGTTTTCTATATTTTCTGAATCGATTCGATGAGGATAATATAAATAACTATTAAATAATATTCATCCACAAATGAACAATGAGTTTTGTTATTTATTTTTATTTGCGCGCCAAAAAAAGGAACGATTTGATTTGATCAAAAGAATCGCTTGATAACGATTGAATCGGATCAGATGATTTTGATCATTTTAATCGGATTGATGGACAACTGTAAAAGCGTTTATGATCAATCATAAAAGTTTCGTTATTTGCATATGAAATTCAATTATCTTTCTCGTATTAATTCAACTTGTTATCTTTTGATTGTCAATGTCAAATTATTCGATGCCAAATCTCTATAACATATCAGAAATAGTCATGTGAATAAGAATTTAATTTGTAATATAAGGTTCTTTCGGTCGTCTTTTGCAATGAAACTATATCTATGCATGTACATTGCCATCGAAACATTATTTTGATCAGTAAACAATTACTACTTTTGAATGGAAATTTCATAGACAATTGTACAACAACCATGAAGATGATCATAACGTTGATGTTGAAAGAGAAATCAAAAATCTTCATGAACATAGAACATTTTTCTTGAATTGGATAACATGATTGATACAGCAAAACGATGCGAACAATTAATACAAGATGTAGATGCAATATCCTTTTCAGTTTTGACAGAAGTTGAAATTGTCCCATAGTTGCAGTATAAAAGCTCGACGCGAACGTCATACGCTCATTAATTATTTACGAATCGTAAAAATTCATAACCGAATATTGTCCAGAATGAAATTCGTCGTAAGTCATTTTAAATCTATAATTTGAACATAGTTTTTTCAATTATTCCTTATCTTTATAGATTGTTTTCGCTGCAATTTTGGCTGTTGCTTCGGCTATCCCGGCTCCAGCTATTTTAGCTCCAGCTGCTTACACTTATCAAACTCAAAAATCTGCACTCATTCCGGTTGGGACACATGTTTCCACTTTGGTTTCTCATGGAGCTCCATTGATTGCTTCAGCTCCGATTCCTATTTCTCATGGTTACGCTGCTCCAATGGCTGCCGCTTCATTGAGCTATGGCTACGGTAAAATTCTTGGTGCTGCACCGTTGGCTCATGGTGCCCCATTGGCTTATGGCTATGGTCATTGAATAATATGAAGAAAAACATTCTATATTAATCTCCAAGTCATTATTCTGTATAAATAAAAAATTAAAATAGATCAATAAATTCTTTGATTTGATGAATAAATGCCATATATTGTTATGTTTACGTATCAATCAATCAAGGAAAATTAATGTTGACAAGACGGGCTAAAAATACTTTTCAAATAAAAATATATGTTTGACTTTGAAACATCACGACACAATAATAGGATTGTTAACGAAATTATGAAATTTTGACACACCATTTATTGACATGATATAGTAGATTGCTGGTGGGCATTGAGGGCGAGTTTGAAATACACAAAGCTGGATTAAAAAAAAATAGGAAATTTTTAATTCATTTTGTCCAATCATTTTATTATATTATATTAATTTTTGCAAAACAAAGCCAAACAAAAAAAACTCACCCATCTTTGTCCGTTATGATCATTTTCATCAAATTCATAATGGTAATTTAACGTAAATTTTTTTTTTAGCAACAAAAGTTTTTTTTGGATCTTGATGTATTTGAATTGTTGTTCACATGCAAGTAATCAACATAAATTTCACTTGTTTATTCAATCTCATCATCATCATAGTAATTCATGCACATGATGCATACTATATGAATTCTAATAATTTCAATGTCAGGTAATCCTTGGCCAGATTTCCAATATACAATATAATAATCGGATGATAAGATGATCATCACCACTGTATATAATCAATCAAATGAGGCATCACTTTGAATCTAACTATATTTCATTCAATAACGGAATAAATTATACTATTGATCATATGCACATTGATTGATTCGCAAATGAAAATAGACCTAGACCCGAAAGTATGAAAATTTCATCTTGATGAATATTGTAATAATGCATAAAATGAGCATTGTATTATTAGTTGAAGTTTCTACACTTTTACCTTTATCAAATCATTTCATTTTACCTCTGATGATTTATGATCGTTCAATGACGATTTGTTGTCATAAAAAAATTTTCCATGTTCAATCCTTAGCTTTAGATTGTAAATGTATGTATTAAACTAATATGAAATTATGAGGTAAGTTCATTTTTTATTATTATTGCTTCATTATATTGAAGGATCATTTTTTTTTTTGCTATAGAAATTTTGAACATGATGGCAAATATGAGTACGTTTACTATTTCGATTGAAATACAATTATAAATGTTAATACAAGAATGAAAATTCAAAAAAATGGATAAGAAATACTGAGTTGAAAGCTTCCGATTTCAATGTTGATCAACTTTTTTTTGTTTTTCGGTTTCGGTGATTCGCTTTTTATATCCTGAGTTTGGACAGGAGTAGGGTCGACGACCGATGTTGGTCGTCTTGTCATTGGTGTTGAACTTGTCGATTCTTGAACTTCTAAAGCCGGAACTTCATTGCAATTAGTCTGACGAACAGGTGTAAATTTAATATCATGTTGTGATTCAAAATGTTGCATCAATGATCGCAATTCTTGTTGAGATTTTTCATCTAATTCAGATCGACGTGACATTAGCTGTGCTGAACGACGATGACCGAATATAGTCTTCTGACAACGCCAAACCAAAGCGAATCGATCATAATCAGTGGCTATTACTTCATAGTGTTTAATATTGAGCATTCCAGTTTCAGCATAAGGCAAGCTGATTTCCATTTCCGATTGACTTGTATTCGATAGGAATGATATTTTTCCTGTGTAAATAAACGATTAAATCAAAAAAAAAAAAAAATTAATAAAATCTCGATTAATTTGGAAACAAGTGTTCATACCTGTTTCACAGATAATTTGACGTCCACCAAAAGGTAGATAGCTTCGCTTGACATGATAAACTTTTTGCATGATTTTCATGGCGTCCTCAGTTTCATATTTTGGTGGACCAGTTGGTTCAAGTTCATTACGAGCCAAATCAATCAAATCACCATCATGTTTGGGCATCAATACTACTGTTTCTTGGCTAGCATTGAATTCTTCACGAAGACATACTTGTCCATTATCATTGGCACTTTCTAACACAAACCATTCGCCAAGAAATCGATCAATATTGAAATTGGCCATAGGTTCGATTCGTGGACAATCACCACCATGAAATCGATGTAACGATGCAGCATGACAGCAGCCAACCAACGGTAATAAAATGGTCACAATAAATCTGAACATTTTTCGGGATATGAATTTTTGCTTTTTAATTTCAAATGAAACAAACGAATCCGAAATTCAAACTGACAGTTTTCGAGCGGTCGATCAGCTTATTTTATATGATTCGATTTACAACCTCTACAACTATTGCAATAAAATTAGTGTATTGTGACTTTTGACCCATCTTATTTACAACACACACACACACTGGTCAAACCGCTAATGGCGATCAAGATAATCGCGCAAACAAGCTACAGCAAGTATAAACAACTATGTTCGATTTTTATTCCTTTTGTTCATGTGTTCTTATCAGCATAAAAAAACTCGATTCCTAGCGGTGGTTAGAATTTTAACCATTTCTTGCACTTTGCAAAATTAAAAGATTAAAAATCAAGTTTAACCATAATAAACAATAAATGTTTTATGACCATGAAAAACCAAAGAGAACTTGACGAACAAAAAACAGGAAGAAAATTTTCAAAATATACTTTGAATATATGAAAAAGATATATAAAGTGCTTATATGATAAGTGATAATGTAAAATTTAGTTAGTAAATCATCATGATGAATATGCCAAGTTCAATAACAATTTTTTTTCTTTTCATAAAGTGAAATTTATTCTAAATTGCATAGGATTTATTTGATTTTATCACCTACTGGAGATTGAATATTGTAACGAACATAAAATATCATGTCAAATATTAGTGTCAATACAACAATAGCTGCAAGTAGTGTAAAGGTTCCATGCCAACCAATCGAAAAGGCAATCAAAGTGAAGGGATATCCAGAACAGAATGCTCCAACTGAAAACAAAAAATAAAATTGATTTTTATGGCCCTTATCAATAGATTGTTTGAATTTCTTACGTTTAGTGGCCAGATTGCATAACGATGTAACAAGACCTTGATATTTCTTGTTCCCAATTTCGGTGGATAATACACTCAATGTGATAACATTACCGGCCGATGATATGCCAGCTATGATTGCGATGAAGATAAAAATCGTTATGTTTTTAGTTGTTAATAATAGATTACAGTATAAGATCAGTGCAAATGCTGAGATCAAATGTAAACACATGGCTATGGGTAAACGTACGGCCAATGCTGATGATGGCCGTTCATTACTGTTCGTTATTTTTTTTCGCATGAAATAATCATTTATTCTACCGGCAAGAAGTTTCCCGGAAATACTACTTGATTCGAAAACGGTGATGAATACACTTGATAAATATTGATTATTATTAATTTTAAATTGATGGAAGGATGCGAAAAATAACTGTGACCAATTATTTATTGATAAACGATACAAGGACACTACAAAACTAAAAGAAATAAAAAAAATTAATTAAATTAGATTCAATTGCTCAGTTAATTACCGATTAATAATAACAATCCATAATGGAGGCAAATAGATAAATAAATCCAATAAACGCAATTTAATCTCTGTTTTTCGATTCTCTATATAACGATTTGTTTTGAAACTCGGTTCCTTATTAAAGTAGAATAAAATGACTAATCCAGTTGCAAATGTTAATGTTCCGGAAATATATAGAGCCATTTTCCAACCTAAATTATTGCTTAGAAAGGTCGACCATGTTGGAGTGATGACACCGGCAATATTAACCGCAGTCATTACAAACGACCAATTAGATGCAAATGTATCTTTGGTACTAAATTGTTTTGTCAACCATAAGGCAGTGGGTAATTCCAGACCATGACCAACACCATTAAGTAACCAGACGGCAGCAAAGTGATAGACATTCTTACCGGATGGAAAGAATAATGTACTTATACCAGTAATTAAAAGACCAAAAGAAAATAAAAATGTTGATGGCAGATGATCGGTCAATATTCCACCTAGAAATGTTACCACCGAAATGGACACTTGTTGAGCACTGGTTATGAAACCTCAAAAATAATCTAGAAATTAGAATCATGGAAAGAATGAATTAGAGACCAAAAAAAAACATACCAACATCTTGTTCGGAAAGGTCAAATTCACCGATTAATTCGGTGAATAATGGTATCAAAGATTTTTTATTATAAACATAAATAATATAGCCAAAAAATATGACAAATATTTTTCTACGATTTTCTAAGTGTTGGCAATTGACACTATCACTATTTTTATTGTGAATCGGGACCATTTTTAAAAGAGAACAAATTATTATAACAAAAAACTAAATAAATATTGATTTTAATTTAAATACCTAAAACCAACGATATTTAGCCAAAATAATTTTATTTTTCAATCTAAAATTTGATTTGATTTGTTTTGTTTTGGTTTGTTTTGTTTCTAATCAAGGGATCTTTTACATCGAATGAACATGAGGGAATAATTGCAATGAATGATATATCGATATATTAATAATAATCGATCGTATCATTAGATATATCTATTAACCATATCGAATATCACAACTTATGATTAATATGATAATATCAACTTGAACTTTGGAAGTAGCTCACAACATAGCACACACACACACATAAAAAACTATCAAGTTTATTATTGAAATCAAGAAAAAGGAACCTAATTTTCAATAATGGAATTATCATACAATCAGACGTAATGATCGAAGCAATGAAATTCAGTGAACGAAAAAAATCAAATCGAATCAAGATTAATTTGGTTTTTTTGATATTTATTTATTTATTATTTATACAAAATTGTATATTTTATTACAATAGAGATGTTGACAATATAATAATGAATCCGAACTTGGTTAACTCTGATGACTAACCCAACCATCTAGTTTTTTTTTGAAATTCCATTTAGGTCATTTTGATATCTGATGCGAAGATTAGATTTGGTGATTTATTTGTGTGCTGGAAGGATGGCAGAGCTGACTACAGTTTGTTTATGGATCATTGGTTGAACAACTTTGGCAACGTATGGAGCTGGAACTGGTCGGTCAACTGGAACGGTGTATGGTTTATCGACTGATGTGTTATGATGTTGATGATAATTTAAATTAAATTCCACTTTTTATTACAAGTTATTTATTGACTTACCTGGAACAGCGTATGGTTTGTCGACTGGAATTGGTTGAGCGACTGGGTATGGTTGTGGAACACCAACTAATCGAACTTCTTGCATTGGCATTGGTGAGAAATGACCACCGTGACCAAAACCGTGACCACCAAGACCAGCTGGAGCTGGACCGTGCGTTGCATAACCATAAGCAGCTGGATAGGCAGCTGGATAAGCAGCGATAGCTGGACCAGCGATGGCCATCGAAGCAGTATGACCCAAAGCCAATGGAGCAGCAGCGTAACCCAAATGACCAATGGCTGGAATGGCAGCAGCCACGGAGATAAGGCTCAAAGCAACCTATATATTTGAAATGGATGAGTTGAAGAAATAGATGGTTTTAAATATATTCATAATTAATTTCTGTTCAGATTTCACATTATGATCCAATTAACAATCACACAAAATAAGCAAATATACTTACAATGAAGAATTTCATTTTTGATTTATTTGGGAATATTCGTCTGTTTGTTGAATATGGCTGAAACAGTTCGATTGAATTAACTGATGAACATCAATGTGGCCTTTTTATATAGGTATGGTGGTATGAAAAAAAAACTTGCGTAAAGATTTATATGTTAGGGAGTGACTAATGTAGTTGTCATAGAATAGAATTGATCAATTGATCCTGGAACAATGAACAAAGCAAGAGGGAGAGGAAATTTTGACTTGAAAAGAATGAATGGAGGCGAAGATTTATAAATTGATAGTCATGAATGTCTATGTGTTTGTGCATTTATCCATATGTATAAATTTGTCGGAGAAAAATGAATGAATTTGGGAAAAGAGAAAATTATAATCTGTTACTTGTTGATGGCAAGCTATATCAATTGACAAAAAAAAACAATGGTAGATACTTACATATAGAGCCATTTTACAATTCATACATAGACTTGATTGTTCATTTTCATTATGAATGACGGATTTTGTTGTACGAATAAAGAGAATAAAAACGACAAAAAAAGACAAAACATACCTTTGTATGAATATAAATAACTCAAACTAGGGATCCAATTTTCTAGAACAGTAATAATGAAGGAAAATAATTTGACTAACGATCAAAGCAATATATAATTTCTTATCATCACTTAGGTGTCTAAATATATTTGCATTATAACAATAATTATAGTTATACTATAAACTAAATATATGATTTTCATCACCAATTTAACTTGTATATATTTATGTGTAAACATTAATCACATTGTTTTATGGACAATTTGACGCTTTTACATCTTATTGTGTAAGTGAAATTATTTCTGAATCATTGTACAAAAAAAACTTTAATAATAATCAACATCGAGTGTACCCGTCTTTGACGATAATGTCCATGATAAAAAATTGTGTGGACAAGAAAAATGTTTTAAAATGACCACTAATGACGAAGATGGCTTGAATATGACAATGCAATTTCATTGCAGGAACAAAGAATTCAAACAAAATTTTTGACTTATGAATTGAATTTTTTTGTTGTTGTAGTTATCTTTTGAAAGTTGAGATTAATTTAGGATAATTGTGATGATCATTGATGAAATGAACATTGCTGGCCTTGAATACGAAAATATGTTCACGTTTTTTGTATGTTTATTCAGAAATGTTCATTTTATTCATGTTAATGTGAATGTGATGTTTCATACAATCGAATAGGATTATTTTCTCATCATAATCAACGCATTCAGAGAGATTCATACATTCTATCAAATGAAACGATGAATTAAGCAATCAAAGATTAGTGGATCGACAAAAAGTTCGATTTTTAGACACAAATACATACATATAGTGAAATTGACATTTTATTCGATATTTCATAACACTAATAACAATTATAGCAACAACAACGAAAAAAAGTTTAATCCGGTTTCTGAAACAAAGTTTATCCACAAACAAAAAGGTGGATCAATTTTTTTTTTGCTAAATAAATTACTAATTATGGATTTAACAATGGCAAAGGTGTGTACAAAACAAAAACGCCTGGTGGATATTCATATAATTAAAATGCCTACTTGATGCTAAGTGAGGGGAAAAAATAACCGACCAATATTGCTAAAAACAGCAACGAAGACGACAATGGCAATTCTACTATTTGTAGATGAATGTGTATAATTATTATTAGAAAAAGAGACCTTGAATATGATTCAGTAGCGTAATTATTCGGTTTTCATTTTTTTGATGATGATGATGATTGGAGAGAAAAAAGTTTCGGTCATTTTGAAACTATTTTTCTCAATAATTTCATTGTCGGAAACTGCACGATTGCAATTTCTTTCTAAAAACAGGTGGTGATCAGAATCATTATGAAAGACAGACAAATGAATAGAAAGTATATTTCGTGTGCAAGATGTTGATTATTCAGTTAGCTGAGTCAATTGGCTGATTAGTCAAGAAACGGAAGGACGAATTGATGAAATTATTATTATTTTGATTATTATAAGAAAGAGAATGATGGAAAAGTCGGCCATCCTCAATTTTTTTTTCAATTGAAAGATGGCAATATGGCTTCTTTCAATGGCCTTGAACGTTGAAGCATCTTTCAATGACCGAACTAATTTTTTTTATATATTTAACGATTAAATTTATTCTTTTTTTTTCTATTTGCGATACTATGCTTCCTTCCGGCCTTCGTTTGCTGATGACGATAAGGAAATTACCTTTTTGTTGTTTAACTTAATTTTTTTTAATATTTATCGAAATTTTGAAACAACAAGAGGTCATCATCATTTTTTTTAGAAAGAAACTAGCAGAAAATTGTAATTTGATTGATGAGGTTTTCTAAGTTTGTTTACTATTGACAATATAATGATCGAATCAAACAACATTTGAATGTAAAAAGTCCAGGAATAGCAATCATCAACAGAAACATTAAATTAGATTGACCAATACGAATCAAACACGTGCATGCATAGACAATGGATTTTTTTTTTTTTTTTTTGATTTGACGAATTTCGTAACTATCATGGATGTCAATCGTATCGACTAGAGTTGTGGAACAGTCTTCTTGAAATAATCGATTGAATGGATTCAATGTCTATTGGGCTCAGGATTAATTTGTCGATGAAATATAATCAATATAAAAGTGTGCATTATATCTATGGCCATTATTATGCATATTTAAAAAATGATCATTTTCAAATTGACAGTAGCTATACTGTGTTATAACAATTTTCGCAAATATTCGGACAATATAAAATTTTTCTTTCATTAATGAAATCTATCTATCTATTAGGTTTTCTTGTCAAGTGTAAAATAATCCAATAATGGTGCGAAAGCAAAAAAAAAAATTATCAAGAAAGAAGAGTGAAGAAATTATATTTAGATAAATTTCAATTTTGTTTTACTGACCTAGTAAATCGATTTTGAATGGCATAAAATAAAAATACGCCAACACAAACTTTTATACGCTAAATTTCTTTTTGCTTGACAAGTGAATCGTAATTTTTTTTTCTTTTGATTGTTTTTCATTCAATAGATTTATTTTGATAAATTAAAAAGCAGATGGATCACATTAACTAGTATCAATCATATGAAAATTTTAATACTTATTATAACAGCTTTTATGAAATGATGATTTGTTCTTAATGAACATATAGTAAAAGTAAAAGAATTAAATGAAAAAATTATTCAGGATTATTTTGTACATTGAGAATTTCATTAAAACAGGCCAATATTTTGTCAACCTTTTCAGTAATAGTTTCATTAACGGTTTCATTGATTTCATGATCCATTTTTGGCTCAACGTCATAATTACCATATGGGTTATAAGAATAACCAAGATTAATTTCATTTTTATTATCGATATGAGTTCGAATCACATCAAGATCTTCACTCGAAATGACAAGGCAGCCACACTTATTCAGCGATTGGGCATCGATGAAACCATATAAACATTTATTATCGAGTTCTTGTTGTAAACTGTTTATTTCAGTAGCATATTTATTGAATATTTCGATCACTATATTATGACAAGTTTGATGTACAATATTCATTTTTGAAATCCAGCCATTCTCGAAACCATGAGTTATTCGAAGCTATGCAAAACAGAATTAATGGCAAAAATATCAATTATGATTTTGTTTTACTTACAGAATCTATTAGCTCGGTGATATAATGATGTAGATAAAGGAACCGAAAAAAAATTTCAACTTTATCGCGACATGATTTGATAATTACAAAATTATGGAAAATGATCTTCAACAATAGTATGGTTATTTTCACATGATAATGGCCAAAAATTTTCCGCAATGATTGTACTGTTTCACCGAGAATCTCTTGTATTCGAGTAGAATGATGCAAATCTAACCGATTTCCATACTCATTGAGTACTTGGTTTAATTGTATAATACTATCATCATAATCGATCATCACTCCCTTTTTGTCCTCAACATTTTCTTCAGCAGAAATAGGTAAATCTTCCATATCTTTACGGGCAAAAATCATTTCATAATCATAGTTAAGCTCGTTATCATCGGTGGCAAGATCGCCTTGTTTTTCTTGATTGATAAAATCTTCATCTTCATCATCAATAAAGGGATTAGCCCATTGATTGACATTGGAACCAAGTTGTTTTTTAGTTTGCAAACAACGTTGACATTCACAGTTTAACAAACGCAGCCTAGTCCAAATGTACAAAGTGGATGAATTTTCTTTTGTTGATATTTCGTGAATGAAATCCACTTTGATTTGATTTAAAGACAAGTTAAATTCGACTTTTGAAACGTCTTCCTTTTTTTCAGGTAAATAATATGCTTTAAGTTGATTTCCATCGAAAATCAAAGATGTATTTGGCAAACATGAATGTTTCATCTTAATCAATGGCACATAAATAGCACGAGCAAAAGGAATAGCTAGAATTTCATCAGTTATTGCAATCGAATATCGTATGGCGATAAAGAAAATTTTTTCTATGTCCAATAAATCTGGTTTGCCAAGATATTCATTCAGACTTGTATCAGTTAATAGTAATTTTAGGATCAAATCTAACCAAGTGCTGTAATAGAAATCAAATTCATTATTTTGGGTTCTTGATCGTTTCAAAAGATTTTCCAGAAAAAGCAAACGATAATTTGTTTTCAATACTTGAATAGCTTCTTGTTCACATTTATCTAGCAAAGATGAATCGAAACTAAAAAAAGAATTTGCTTCATTCCTATTGATCTGATCAGTTGTATGGTTACTATAGTAAAATATATCGTCATAGTTATCATCACAATTATGATAGATGGATTTTTGATTTTCAAAGCTTTGAGTTGAACTACCAGATGAAGCCTCATCGACAATTATTCCGATAACATCGTTCAAGCAACTTTTCACATTATTTTCAATATATAATGATTTGAATAATTCTTTGTCAGATAAATCCAAGCCAATTAATTCGTCTAATTCTTGGATTTCATTCTCATCCAAATGATCAAATCGTGAAAGGTAATATGATAAATTATTCTCTGGTTTACAAAATCGCTTTGAAAATGATGTGGAATTAATTGGCACAGATAAATCTTTCCAAATGAATTGACCTTTATGGTTTCCATAATCGAAATACAATGAATTGTCATCAATATCCAGCCGTAAAGTCTTCAATAACCGAAAAAACAGCAAAGTAATATCAATCATATCATTTTGATCGAAAAAATTCTCCAAATTAAATTGATCAGGCTGACTTAACGAATCACTTGTATGGATTTTGATCGATGTCGAAAAACATTTTCTAATCTTTTCAAACAAATTAAACTGACATTCAATTTGATGTTGACATAAATCATTTTCTATACATATTCTGGAACAATAATAACCATGACTACACCGTGGACATTTTATAGGTGGGCTTTCTTCAATCCTATAAATATGATCATTTAGCATTTAAGATTAATTTTGAAAAAAAAATTTCTTACTTCTTGAAACAAAAATCACAAAAAGATTTTTTCTGATTAGTCAGTACAATCTGAGCAATAGGTAACGATTGAATAAATGGATAGCCAAATCGACAACGTAATTCCATCATGGTTCAAAAAATTGAACAGATTTTAAAATAGTTGATGATGATGAAATGTTCGAATTTAATTGATAATATGCGAATTTATACTGGAAAAAAAGAATTCCCTAAAGCGTAACGCTAGTTTTGTAAGGTTCAAAGAGTCAAATTATCCGATTTGAGTGATTTTTTTTCTTAATTTTCAATTTAAATGATGATAACATGGATAATGGTAAGAATTTAGATTCGAATCAATTTCAAAATATTCACAAATGAATATTCTTATACAATGATAGAAGATATTTGCAAACATCATTGCACTAGTTGCATGAATCAAGCCCGTGATGTTTTATTCTCTTGTGTTGAATGTGAAGATTTTTCACTTTGTTTACAGGTACGTATTTTGTATAGAGAATGTAAAAATTTTGGGAATCTATTCCATTTCTATTCTACAAAATATTTAGTGCTATGTATATGGTACGGAAATTGGTCCACATAAACGTGATCATGAAGTGAAAATGATCGATCTGGGAACGTTTCCCATATTCAAAACGAATAAACGTGACATCGATGAACCAATGGGAACAGACTATTCGGAATCAGCAATTGATAATGAAATTGAAAACATTAAAAAAGATGACCAGGAATTTGAAAAATTTTTGAATGAAGAATTAGGCCAAGAATTCACAGAAAATCATGTAATAAAAGAAACACAAACACAATTGCCTGCTCGTATGGATACCGGCCGAGAAGAATATGAATGGCGAGCGATGGATGAGAAAGCACTATTTGAAGCACTGACTCGTGTTGGTTACGGCAATTGGAAAGACGTTGCCAATTATATCAATACGACTCTTTCAACGAATATATCACCGAGCGAAGTTGAACGCCATTACAATATTCATTATATTGATGGACTAATTGGGCGTCTATGTTGGACATGGATGTTTACCGATTCTGTCGTAAGACAGTTATCACGGTTTCCATTCACCATACGAGGCCATCATGATAAACTACAACCGAACAAAGATAATTGTTCTGATCTATTCCGTGACATTCCACAAGCGGAATTAGATTCTCTTGGTTACCTACCGAAACGGGATGATTTCGAAAGAGAATTTGATAACGAAGCCGAAACATTAATATCAAACTTGACGCTTGGTGCTGAAAGTGAAGATGATATAGAAAAGAAATTTAAATTAGCTCAGATTGACATTTATCAACGAAGATTAATCAGTCGTTTTCGTAAAAAGCTAATTATTCGTGTAAATGAACTAATCAAACTGTTTTTGGAGGTTCATAAAAGTGAATTTTTCAAGGATTCACTTCAAGCCCGACGCGATTCAAATAGTAAAATATTTAAAGATTTTCAGGAAAAATATCCAATGTTTATGCCATTTGTTCGATATCTACGCAAACAAGATCTAAATTCGTTATTTCAAGATGTAGCCATTGAGCAAGTATTGAAAATACTATTGAAAAAAGTCATATTGTTTTCAATATTATCAACGAATAATCTTGATAATTTAAAAAGTGAGGATAAAATCAAAATGATACAAGTGTTCAACAAAGCCATAAATGAAAAAGTTGAACAAAGCAGTGATGAACGAAAAGTTGAAACAAATAGCACTGATAATAGTAGTTCGACAAAATTGTCGACCAAACCAACTAAAACTGATTCAATAGATGTTGAAGATTTGGACGATATGGATGAAACAGATATAATGGATCTGATATTCGCAGATGAAAATCAAGTCGATAGAGACTGTTTGAATCAAATAATTAACCATGAATCAATACAATCATTGAGTCGTTTAACAGCAGATTTCATACGAAAATCTGGTGACGAAGAATTTATGAAAGAGGCATTAAAATTTCTCAACCAACAGCAATCATCTCATTGGAAGAATGAAACAGAAAGCGAAGAATTACCAATTTCCAGTTCACCCAAAAAGAAAATGAAACCCGATCCAGATAATTTAACCACAGAAGCTGATGAATCCGAATCCATAGCTCATTTACTTTCTGACATGGAAACAAAATTATGTACTGAATTAAAAATAGAAGCATCAATGTTTATTCAAATGAAAAATGTTCTCATCAAGGTAAAGAATTTTTATTTTATTTATTTTGTTTAAATTAAACAATTAATTCAAAAATTTTAGCAACATAAAAAATATCCAAAAGCAGCCCGACATCGATTAAATCTGGAAAACATAATAACCAAACATTACTATGGCCGTGAACATTTGGAAACATTGCGACGTATTCATACTCATTTGATCACCAATGGGGAATTATCATCATCGGCCACCACAAGTGGTGGTTCGAATTTGACACCATCAAATGATTAAAATTCAAAATTCGAACTTTATTAAAAATTTAATTTAATTGTAAGAAATTAAAGGAATTGAATTTAAAATTCCGGAAATAAATGCTCGAAACTAATTTCTTTTATTTCACGTTAACTCGTCTTATATGGTTTAGCAATGAATGAAACAACAAAACGAACATATACAGCTACCCGAAGTACATCGACGGGTAGCATTTCAAGTGCCGGTATTGGTGCCGGTCTTCCTATTGAAAATCAATCAGAAGTAGCTCATCATCGTGAAAATCTACCACCGAATTTAACACCAGAAGGTCTAAGCGTTGATCCAAACATTCGAATCTTTGATTCGATCGTCTATCTAATCTACTGTCCAGAACATGATCGAATCGCTGTAACTAATGTGGAACGAGCACGTTGTGTTTGGTTTCCATTCGTATGTCTAAATGAACACCAGACATGGATGCAAGCTGCACGATCGGGTGTTGATCTAATCATTGGTCGTAAAGATGCCGAAGCGGATGCCGAAGAATCGGCAAAAAAGGCTCCAGTATATTCAATAAGTTACCTTAACATATTGCGCATACAATTACCACCAGAAAAATTTATCACACGTTTGGCCATGTTGGTTACATTGAAAAAATCACCTCATAGTACGTTTCAATGTTGTCAGCGTTCGATGCGAATCAATTGGCTTCGTGCAAGCGATATTCTTGCTGATCGTATCGATAAAATATGGGGACCAGAATTGAAAAATTTTACACGTATTGTCATCGGTATAAATGAACGGCGTAAATTAATTACCGAATTCAGTCTGGAAAATTCATTTTATCATTATTTTACTAAAGAAAATTCAGTAGAGAAAAAACTGCTCAAAGCATCACACATAAAACCAGAACATATAGCTGAAATTTATGAAAACTTTGTTGAACACTGTTATCCATCGTTTTATATGTCATTCGAATCCTTCAAACATTATCTAATTAAGTATGGTTTCGATCGTAATGATTCAAGGATGGCATTTCTATTTCGTGCCTGCAGCTTGTATGATAATGATTTTCTACATTTTCATGAAGTTCTTCTTGGCATCATTGCCATGGAACCGACAACCAAACATTTCACTGAAGGCCGTTTGAATTTTCTATTCAAATATTATGATACTTCAAATAATGGATTCCTGAAACTTGAAGAATTCATTGTCATGGTCACCGATATTCATAAATATTCAAGCAATACAAGTCTAAATGAAGAAAATTTGAAAACTGAAATCGAAAAAGCAATTCGATGTGTCGGGATGAAAGATGAACGAATCGCTAAAGATAATCTAATCAAAGCTGTATTAAATAATTCATTCAAGAACACCGAAAATCTTTGCCGTTCACCGAAACCAATCCTTCCCCAAATATCGAGGTTAATGCAGACAAAAACCACAGAGAAAAGTGGATCCTCATCTTCGGCCGAAGGATTTCTTGTCGCCAATCGGCGATCAAAAAAAGGGACATGTATTAAATGTCGTGATCAACATTACGAGTATTGTTTACATTGTGTAACATTCGATACTGTTGGACGATGTGTCGCACCAACTCTAATCTCTGAACGTAAGTACATTCTGTAAAATGATTCAATAATAACCATTTTTTGTGCATAGAATGGATCGAGCCAGCATTGGATAACGAAATGAATCAGCACAAATATTCGATGGATTATACATTCAACAATAGTTCAGTTCCGAACATATTCATCGATTTGATAAAAGATTTTTATAATAAAACTAAAATTGAAGGCAATCAACAATTGATCGGATTGATGGCTGTACGTGAAGATTGGAAGATTTTTTCACGTTATGTTAATATTCTTTGTGAAGAGTTGAAAGGACTTTTGATCTCTGAAGATAAATTAATAAAAATTAATTCACCGGCAATCGTCGTTGGCGATATGCAAGGAAACTTGATTGATTTATTTACATTGGAAAAGACCTATTTTCAAGGATTTCCTGTCACACCATATAATCTAGTCTTTCTTGGTAATTACAGTGGAATTGGATCTTACGGTGTCGAAATGATCACCTATTTGTTTTCACTCAAACTACTGTTACCAAACAAAGTATTTTTATTACGAGGTACAAATGAAATCAAATCAAAAAGTCGAAGAATTTTACTCAGCGAATGTTTACATAAATACGGACCCGATTTTGGACAGAAAATTTTTGCCGTTATAACGGAAATATTTGCCAGACTTCCATTTGCAGTGATTATTGATGAAAATATATTCTGTTGTCATTCGGGTATACCGAAATGGAATAAATTGGACAAGATTAATCAGCTTGGTCATGATGTATTTTCTGTACTGAAAGAAGCACCGATCGCTTATGAATTATTGGTCAACACACCACTTGGTATGGATGAATGTTTGTGTTCTATGGTTACAACGAAAGAATCGTCAGGAAATTCAAAAAGCATGAAACGTTCATCATTGGATTCGAAAAGTTCGAAAAAAATGGCGCACAAAAAATTGGGAGCTAATCTAGTGATCGGTGTTACCGGATTTACAGCCTCAGAACATTCTGATTTTGTTAATTCATGTTCATACGATCATCAAGCATTTCAGAATTTTATGCGTTCATATAATTTTCAATATCTAATACGTTCACATTCATTGCAAACGTCCAATGATGATGGCTTTGACCTACACTATTCGAATCGATGTATAAGTATATTCTCTTGTTCAAAACCAAAGTCCTCTCGATCCACTGTTGCATTTGTCGATGGCAGCAATCAACGTATACGGCTACTGTCATTTGAACGTGAAACGGCAATAATCACACCAGTAGAATCAATCATACATAAATGAGCTCAACAAGGTCAACAAGACATTTCTTTGATAAATATATGCACATATTTATTTGTTGATGTCAAAAAATTATTTGATTCTATCCAAAATAAACTTTTTAAGTAAACAATAAGAAAACTTCCGTTACTAAAATCATACATTTTGGATTACATATTAATAATCATATGAAAAAGGCTACATTGAGTGGAAAAACCACAGATTGATTAATAGAGGGATTAAAATCATATTAGAAAAAAATTAGAGTATAATGATAAATTAAAACAAATCAAATGATAGTTTTAATTTCTATATGATGAAAGTGATGAGTATGGTAAAGTTCAAACTCTCCCACACACACACAACAATAATGAATGTGTGGATGATAAAATCGTTGCTGCCCATTATAACATGCGTGTATATGTAAGTTTGTTTATTTGATTAGATAAGTATATATGGCACGTTATTTGATTAATTTATTGATTATTGATTGATAATTTTTCTCGATCATTCAATGATCAAGAAATTTGAATGATACACATTTCTTTATCATTCGACGACAATCAAACACATCTAAGACACTTTTTTATTATTCATTTATTGTCTACTTATCCAATGGTGTTGCTTGCCGAATGTAGAAATCATTCTTTGATCACGATTTTCCATTGATGAATGGTTGTTCGGATCGTTTGAATGAGTTAATCTTATTGAAAAATGTTTACGAATAAAAAATCTCATCAAAAAAAACGACGACGAGATTCATATGAATATTTGTGTGGTAATCGTTTCTCCAATTCCAAAACATATGATTCAGAAAATTCCAGCTTATTTACCAACGATGATGATGACAGTAATGAACCAATTGATGAGGCAAGAAATGCCATTACAGGTTTGACACTTAAACCATGGGTAACAAAACAAAATATAAAATTTGAAATTTTTTTCAGATATGTCGTTATATGTTGAACCGGATGATCCAACATTAGCAGAATGTTGTTCATGGATTAAAAATCGTTATTTTACCAAACGTAAATTATATCGTTTGTTACCGCCACTACGTTGGGTACCCGCATATTCAATCGAAGATCTAAAGGGCGATATCATTTCTGGCATATCTGTCGCATTCACTATAGTACCACAAGGTTTGGCATTATCAAGTTTGGCCGGTTTACCACCACAATATGGATTATACACATCGTTCATGGGTTGTTTCGTATATTCTTTGCTGGGCAGCTGTAAAGATATGGCTGTTGGGCCGACCTCGATTTTATCCATGATCGTTTTGCCTTATGTCTTGATCGGTGGCCCACAATATTCTATTTTGCTGGCATTTTTTGCGGGTTGTATTCAATTGTTGGCCGGAATGCTTAATCTTGGTTTTATTGTCGATTTCATATCGTTTCCAGTAATTACGGCATTTTCATTAGCCGCATCCATGTCGATAGCAGCATCACAATTGAAAGGTTTTTTTGGCCTTCATTATACAGCTAGTCGTCTACCGGGAATTATTACAAAATTTTTTGCATCGCTTGGCGATACCAATTACTGTGATGCTGTTCTCGGAACATTATGTTTGTTATTTTTGTTACCATTCCAACTATTTAAAGATTATCGTTTTCCTGAGATGAACTGGGGGACTATACCGATTTCGCAAATATTGAATTCAATATTTCAATTATTGATTATCGGTCGTAATGCCATGGCTTTATTGTTCGGTTCGTTGATAGCTATCTATTATGGCCAAAACGTCGACAAAGATGGAACGATTACTGGAAATATTTTCACATTGACACGCCAAATCACACCAGGATTGCCTTCATTTCAATGGCCACAATTCTCAGTGACAGCCACAAATGGTACAAATGTGATCAAACCATTTAGTGTAAGTTTTTTTTAAATGCTATCATTTTTACTAATAAAAGAATCATATACCCAACCCTACAGGAAGTTTATGAAGATATTGGAACCGGCATATTCGTTCTATCATTGGTTGGCCTTATGGAATCAGTAGCCGTAGCAAATGCTTTCAAATCGGGACATTCGCGAATGGATGCAACACAGGAAATGATTGCAGTTGGTTTAAGCAATATTTTGGGCTCATTTTTTGGTGCCTTCCCAGCTACGGGAAGTTTTTCGCGATCAGCCGTACAACACAATAGTGGAGCACGAACACCTGCCGGCAATATAATTACCGGATCATTAGTTTTGCTTGCATTATCAACACTATCGGAATATTTTGAAAATTTACCGGAAACCGTTTTGGCTACGATCATCATAACATCAGTCATTTTTATGGCTCATCCTAAAGATTGTTTGCTAATATGGCGAACAAGTCCAATCGATTTACTTCCGTATGCAGTAACGTTAGCTTCTTCCCTGTTTATCGGGCTTGAATTCGGCATATTGATCGGTATTGGTTTCTCGATAATGGTCTTATTATATCATATGGCACGACCTCATGTATTCACCATAACGAAAGAATCACCTCATAATTATCCATTTTTATATGTAAAACCGGATCGAAGTATTTTTTTTTCATCAATTGAATACATGCAAATCAAAATATTTCAAGGTCTGAATAAAGTTCAACATCGGGGTAGTCATAAAAAGATTGTCGTATTGGATGGTGAACACATGTTTCGAAGTGATTCTACATTTGCTCTGGTAAGTTTAAATAGGATTCAGCCATAAAATTAACATTAACCGATTGGTTCGGAATTTATAGGGAATGAAAAACATGGTGAACCATCTGAAAAACGACGATATCATTGTCATATTTTATCGTCTACGGCGTCAAGTTTTCCGTACGATCATTGGCGTATCGATGCATCCAACATCTTTTCATAATTGTCGTACAGAAGATGAAGTATATCAACTAATCAAGCAAATTAATGCAAATCGTTTGAAACATTCAACATCAATTTGTTTGCCATGCGATACAAATCATAATAATATGAATAATTTAAAACCATCATTTGGTCAACTAATGTCGACTAATTGTAATGAATTTGGTAGCCGTTTTCATTGGCTTACACAATCGTATTGAGATAGGAAAAAAGGAACCCGGTACAAGACACTCATTAATTAAAATAATAATGAACCATTTATTCGAATATGACTCATCTTGGAAAAATGTTTCCATTCGAATTGAATTTATTTTTGATCCTATCAATATATCATATTTGTTATTTTTATTTTAGTGTTGTGTTGTTTTTGTTGTTTAACACTAAACATCACTGATTATATTGAAATTTTTCATGTGTGTGTGTGTATGTGTGTGAGTGTTTGATAAGTTAAAAAAAGATTTGGAACTGACTTTTCTGTAATCTGTGTGTTTATTTTTTAGAATTCATCGAGGTCATTTTATAAGATAATTTTTATTGATAGATTATTCTTAGGATAATGTATATTAGAATGTAAAATCGATCGAGATTTTTTTTCATGTAGTGCTGCATTTTGTGTGTGTTTTTTTCCTCGATTATTTTTTCATTCTAATGCCAATAATTCGACATCAAAAGTGAGTGTTGCATTTGGCGGGATGATTCCAGGATGGCCACGGTTGCCGTATGCAAAATCAGGTGAACAGATCAATTTAGCTCTCTGGCCGACGCTCATCTTAGTATATTGGGATGATTATTTTAGTTAGTGAAAAAAAATCTAAATTAAACTTGACTAACCTGAGCGACACCAACATCCCAGCCTTTAATCACTTCACCACGGCCAATACGGAATTTAAATGGACGACCGCGGTCCCTAGACGAATCAAATTTGTTGCCATCATCCAATGTTCCTTGAATTTAAAACAAATTTTTAGAAAATTCAATGATAGGATCTTGTTTGATCAATGCATACCGGTATAATGAACAACAACGGTTTGGCCAGTTTTTGGAAATGTCGAACCATTTCCTGGTGAAATTGTTTGTACTTCAACACCCATCGTTATTTGGATATGAATTTTTTTTTTTTTGATAACTACAAAGCAGTTTTTTTAATTCAATAAATTCGTGAAATTTTTTTTTTGTATGTGCTAATATCGTTTGCTTGCTATTTTGAGTGAATGGCGAGTAAATGCACAGAAAAAGTTTGGAGACTAGTAATTTGATGATTTTTTTTGAGTTATTATAATAATCAACAAAATAGCTCATTGAATTAATACATGCGGCTTCTTAAAAGTCAAATTTTTATTGATAGATGACACTAGTTTAGTTTTTAAATTTTACACATGATCGTGGCCAATAAGAGTTGATACGAGACGTTAATTTTTCAAAATGTCCAGAAAAAAATTTATTGATATTGGTGCAAATCTTACTGGTTTGTTTTAGATGAAAATTTTTTTAAAATGGATTAATTGTACATTAATTAGTAATTTCTCATCTTCATTTTTCTAGATGCTATGTATCAAGGTGTTTACTACAACCGTAATCATCATGTAGCTGATATTAAAAATGTTATAGAACGATCGAAGGAAATTGGCCTTGAAAAGGTATTCATTGGCTATTTTGATAATGACGTCAATATAAACTGTTAACTAATCCAACAAAATTTATCAATAGATTATGATAACTGGTGGTACATTGAATGAAAGCCGAAAAGCATTAGAATTAGCTCGAACAGATCCGTTACTTTATTCCACTGCCGGTTTTCATCCAACTCGTTGCCTAGAATTAGAGGATGATACAGAAGTCAAAATTCAAGAGCTGATCAAGCTTTGCCATGATAATCCGGATAAAGTGGTTGCAGTTGGTGAATTTGGTCTCGACTATGACCGGTTGGAATTTTGTCCAAAAGATGTTCAATTAAAAAATTTTACTAAACAATTAGAAGTGGCTGAACAAACTCGATTGCCATTATTTTTACATTGTCGTAATGCAGCCAATGATTTATTGTCAATATTGAAGACGAATCATGATCGATACACTGTCGGTGTTGTACATTCATTCGATGGCCATTATAATGAGGCAATGTCATTCATCAATATGGGATTTTATATCGGTTTGAATGGTTGTTCATTAAAAACTGACGACAATCTCGAAGTTGTTCGAAAATTACCTGTCGATAAATTGATGATTGAAACTGATTGTCCTTATTGTGAAATCAAACCATCACGTACAAGTTTTAAATTTATCCAAACAAAATTTGAATCTGTAAAAAAGGAAAAGTGGACTGCCAAAAAAATGGTCAAAGGACGAAATGAACCTTGTACGATTATACAAGTTTTAGAAGTGATTGCTGCCATCAAAGAAATGGATGAACAAGAATTGGCAGATCAATTGTATGCTAATACAATCAAAGTATTTTTTTCCAGTAAAAAGTGAATTTACTTTTGATGTGATTATTAATAATTTTTTACACATCTACTTTTTTTTGACATTCTACCAAATAAATTCATGCAAAACACTAATATCCACACCAACACAAACTGACTCTATGTACACAAAATGGAAATAATTACGATAAAATATTAGGTTGTTAAGTATTGAAAAGAATAAGAATGTAAAGGTGGGAATGTAAAGAGAAACATCCACTGGAAATGAAAATTTACAAAAATCAGGAATGACAACCATGTTTTTGTTGGTTTGTTCGCCAATTTATATTATTTAATTAAACGCCAAACAAAAATCCAAGAGTAATTATGCAGCAATGAATTTCTGTATTTGACTCGCCAAATATTCATATGAATTATATGCCATTTTCTGTGTATTCGCAATGAATTCATTAAATGTTTTCAATAGCTGATCGCGTGGAAATTTACTAAAGATGTAAGTTAAAATAAATTAATATCTGTGTAGTTCTTTAGCGAACTTACGTGAAAACATTTTGGTTGATCCATTCACCAGTAATAAGACTTATTTCTTGCATTTTTGAATATGTTACTGTCCAGTATTTTTGTGTGTATACTACGAAATGAGAATAATGTTCAGCAATGGCTGGAATTACTTTTCGTTCAATCTGTTTTGAGGAATAAAAATTAAGCATTTTTGGAATGGTCATCTTAACTGTAACTCTTACTGTTTGCAACAATGATGGAAAAGTATTTTTAAACCAAACGGATACATGATTACCATATTTGATTGTTTCTTTTCGAATGAAAGCCATATGTGGTGCTAATGTTCGAATTAATGAATTATAAGCAGGTAGGACATATTGTCGATAAAATTCCGAATGTATGATTGTGTTGATGAATCGTTGCAAATGAGGTCCAACACCAATCTTGTTAAGATATTTTCCCGTTGCTGATTCTATGGTGGCAAGAATTAAACAAAACTATACTATATAAAATGAATTAATCTACTTACTATTAAAAGAATCATTTTTACTCAAATCCAAAACAATGAACGTGGTTGTCGCCAAAAGGATAATAGTAAAAAAATTTTGCATTGATGCCATGGTTGTTTTATCTATTAAATGAATGAATTTATCTATTAAAGAGAATTTAGAAAAAAAAATTAAAATAACATGAATGACGTTGCTTAAAAATTAATTGGAAAAACAATGTGAAAAATGTTTACAAATGAATTTGATGATGAAATGCTGATAATGTAGATGAATATATGTAAATAAATAACACGTTCAATAAAAACTAAATGATCGATACTGATCCTTTCGAGCTCAAATTACAATTACTCGCTTATACTGTTGTCGTCTGTTTTAATGACACCGAGGATTCGTTGAAAAAAACGGTTGTCGTGACCATCGACCGAAAAAAGTAGCCATGGTTATAATAAAGTAATGACATCCAGTGACATTCGTTGGAACTATACTCAAAGAATTCATAAATTACATGATCGAAATTTCAACATTTCGGCATGATTTCATATTTGATTTGACAATTTGAATTAAAATCATAATCAATCGTTTTTCAAAATAATGTCGCTTGTAGCTGCTGCCAATAAACGAGTGGTATATTGTGGTGGATTGTCCGAAGAAGTGGATGAAAAAATCATCAAATCAGCTTTTCTTACTTTCGGTGAAATTATCGATGTGAACATGCCTATAGATTATATCACCCAGAAACATAAAGGATTTTCTTTCATTGAATTTGAAACGGCTGAAGATGCGGCAGCTGCCATCGATAATATGAACGACTCAGAAATATTTGGCAAAACGATCCGAGTTAATTTGGCAAAGCCGGTAAAACTTCGCGAAGCTTCATACAAAGCTGTTTGGGCTGATGATGAATGGTTGGCGAAACATGCCGGTAAAACTTTGACGTCTGAATTCGGTATTGATAAGAAAGAAAGCTTAGAGCCAAATGACGATGATGATAATGACGACCATGAAGAAAACACAGCTGATGCTGAATCGGCTGGTTTGAACGAAAAAATGAAAATCAATCCACAAGTATTTTTCGACATTCGAGTCGATAATCAATACTGTGGTCGTATTGTCATATTGCTTCGTAAAGACGTTGTTCCAAAAACGGCCGAAAATTTCCGTTGTCTATGTACACATGAAAAAGGATTCGGTTTCCGCGGCAGTATATTTCATCGAATCATCCCTGGTTTTATGATTCAAGGTGGTGATTTTACCAATCACAACGGCACTGGAGGTAAATCTATATATGGACGAAAATTCGAAGATGAAAATCTTCAACTAAAACACACTGGAGCTGGAATCCTATCGATGGCCAATTCAGGACCAAATACTAATGGATCACAATTTTTCATCACGACTTCTCGAACGGAATGGCTTGATGGCAAACATGTCGTATTTGGACAAGTAATACAAGGTATGGACATTGTTAGAAAGGTAGAAGAATGTGGTAGTAAAAGCGGAAAGCCAAACAAACGTGTCAAGATTGCAAATTGTGGAGAATTTGTTTGAATTTTATTTAATTAAATTTCTTTAAATGTTATATTTCATGATAAAACATGCTCATCATTTTGTTTCAAAAATTTTGTATTTAATAATAATAAAAATTAAGCACACTAATTAATTCCAAATAGACCGGTCGATTGGTTTTTTATGAGCAACCTTTTCGACATTTACAGTCAACATTTCGGTACGGTAGCGCATCTGTTGTGTTTTTTCAATCAATTGATGATATTGTGATACTGCCTGTGTGCCCATAATAACATGACCATGTTTTGAATCGATACGAGCATCGAAATGAGCGTCACGAATCAATTTGACAATCCAACGTTCAGCATCATCACTGCTCATGTTTAATTTATCCGCGATCATGCTAATGAATTGAAAAAAAATGAAATTACAAAATACACAAACAAAAAATTTACTTACTCAATTGAAATACATTCGTGGATTTGACAGAAAATTTCAAAAATAAATAGTCGAGCATTTTCGATAAATTCTTCAATACAAGATGTGAGAAAGAAATCGATACGCAAAACAATTTCACAATCACGCAGCTTTTGTTGTGCTCCATCAAAATCAAAATTGACGTACAAACATTCGACAAATTCAGTGATTGGATCACGATAATTGTACGATTCTTGTTGTATCAAACGAACCAATTCTTTCATGTAGACTCGTCGTTGCCGATGTGTGATGACGGCAGCGGTCAAATAACGAAGAATGTGAGGACATGATGTTTGTATCGCGTTTAGATAAGCATTGTTTTGCGATTGTTTAGCATTCTTAGCATCCAGAAATAAATCGACCAGATAATCACGGCCATGTTCAACGTTGAAAAATATAAATAAACCCCAATGAATAAGCCATGTACGATTCTGCAAGGCTTGAATCGGTGAAAAGTTGGCATTTTCAATGTAATTTTTCAAAGCTAAGAATATATCCTGTGCTTCTTTCATATCTTGCGAAAAGAACGAAGATACAAACGAACCCCATAAAGTGTGTTCATAATTGGCATCATCGGTACCAATCAATAATTGGTATGATTTAATGAACGCCAATGCTTCCTGATATTGGCCACGAGTGAATGAATATTTGGCAAATTCATACAGCTTGTCGATCGTTTCTCGGGAGAACTATATAATTATATTGCATTAAGATTTTCATCTATTTAATTATATGAAACACTTACTTTTTTACGTATCTCTTGTATACTTTCTTGCAATTGCTTTTCATCCAAATCATTTAAACTAGCTAAACTTTCTAATACATCACTCAAATCTTCAATGAATTTTTTTCGTTGTTCGGTCAATTCTTCCAGTTTATTATTTAATTCTTCTGGTACCGGTCGTTCATGTTTTTCATACAAAGCGATTAATGCATCTACAAGTTGAATTTTTGACAAAATTTTCACTTTATGTTGGAATATTTCCTCTGGATCATAAATCTATCGAATATGGAAATATCAATGAGCAAATCGATCATTTTCAACAACAATAATACATACATCTTGACTTCCCAAAAATTCCAGCAAACCATAAACAAAATGAGGATCCAAGTATTGGGCAAGCACTGGTGTCAAATCCCATTCGGCCATGATTATTATATATAATGATTATGGTAAGAAAATTAAAGAATGTATATCGTTGGATAATTTATAAATTGAATGGTCATCAACACAAACATCACTCAATCAGTCAAAAACATACACACACACACACACAGACACACAAAAGGAAACGCGACATCATGGAAACGTGGTAAGAATTATAGATGATCCATTTTGCGCATGTCAACCGGTTCGAAAACGATGCTTATGAACGGTACACAAAATAAATTTGAAATCACATTTTAATCAAGAAAAGAGAAAATGGTGAAATCGTTATAGCGTTATGTTATTTTAAAATTATAATTGCAATTATTATAATTTTTTAGGATTTTCGTTATATGTTTGTGAATAAATTCGTTTTGTTTTCATTAACGTTGTTCAATTCGAACCATCAACTTTTTAGGACTCATCAACAAGCTGCCATTGAAATATTCAAGCTATAAATTTTGAAATTAAATTCGATTACATTCTATATTTGTTAAATATTTCAATTAATTAACCTTGATATTTGGATTTGGAGCCAATTTATAGTTAATAACAAAATTAGCCAAAGCAAAACGAAGTTCGTTCAATGCAAATCGCATGCCAACGCAAAGTCTCGGACCTAGGCCAAATGGAATATATGCAGCTAGATTATCATTGAATTTTGATTTATCTAAAAATCTATCCGGTTTGAATTCATGGGGATACATAAAATATTTGGGATCTCGATGTATAACATATGGTTGAACCGATATCATTGAATTCTTTGGTATATTAATGCCATGACTTTCAATTCGATATGGTTCAATACTTTCACGATCAACCATAGGTAATGGTGGCTCCAATCGCAATGTCTCATCAATGATTGCATTCAATGTTGGTAGCTCTTTAAGTTTATCATAATCAAGTTCTTCATGATTCACATTGGACAATTCTTCATAAAGCTTTTCTTGCCATTCCGGATATTTAATAAGGTAGTAGAAAATGTGTGTCAATGTTGCATTGGTCGTATCAAATCCGGCAATAAAGAATAAGAGACCTTGAGCAGAAATCTCATCTCTGCTAATACCTTTTGGCATGTCATTCTTGGCTACAGTTCCATTAAATTCATTAGCATTTTCAATCATCAATCCAATCAAATCTGGATTCTCTGTATAAAGAAAAAAATGATTAAAGTTAATTAAATATTGTTTAATCTCTATGTTACTCAAGACAAACGTTTTCCAGATAATGATTTGATTCGTTTTTCAATAATTTCGAATGTTAAATCATTAAAGTATTGCACGGTTTTCATATCGGTCATTTCAAGCCGTAAAAATTTTGCTATTTTCGGAAACATAATGCACACAATATAACTAAAACTGGGATCTACACCGAAAATTTTCCGTGCATTAGTTACGATCGGATGATCCGGTTGACTAAGTGAATCGATTTCAATGCCATAAGCACAACGTGCGATGACATCCATAGAGAATGCTCCAGTAAATATTTTCATATCAAATTCTTCTCCACTTTCACTAAATTTTCGAAGATGACTAATGAAATTTGCATTGATCTGTTCAATCGGTTCGATCATTCGTTTCAATTTACCAGTAGTGAATGCTGGTGTTATCAAGGAACGAATACGTTTCCAGTCATCATTTGCTGGCATAAAAAATAATACCTTATTGATGTTACTATAACCGAACCAAAAAGAATAACGGATAGGAAATTTATGGAAATTTTTGATATACAATTCTCGGGCAACATCGATATCATTGACAACGAGGAAATGGCAGCGAGGAAAAGGAGCACCATGTATTGGTCCATACAGTTTTGTACCTTCGTATATTAACTCATGGAATGGTCGAAATGCCCATTGCAATCTGAAAAACAAAGGACCAGCAACGCCTTGTCGTTTCCAATAGGTTAAATAATCATAAAAATTTCTGAAATGATTTGACAACATGTATTAATTTGATTGAAAACGAATTTTTTTTTGTCCTACTTAAGATAATAAATCAGTAAAATGATCAGAAAAGACCCGAAAATTGAAGCAATCATGGTGGACATTTGTGAATAGAAAACAATTGACAATTCGAGTAGCGACAAATAAGAAATAAAAATAGCTATTATTAGCTCATTGAATTTTGATGATAACCGATTATCAATGGCTAAGGATAATATTTTTAATCAGCTATTGAGAATGGTGATAATAATGATATGATTTTGTTGTCAAATTTATTTTATTTTTGATTTAATCTCAGAAAATATATTAAAACGTCATCAATAAGTGGAGAAAAAACTATTAGAAAGGAAGCTTGATCTTATTGAATAAAAATATTGATTAAATTAAATAAAATTAAAAATTCATTAGCAAAAAAAATGAACCTGGCTGTCGATATTTTTAACAGGAATTTTTAAATTCTTGTTCGATTTTATCAGGAGGTTTGAAATTGAATTTCGGTTGTGTTTCCAGATACCAATTCACTCTGGACTGTTAATTTTTCTGCTTGAAAGTAATCGGGGAATGTTAGATTTTTTTGTTTGTTGTCGATGGCGATCAGGATTATTTATATGACTAGTTTGATGTGCCGCAGATGTGCAATTTAATTCTTTGTTATTTGTCACATTATACGAACATTTTGTTGAAAATTTGGCACTAATTTCATCTGATGAAAAACCAAAATTATCAGATCCATCCATTTTTAAATTGGCTACACTCAGTATCGGATCTATGTGGGGATTATAATGATGATGATCCGAAAAACTGATTGTATCCATACTATTTTTATTGAACACCTTATTGAATGTATTATCCACTTTGAAATGTGACCATTCATTGAAATTTTTCTCATCGATTGGTCCCCAATCATTGGTCGGTCTGAATGCCAATTGTATTTTCTATTATCAACAACAGAAAAGTAGATTATATTGAATTAATATCGGATAATACAATCGATAATACAATCATTACCTCGAAAAGCGTAGAACCTTTTTGTTTACTTATTGTCATCAACATCCAGAATGGAATCTGAATGAGTGCTGTTCCGGCTAAAAGAAAAAAATTTTCAAATAATTATTCTGTTAGATTGTAAATGAAATACCTAGTACATAGCCAATATGATTTCCCCAATTTGGTATGCCCGGTTTGACTCGTTCATCCATCAATATGAGGACATTACCATAGATGAATATGATAGCCAATACGGATGGAGTAATAAATCCCCATGTCAGTTTCCAATATAATGAAGGCTTTTGTTTTAGCATGAAATGTATATCATCAAGCAAATTACGTAATCCATAAATGTAAGCAATGGCCACCATTTGAATGATACCATAAAGAAATGCAGCTGTACCAACACCATAATTGTCCAATAGTAACATAATGTATGATCCAGCCTAATCATTAGAAATATTTTTTTTTTCAAATTCAATAATTCGACATTGAAAAAAAAATTAAATTACATCTGTAGTCAATGGTATTCCTAGTAACATGAATAAAACACAAAATGCCAATGCTAATTTAGCTTTATGTTTATGTAATGATTCGAATTCATCTTTGATACAAGTCAATATTGTTTCAATCATGGCCACCGAGCTTCCGATGCCCAATGTGAACAACATGAAAAAGAATAATATCGACCATAATTGTGGAAGAAATTTTATTTTACTTAATCCTTCAGGGTAGGCTATAAATGCTAAACCAGTACCTGTATGAAAATTAAAGCAAATGAGAATATGATTAAAAAAAATGAGAAAAATTGAAAAAAAGAATAATGAATAAATAATTAGGGCTTTCCTGCCTGATTATCATAAAAAATAATTATCATTCTATTCGATTCAATTGCACATACCACTTGATACAACGTCCTTGATTTCGACACCTTTTTCATTTGCCATTGTTCCCAATACAGAAAATATTACGCATCCAGCCAATAAGCTAGTGAATGTATCCAATACACTTATAATGATAGCATCTCTATACAATAAATTAATGATAAATTCAAAAAAATAAGAATTCCAATGTTCGTTTCATTTTTTGTCATTAGTATTCATACTTACTTGTTTACATTATTATTGAAATTATTATAACTTGAATACATTACCAAAGATCCAAAACAAACGGCTAAGGAAAAAAAGGATTGTTCGACTGCACGATACCAAACGATTGGATCCAAAAGTTTACCAAAATCCGGCCGTAAAAAATAAAGGATACCATCGATAGCGCCATCTTGAGTCATTGAAACAGCTAATAATGTTATTAAAACTACATATGGAAAAATGGCGGTAAAATAAGCAACTTTTCCTAATGATGTTATTCCTTTAACGATACTCAGATAGACAAGAGCCCAGGATGCAAATAAACATCCAATCAATTCGATGCTTATGGAATTTAGATCCCAAAGACCATTGGATTTATTCAATACAATTCGTCTGTAATAAAAAAAATGTTTCAAACTTCAGGAAGAATATTCGAAATTGTCCATACTCGTAATAATATTCCGGGCAGCTAACATTAAGCGTTTGAGATTGATCGCAATCGGTCCATGGAAGTTTTGATGAGAATGAAGCAATAAAATAATAAATGGATATAGCCATCAGATAGTTGTAGAATATGGCAATATAAGATGTTGATAAAAGTTGAGCAAAACCCAATCCTTTGATAGCTGGAACACATTTCCAAACTTTGATTGGTCCTCGACCACTAAATTGGCCGAGTATTAATTCCAAATAGTAGATCGGACGACCAATCAAACATAGTAGGATAAAATATGGAATAAGAAATGCCCCACCACCATTTTCGTAAGCTTTTTTTACAAAATCGAAAATCAAATCATAAATCATAAAAGTGTGAATCTGTTCTCAACATACCCACATAAGGAAAACGCCAAACATTGCCTAAACCAACTGACATTGAAATGCATGACAAAAGAAATTCAATGCCAGTAGACCATTGACCACGATGTTCATTCGATTTTGATGATGTTTTGTTTTTCTGCTGTTTTTCAATATCGTTTCCATCTGATAGATTCGTCATTTCTTTTCTCTAAAATTAATTAGTGATTTTTTTTGAAAATGATAAATTTATTTTATATCATAAGCCATAAAATTATCAACTGGATAGCTAATAAATTATGAAGCGTAGTGAAAAACTAATTAAATGTGTCATCTAATTTCTTAACTGATGATGATTATCTTATCGTTAAAAAGTAAAATTAAATATATAAATTAAAAATAAAACCTACCTTTGTTAAATTGTGGCTAGAATGACAAATTAAGATGAAATAAAAACAAGATTTTTAATGAATTTTAAAATCTTTTTATTTTATATGCGATAAAATTCAATGAAAGTGAAGAGATCCATATATTCAATCCACATTAATCAATATGGTGGCCAGATTAATCAATCGATGAATGGGATATTGAATATAAATGAAAATTGCCTTGAACATGAATAATTTTTTTATTTTGAATAATTAAAATCTTCTTTTAAATCCTGTTGCTGCTCATTCAGATATTCAGATTCATTTATCATTTATTATGTATATGTCATCGGTGGTGAATCGAAAAGAAGACGAAAAAGGAAAAAGAAAAACGTGCTCAAATATCATTATTTGTCAGATTCGGCTATAAGCTTGCTAATATCGTAATGTTCGTGATTATAATCATAACGTCATGACGACCAAACAGAAAAAAAACAACATAACATTTTTATCAACCGCAGGATATGAAATTTTTGTTTGTAAATAGGTAATGAATGAGAATGAATGATTTTTTTTCCAAAAAAAATATGCGTCAAATAAATTAATGAATGAATGTGAAAAAAAAGGAATTAATAACAACAGGTTAGAGTGACGATATTAGTTTTTTTCTGTAAAAAAAAAAAATTTTTTTTCATTTACACTTACACCAATGATCCTATTGTTAGAAGATTTCCTTTTTTTTTGCTAGAACAAGAAAAAGAGAAAATGAAAAGAGAGAGAGAGAGAAAGAGAAGAAAACATTTTCAGATTTCACCATTCATAATCCACAAGGTAGTCGTATTTTTCAACAACGAAAAAAAAACCAAACAAACATTCATTGATTCGATTGAATCAATTTTGGATTTTATTTTTTTTTTATTTGGATATTATATGAATATTATTCAATGGTATTCATTTTGAATTTTTTGGATACAGCACAGAAAAATACTCATGTCATCGATTCATTTCTTCGTTTTTTTTGGTTAGGGATTAGATTTTTCGTTAACAAATCGATTGATAGATGTCAATTCATAACACACACACACACACTCACGCATGGTGAAAGTCTATTATAAATAATCAGTTGAAGTTTAAAAAATTTGATCATAACATCTAGATAATATAAATCTGGTCATCCAATATGGTCGTCATCATCAAGGGAATGATTTGGAAAAAAAATAAAATTCATCGATTGCTAATTTCAAATGAAATGTTGGTCACATCAATTTACATAAATATATCGAATTGTAAAAAAAAATCAAAAAACACACAAAAATTCACATTCCTCACAATGACATTGAAAATTTTTCAATTTTTTTTTTAGATTTAGATATGTCCAAAAAATCTGTGGACATGAAAATGATGGCCATTCATCGAAAACAAAAAATTAATTGATTTTGGTTCATTGTAATATTTGAATACAATTTTCTTTTGGCATTCAAATGCTATAATAAAAATGTTCACACAAAAACACGTGCACAACAATGGCATTATTTTGAATATTATTATTTATTATTATTATTATTATTATATCGGGAAAGATTAGAACGAAATAATTCACAAACAAGGTAATATTTTTTTTTTGTTATATAACATCCGCTAATAATCCAAAACTATTAAATGTCTAACGACCACATAAACACACACACACACACACAAGGTGAGATCGTCAACAAATTACGTGTACGAAAAAAAATTGGAAGCATGAATTCAAAAAAAAGAGAGAATGAAAAAAACACTAGTTATGACCTCTATATATACATTTTATAATGAAAATAATAATATTTTGAATTTTTTTTTTTTTTCATTTTCACTTTCTGTCTATTTTCTTTTCTTTTTTCTTTAAATAAAAATAAAATTGTCCTTGTCCTGTTTGGTATTTTTGTTATTATGTTGTTAAAAAAAAAAAAAAACTACAAGATAAAATCAAGCAATGTTATGTGATGTTATGTTATTTGTATGATGATTATCATCATTATATTGTTGTTGTCATTATTATTATTATTATTATACAACAACAAATCGCCTTCCATGAAGATGATCAGAAAAAAAGTTTCTATACGAACATTTGTGTCTGTGATTGAATGCAATTGACATTGATGTATAAATTGTATTCATTCAAAGCAAATAAGTAAGTAGCAAATTAAATTAAAAAAATTCTAGATACGATGATTAGAAGAAAAAACAATCATATTCGATTCATAATTGGATTATTAATGATTACCATTATTGAATTATTTCCAAGGTGAAAAAAAAATCCAATTAATTTTCTTTTTTTTGAAATTATAAATTTTTTTCATATATACTGGTAACGCCATCTTTTGTCAGCAGTATGTATTAGTACATACCACTTGTATTTAAAAAAAAAAAATTTCTCTCATCTCTTGTGTTTGTGCCATTGTTCAGGTTAGGTTACTTATTATTACCATCTATGGCTATAGCCATGGTAATGATAATTGAATGACTTTGATGATTATGATGATGATATAGATAAAAATAAAATAAACCGCCTGACCTTCAGATATCTGCCATTGGTTATTTATTTACTTAGTTGAATGGTTGGTTGTTTCTTATTTTTGGTAAGCAAGGTCAAATGCTCGAATACTCAATGAAATATTGTATGGTCATCAAGGTCAACGGGAAATGATGATTTCATTGATGTAGGAATTCTTTCTGGAGAAATACTCCTAAGAAAAGATGACCTCGTATTAATAGACGACATTGAGTGATGGAGAGAATTTTGTTTCAATTTCTGGTTATTTGTTGTTCATGTGTGTGTGTGGGCGTGTGTGTGTGAGTGTAATATATTTTGGGTTAAGGTCACATGGTAGGATTTTTTAAAACTGGTTTGATTCAGTTTGCTTCTGTAGAGTTGCATGGGTATACGCCTTTGAAATTGTCAAAGTAATAGTTGTATGCAATATTGCATTTGTGGCAATGATCAATTCTCTTTTCTAAATTTTTAGTAAAGATTTTCTGGAACGTTCATCGATTAAAGGAAATATACAAATGAATGAATTGCTTTATACTACACCCACGATTATTCTAATTAAATCTTGTATTTTTTTTTTTTTTTTTTTTTTTGATGATGATCATTCGTTCAAGGTCCAAGAACTTATTGAATAAGTCTTATTCTATCATTTCTTATTGGTGATCATTTCTATTGAAATTTTTTCATCAATTTGTGTATGAATGAAGAAGAAATTTTCATTAAGCTTGGTACAAATTGAAAATATAAAGCAACAATCGAATTGAGACCTAGATATATGTAATACCGTCAAGGACAACAATCGGCACTGATGCATTAAACATTTATTTTTTTTCCATTGAATATATCGATAGGGTAATTTATTAATGTTTCATTAACCGAATGTTTTTTTCGAGTTTCAGGTTTCAGTTTTTTTCTTTCAATTTTTTTTTTGATTGAAAATCCTATTCCAAAACCAACAACCTACTTTATAAATGTGATCAATCCATTGACCTAGTTTTAACGACCATGTTTTTTTACCCCTTGAGGGTCTGTGGGGGTCTGTTGTGACTCAATGTGAAAAATGTCATTTCTAATATTTGTTCCCTATATCTTTTTTTTTGCTTTTGATTGTCATTTTGAATGAATAACTCGTTCTAACTGCTATAATAAAAATTGTCATATTGATGGGATCATTCATCATTCATTACATTTAACTTGTGTAACAATTTTGAATAAAAGGGTTTCAATAAACCAACGGAAAAAAAATTATCAAGAAAATTGGAACAATCATGAGAAAATAATATAATGGATAGACCAAAAAAAAAAAAAAAATTCAGTTAGATTTGTTACTTTTATTGGATCAACAGAAAAATGCCAATAAAAAAAGTATGAAATTATCAGCATCAAGAACGAAATTGATCACCGAAAAAAGTATCCATCTCTCATTCAATGTTAAAAATGTAAATAATCTAATCAATCCATTTGGCGCCCATTTCTCTATGAACAATTTTAAGGTCTAATGTTGAACTTGAAGAATAGCCCAAAAATAGCAAAAAAAAAAATTATTCTCTCCCATCAATGATGATGATGGTCTGGTTTTCCAGTCTTGCCTTGGCATAAGACAGAATGAAAGAATAATATAAAAAATAGAATTGAACATAAATCTAACAGGAATGTTTACATGAATGAAATGAATCGGTGTCAAGGTTAACAAATCGAATGCGCATGTGTGACCTAGTGATGATGTTGGTATTAACACAATGCCACTACTACTACCCATATGTATTGCAGGAACATTAAATACCGGCAGCATCCCCTCTAAAATCAGATTGGCTATTGTGGCCATCTACACAAACATATATCCTGAAATTAGGTCGCCTCCACCAATTGGTTATGATGGTTATCGACGTCGTTGAAGTTGAATGAGAAGATGCAGTTGTTCTGGAAGTGTAACCAGTTTTGAATATACTCTCAGCCTCCCCTTCACTTTCCTTCTCATTTCAATTAACATATTACTGTCTGTCATTCATTCATACAAACATCAGCCTCGGCTTCACTTTCTCTGAATGAAAATTTATATCCTCCTCCATAAATATCATTCCGCTTCCTCATTCCTTATATCACTAATGTTAACAACAATTGTTTCTGTTACTGTACGATTTCGAACCCCCTCCATTTTTTATCTAAAACGCGTTTCGAAACACACACACACACACACAGCGATTCTCTTCATTGTTCATCTGGACTAGAATCTTCATACATGTGTTTTTTGATGGCAGATTTGCATTTTCATACAATGTTGTACTCAATCATATGCTCCACTGGCCTAGTGAGCCCTATTTCATATCCATCATCATTCTGCATGTATGAAAAGACGGCATCACGTCACAATTGTGAAAAAAACGGCGAATCTATCTGTCATAAGTATTGTGTGTATATAGATCATTTCATCATAATCATCGATCACAGACTATGATTTCCTTTCCCTACTCTTCATCCCCCGTAAATTAACACAAGCTACGTCTTTCTTTCTTGTTGCTTATAGTCGATTGGGCTATTATTTGTGGATCTCAGCAAAACCTTTTGTGTGTGTGTGTGCGTATATTTGTAGGGACCGTTCATTCTGATTGTGGTGGTGGTTGTTGTTGTTGTCATTTCTTTTTTCTGCTTCCTTCTCGGCTTCTCTCACGCTTATAATTGTTGTTGTTGTTGTTGAAAATCTGTTGTGTAACCATAATCCAAGGAGAGAAAGTTACCACCTCCCTCTCAGTTTCCACCATCAACACCACCACCACCACCATCATCATCATCATCAATTGTAGCCATCACCAGCTATCATTTTGGATGATTTTTTTTTTCTTTACTTGCTGGTTTCGACAACGACTACGATGATCGCATCAACATTATAATAGTGTGTATATATTCGACGATTATCTCAGATATATACATGTGTGCGTGTTTGTGTGTGTGTGGAGTTTTGTCGTTATCGCGACCAGCTGTCGCGACCAAGTCGAGCAAGTAGGTGTGGCTGTTGAGCATCATTATTATCGATTGAAAGTAAATAATTATTTTAGTTTGTAGAATTTTTTTCAAATAATCAGATCTTATTCACCATCTTCAATAATAACAACAACAACAACAACAACGATATTATTTTAAATCCAATAATTAATTTGTTTCAGCCAAATATCCGTGTGATATGCAGCAATATTACAAATAGTCGAATCATGACCAGGAAATGATTTAAAATTTGAAATCTCAGGAATAGCCGGTACGTCAACGGTGTGTGTGTGTGTGTGTGTGTGTGTGTGTGTGTATGTTTTGTGCATGTGCGTGCTTTTTGAGAATTCGATTCGATAATGATTGGATTCTTTTGTCTTTCTTTTTTTCCTTACTTCCTTTATACCAACAGTGATAAATTCATTTCAACGATCCGACTATTCGATTCTAAAATCAATTCATCTTAATATATAATTTAAATCAACTACATTGATCATTGTCTCTAAATGTTTACCATAAGAATCTCAAATCATCATAATTATCCACAACAATTTAAGCAATTTAATGTTAATTATAATTATCACCATCATAACATTATTAATTATAAGAAATTAATAATTACTTCATCAATTCAAAAAACAAGAAAAACTAGACATTTAATGCAAACGAATAAGTGTGAAATTTATCTATTATCGATCCATTCAATTGGATCGAAATTAAACATCACCTGATATCATTCATTTAAACCATTAATTCTTGTAGCCATTCATCATCATATCCACCCACATTGTTCATGTTCGCTCAATGATCTCGTAATAATATAGTCTGCTATTGGTTATATATAATGAAAACATCTATTTTCTCAAGCAACAAATATTTAATACAATAAATGAAATTCATAGCCGTGCCACCACTATCAATCTAGGTCTAGATTTTTTTTTTTATTTATCCATTTAAAATTAATATATATTCAGATTTATCCTAATAGATAGATCACAATAAAGCTCTGTCTCTTTTTTTTAAATTATATTCTTTACTTTTTCTCTTGTATACCAGATTTTGTTTAGTTACAATCAGTTTGCCTACAACAATAGATCGATTAATCAATCAATCAAAATTTTAATAATTATTGTTTCACCTTTCTCTCTCTCTCTCTCTTTCTCACTCTCTTTATTTAAATTCTGATCTGGTCGAAATGAAAAAAGAAAATTTCCATACACCGGGGGATGATTGGACATAATCTTCATATTTCTATTGTTAATAGCGGCATTGATGATTCAAAAAAAAAATTGTGACAATCATCTTCATCATCATCTGCATCTTGGTTGTCATTCATTTGTCCTAATCATCATCAACCTCCATAAATGAATGAATAAACAGCAACTTCATTCATTCATTCATTCATTATATTTGAAAAAAAAATATTTGAATTTTTTTTTTCTTGTTCTTCTGTAATCACAAAAATTAGCAACCACGAATCCCATAAATCAGAACCGAAAACTAAATCCGTCCAAAACGGATAATTTTCACGTACAACAACAACAACAACAACCATCTTCATCATTTTCAAATCATTTCGATCCATCTTTATCATCACGTCATTTGTCTTCTGGTAGGTGTTATCATCATCATCATCATTTCTGGTTATCATTATCATTTTTATCATCACTATTATAACATATAAAGTGTTATATAACTTAAACATTTTAAACTATGTAAAAAAACTGGAAAATTGTGTAGCCATCTATTTCCCTTTTTTTTCTTCTTTTTCTATACGATGACAAATGTGTCCTATAGGAAAAGGAGTAGGAAGTGAAAACTAGAAAAAAATAAAGCTTTATCATATTCTCCACCGCTCCAACAACGTCCAAATTTTTTCAAACAGATTTTACTTCAACATGTGTTCATGTGTGTATTATTACTTATTTATTTTTTTTAATACACATAGTCTTCTTCTCTCTATGTGCAAATTTTTTCCATGTTTTCAGTCAGGCTTCAGTTCCTTTTTTTTCTTCACAACCAAAAATGAATAATTTCATCTCTTTCCCCTCCCATTAACAATGGCTTAAAAGAACGATAAAGTCTTATTTTGATTTTGTTTTTTCGTTAATGAGAGAAAGGAAAGAAAAGAGAGATGAAGGAGATGAAAATAAAAGTTGCTAGCATCATTCTCATAAAATAAAATATGACATTTTGTCGCCTTCATCCAATAATAATAAATAATCATTGATCAACGATGATCATATAAACACAACAACAACAATAAAAATCTAACCGCAATTAATATGATTTGAAAAAAAATCATCATAATCATCATGTATTGTGTTTTTTTTTTGTTCATTGCATTTAAAATTGAATTGAGAAAAGAAAAATCTGCTTTGTGAAGAGAAATTCATTATTTATTGAGAATTCAAGGAAGTGATCTTTTGATTTTTTTTTCGATGATGATGAATACAAATGATAGATAGATTTAGAGAGAAAGAAAAAAAAGAGAAACCAAAGAAAGTGATACCTGACTTGTATAGATAATCAGATTTCGCGCCGAAAAAAAAATGAAATGAATGAGACAATGAGAGAAAGAGAGAGACTGGCCTGAACACATGTATTACCGAATATTAATAATAACTGGACTGTAATTGAAAAAGCCAAAATTGAAAAATTCTCTTCTAAAGGAAAAAAAAATTATAATAATAATTGTATATTGCCGGTGAAATTTGGTTTTTTTTCTATTTTTATATTGATTCGATATGAAGCCATTGGACAATTTTTTTTTTACTTTATTCATTTTTATTCATTTCGTCGACATTGATGATGTCCATTGATATATCAATTGATTCGATCAATGATTTCTTCGATTATTTAATGAGAAATTTTTGATGGCCACATACAGACCAAAAATCGTGACAATTGTGGTGCTAAATTGTTGTTGATGTTTGATGTTTGATGTTTGTCTAATGTCCTTCGATAAAGACAATTTTTTTTTTCACCAATGGTTGACATTGTACGAATGTCCCTGTGTGAACATTCGATTCTAAATTATGAAGGAAAAAAAATTTATAATAATGTTATACAAGATTCATCATCATCATTGAATTATACAATCAAATGTTTCCTTCTATATTATATTATTAAATTTTTTTTTCAGGCCTATTTGAATTTTTTTTTTTTTTTTTTTTTGAATAATCGACAAACAACAATCAAATTTGAAACAATCAAAAATGGATTTGATCCTTCGTCATATTACGAGGATTTCTCTCTTGCGAACACACACACACACACACAAACAGCGGTGTATGCCATTATGTCATTTATTCAATGAATGAATTGATGTTTTTTTTCTTGTTAATATAACACAATAATCACCAAATATGACCAATTACTTGATCCAAAAAATTGACTTTTGGATCGTATTTTTTACTTTTTTTAAATTCTTGACAATCGACTTTACATTCTCATTCAAAAATCATAGACATCTTCGATTTTTATTTTTTATTCTTGTGAATAATAATAATAACTGCAATTACTTGTATATAATATATGATCAGCATTGGAATTTATAAGCAAAAAACATTCAGATATCCTCCTTTTTTTGAGTGTGTATGTGTGTTTGTATATAATTATATTTTTATTATTTCTATTGAATCAAGTTTTTGAATCCATGTTTGTTTTGTATGTTTGGATTTTTTTTTGCATATAGAATTTTTTTTTTTCAAAAAATTTATCCATGTTATTATACTTTTGATCCATTATCCATGTATATTCATTATGATGATGATGATGATGATAATTTGACCACAAAGTGACTAAGTTCAACCCGTTCAATTCATTCAGCCATTCATCCATCCGTTGCATTCATTTGTTATTCAAGTGTGAACTTGTCTCTTTTTCCCTAATAACTAAATAGTATTTCCAATTTAAACTTTTACAGTAAGCCATTTTTTCTTTCTCTTGCTCTTGCTTTTGGTTCAAGTTTCACTCTTTAGGATTTTTTTTTATAATATTTATTTCAATTTTGGCTTTACTTTGCTCTATCTCACGTTTTTTTTTCTTTTCATTCATTCATTTGTTTGTTTCAACGTTGACGGCTGAATATATCTTGTAAGACCATTGAATGAAACTCGTGTTCTTATTGATCATCATTAAAACTTTGTTCCGTTTTTTTCTTTCTTTTGTCTTCAATTGTTCGTGCAATTCTCATTCAACGTTTGAATCATTTGTTCCAAATTTTATTTGGAACAACATATGGACTGTTTTATTTTGTTTTTTTTTTTTGTCATTGTTTCTGTTTTTTTTTTGTTTTGTTTTTGTATGGATTAATATTTTTTGAAAGACAAATTGAAAATATTAAGCAAAAGATAATAATAATAATAATAGCAGATTGATTTTGGATTGATAATTTGATTTCAATTATTATTATTATGAACAACGATGATAATAAACAATTGAATTTGCGATTATTGAAATTAATTATATCATTTGTTTCGTGGTCAAATTTTTTCTGATTTCTCAATTTTTATAATCATTATATTATAATCAATATAATGATAATCGACAAACATTTCTAAGTATAGCAAAAATTTGACCATTCATACTACGATTGCTTGATTCTAAGGATCGATTTTTTTCTGATTGTTTTGATTTATTTTTATCAAAACTTAATGTTTTTTTTTTTGTTATTGAAAATTTATAACAACAACAATTTATACAAGTAAATTTGATACTATTTTTAAATAGGTGAAATCGATGATCGTGTGGACGAATGCTGTTCGTCAATAGGAAAATTGTTGATCCACAGCAACAATCGTATTGCTGAGGACAAGAGCCATCATCATCATCATCATCATCATCATCGACATCGAAATCATATAAATTCTTTTACTCATCATCAACCATACGACCGCTACCATCATCACGAACAGCATTCAAATATTACGATGACAATCGGTCACCATCATCATAATCATCATTACAATAATCGTCATCATTATCCATCATATCATGATCATTATCATGATGATTCACCGCTACTTCCGCGTATCGAATTCCCATCCAGTCAATTCGATCGATTATTACGGGGTTCTTCATCGGCGGGCGGTGGTGGTGGTGGCAGTAGTGGAAATGGATCGTCAATATCGCAGAATAATAATCTAGATCGTCATCATCATCATCATCATCGTAATCATAATAGCCATTCATCGTCATCATCCAATTCTTCATCACATCATTCACATCGTTTTACCTCTTTGACAAGAAACAATTCCAATTTATCATCAACAACGACAAATTCGACTACGACAAATACATCATCAACGCGTCATCATCATCATCATCATCATTCGTGGAAGAATGGATACATTGATGGTGGACGTAAAAAATAATATCGAAAGGAAAAATGAATGGTGTGATGGTCTTACAATTCTTTTTTGTTCTCCACCGAAAACTCTGATCTTTGAATTGTATTCTTTTTTGTTTCTCTTGTATAAAACATTTTTTAATATTTGTAAAAAAACTGACTATATAAAACCAACTTGTCATCATTATTATCATTATCATTATCATCATCATCATCTTGATCATCATTATCATCATTTACGATTGCATCTCGCCATCATCAATACTTGCGTGTGTGTGTGTGTGTGTGTGTATGTGTGTAAATATATAAATGTATCAACAACACCCATTTCGTCCTACCATCATCCGAATCGATCGAGCTATATTTTATTCTAAGAAATGTTTTACAATACAATTTTTTCTTTGCCACACACACACACACACACACAATCACATCTTCCAATTTACAACAAAAAAAATCTATTTTATTATTAAAAAAAAAGAATTAATTACATGAATGTTTTAATATTGCATTCGTATAAATTAATTCTTTCTATATAGGGGAAAAAATTCTATATTCTTATAATCGATCTGAACTAAGGATGAATTGATAATAATATTTTTTCAATTTACTAATTGTCCTTTTCAATGATATATAAAATATTTTTTTTTTGAAAAAATAATAAATTGCAATTTTATTTTTATAAGAAAAAAAAACGACGACGACGACAACAACAACAAACATCATTTTGTTTTCATGAATAAATAACAAAATATAATAATGAAATGTCGATAAAATTTAATTAAATGATGAATGAATAAAAAAAAAATTGAAGGTAAAAAATTTTAGTTATAACATATATTAATTATATGGGAATTTTTTCATCATTTTCACAACATTGGTTTAGCATAAATAAAATCATGATTCTGCTATTCGATCAATGAATGATATTCAATGATTTTCTAATGGTGTATTCAAAATGTTCATGGTGCTATCAAATAAATGTTTGGCGGCCATTGCTAGCTCGATGACAAGGCAACACGAAGATATACATACACACACACACACACACACACACACATAAATTGACTTTTCGATATTAATGTTGATGATGATGATGCTGTTGAAAAAGAAAACTCGGAAGTAACTCGTTTGTCGTTTCATTTTCATCATAATCATCATCATGATGTTATGATGGTGAGTAATGGCCTCCATATTATATTGCCTTGTTGTTGTTCCATCATTATTATTATATATATAAACACACACTCTTCTATGAGTGTGTTCCCACATGTGACCGCCATTTTGGCCATCCAGCTAATAATCGTCATCAACGAAAGATCGTCATCATGGATCCATGAACGCTTTGGCTTTTCATTGATCCTCTCGAATTTGCTCTCGTTCATTTTTTCTTAGTGTTCGATTTTCGTACGATGATGATTCGTTGAGTTTGAATTATATTATTATTATTTCGATTTGCGTTAAATTCAATATATTTACGATCTCGAATAACAATCAAATTAATACCAATGATGATGATGATTAACATGATGATGATGATGATGAATAATCATCGTGCAGATTTATTAGTTTTTATTTCATAGATTATAATTAGTATTATAGTCATTCTTGTAATTCATGATCATCCCTACTATGATGGTGTGGATGGACATTGATCCTTGTTCATCGTATAGTTATAAATCTTCTCGTTAGCCTCAGCAATATATTCAAGGTTTAACGACAATGTTCGAACATAATCAATCATTTTGGATGAATCTATTTGCTTGTTTGTCTGTATGCACCAAATGATTTTCGATTTTGATCGAATTTGGACGATAATTTTAAATTGTACTACAATTATTGTGGATATATTTCTCCGATGAATTCGAATTTGAAGTTTAAATTTTTAGCACACAGCTTATTTGAAAAGACCATGTGGGTGTCAACAAATATATTTGTTTGCGCGCTTTTGTTTTATTGTTTCAACATCTGTCTATTATTGAATTAGTATTTTGAATTATCACAGCATATATTTTGCTCATAAATTTATAAAAATGGATTTTGAGGAAAACAATCTTGAAGTTGAAGTAGATGAGCCATCAATTGATCAAGATTATGTTGAATCGAATGCAAAACATGATGATTATTTCGACAATGATGACATGAAAGATGATTATTTGTAAGTCAATGATATTTGACTGAAAAGATTCTTTTTATCAGTTATATTTTTTTAATCATTATTATTTCACTTCATAGATTTGATATTCCAGAATTATCGCGAATCATTCTATACTTTGGCAATTCTTTGAATGATAAAGAATGGATGTGTCAAAAAGTAAAGTCCGATTTTGATCTTAATTATATGACGCCAACGATTGCTTTAAAAGAACCATTCAAATTTATGTCATCTAAATTTCTCGAGTCCAATGAAGCACTCAATGATCATTTGGATAATTTCATATTTGAATTGAAAAATTTTTGTCAAGAAAACGACACCGATTCGAATGCAGATCAGAGCTTAATAAAAGATATAGCCGATGAAGATTCATTGACCACTCGAATGAAAACTAAAACCGTTGTTGAAACATTGTATGCTGGCCGGATACGCTACGGTATGACGAATGGCCAATTAAACCCTCAGATTATACAACTTGAAGGTCCTTTTTCATTGAATCGTGGCGAAATCATTCCATTAGATTTATCACTTTTCAAGAATTCACCAAATGAAAATGGTGAATTAGATTTCTCTTTATTTCCTGGTAAGATTGTTATTTTGAAAGGACAAAATTTCACCGGCAACTATATCAGTGTAACAAAATTTATCGATTATGCTAAATTTATTGTGCCCGATTTCCCACTGAAATGTCCACCGGTGTTACTGGGCCAACATTCATTCAATATCATTTGTGCTTGTGGGTCTTTCGTGAAATTTGATCCTCATTCTAATAAAAAAAATGATCCAACTGATACGAGCTACATGCAAGCAATTGCTGATTATCTTAAAAAATATAATCCGGATGTTTTGCTTTTGTTCGGTCCATTTTTCGATGAATCACAATTGGATGCAATTCAAAAATGGTCCCTGCAAGATACGTTGGTGGATAATTCCTACCCATATCAATGGAGTTTGGAACGATTAATTCAGCATCAGATTCGTGCATTGATGGATATAATTGAAAGCCGATCGATACATACGAAAATTGTAATCATACCTTCATCTAATGAATTGGGCCAAGCAAATGTTTATCCGATGTATCCTATGGAAAACAAATTCGCTAAGGAATATTCAAATGTAAGATCTTATTCGAATCCAGCATTATTAAACATCGGTGGCATATCCTTCGGTGTTACATCAACGGATATTCTGTTACATTTAAGTCGAAAAGAAATTAACAAGTTAGTGTTTTTCATTGCAATAACAATTATTCTCAAAAATAATTTTTTACCTTTATATACAGCATCAAATCGACAAACACGAAAATTCAATCAGAACGACTTGAACGTTTGTGTGGGCACATTATCTCACATCGTCATTTCTATCCATTATTGCCACCTGATCAAAGTGTCAATATGGAATACCCATTGTATCATCATTTATCAATGGTTGTCACCCCACATATCCTTGTTATACCTTCAATGCTTCGGCCATTTGTTTACGTAAGTTTAATGATATGTTGATAATTAAACTCGTTTATATGTGACAATAATATTTACGCTCTGTTTCAGAACATCAATGGAACTATCGTTATAAATCCAGGTAAAATAATAAAAAATACAATTGCACGAATCATGTTTGAACCGTTTAAAAATGAAAAAGATTATAGCGGTTCTTTATATCAATATACGAATGTGGAAATAATCAAACTTAAACATTGAACAAGTGATAAAATTAAAAATTTGTGATTAATAAAACAGCTTCAATCGCATGCGCGTGTATAAAAATGTTCGCATTTTGTTTTGATACGCCGTTTCTCAATTTTTATAAGCTTTAACTTATGATCCACATTGTTGACAAGAATGTTTCGGGGATCAAAAGCCGAAGTTTGTGTAATCGGTGCCGGAGTTGTGGGTTTATCGTCGGCTTTGAATATCTTGCAAACAATCCCGTCGGTTAGAGTTACTATTGTTGCTGATAAATTTCTGGATAAAACTCTTAGTTTTGGAGCCGGTGGTTTTTTCCGTCCTGAAATCAATATTGGCCGTGATCGACAATCGATTGAGCAATGGGCTAATGATAGTTATCAGCATTATTCATTCCTTGCTTCTAATGAACCAGAATCTGGCAATAGTTTTATTTCGGGTTATCAACTCAGTACTTATTCCGCTGAAAGTATGCAAAATGAATTGGTGGCCAAATTAACCAATTCAGTGAAAGTAATGTCAGATGATGAACGGTGGAGACTTTTTCCTGAACAATTCAAATACGGTATAACTTGGACAAGTATCATTACTGATCCTCGACATTATTTGCCTTATATGCAACGGAAAATTGAAACTTCAGGTGGTACTTTTGTAGAACGCCATATCGATTCGTTTGATGAATTATCCGACTATGATGTGATTGTGAATTGTACCGGATTACAAGCGGCAAAACTTGCCAATGATTTTCGTTTGATTCCAGTTAGAGGCCAGGCATTCAAGGTAATTGCACCATGGATTAAACATTTTTACTTTGCCGATGGTGCTTATGTGCTTCCCGGACGAGATTACGTTACCGTAGGTGGAATCAAAGAATTCGGATCAAGCAACATGGCTATAAGTAAATTAGATAGTTTTTCCATTTGGAAACGATGCACGGAAATGGTACCTAGCCTACAAAAAGCTGAAATCGCATTCGAATGGGTCGGATTACGGCCACATCGCCAACCAGTAAGAGTTGAACATGAATATCATCTATTACCCAATGGAATCGGCAACGATATTGTTCATAATTATGGTCATGGGGCTCATGGTATCACATTATCATGGGGAACAGCTATAGAGGCTACTCGTCTAGTATTCGAATCGCTTAATCATAAATCGAAATTGAAATCAAAATTATAGAGTCATCTTATCGTATGTTATCACATTTTCTATTTTTGATAATAAATACAAAAATGACTGCAGCAATGTTAAACAAACTATATCAAATCGATCAAATGATGAACATGTTGTGGTTAAAAATTTTCATTTTCATATGGTTATGGATAATGACCTGCTATTGTAAGAAAACGCAGGTTAAGATTGCCCATTCATCCGTTAATAATTTCCATGGGTAAGCGACGTATTATTGAATTTATTCGGCATATTGATTAACGATTGTGTTTTGTATGAAGACATCTTGATTTCAAACATATCGATGAAAATTTATTGAATCAACGTCATCGAACAGATGTGAATGCTAGCATTGGATTGAAGCCAAGAAATTTTATAGGACCGGAAATTCTGAGAGAATTATTGGATGAATGCTGTATTTATGAAGATTCTAAATATTATTATCGTGTTTGTATGTTTCGTAACATAACCCAGCATGAAAAATCAAAATATTATTATCATTCGTTTCATGCTATACTCGGTATATGGAAGCAATGGTATGTTTCGAGTGAAAATTTTGATTTTCTTCACTATATCAATGGAGATGAATGTATGGCTGGATTTCAAAGACAAGTTGTCCTTAAATTTGAATGCCAATTGGCAGGAGAATCTAAAGATTTGTTATGGATTAGCAACGTAACCGAAATACATCAATGTATTTACCTTATAAAGATGAAATCACAACTATTTTGTGGTAACTTGATAATTAATATATTCTATGAACCAATTTTCTAATGTGCTTTTTCAAGATTTAGGAACTGTTTATTCACATCTAGATCCGATAGGTCAGATTGAATGGAATTTAATCGATTCTTTACACTCGAAGAATCAATTATCGAAACAAGAATATACAACATATTTACAATATATCCTGGATGATTATGGTTTGAAATTGTTGATAGATGGGCAAACTTTTGAAGATATTGTACGTGTTGATAAGAGAGAATCTATAGAGCAGAATGATCAAAAGAAATTTCTAGATGAAATCACATCACTGAAGAAGAAACTGGACGATTGTGAGAATTCATTGCTTAATAAAAGGTCGATTAAAAATTGAATATAATTGTTTGGCTTTAGCGATCGAAATGCCAGGGCAAATTGTTAGCTCATCAATTTTCGCTTCCGTTAGATTCTCCACCGTATCGAATGTCGATAACAATGTGATTGCATTAGTTCGATTAATGTGTTTAACACTGGTTAATGCATCAATTACGCCATTACTTTGATTCGCATTCAATTTCTTTTTCATCGTTGATGATGATGATGATGATCTCCCGACTTCTTCATCATCAAACGCTCGTCCCATAATTATATTAGGTGATTTGTCAGCATTTACACGATAATTTTCAATATGTTTAGCTGCTTCTTCAGGTGACCATGCGACCAATAAAGTAAAATTTGCTCTAATCGCCATTATAGTCAGCTCTTTGAGTGGATTCTCATATATTGGATGATCAATGTGCAAAATCAGCAAAGATAATTGATATGTGTTTCGAAGTTCTTTCACACGATCATAAATGTAATTTGGATTGGCAATATGGTAAACGAGACTGAGAAACAGAGCGCAACAATTGTCGTTGAGTAAAAAATGTGCCGGTGATATTGAATCCGTAAAAACTGGACGAACATAACATAACTCCTTTAACAATTTATTCTCTCGTTGATTAGAATTTACTGACAAAAGAAATAACAAAAATTATATTCAAAATAAAACCGAACAATTTCATACCGAGAATGGTGTTGGTCCCCTTAAACGTTGTTGGTATACTAACGGATGGCTTATTTTTTATAGCAGTAAAATCAATCTGTTGTGATTGAATTTGTTCCATCCGTTCTTCGGCCCTCTTCGGGATCTTTGGCTTTATCACCACTTGGCTTAATATTTCATCACAATTCTCATCATCAATGTCGTCATCGAATTCGAATGAATCAATTTTTTCAGTTTTTTTCGGGTCTCGTTTGAAAATGTATCCAGGTTTAAAATATTTTGATGATGTTGGCTTGTCATCTTTATTACATTGATCCATGATCACAAATTAATTGTGCTGATGATGATTCTACAATAAAGTTTAAAATTGAGTAGAGGATACTAAAACTAAAAAGAAACAAATTAGAGAGATGGCGTTGTTGGTAACATTCTATATGATGGGACATAGATGCTGTTGGATTGTTGAATGTGAATGTGAATCTCGATCAGTTCGAACTTTAACATGCTTGTTTTGGTTTCATTTCTAATTCGGGTATAATTTAGATCTCGATTTAGCTTGGATATATAATCATTTAATTGGGCCACTCGAATTAATAAACAAAATGTCTTTGATGAGAAATTCATTGACCATCGGTTTGGCAGCTTTTGTTGCCTATTGTGTTTATTTTGATCGTAAACGTCGAAATGCTCCAGATTTTAAGGCTAAACTTAAAGAAAGTAAGCATTTTCAACAATTGTGAAAAATGATAATTTTTTTCTAAATCCGTTTCTGTTTAAAGAGCGTTTAAAAGCCAAAAGATCAAAGGAAAATTCACTGGAATCAGATATTCCATTATTTACCGATCCAAGTGAATTACAACCATATTTCTTAAAAGAAGTACAAGCCAGCGATGATCTTTTAATGAATGGTTTGTACTTTATATTCACTATTACTGTATTAGTTATCGTTTATCCAAATTTCGTTTCATAGGAGATTATGAGAAAGCCGCTTTTCATTTGGCCAATGCAACCGTGGTTTGTTCCCAAAAGAACGAATTTCTTGCAGTCATGCAAAAAACATTACCAGATCCTGTTTTTCAATTGTTGCTACAATATTATCAAGTTGCTAATGAAGTAAGTTGAGAATTATTATTCCATTATAACCAAAATTTAATTGATTTTCTAATATTTCATTTGTTCATCATTTATTTTTTATTATTAAGCGTTATTTGAAAAAGGTTATGACAAATGAACTTTTAAAGCAAATGTCTCAACCGAAACAATCAACAATATCAATGATCGGATCGAAAGGACAACAATTCGATGATACCGATATCGAGTAATTGATACAAATTAAGGAATTGGGAATGTTGTTCATTCATGTCGTAGGCTGTTAATTTTTTTCATTTTACCGTGCATATTAGTTAACGTTGAACAAAAAAATATACAATTATGCTCTTTATTATATATAATTATTATGATATACATGATAATATTAAATAACATTAAAGTTCAGTCATCATTACCATAAATGCATTATTTTAAAAATTGGTTCGAAAATAATGAGTGAATGTAGCGAAATCTAGTGATACTGGAAACCATTTCTAAAAAGGCAGCATTTTACATGTCACGTGTCTGTTGATTTGATCAACAATCGTTAGATTTGGATATAACACCCATGTTATCTCACTAATTTGATGGTGAGTGGTGGAATTTTGCACACGATTGTTTCTTCTTTTATGATTGGATTCTATAGAATATTGTGATATTTGTATAGAACATGGGCGTACAAGGGCTTTTGTCGTTTATGAATCGAAATGATTATTTCAAAATTCATCAATTAAAAGACACGGTTCTGGTCATCGATGGGTATAACTTAGTTTACCAACAATTTTTCAAATATCAACAAAATGTAAATGATCATATGTATGGTGGAGATTATGATCAATTGGCTCGACATGTTCAACAGTTTTTCAAGAGTCTTCTAAAATGTAACATCCAACCGATCGTTGTATTTGATGGAGCGATTGATCCATCATTGGAAAAATTAAAAACGTTGCTCAAACGTGTCGATATAGCGTTGAATAATGCCCATAAGATCTATGCCAATAATTATTTCATTGAAGGTGTTATGCCTTTGTTGGCCGACAGTATCTATAGGTTGCAATTGGAACGTCTTGGTATTCCAGTTTTCCAGACCTGTTATGAAGCGGATCAAACTATCATACAAATTGCTTATGATCTTGAATGCCCCATTCTTTCTAATGATAGTGATTTTCTTCTATTTAACCTTCCAGCTGGTATTGTAAATCTTCAATCATTATTCGATTTCGATGTGGTCGTTAATCGTGATTCTGATGATCATTATTATATTAGATGTCGTTATTATTGCGTCGAAAATCTTAAACGACCATATCCAAAAATTAATCTGGATCTTGTACAAATTATTGGATTTATGTTGGGTAATGATTATGTGGATAATGAAACTATGGCAATGTTTACCCGGCGAATATCGTCACATAAAGATCGACAAAAATTAATCAACGATGTTTTCATATGGATCGCCAAACATGACACATTAAAGTCATTGATCGGTCATATGGGTGTCATTTTGAGAAACACTGATCACCATTTAATCGAAATCATTAAGAAACATTATTTGCTATTGGAAAGGTCCATTCATACTCAAAAACCAATCGATCATCGAACTTATCTTGAGGAAAATATATCTAGATTGTTCATTGAAAATATTAATATTCCAAGGTGGATGCGATCTAAATTTGTTCATAAACAAATTCATTGCCGCCTATTGTCAATCATTAATGCCCGTATCGATTGGTGTCGACCATTAGTCGAGGATTTTTCCTACCCACAATCATCATATGAGACTGCCAATGAATTGTTGCAATGTATATACGGTATTCTGAGATCACAAGATAAAAACACAGCAAAAATTAAAAGATATTGTCGTAAAAATATGGAATTCAAAGCACATGCTATAACACCGATTATTAACATGGAGAAAAAGTTATTGCCAAAATTATCAGCTATCGAACAAATGGACTCTCAAGAACGAAAAAGTCTTTTCTTCCAGATTCTGCAAATAAAACCAGAAGTCTATGAATCGCTTATGAAGCTTTTAGATCGTCTAAAAACGTGTTGTTCAATTGATCATTCAACGATAATAATTCCATTTTCATCTATGTTACTTGCTCTTCTGTATATGTTGCGTAATTTTCCTGATCATATCTGGCTTGAATTCGTGTATGCCATCTTCATGAATATATGGTTCACTGGTTATCTTTGCCATGGTACAAATGGACCAATATTTCTCAAATTAGATTCGATAAGTCGTCAAACGATTCAAAATAACCTCATTCAATTTAGTTCGTTACCTGTTTTAAGCTGTTCAAAAGTTTATATGCCACGATTAGTACATTTTTACAATTCATTTCAAACATGTGTGGACAATATCGATTTTCTTGGCCAAATTTTCAATCTGAAACATATATTCAATGCCGACATTATGTTATGTGCATTGAAAGGAACTTTCATCTACAACCTTACAGCTGAACTATGCTCGCGACCAAAACCCTTTCTTTATATTCAACAATTACTCCAGAGACAAAAATTTAAACCGTTAGACATTCTCATCGAAATGTTTAATCTTATTTTACATGAAAGTGATAGATATATGTTAGCCAAAAACCGTTTATTGGCCGATTCAGATATTGTTACCAAAAGTTTAAAATGTAAAATCACAAATACAATTACGCCAAATAACAAATATTTTGTTCGAGCTTTCGATTTTACATCAAAGAAAACCCATGTGAATAGCCAAAAATTAAAATTGCACAAGTGAACTTATTATGAACTTATCGTCGAATGTTTATTATGTGTGTTACATTTATTCAAACATAAAAAAGAATTTCAGGAATTTGGCCATCTTCAATCGATGTACCATTGTTACACCCAGCAGCATAACTAAATTGAAATGTTACCGTATCTTTGCCATTGTGTCCTTTGTCAAGATTAACAGTCAATGTACGACATCCATTCGTTCCATAATAGGAATCGATACCCTGCAATTGATAAAAAAAATTATTCCTGAAAGCATAAGTATAATAATGTGAACATACTTTCAACGTTGCACAAGCAGTATAATTAGTATTTTGAGATATCTCGACAGGATATTGAAACATAACTTTGAATGTCGAATCAGATCCATCTGACATGAAACGTGTATTATTCGAAGCGATTACTTTTTCCGAACCAGTATGAATTATTTCAATAATCGCTTCGTACTCCGATTGTCCTTGGATGGAACCATAAAGACCAAAACCGATTACAAATATAGGACGATCAGTTAAGAAACGAATACGATCACTTGATCCGGAATATCCCCAACGACTTTCTGTTCGTTGAAATCTATTCACGGAATATTCTTCGCCAGTGATACAACAACGAGGTTCAAATGAAAACGGTATAGCACATTTGGAATCAATAGTATAGTAAAGAAATAAATTTACAACTTCTTTGTCGGTCAACAAGCCGGATTGTGCGGCTGTCATGGCAAATTCTTCGATCGTCATCAATGGAAATCGGAGTAGATAGACAGCATCGCCTAGAATTTGTCGTTTGTTTTCGGTATTGACCTGCAAATTTTTGCGAATACATTCTGATTCAGCCCATTTCAATATAGCAGCAAACAACGAAGCTTCCCTAATTCGTAAAGTATCACGACCAAGAACAATTTTCAATGTATTCAGGTCAATGTCGAGAAAATATTCCGATTGAAGTGAATTAATTGTGTGTTTATCAATGGTATCCAAACATAATTCAGCCAAATTCGTTTCATCGAATAATCGAGCTTGTGTTAATAACATGAAAGCATTCTCTGGATTCAGATTGGCTTTCAAAAAATTGACACATTCAGCTTCTAACGATAGGATTTCATATTTTTTTGCAGCATATAATGTAGTCATTACAGTTTCAGCGTCAATATCTACTTCATCCAAATATAAAAAACGAAGCAAAGCTTTAAATGCTTCTGGCTCAATGTCAGGCAGTTCAATCTCATGAGTATCATCTTCTGTTCCATCTATTCTATCACCACAATCAGAACTTTTGGATAAAAGTCCATTAAACATTGCATTGAATACAGCACTACCAATCGAAAGTACAAATTTATGTGCTGCAAATCGTGTTTTCGATTTTTTTCCAACAAGAAAATATACATCGGCTAAAATATCACGATTGAAAATGGTAGCCATTCTGTGTTTCAATGTAGGCATGTATGCTTGCCAATTATGCGAACGATTATTCAATATTTTTGGTGATTCCATGGCTGTCAATGCTGATACTGGGAGACCAGTGGATGAACTGGTCAATGTCGTTACAGCAGTAGATGTAAGGTTCGTATTCGAACTGTTTATATTGTCAATATTAGAATGATTGCTTATGATCTTGGTTGCCTGGATCGAACTAATCATTTCCAAATTGTTTCCGTTATCTTTTTGCTGTTGGTAGTTACTCTTGATTAATTGTTGATTCATATGTTGTTCCAACAATGACGGACCTGTTGTTCGAATATTATGAAGTGGCTGATGCTGATATTGAGAATGATGAAGATGATTATTACAATTACATTTATGATTACAATTATATGCAAGTGAATTGATCATACTACTACAATTGCTATTTAAACAAGTATTATTATTACTGCCAAAATCAGCGATTCGATTTGTTTTGGATGTAATATTCATTTCTATGGTTTTCAAACAATGCTTCAAAAAATTCATATTGTTTGGTATGGATGAACAATTGCGAATCATCGGAATATCATTCGAAGTAGATTGATGTTCATGGCCCACTAGTGATGAATGAGATTGTTTCGAACATTTATGATTCACTGGTCGCATTGGATCCTATAATTTTGGTAAAAATTATTATTCTAATTAGCTTTTGAATAATGTTGAGAATTACCATTGATAAATTATTTGGTGGAATATCTAAAAAAAAATAAAATAAAATAAACGGTTTACAGATGAATATGGATAAAGCAAAATAATGACGTACTCGAAACGGTAATGTTATTGAAATCAGTGATAAAATCAAAATCTTCAGAATCAGTCGATGAGCTTAATTGAATTGAATTAGCATTATTGTTTATTCTCAATGCAGATGATTGCGGATCAATGATTGGATGATTTCCATTCCCTGAATTCGAAAAAATTTGTGATGAAGAACTGTCCAAACTTTGCTCATCATCATCCGATGATTGATCCATAGGTTTCTGATTTAAATTATTTAAGACTAGATTAAGTTTGCTCATCTGTTTCGATGTTGACGGCAATATAATACATTTTTCCGTTGCTGTCGAAGTTGGCATTTCTTCTTTATTCACATCATTTATCGATTGGCTCGAAACTTCTGTAGAATCATTGCTTTCAAATTCTACATTTATCTTGGCTTTTGAATCATTCATCGAGCATACATCGTTTTTGTTGGAAAATGAAGTTTGAGCATTAGATTTGCTAGCCACATTCGTTTTGTTAGTCGAAATGGATTTTTTTAATATTCCGGAAACACTTTTACGATGGCTAGAATTAGGATCGTTATCTTTTTTAAACATGATGATACCTAAAAATTTATTATCGAAATAATTTGGGATTCTCGTTTTTTTTGTTGTTTATTAGTGATTGTTAGTTGCAACCATTTACATAAAGATGTCGCTTTATTCTTAGATTTGATTTTTATAGACTGATATATATAAAACAACTCATGAACAAATATTACGAATTTTTGGTCAGCTTTTAATTTACAAAAAGAAAAAAGAAAAAAAAATGTCACAACGCAAAATATTTTTTGAAACAACAAAACGTTTAAATTTTTCACCTAAATCGCTCTCATTAGGTTTAGATTTATATTGGTAGATTTTATATAGAACGATTTAATGGGATAAAGCCCTTTCAAGTTACGAATGATGTGTGTTCGGTGAGATGTTTGACATTAATGACTAAATAGAAAATCAAATTTTTTTTGTTAGATTCAAATGAGATTAAAAATAAAGTTAAATAAAGATGAAATTAGGACAATTTCTTTTCGATTGCCATTGGTGAAGTAGCCGTTGAATGTAGCGTTTTACGTAGCTGTAATAATGACATTAAATATGTAAATACAATGCACAGAGAATTACTAAGTGGAAAATAGAAAGACTTTAGCCGGCTATTCGATAAAGATGATGATCCAGAGGGGTTTGGATGAGTGATAGAATTTTGCCCAGGATGATTACGATTCCATGAAATACGACCATTTTTACAGATAGTTTTAAAGCGATTAAATTGTTTAGGAAAAGATTTGACCAATTCGTTCAGATAGCAATAAAGCCGATGACAACGGTAGAAGAATTCTTTGCTCAATTTTAGTACAATACTATGACAGAGACATAGTGTGAGAGCAACCAGAAAAGCGCCATTATAGCCCAATACTAAATGATAGTTTCGTATCCAAACAATTTGGCCGAAACTACCGAAAAGATCGAAATTGGTGATGCCAACTGTACGGAAAAATATTGGCAATGCAGAACTTAATATCAGGACCAAAAGGCAATTTAGCATTATCTTGAAGAATGGTGTCTGACCTGCAATCGGTCGAAGACATCCAAGACCAGGTAATGAATATAAACCAACAAGTGATGCACACCAAATGTAAAAAATTAACAATGTTTGAACTGATGCTCCTAACAAGCCCATCTTTGAGAAAGAAGCGATACCCAACACTAATGGTTCAGCGCTTGTATCTTCGAAATTAAACAATGTTACCAACAAATTTATCAACACAATGGCACAAGAAAATGCCGTTGTAACAATCAATAATGCCATCGCAAGCGGATACATTAACCAAGGAATTTTTGAACGAATCCATGAAACGGACAATTTCATAGACAGTTTTTGCCGTTGGTTTTCATGTTTTTCAATTGTATCGACTAAAGCTTCTGGAGATAAAGACTTTAGATCTAAAATAAAAAAAAGATTAGAATAAAATAATTATTTTAAATGATTTTATACCATTTAATTTCGAATCTTTGATCAATGGAAGGAGATCGATTGAAAAAACTTTCGATGCATTATCGCCATATTTATTTCGATATCGGATGAGCAACTGCTGACGACTAAGCAACACAGTTTCTTTAATAAGAATTCGATCATATTTTTCGGCTGTTGAATTGACTGAATATGGACGTGTCATGTATTCGTCTAGCAAAATGACCAGATTTAAAATGCCTTTTGGTGTACAAACCAATAGTAGAATGGCTCCAGCAAATGATATACAAGAATAGAGGAATGGAAAATTTAACCAAAATGTGATTAACTGTAAGAAATTCGGTTGAAATATGGGAAATATAGATGATAAACCGATGAATATACAAGATGACAATATGGTTAACGTTAAGGTTGTTTCCAGAAAAGCTTGCAAAATTCGTGAAAAGAAATTATCAGTGGATCGCGAAAATCCAGTCGATTCGGCGAAGAAATATGAAAACGGAATCAAAATGAAGCATAAATTTGAAAAGATAAATATACAATGCCATAGCTGCTTGATTAGCTTATCATTTAACCATCGTAAATTCGGGTATTGATTTTCCGGATAGATTAGGATGATTTCATTAGAAATGATGGTCATCGGCAATAGAAGACCAATGGCCAATGCAATAGCCAGGCCAAACATACATAATTTTACAGCTACATAATAGGTAAGTCGATCTTGTCGAGTTGAGGGAACCTATTTGGGGTGATCCAAATTGAATAAAACATAAAAAAAAGATAAAAAGAATTTACCTCGGAATTGAGATCTCTATTTCGATATTTCGATATGATGGCATTGGATATGAAACAAAGCATTGTCAATATTAAGACAATGATTAAATAGATGCGTATTACTTCGAAAAATTCTTGATATTGTTGCTCCAGTAGTTCATCATTATGGTCTTCTTCTTCACGAAAAAATTGTGAGTAATCAAACTTCATTATGGTGTCTCATATAATGTCTCGTTTTGATTTTGAATAAAAACAATAACATTGATTTAGCGATAACAGCAATCTTGTTGAAAAAAAAACATTAAATTATGAACGATAATTAGATTGAATAAATGAATCACAAATTTTCAAAACAAAAACAGAATTTTTATTTCTTAAAGCCACTCAAGACATATTTTTTTTAGTTAATATCTAGCTCAACATATTTGCCAACCATGACCAATTTAGTCACCAAATGATAAAAGTAAATAAAAATTCTGTTTTTTGTCATGAAGAAATTTTTTTTTGAGAGAAAGTAGGAAAGAGAAAAAAAAATTTAAGTGAAAAAGGAAATTGTTACATTGCGTTTTGAGTTGTTCCCTCAGCCAATCACCAGCTGTTAATGTGGTTGTTGGAAATAAAAGAATATCTTTTCTGTTTGAAATGAATTGTGTAATTTTTCAATTAATGATTGGATGTAGATGAATTTACAGCGATGTAATGATACAAAACGACAAGAAGAAATAGAGTTACGCCAAGAATGTTGGCAAAAATGGCTAACTGGACGTCAGTAATCATTTTGGCTATACTCAATGTTGTTGTTGTTGTAAACCAACAAAAATCTGGTGCAGCAAAAAAGCTTTTCAAATGTGGTGATCAAACTAGATAAATTGAAAATAGAGACAACAAAAGTTTGATGAATTTATTTATTTGTGAATGATGTGATCATGGGATTTGTTGACAATAATACTCACTTTAATACTGGATACAAGGCGAATATGTTTCTTTTTTTACCAAATCTAAATAACGATGGATGTCGTTTTAGATATCCTACCAATGTGGAAAACGTGTATTTTTGATACGAATGCTATTTTTCATTGAATGACGCGATCATTGAGCAAACAATATAGCGCCGTCACCATAACATTAAGTCACACACATAAAAAATGTAACCATACACTACTTGAAATAGCACTGCAGTGAGCACAATTTGTTGTTATTTAATACCGAAGTAATTAACAATGTTAAAAAGTTTCGAATTTATAACGGGACATAAAATATTTTATTAGTTAGAACAGAGCAAAATATTTCTCAATTTTCATATGTTCCGCAGCAAAAACGCAATTTACTTTGTTGAAACAACATTGCGATGGCCATTTTGCTATTCATTGATTCCAAAGATTCAATCAGCATCAAATTCAATAGGAAATAATTCAGACCATGTTCCTAAGCCTAATCTAACCCTAGCCTAATCTGATATCATGTGTTGAACATGGTCAAACTATTCTTGAATTGGATGCTGAACAATGGAACCGCCGAATTGATCTCGAACATAATCATCAATCGAATTTCAATTTGATGATTGTAAAATTTCAGGAACAAACCTAATAAAAAAAAGATAGACCAATCTTTATTAGATATGAAGAATGAATATGTCGACTTACCGAATTCCGACAATTCAATGCAGGCATGTTCTGAATAGACTTTTGAGAAATGTAAGTGTTAGAATTATTGATTGATAACGAAATTCCAAAGTTACCTGATGACGAATATAATGTTTCATTGGACATTGTACCATGTTAGTGACCAGATATCCACCAATAAATTTGTAATGTTCGGCATCATTACCATGATTGTTTTTCTAAAGACGGCATTATATGATTCTAATGTTGATACGAATGCTATTTTCATTGAATGACGCGATCATCATTGAGCAAACAATACTACCACTATTTGACTATGCGCAGTTGCCCATTAGTTGTACTTTGAGTTGAAATTTTGGCGGCAAATGATGCATTATTTTTGCCATAGACTTAGCATGAAAAATGAATAAAAAAATCTACTCATGATATGATAGATATTATCATATCAGCGCCGTCACCATAACATAAATTCTCTTCATGTAGATCATGTAGATTTACATCACATTGATTTTCAATTAAAGTTCGTTCCGCACAAATAAACAAATCAGATGAATAGAACTGTGAGCAGTATTACCACAAAACAAGACGTCTTATAACGATAGCAATGCGGGTAAACATTGAATTTTCCATGTCCCGATAAAAACTGAGAGAACATAAAATGTAGATCGATAAGAATTATTTTGCGATCAGATGGAAAAAATCTTTAGTAACTTTGCGATCTTCACTCATTATTTTTTATTACGGAAAATGGGGGGATAGGTGTGGTTTTAAGAATATCGATATATTCTTCAGAATTCACACTATTGGAGCACAGTCTCAACTCGATCTCCCACCATGCCTATTGTTAAGTAATTATTAAAACATGCTAAAAAAAATCTTACCATATGGCCCCCCAAACCATCACACTGAAACCGTTGTGCTTAACCGTGGCTTGGAGCCTCTTGGCTTGGTATAACATAAGTCACACACATAAAAATGTAACCATACACACTACTTGAAATAGCACTGCAGTGAGCACAATTTGTTGTTATTTAATACCGAAGTAATTAACAATGTTAAAAAGTTTCGAATTTATAACGGGACATAAAATATTTTAGTTAGAACAGAGCAAAATATTTCTCAATTTTCATATGTTCCGCAGCAAAAAACGCAATTTACTTTGTTGAAACAACATTGCGATGGCCATTTTGCTATAGCAGTTTTGGTCCGATTCATTCATAAAGAACCTTACAATATGAGAAGTAAGGCCATCTATCATTACAAATCATGACTAAAAATTGAATTTTTTTTTAATGCAATTCATTTAGTTTCGGATTCATTATGTGAATAAAAAAGAAATTGAAAGCAAGAAATAAAGAGATAAACGGTGGATGGTTTCATTGTTTTTCCATAACAAAACAAAATCAATTTAAAATAAATACAAACTGAAACAATCAGCATAGATGATGAATTTTTATATTACAGAAATATATCGATGGGAATTTTTTCCAATTGACTTTTTTTGAATTCGATGTGAAGGCAACATGTTATGAATTTTTAAGAATTAAAAAAAATTATAATTTACAACGATTACGATCATTTAATTTTTTAAGCGGCAAGCATATTTTTGATATTTTTAGGCGTCGTTTCATCATTCAAATGTCTTGTCGTATAACGAAGTGAATTGAGTAAACCTTCAACCATTGTTGGCGGTTGTTCTTTCAAAACTTTGATCGAACCACGAACATCGATTTGTGTGGTTGTTTTGGCAAATGCACCGATCGGATGGACATGATCGTAGAGAATGATGACGCCAACCATGACTCGTAACACAAAATAAACGGTTTCTTCATTTTGAAATCTTGAACAAAAATCTCTGTAACAAAAATTTAATAATACTCATTAGAATTAAAATTAAATTATTATATAGATTCAATGAACTTACTGATTTTCTATCATTCGTTGACATACTTTTGCCATTGTGCCAAGCGTTTCAGTTATATTTTCAATGGGTAAATGAGGATTCGATGTAACAAAATTAAGGGTTGCATTCGCTAAAGAATGTAACATAGGTGTGGCATTTGCATAAAACAACGACATCCTATTAGCAAACTCTGGGCTTAGATTTTCAATGGCCATCAAATCGGTGTTGATATGATTAGGATTTGGTGAACGAATACGATTGATTGTTCGACGATAAAAACTAAAATCATTCTGTATAGAAGGATTTAGCATTTTAAGCTCATCAAATTTAAGAACAAAATCCAAAAGACAACTAAATTGTTTAACCAATGCTTGTTGTGTTTCTAAATGTTTTAAAGGTGGCATCGAATCAGAACAAAGTTCGCCTAATAAAAGCATCACAGTTTCATCTGTTTAAAAGAAACAAAATTAATTAATTTCATCTTTAAAAAACAAACAAAAAAAACTTATTCAAACTCACCCAATCTCAACGCGAATTCATAGAAACGTTTCAAACGATTGACTAACGGTACAACAGTATTCCATGTTTTTATCTGTAACTCCTTATTATGTGGATTATCGATTGCCTGTTTTTTGTTTTGTTTATTATTAAACAGAAACGAATATTATCATTGTATTAGTATAGAAAAACAATTATATATCAAACTGCCGTTAAAAACATTTACACAGGAAGTTACATGAAATAAAGGAAAAAGGATGACTATATGTAATAGGAAAGAAAATGAAATCAAAATCGACACACATTAAATGCATGTTCGAGTGTTTATGCTATCGATAATCAAATGTAATATCATTCAACGACAAAAAACAAACAACAGCGACAGACTGAAACTGAAAAGCGGATGTTGGCGAAACTTTCGATTTTTTATGCTTTGCTTTATACAGCCATTTAGCTAAAGCAATTCGAACTCAAAAATATAAGAACAAAAATCCCGAAAAATGATAGTACATTATTGCATACGCAAAAAAAAGAAAAGGATTATTATAAAGATCGGATTACAAACCTGACGAATTTCGGCACTTGCTCCTTTATACGTTTGTAGATCGACGAGTATTTTGGCCGCATCATTCAATGCATTATCAACTACAGTATAGGTCATTTGTTCTGATTCGGTTGGCTGGGCATCTATTATACATATAATCAAATTGGAAAAGAAAAAAAATTCATTCATTCATTCGACATAATTAATTAGATTTTTCATTATAAATTTGGCTATTATACAAGTATAGAATTTAAATCTATTTCAATCTCAAAGACAAATTCTCTCTTACACACACACCCACGCCCGTTAAGACATAGTCATCTTATACTTACTCTCAAAATCGACAAAAATGTCACATTTAAGCGTTGCATTACGATGCAAATGTAATAGGCTAAGCAAGCTACCCATATTGATCCAGTTGGCAATTATTTGATGATGATGGTGATTATATCACTCGGTTGTTGACAGACGACACTGGTAATTATGTTGATGAATTAGCAATCAAAAACAACAGGTTACTCTCTTGTCAACCGAGAACCGATCAAAAAAGAATTGTAAAGAAAAAACCGAGGTATCTTTTTGTTGATTGTTATGGTTGGGTTGTGGAATAATTACAATTTAAACACACGAATAGAATCACCACATATGTATACCAAGATAAAGATAGATTATATTGTGTTTTAAAAAAACAAGATGACAATTCGCAATATACTTGACAACTAATTGATGGATGGATGTTTCATTTGAATGAATCCTGCTGATGGTTATGATGAACTTGAGATAATAATATGATTGTGGTATAGTTGATGAATGAATGAATGATTAGAATGCTTTAAGACTTTTGTATTCTTATCATTAGATAGGTGAATGAATAGATAGGCAATGCAATCAACAATGTAAAGTGATGACAAATTTTTGTATGTTTATTGTACATGATGCACCAAAAAAGATTTTCGTTATTCTATTGCTGCCTTTAATGGAAGAGTTTAGGTTACAATCCAATAAAAATCCAACACACTACCACCATCATAGAAAAAGGAACGCCAGAAAAAGAAATACATCTAAGAAAGATAAGCCTGTTAACGATAAAAATGGATAGAAATTAGACAATTGATAATGATGATAAACTCAAACAGGTGTGTCATATGACAATTGATGGCCCTGATTTGATCTAATAATTTGAGTATAAATATATGTTCATAATCATGACATTTGATTCGATTAATTTTTTATTGTCTCAACTTTCATTTTTCTGGCTCGATAAAATGGATAATTTGTAGATCCTTTTCAAATGTAATCGTAATCGCTTATCATCATTGATGACATTGAAAAGGTGATAACCTGTGTTATAACATAATGTATATCAATCAGGTATAGATTAGAACGATCAAAACAAGTCTGCATAAATGTTTGGTATGTATGTTGTGTGTTTTCATTACATACCAAGAGAAAACCAACCAAGCGACTGCTTTAACAATCAACAAAATTATTAGATGAGAATCATCAGTGAAAAAACACGCCAAGTGTATCACGCGAAAAAGTGATATACGATCATCATTGTTGATCGTTTCCAATTTCCCAATGTTACAGTGTCCTGATGATTATGATTATGATGATGAGTGGACTCGATGTATGAAAAATCAGTGTTTAGAACCACACACACAATAACCAGTATGATTCGATTCTTGATGCTTGAATGATTGAGTGTAATAAACGCGCCAGTTTTTTCTTCATTCGCACAAATAATAGCAACAGCTCGACTTTTCTAATTCACAATGATCGGTAGCAAACGATGGTGGTTGCACGACGACAACTCTCAATGGATCGCTATTAACTTAAAATAACGATCATATAGATTGGTTTGCTTGTTTGCCACCACCACCACCACCACCACCACCACACCTCGGATCAATGGTTGTATATATACAACAAACATGCTGGAATGGATCATCGTGATATCGTTGATTTGGTGCTCGTGTATTATAATGTGAGAGTGTTTTAACATGTGGTTGAAATCTTGAATTTTCGTTGTAGTGGCAGGTTATTATTATATGGTCATTACTATAGAGCAGTGATTCTCAACCTTTTTTTTGTTGCGGCACACATTTTACGATTTCAAAATTTGGCGGCACACAAAGAAAAAGCACTGCGTAAAATAGATTATGATAATGATTTTAAATGTGCTAAATAAAATAATATATAATATGTACTACAAAAATAACAGTATGTAGTGTATTTGTTGTTAATTCGTTTATTCCAGTTCAGAATCGAGAAAATGACAAATCCAACCTAACACGATCAGTTCAGAATTCAAAATTCAAAATAAAAAAAATAACAAGTCAAACTTAACACGACCAGTTCAGAATTCAAAATTCACAATCGAGAAAAAGGCAAATCCGACCTAACACGACCAGTTCACAATCGAGAAAATGACAAGTCAAACTTAAAACGACCAGTTCAGAATTCAAAATACAAAATCGAGAAAATAACAAATCCAACCTAACACGATCAGTTCAGAATTCAAAATCAAAAAAATGGCAAATCCAAACTAACACGACTAGTTCAGAATCGAGAAAATAACAAATCCAACCTAAGACGACCAGTTCAGAATTCAAAATTCAAAATAAAAAAAATAAGTCAAACTTAACACGACCAGTTCAGATGGTTAATTATTGGAATTAGTTACCAGAATTGGTTGGTTTCTATACCGTTTTTTAGATTCATTAAAAATTATTTTCAATGATGAATTGTGTTTTCCAAGATTCAGAGTTAAATAATGTTTGTTACATTTAATTAATTCGATATGTATCGGATGTTCTGCCATTGAAGATGAACTGGTCGTTTTAGTTTGGACTTGTTATTTTTTCGATTCTGAACTGGTTGTGTTAGGTCGGATTTGCCTTTTTCTCGATTGTGAATTTTGAATTCTGAACTGGTTGTGTTAGTTTGGACTTGTCATTTTCTCGATTGTGAATTTTGAATTCTGAACTGATCGTGTTAGGTTGGATTTGTCATTTTCTCGATTCTGAACTGGTCGTGTTAGGTTGGATTTGTTATTTTCTTGATTTTGTACTGATCGTGTTAGGTCGGATTTGCCTTTTTCTCGATTGTGAATTTTGAATTCTGAACTGGTCGTGTGTTGGAGTTTGGAATTTTGAATTCTGAACTGGTTGTGTTAGTTTGGATTTGCCATTTTCTCGATTGTGAATTTTGAATTCTGAACTGATCGTGTTAGTTTGGATTTGTTATTTTCTCGATTCTGAACTGGTCGTGTTAGGTTGGATTTGTTATTTTCTTGATTTTGTACTGATCGTGTTAGGTCGGATTTGCCTTTTTCTCGATTGTGAATTTTGAATTCTGAACTGATCGTGTTAGTTTGGACTTGCCATTTCTAGAATCTAGCACTTTTTGTAAAACATTGATTAATAAAAAATTGTTTAAAGAAGAATTGCTTTTATTTGTTTGTTTAATTATACTTATTTTTCCTATGTTGGTTCCACTACAAACAATTCGCACAACTATTAATAGATATTTGACTAATCGAAGTACATGTTTTTGATTCAGGATTACCATAATATTCAAATGTATCAAAACAAAAAATATTTTCATTTTATTAAATCTAAAATTTGGCGGCACAATCTTAGAATTTCGCGGCACACAAAAGTGCCGCGGCACAGTGGTTGAGAATGACTGCTATAGAGAGTATTGAAGATTCAATTCATTGTCATTATTTTGGTATGTGTGAATCCAAAAAAAAAATTATCAATGGATAATACCGCTCTGAAACGTTTCAGATGAATTTGCTTTTAACATTTCCGCTGCTCATACAATGGAAATTATGTTAATATTCATATTTGAACGATTATGAGGCCGATATTTTCATTGAAATCATGATAGAATAATTTGTGTTCATCTAAAATAATTCAAAAGTATAGCCATGGTGACAAAAGTATCAAGAAACGAGAAATATTTCGGGTGCAAACAAATCAAAAATGAATTATTATGATTGAATGGGGTAAGATTACACCCCGATCATCAACCCGTCATGACGATATAACAATAAGAGGTTCGGTTAGCTGAATTTGTCATTAGGTATAGACCACTGATGCAGAAATCATCATTGTTGTTAAAGAGGAATTTTCCGAAAAAAAAAATTAATCTTTGTCGTATGTAGACAAACCAATCCATACAATCGTACGATGTCATCATTATCATTATATTATTATATATGTTACTCTCATGGCAATGATGATCGTTATCATAATATAAACTCCATCTGATTATTTCTGTGGTCGTTGTCCACCATTATGGCCATCATCGTTGGTCCGAAACTTTTTCGTGGACACACGCAATCCAATCTGAAAAAAAACTTTACCTTTGTAGTTTGATTGGTAAGGTGGGTAAGGATAGATAAGTATTGTCGTCGACTTTGAAATGTCTTCGAACTCATCATCATGGCATTTGTTTATGATTGCTGTTGTTGTTGTTGTTGTTGGGAAAATAATTACTTATTCAACTTCATTATCCTTATTCATATGTTCATTCATCGGTTCGTTTTTTTCAATAATAATAATCATAATGATTACATTAATCTTCAATTTGATTATGGTAACAACAATGAAGGCTTAGATAGTGCCATTGACCGTAGCCATCATCATTGTTGTTATATTGTCATCATTATATGTTCATTTTGTTGATTATATAATAAATAATGACAACGTTGTTTGCCTGTTTGTCAATCTGAAAGACGATGAACTTTATTGGAAAAACATTTATTTCATTCACTTGGAGAAAAATCAATTTTTTTCCCTCTATCTCTCTCTCTCTCTCTCTTTCAAATTTGGGAATTTACGCCCGAATTGAAATTGAATTCAAATGAAAATTGATTATGAAATTTATTACTTTTTCGATAGATGGCACAAACGAGAAATTTTTTTTTGTTTTTAATCACATTTTTTTAAATCTTTTTTTTTTATTTGAGCTATATAGGAATTATTATAACAACGCATGAATTTATGATGATGGTTTAATTTTTTTTTTTTTTTTTTCTCAAAGAATAAAAAGATAAAGATACAGAAGAAGAATAAAAAAAAAGGAAAAATAATTTTACAAGTAAATTTTTTTTTCTCATTTTCATCTCAATGATTGGTAAAAATTAATAATTAATGACAAACGAAACAGTGAAATGAAATACAAATAATGAAAACAATGACAAAAAAAATGAAAATAAAAAAAAGAAGAAATCATCTCACAATGGTCAATTAATTGATAATGATCGAAAATAAATCAATCCTTTGATAAAGCTGCTGCTGTTGCGGTTGTTGTTGTGAATCATCGAGATTCTGCTGGTTCAAGCTTGAATCTTGAATTATCAATTCTTGATCCGAATTTTAAATAATATATATTTTGTTTTTTTGCAATGAAAACTGGTTGTTTGTTTTGGTTTGGTTTTGTTTTTTATATGTTTTCGGTATAGGATAGCTAAATAAACAACAGGAAAATATAAAATCTGATCAAAGTTTTTGATTATAAAAATTGATCCTAATCATAATTATATTTCTAGTAATGTGTAGAATTAATAATTGATTTTTTTTCGAAATTTTGCATCATTTTTTTGTCACTGTGTGTTTATGTGTGTTTTCACAAAAAAAAATTGATAAAAATCTATGAAAATGATTGATGAAACGTAGGTGAGTGGAGATCGGAAAGGAAATTTTTTTTTTTTAGAAGCCCTAAGAAAATGATTTCGTCAAGAATTTGTCAGAAAAAATGTTATTCAATAAATCGGTAGATTCAACACCAATCAAGATGATGATGACATTTGTAATTATAACGAATTATATTTTATATATTCAGCGATGATAAGTTTGTCTAGCCAATTTGTTTAATTTGTTAATTATTCTATTTTTTTTAAATTTGTTTCAGTGAATAAAGAATATTAAAAAAAATCAGATAATAGAATCGAATTGAAACAAGATACTAAGCAAAAAAAAAACTAGAGAATCCGAAAAAAATTACAAAATCAATTTTTAATGAAAAAAAAATAAAACAAAATTTTTTAAAAAACAGATAAAATAATCGAAGCAATCAGACACCTGCCAAATACGTTCGTTTTAAAATGAAAAAGAAATTAACGAACGGAAACTAATGACAACAACACATTTTAAGTATTTATCAATACCGAATATGAGAAAAGATGAAAGATAAGAATACATTAAGATCGGAATCAAGATTGACAATAACGAGAATTCGAATGTTTTGCGTGTGTGTGTGTATGTTGACGTAAATAGATGATGAAATAAAATGGTGTAGCGAAATAAAAAAAAATCATTTTAAAATTTTGATGAAGAATTAGCTAAAATTCTTTTCTTTTTTTTGGTTCTGTAAAAACAGGATTTTTGATTTATTTGTATGAATAAATTTGATGGATGGATTTTTCACTTGGAATTTTTGTTTTTTTTTTTTGCTAATTTTTTTAGGTGATCAGTCGGTTGGTAGTTGAATGAAGGTGTGTAAATTAGCGAAGGAGAATATTACAGATCGAGGTAACGGGTTTGTCATGTGCGCTTAAAATGTTTGTCGGAGAGATTGTTAATGAGAAGAGAGTATGATTGATGAAAATGACGATTAATATCGCCAGGCCGTAAAATGGATGGATGAATGGAGTGAGTGACCGGATGCGAAGATTAATTTTTAGAAAATTTCGATGAATTTTTTTCAGTAAAGGGAGGGATTCCAAAATTATCAAGACTAAGATAAGTGCCATCGTCATAAGTTAATGAAAATTTGACAGCAATGTTTTATCGTTCCAGCAATCATCATCGATGAAAATGTTTTTCACTTCAAGTCCATCATAATCGGGAAATTCAAAATGAGAACCCGATGAACTACTGCTACCTGAGGTAGTTGTTGATGCGGTTATGTTGGTCGATTGTGTTGCCGAGGTTTGCAATGAATCGTATGAGGATTCCAAATGACCGAATATAAGACCACCATTATTTGACATTTGATGATTACTGCCATTTGTTGTTGATGTTGTTGCTGACGTATAACAAGACCATGGATCACCATTGTTATTGTTATTGTTTAAATTGAAAACATCACAAAAATCATCGAGATCGTTGATGGAAGTTGTCGAAGATGGTGGTGATGCCATTACTGATGATGATGATAGCAATGCATTCATATTGGATTGACGATGATGGTTAATACAATCAATATTGATACCATTTTTAGCTCGATTCAAGCCAATCAAATCGTTTTCAATAAATGAATCAAGCATGAATTGTTGTTGTGGCAAGCTATCGGTTGTCGTCGTCGATGTAAAGATCATTTCCGGTTCACCATCCGATGCAAAACCTGATGTAGCTGTCGATGTAGGTGTTAGGAGGCCTGAGTCATTTGATTGAAAAATCGATGAAGATTTTGATGAGTTACGTAAATATTTTGTAAATCCAAGGTGTTTATGCGACTGATCAGCAATCGTAATAAACGGTGCTTCCGAATTCAAAAGTAAATCTTCCACACTATTACCATTATTACCACAATAGCTACTATCATTTGAGGATACAGGTGATATTGAACCGGATATAGTTTTCGATGTGGACAAAGGTATCGAATCGATGGCAATAAATTTATTGACAATTGTTGGTTGTTTGCCATTCGCGGTTGTTAATGTCAATATACTGGAAGATAGACTTTTACCACTATTAGTATTTCCATTATGTGTAATCGTACGAATTTTAGCCTTACGTGGTCCACCAACATCACCAATACTATTGATCACCATCGAATTATGATTGGCAATAATCATTCCATTAGATAAAGTCGTTTCGATTGCTATAGCCGTTGGATGCTGTTGTATTGTTGTTGGACCAATCATCATTGTGTGGCTACCGTTTGTTCGTCGACTTGTATCCGAATGGCCGGAATCAGAAAGGCTATCCATATCGCCATTATTCGATGATGATGACGATGATGACGATGGATTTAATGTTGATGATTGTTTGAGCTTTTTCTTTGGTCGATATTTATAATCCGGATATTGTTTCAAATGTAATAGCCGTAAACGTTCAGCTTCAGCAATGAATGGTCGACGTTCTTCTTCCGTTAACATTTTCCATCGTTTACCCAAACGTTTAGATATTTCAGCATTATGTATTTCAGGTTGTTGTACACAAATTTTTCGCCGTTCAATTTGCGACCATACCATGAATGCATTCATTGGCCTTTTGATATGATTATGATTTCCCGTACGTTTACAACGTGTAGCATCTGTATATGGTGTCGATGAATTTTCCGATACTTTTAATGAACCGAAATGTGTTTCTGGATTGATACCGATTGTCAGACCATTGATAATATTACTGTCACTGCTACCATTTATGATATCATTACCAGTGATAATGATGGCTTCATCATCATATATTGTGGTCATAATATTATTATTACTGGAATCAATACCATTGTTATTATTATCATTTACAATTAATGTATCTAGATCTGGTATTGAAGATGATTCCATGATTCAGATATAATAGTTGAATGTGATTGACAATATATTTAATATTTAATGATGATGATGATATATAAATGCAATTGCTGAAATTTGTTTAGAGAAATTGGACGCCTCACGTATATATCAAGAACTGGCTTTCTTGCAGTTGTGATGATGATGATTCATGCAAGAGTTCAATTATAGAAAACAAGCAATATAAAGTGTAATGAATGAATTACTTGCTGCTGTTAGCACTATGCGAATCATTCAATTTTATTCAACCATTAAAATAGTGGTTATTGGGTAATGATTTGTAATTTTTTTTATATTTCGATGAAATTCAATAAACACGTGCTTTTTGTTTGAATTAAACGGTGGTCAACGATGATTGTAATGTTTAATGTAATAGCTTCAAATGAATCCTTGTTTGTTATAGAAAAGACGATTCTTAATTTACTATATGCGTATTGAATGCCAATTGCTAAGAACCACAATATTGTGAATTGTCTTCAGATCAATTGAGTCGGCGTGAATCATCAGTAGGATGTTTTAAATACATAGAGAATGACCAGTTTGGATTTGGCGCCTTTCCACATCGATAAACACAAAAAAAAACACGTACAGCACACGCAGCTAGTTGAAAAAAATGTTTGTCGTTATAATTTTCAATAATCAGCCAATGACAACATCAGCAACAGGAAAAATTGTTTTGATTGATTTGAAATACAACAAAAAAATGGCCAGAGAAAAAATAATGATGATGACGTAAATGAAATAATGATTACCGAAATGAAAATCAGAATTGAATAAAAAAAAACTGAAAAAATTTGCTATAATCACAGACGATCCAAAAAAAACTTGCCCCGTCAAAAGGCAAAACAAATGTAGATGAAAATCGTGTAGAATAATATTATTTTCTCGAGAGCAAATATTATGATTCCGGTAAAATCCAGTGATGAAGTTCTGATTGCAAAATATAGCTGCCCTTGCTATGTCTGTATGTTCTTTGAGTCTCACATTAGAGATTTTGGCCACTTGGTATAAAAAAAATTTTGACGAAATCAGTATTTAACGATCACTATAGAATATCACGATCAGATTTGATGCTGTGCCCGTTGTTAATTGTTGTTGTTGATGTTATCGTAGTTTATATGTTGTTTTTGAAATGTTGAAATATTTCAAGCTTATCATCACTCTATTTATATGTTGTATCAAAAATCAAAATGGCACACACGAATGACAATTGTGATCCAGGTTTGGATCATACACGGACGGTAAAAATTGTTTCTCTCTACTAAAAAGTGTCCGTAATAATGGGTTTTTATAAATGACGGTTGTAAAAAAAAAAAAAATTCGTAATCAATACAGTCAGCAACACAGAATGGTCTTCGTCTAGGTCTATGGACCTGAGGTGTGGCTTTTCGACCAAGTGTTGAACAAATATGATATACGCACACAAACACAGAGAGATCAATTTTGCTTTACAACTCAAATTTTGATCCTGATACTCGCTGGGTTCTAAGGTCTTTTTTAAAAAGGGATTTTTTCTCAATCAATTTTTTTTGTGTTGTCGTCGTTATTGTTGTTGTTATTTGTTGCTAACCGATAATTTTTTTGTCCCATTCATTCATTTGTTGGTCATTCAGACATTTCGTGTTGAGTAAAAAAAAAATGGGAATTATTATTTTTTCCAACATTTAGAAGGGACAAAAAAAAATTCAAGCTTTGTTTTTTTCAACTTTTGCATTTATTATTGTTATATAAACACAACACGCAGATACACTGTATGAGAAAATGAAATTTTAAAAAAATAAATTTTCAAACAGAATGTTAGTTGACAATATTCACAAATCGATGATTATTTGGATGTTGAAAAAAGAAAAAACTCAGAATTTAGATATTGGCAAGAATAATAAAACAATTTTAGTTCGGCTGAATTTACAAAAAGTAATCGAGATCGTTATTTTTTACCATCACCATCAAAAAACCGATCACTACTGTAGCCATCGTCGTAGTTAGGTTGGTCGATGTGGTTGATTATACAGACTATACAGATTTTTTTTTTTTTTTTTTGATAGCACCGTCTGTCATACTATGTGTGTTTCTGAATGACTGTTGTTAAATGCGCAGATTTTTTTTTACTTGGTTTGACAGCGGTAGTGGGCATGAATGAATTGGAATGAGTGAGAAAAAAGTTTTCTATCCATTTCCAATGGTTCAAATTCGTTTGGATATTCGCGCGTTTGGTTCATTCATTTCACAGACACACACGCACTCACAATTCTGGTTTTCATTACGATCAACGTATAAAACACGAATGATTATGTGAGGGGGTGAAATTCTAGCCCTAATGTAGTAGTGGTATAAATAATTATCAATATTATATCAAGGGTGGATCTTAAACATGTGATAGACGCATGCGTTAGCCAAAAGGACATTGCACTGTGGTTGTTTGATGGATGGTTGGTGATGGTTGGTTGGCTGTTTGGGTGGGCGGGAGGTTCAAAAAGAGGGGTTGTGATTATCGTCATCATCATCAATTATTATTATTATTATTATTATGATTATAAAGATTTCTTAAAATCAATGGTAGAGGCAAAGATGAAGATAGTCAAAACACACACACACACACACACACGAAAATACATCGTATTGGGGGTATCAAAAGTGGATCTTTCATTTCATTTTACATTCGAAATTCTCATTGTACATATATTACATATATTCTAAACGAACAATCCAAAGCAATTATGGGTAGAATTCTGCATTTACATTTCTAGTGTTTTCATATGGATTGGATAATTTGGACCCTTTGAAAATTAAGAATATTGTTCTTCATCATACATTGAATTGACGATAAATTAACACCAAATATAAAAAAGAGAATTATAGATTTGTAACACGGAGAATAAAATTCCAAAAGATGGCTAAAGCTTATTATGGAAAAAATGGATCGATCAAAGGTGAATGAAATGAAATTCTGTTCTTTCATGTGATTGGCTGCTGTCTGTTATTGCCATTGCCATTGCCATTTATGATAATGATGATCGTGTGATTTCATCTGTTTTCATGGCCGTGAAATATACTTTCGCACGCACACACACATATACGTTGAGTGATCGAGAATTAGATCGGGCAGCAGTTCCCCCTAAAAATGGCCGCATCCATTCAATTCACCATCGAAGAATCGATTTTTCTTAAATTCATTCCAAAATGTACCAAAAAAACTTAAAGAACCAAAATCTGAATGATACTATATTAACTCTCTCCCTTTTATCATTATTTTTCCAAGAAATCAAAGAACAAAAATCTCACCAACTCAAAAGATTTTCAAGTTCAAGTTCCATTGGAAACACAATACACAATGGCCGATAGATTTGGGTGTAGTGTACAAGTTTTTCCACTTTGATTGCAGAAACTAGAAAAAACCAAACTTAAATGAATAAAAAAAATTCTTTTTCTCTTTCTCTCTACCTTCGTGTCTTGTAAAAAAACAAGCCAAGTTGAAGTTCGAGTTTCTCTCTCTGTCTTTCTCTTTCACTATGGTTATAGATAACCCTCCATTGTATGTCAATGTCTATGGCCTATCATCTCCTTATGGGCTGTTGTTGCCGATGATGACCATTCAACCATCCATTCGACCTCGAAGCAACAACTTTAGACAACAAGAATTCCGAGTCCATCAATAAGTCCAACTGAACTGAAATGAATTAAACAAAAAAAGCAATTGTTTTCATTTTTTATTCTCTCTTTCTTTCTTTTTTTTCGTTCTATCTCCTGCGACTCAATTATTTTCTTCTCTGGTATTCATCATACATTTAAAAATTACATTCTTGTTGTTGTTGTTGTTGTCCATGGCCATCGTTCATGACTATGTGTTTCTATGGCTAAAATCAATGAGAGAGGCGAACAATTGGAAACAAGATCAAAACAGGATCATCATCGACCAATGTCCAAATTTTATGGATTTTATACCACACAGTATGGCATCATAGCATAAAATGTATAGGGCGAATTTGTATGAGAAAAAAAAATCTACTCTTCATTCATATACGGATAGATCAATCAATTGGATTAGATTTTGTGATCAAAAAAAATCAATCAAAGCAAAAATAAATAAAAAAATGAAAACAAATTCAACCACAAAAATTTATTATTATAATTTAAAATATATTTTGATGCTAAACACGATCGAAATCACAAATGAATGACCACTGCCATCATCATCATACTTGTCAACCTAAAGATGATTTTGATTTTTTTTATGCCCTGTGGTAGTTCCCACAACGAACATTTCTACCGAATTATTATTATTATTTTTTTCAAATGAATCCAAAAATGTCTTTAGCTGCTGCTGCTGCATTTTAAATATTTTTCTTTTTTCTTTACTACACGTATTTTAAACAAACACAACGATAAATTCATTGGATGTTCACTTTCATTCATTACATACATTGAATTTATGTTTATATGATATAATAAGATGCATTCAAAATTTTAAAACGTTTGAGAATCTATCTACAAACAGAATGAAAATATTGAATTCGAAACCAACATTACATAAGTGGCACGAGGTCAAATGGCAACAAATTATTTTTGTTTGATTTAAGTGAAGAATGCTTCTTTCTGGGATCTTGAAGATCAATGTCGACATCATTTACATGTGTTTATATGATATTTATTCATGTCTAAATAGGCGTCATTCTTAGGCGAAACAGTGTCAAAGGTTAAAAGTGTTAAAAGAATATAAATGATATAAACCATAAACAAACAAAATCAATGAGCAAGAAATTGATATTTTGCTATAGAATAGATATTGATCCGGAACTTTTCTTTAAATTACTAGGTCATTTTTTTCCATCACCAAAAGTGAAGACCTTTAAATCTCAATGATGGTGGATAATTATGTTCGTCCTTTTAAATCTAAAAATTTTTTTCTTTCTAAAATACGCATGTGTAAAAATGGCAGCTTGCAACTGTATAATTTGATGAATACCGCGGCACCATCATCACCATGGCTGGGCCTCACTAGTCGACTAGACGGGCCGATCGGTTGAATGATTTTTTTTCTTTTGTATTTGAAGGTTAAAAGATCAAGCTTATGACAGGCAATTCAATTTCGACACGGCCATACACTAAAACATAATATACAACTTCCGAACATAGCCATATATTAGCCGTGCGTCTGTGAACATCTGGCCTAAACATTCAACATCTGCTCTCTCACACAACACACACACACACACACATACAAATTGAATGAGAGCCGATTTTTTTTCTCGGTAGAGCTTGCTGAAAATATACAAACAATGCTAAGCTTTAGCTTGTGGACCAAGGGATCCACAATAATAATATGAATGAGAAAAAACATAGAGGCCATAAACCACTGAGCGGGACCGACCAAGATTGGCCGATATTGGTCTTGAGGTTATCTTGAATTTCAAATGCTCGTCAAACAAATGACGGACGAAATCTTAAAGAAGCTATTCAACAAAGACCTGAAGATAAGGTCCCAATTTTTTTTTATACTTTTGAAACACTGTCGAAAAAAGCAAATAAAATCCATGTTTTTTTGCACAAGCTGACATATATTCAATGAAATGACAGAAAAAAGCAAAGAAGCAGGTTTGTTTTTCTCAATGAAAAAAATAGATAAATACACATTTTATCTTGTTGATAGAGGAGAAACAACAATTTCGTTTTTCTCATTCATAATTGGTCCCATAACACAGTCGATTCCGACTACCAACAAAGCTATTCAATCTACCTA